GCTTTGTCTCGAGTTCTTCCCCATGGGCGCGTAATAACAAACCCCAACTCCATCTCCAACTCCGGTTGGTTTGACGGGTGGACAGGCATCTTGAGACGTGAGACCTGGGGAAGCCATCCACAGACAAAAGTGAGCGGGCATTGCACGGATGGCAACTGTATCACGGCATGGGCCAAGGCCGCAAGGGCAACATAATAGACTTCAGCCTCTCATGTCTTTTGCGTAGATCTTAGTAATGGAGCCCGTGCTGCAGTGAACAGTCTGGGGTCGAGAGCACCAGAGAGAGGGCTCGCCCTGAGACCTTTCTGTTGGTAGGCTAGTAGGGTATCTTGAGATTAATATGTTGTAATCGTATCGTGTTTGGTGTTGGTCTCTGGGAGAATGCGCCGCGTGGTGAGACAAACGAAGAATGAGCGCGTGGTTTCTGGGACGACCTACGTCATTGACGACCACGATGCCACATCCTTGACATGCATTTGGTATTGTTTTGCTAGTGGATGGTTATGCCCATGGGCCCCCCCCTTTTTTTCCTCAACTGTTCTCTAAGCGAATTTGTTTTCTAGCGAAGCATATCGTTTTCTTTTTGTATGCAGAGAATGTCATGGCAGCGGATACGGCACCCGGATGCAAAGCTTAGTACTCGCCAATAGAAAACCTTTTGGACACGGTTGACAAACTATCGTGACTCCATCTACTGGAGCTCCTTTGACGTCGATGATGCCCTGTGCGCTTTGGTTTCCTTTCTTATTAGAGGGACAAGGGGCTCTGCCTTGGATATTTCTAGTGAACTTGAGACGGCGCAAGGAGGCTCAGACTCAAGACTGCGCTGCGGGCTGGGGGTGATGCTCCTACATAGAAGATGCATAATAGACTTTTCGAATAATGTCGGTGAGCGTTGGATACGGAGGTTTAAGCCTTGCGAGGTAGTATGCGCATCGAGATTTCGATTCACCCATTCTTTCTTTCTTTCTTTTGCAGAGAAATCTCATCTACCGAAGATCTCATGGCAGTTGGAGTTAGAGCTTCCAGCTTGTTTCTTTCGTTGCGCTACCGTCCCTGATTATTCACTGGCCGTAATGGCGCGCGGCCGGAAGACACGGAGCGAATGATACGGACGTGACCTTGTCCAGGACAGGGCTGCGATATCAGAGATCTTTGGAACCCCACGCGAAAGTGGGAAAAGGAAGCTGAAGCGAAAAGGGCTCCGGGCTGATGATACCGTGCCTGGTCCGTTGAGGCTACTGGTCAACCAACGTCTGGGACTTTTCACGAACTCCACCTCTCAGTTCGGAATTGCACACACATTCTTTTTGTCCTCTCTCCAATTTCCTCAAATCCATCAAACAAGCTGTTGGGTCCCCACGCCTGTCCGCTAACAAAAACTCCCTTTCGCTTCTCTCCAAAAAGGCCGTGCTCTTGCATGGCCACTATCCAAGCTTTTGTTCTACTTTTTTTTTTAATTACACCTTTCGTCATCATCGTGGAGTCGATGCGATACGATACGTATGCAGAGCTGATATCAGCCTTCCTCCGCCTTTCGCTTTGATGGCCAAATACTGTAACACAATAAAATAAACGTCTCCCGTATCAGATACAGCTTGACCGAGTGCTAAGCTAGGCAAGCCGAACTGGGGTGTGACATGCCCCCCAGTCAAATCAGAGACGAGACATGGCATGCGTCCTGCTTGTGCGCAGCATACATAATAAACCCCAAAGAATGTGCAGTACCTTGGCGTTGCGCCACGGGCCCTTCTCATTCGATGATCTGACATGCTTTTCCCGACCTTGGCAACAGGCGAGAGGAAAAAAAAAACGCCATTCTGGAACTCGAAATGGGAATGGCCCTGTGTGTGTCTCTATTGCTTCTTGTTTCGCCGTCGCTGTGGTTCACTGCTTCCATTCTCTGGTGTTGAAGTCTCAAATTGTGAATCCTCACCATAGCGACTGTTTCTCTTTTTGCGACGGACTTTTTCCTTTGACTTGTATCTAGACGTTTACGTCCCCGTCCCCCCAGTTTCCTTTATCCATCCCCTCTTTCCAACGTTTTTCGTTTTCAGCTTTAACACAAAGATTGATGATCATTTTGGTGTCAAAAAAGTCTCTCCTTTTTCTAATTCATTAACCTTCTTTCATTCTCTTGTCTTCCCGTTTCTATTATTTATTTGTTTGATACGCTGTTTTGGACGCTTTTGTTATCGCCAATCATCAAACTGTTCCCAGTCCCCAGCCATTGAATCGTATTGTGGTTACCACCCATCTCCGTTCATAACAGCCATTCGCTAGGACGGTGCACTAAAGTTTCCGGCGCATCCTCAAACTGACAAACCAACCTAACCCACCTAACCAAACCAGCTCCAGCTCAAGCTTCAAGGCTCCCCAAGCACCGGCACCATCCTGATCCATGCCCTGGTAGTATCGGATCTCCGCTTGCTCTGGCACATCCCAGCAGTTCATTTTTATCTGTCGATTCGGTTCTTGATACGATACTTTATTATCTACGCTACCGGAACTGCCTTGCTCAGATCATATCCACTATTTCTCTCCTTCAGGTCAATCAGTCACTCAGTCTCACACAGCCTCATATCATCCATCACGTTCTATCCCATCCATTGCATTGCATTGCATTCAATCATTTCATATCATATGCTTTTCGCCTTTTTGTTTGAGCCAAGCTCAAGGACAATTGCCGAGACATCCCACGCTCCCAAAGTCGCCTCTCTCCTTTGTCCCGCCGCCATCTGACGTTTTCTGCAAAGCATCCGTACACATCCGGTAACCATCAGCAGCCGGTAACATCATTCATCTACAAACGTACATACAGATCATCATCACCAAGCTATATCTTTTACTCTTAAAACCTCCAAGCCAACATACAAAATACTGTAAATCATCAGCAATCGGCAGACGCCATCCCAACTCAAAAAGCATCGGGTCTTCCTTATCCGCAACCACTATCAAGCACCAACGGATATAATTAATATCCGTCTTATTCTAGGTTGGGCTTCATCTTTTCGCCGCCGCCGCTCAGCGCCAAATTCACATCAATTCACGCATTGAGCATCATATCAGCAACGGGAAAAAGCCTCTTCTTAATAGTAACTCTCATCCTCTCCACTACTCCATACTCCATACTCTACTCCATACAACTCCATACAACTCTATCCCACACCCCCAGAGAAGCATCTCTACAATTGTGGTCTTGTCGGTAGACTCCGACCCTCAACTCCACGGTCCACTGGACTGAAGTCTGTCTTTTTGCATTTGGATACTACACTGCACAAGACAGTAGAGTCAATAGAATACAACCACAGCACCAAAAAGACTGTACTCTGTGAGAACAACAGTTACTGTATACACTCTGGTAAGTGCACAACATACTCCGTACAGCATAGCAAAGCAAAGCAATGCAGAGCATCCATCCATAGCCATAGCATCAACATGATGCCACCCCCTTGGCTTAAACCCTACCCTACCCATCCCAACCAAAAGCTCGTTAGTCCTCTTGTCCCACCCCTGGTCTGCAACTCAAATCCTGCCCATGTCCCCATCCTAACTGATCCCTGCCCTGCCTATTTGCACCCACCTCCACTACCATCACCTACACTATCCGCTATTCCTCCCCCCCATCCCATCCCACCCATCCTGGGCAAAGCAACACCACCACCAGACGGCCCATGCCTACGCGGCTCTCAACCTTGTCGTGCTAGCCCATGCCGCTCAGGCCGGCCCCGGCGCTCCCTCACACCTCACTAAACCTCCATGGGCCAAAAGCCAAGGCAGCGCAAGCCCGCAAGGCAAAGGCCAGAGAAGGGCAAAAAAAGAGTTTTTGTTACTGTACCTTGGTTTCCAATTTTTTTTAATTGGGGACCTTGCGCTGCTGCTGGAGAGAACACTCAAAACCACCTGCTCCCCGCAGCCATCCTATCCTCGATTCCCTTCAGCATCTCCACTACCAGCTCTCATTGCTGTCAACGAGTTTATGACCTGCCTGACTGATTGATTGACTGACCCGAGTTAACGTCTTAGTATCAGCAGCAATTTCTTCATTGTCATTGTTTTTGGCTTTTGTTTTTCTTGTTTGATTCATTGTTTGTTTTATTCATTCGGTTTCATATCGACATCCTCAATCGCCATCTCATCTCCCATCTGCTCGACGAGACTCCTAATCCGACGACTTTTCTTGCCGCTTTGTCCGACGTTTCCTCCCGGATTAGCTCTGCAGTATCACTTGGCTGTGATACCAACACCAACCTTTCAACTCAACCGTCCGTCAATTGCCGACTGCACCTCGTGGATATCTTTTGCTCTGTTGCTGGAATATTGCCGGAGCTTATCTTTTTCTCGAGTCGCCAGTTTGTTGGGGTGCGCATTGATCAATCAATCGTGTAAGTTGTTGTGCACTGGATTCACCACTCACCCACTGAAGCACACCACTGTACGCCCCCTGTGGATACACTGCAATCTTAACACCACGGCATACCACAGCACAGCACAGCCCAGTCGTTCTCACTCTTCCTCATCCTCATCCTCATCCGCAACAAACGCAAACAATTAAAAATACATCATCTTGCCCGTTTTCATTGACAATCTGTGACTCCTGTTTACTCCGCTTCGTTTCCCCCATTTGCATCACTTTTTCTCGTCTAATCATGCATTGCCACAAAAGTTCCCTGTTTCTCAACCATGCTAATCAGTACTTTCCCCGTTATTAGACCTGATCTCGATCACCTCCTGCCTTGATCTGCATCGCATACGCTAGGAGAGAAAAAACCTAGAAACACCACTCCCACGCCCGTCGCGCCCTCTGCGCAACTGCCCTTGATTCTCCTCCACTGCATCTCGGGTTGAGAATCTCATCTCGACATTCTCGTCATTTATTACCTGACCTAACTCTTTTCTCCCTCCACGTGGTGAAGTTCCTGGCAAGCGGCTTCCACGGATAAACCTCATCCCCTTCACCCTTCCCTCTTCCCTCTAATACCACACAACCCACCTTGGGAATGCCTTACACGCCGCCCTCACATCGATCTCCCGCCTCGTCAGCATCCGCGTCGCCCGTTGCGAGTCGGCGGTCCTCTCTACAATCGAGTCCGAGACCTAACCTACCGCGATCTGCTTCATATCTTACCAAGCACCGACGAACACCTTCAGCTTCTGCCCTCAGCGATGGATCTACGGGGACGTTGACACCACAGGGAACATCGGAAGATCTTAAGAGTATGGGCACAGCCGTTCCATCAAGCGTGCGGCAATCACCACCGCCTGTGACAGACGACCGCACAATGCCCATGGGTGCTATCATCTCGCCACCCGATTCTGCTTCCTCCGGTAGCGACGACGAGGAGCAAGGTCCCGAAATTCGAGGCCGAAAGCTCGACAAGGCTCTTCGAGATGCTGTCAGCCAGATCCCTATGCAGCGTTCATCTTCACCTGAGCGATCACAGGTTCAGACTCAAAATGCCACAGAACACCTCCAGCTCCGACGCAAAGATGGTGTTCATCTGAGCTTCAGCACAAGTGCCCTCGATGGCCTTGCCAAGGGCCGCAAGATGGGTCACGTCCGATCAGCTACTGAGCCTAACGCCGGTCTACCTAAGACCGATGACAACTCAGTCTCAGTGTCAGAGGAGGAGACTGATGAGGATTTGCTTAAGAAGCCTCAAATGGTGCGAAAGAAGTCTGGTGAGCTTGTCCGACCTGCACTCCGTCCTTCATCGCGCCGCCGCCCCTCAAGTATGCCCGGTACCCCCATCTTCTCTAAGGCTGTCCACTTCGATTCACATCTTGAGCACGTCCGACACTTTCTGCAGGTGGACCGACCTCTCGCTGTGAGTGCTGGCTCTTCTCCTATTGATGCCTATGAGAGTGACACCGAGTATCCCTTCCCTGGCAACGGCAAGCAGACTGCCCGCACCCCTCCTTTCGAGTGGGAGATCCTCACTACAAACTTCCCTCATGACTCTGTGGTGCGTAAGTCGCTGCCCGTCCGGTTAGAAAAGCTGTGGCTCTCGGCCGACCAAAAGACCCTTTTGGGTTCTGTGGCTGTCGCCAACCTCGCATTCAACAAGGCCGTTACGTGTCGTTTCACCCTGGACTACTGGAAGACCACCTCGGAGGTTGCCGCTGACTACAGCCACGAAATCCGCCCACGGGAAACCCCACTTGGACATGACCGCTTTACCTTTTCCATCAAGCTCGCTGATACAGCCAACCTCGAGTCCAAGACCCTCTTCCTCTGTGTTCGCTACACCGTTAACGGAACAGAGTACTGGGACAACAATGCCAACTCTAACTTCCAGATCGACTTCCGAAAGAAGCATCTGCCCATGAACGGCAAGAACAACTTCCAGGGCGCTTCTTCTCGACCGGCTAATGGCCTCCCCCGGAGCAGCCGACGCACCGGCAGCGCCAACCAGCCCCGACCCAAGTCGATGCCCGTCGGCTTCGGCGACTTCAGCGATGATGCAAAGATCACCTTTGATCAGCCCATCCACGAGTATCTCGGCGAGTCTGAGAACAGCACCGGCGGCCTCCGTCTCAAGTCCAAGTCTACTGGAAACCTGGCTAGTGATAACATCTCCAAGGACTTCGGCTCACCTAGCGGTGTTGCCTTCTCTAACCGATACGACTTTGGTGCCTCTTTGAGCGCTGCCGTTCAGGCTGCCAAGGACAAAGAGACCTCTCAGGAGAAGGATGGACTTTACATGAAGGCCAACGTCCGGAGTTCCAAGCCCGCCCTTGCTGTCCCCGAACCGGTCAACAATGTCAAGAGCCAGGCCACGGCCCCCGGAGCTACTTCTCCCAACTCAACTATTTCCAGCTCCTCATACGAAGAGCTGGTTAATAAGTACTGCTTTGTACGTTCCCCTGAAGTCCGCCCTTCACCCATAGCTTCTGGTCCCCGTCGCCGTCCCCTTGGTCTCCCGAATCGTATCATCATTCCTTCCAGCCAATGGGATGGCACGGCAACCCAGAAGCAAAATGAGAGAGTTGGTTACTGACAGATATCGGTGTTGCAGTTTGGATCAAAACAGTCGAGTCCTGACATGAAGGATGGTACACTCAGTGGTGCCCGCTTCGACAGGGCTACCGGTGGTAACAACCACCGACGCAGCCACACCACCTCTCTGGGAAGCCCGATCGGACATGTCCAACACGCCGGTCATGCAGCTCATCACAGCCTGTTGCACGGCGCCTTTACTCCCCCGTCCGGCGCTTCAACACCCAAAGATGCCTTTCTTGCAAACAGCACATCGCCCTCTCCGAGACCTTCTGCCACGGCGAGGTCCGCCTCTCCCGCCTTTATGACGTTTGATGGTACACCGTCAAACGATCTGTCCTACCATGTTCAACAACAAATAATGGATCGGTTCCCTTGGTCGGGCGATGGGCATGCTGCTACGGCGATCCGAGGATAGAATCGTACCGGCGACCGTGGGATGAGGTTGGATTGTTAATGACCGACCAGCAACACGACATCAAGAACAACCGAAGACTGCATTGCTATCTTGATATCATTTCATAACTGGCTTTTACACACAATAGGGTTCAAGGCAACAGCATCAACTGTCGCCGCCCTAGTATCATAACTCTACTCCTGGCTGTTTGATCCGAAACAGCTCAGCCCTTTGGTCCATCACGGACCACTGTGGAATGCTTTTACGGCTTATAGCCACAACTGTTTGGCGTTTACGGTACTGGACTTGTGCAAGCCTGGCATGGCGAGCCGGGCATCCGCATTGGAGTTTGGGAGCCATCGATTACCTGCGAGTCTTGCTTTTTCTCGTTGCCCTTGCGGAATATCACCCGCTTCTGTTTTACCTTGTTTTTAATCTCCTGATCATCCTGGTCATTATCCGCCCACCGTTTGGCCCTCGAAGTTGGCTGCTCTCCGTTGAACGGACAGAGGCATGCTCTAATGTGGCTTCCGAGTGTGTCAAATGGAGGGAAGGGCCTTGCTTGTTTTACGTTTATGTGGAAGCTGAGAGCGAAAGCCTGGTTTTACGCGTGTCACGATGTCTCCGAGAGAGCGTTCCTTTGCGCCTACAACGATGACTTTGATCGATTGCGAAAGACTGTACGATGGCGCAGGGGAATGGATTTGGGAATGGGTTCAAAAGTTTGCTTCCGCTAAAAGGAAGGCAATGTATTGTGTTCGTGTTTGGAAGGAGGAGTTGGTCATAACAGATATACATTATACTATACACAGAGCTGCCAGAATGCGATGCAGGTACAGCTTAAGAGAATCAATTATCCTCTAAATATGAGTTTCCGTGTTTTAATTGTGATTTGTGATGATCTATCTTGTCTTTGGGGGTTAGCGGGCCGAGGTGAAGTAATTGAAGCACTCTTTCTGTGGATTAGAGTGAGTGCAGCTCATACTCGTGAACTGATGATATTTTACCCGAACATATTGTCGATACAGTAATAAGCAAATTTATATGGTTTGTTGGCGAAAGAACTCCGTCTTTGTTTGGTATCTGAAGGATCACCATGCTTGCAGGGCGTTCAAATACCGACAAACCCGTTGGTCTGTAGTTAGCCACCAGCAATCAATCTCATCCTTTGTTAAGCCTTGCCACCCCATGGCCCCGTCCCTAGCATAAAAGCTATGCGCAAACATGTAAACGAGCCAAGAAATGTCCGTGAACAAGTGGCTATGGTATAGACGGTCGTCTCCCGTTGTTTGTTCTGCCCTAAGCCCTTACACTCTAACTTAAAAGCTGGATGCTGATTGGCTGAGTCGCCAAACAAGGGTGATGAGGTACGCGGACGACAATATTGAAGGGGTCTTCACTGGGGACTATTGACATGTTTCATCACAAGCTTTCGTCTGAGCCTCATGAGGTGTAATCTTTGGCGAGATGATGATGAATCCTTTAAGGCATCTAAACGGGGGAGAGGGGAGATATAAGGATGCTGTATTGCTGGTTGTTGGAGTGTTGTACTTCAGCTCACTCAGACTTCCTCGTACTATCTTGTTTGCTTCTAGTTCACTATGAGATCTGTAAAGAGCCTTATTACCCTTTGTGGGGCTTTAGTAGCTGCCCAGAAGTTTCCGGCAACCCCAGAAGGTCTTGAGATCGTCTCTTCGAAGCTGTTCAAGGGAGCAGAGATTTCTTACAAAGAGGTGACCAAGTTCTTAGTTTCCACTGATCTTGAGTGTCTTGCTAACTTATACTCAAACAGACATCTATATGTGAGACCACCGAAGGCATTCGTGCTTATAGCGGCTATGTGGCGTTGCCTAAGACTCTCCTCCCCGACTTTCGAGATTGGGACGATGATAAAGCTGCTCATCTCTTCTTCTGGTACTTTGGTACGATACCATGTCAAAAAATATCCTTGACAGTTACTAACTCATACTTTAGAGGCCAGAAATAATCCCTCCACAGCCCCAACGTCAATCTACCTCGGCGGCGGCCCTGGCGCAACCTCGTTCGATAACACAAATGGCTTCCCCTGCATTGTGAACCCAGACTCCAATTCAACGACCCTCAACAGTCTCTCATGGAACAAACACGTCAACATGCTCTACATCGACCAGCCTCTCGGCACGGGCTTCTCATATGTATCTCTGCTCAATGGCTCCTTCGATGTGCTGACACAGACGTTCACGCCTGGGGATGTTCCTGAGACCAATGCGACTTTCTTGCAGGCAACTCTTGACTCTGGTGAGATGGAGACGGTTCCGAGGACGACTATGAGTGGTGCTCGGACGTTGTGGGCTTTTGCGCAGGTTTGGTTCAACGAGTGAGTAGCATCGGGCTTGTGGCTTCGCATCACTGACAAGTATAGGTTTCCTAAATGGCAGACGAAGAATAGTGATATTTCTCTCTGGACATCATCAGTAAGTCCGTACCATAACCTCACACTTTCCTGGCTAACGACGCTCAAGTACGGCGGCTTCTATGGCCCAAACTACTTCTCCTACTTCCAAGACCAAAACACCCTTGTATCCAACGGACACCCGACCTTCGAAAACGCCACGGTTCTCAATCTCGCTACCCTTGGTCTTCTTGAACCCGCCATCGACGGCCGCGCGCTGGCAAAAGGCTACCCGCAGTTCGGTCACCACAATACTTATGGTCTTCAAATATTCGACGATAAGACTTACGAGTCTATGCTTGAGAAGATAGAAGAGCCTAAGACGGGGTGCTATGCTTTGATCGATACGTGTCGTGCGCTGGCGAAGCAGGGTGATCCAGAGCGGTTTGGGAATAACAAGACGGTTAATGCGGCTTGTGCGGCTGCTACGAAGCTCTGCTTTGTTGATATTCAGGGCACTTATGGGGCTCTATCTGATGTGAGTAAATCTTCGTACCAATGGCTCATCTTACTGACAGCTTTATGCAGCGATCTCCTTTTGACATCACGCACTCGAACCTCACCCTGTTTCCTAAGCCTTACATCCAGGATTTCTTCAACCAGCGCTGGGTCCAGCAAGAGCTTGGCGTACCTCTAAACTTCACAACTGGCTTTAACAAGATTACGCAGGTCTGGCTCGGTGAGGTGGGTGATGTTATGGTTGGGAGTCTTGAGGCGCTGGAGAAGGTTATCGAGAGAGGAGTGAACGTGGCTCTGATGTATGGCGATCGCGACTACCGGTGTCCTTGTGAGTACCGTTTGGCTAACCCTTCACTTTTTGGATTATTGCTAATACATATCAGGGTACGGCGGTGAGAACATCAGCCTCTCACTAAGCACACCTTCGTCTCCCACCTTTCGCAAAGCAGGCTATGCCTCCATCAAGACGAACTGCTCTTCCGCAGCTGGTTTCGTCCGCGAACACGGCCCGGTATCCTTCTCTCGCATCTTCCAATCAGGCCATGGCGTAGCAGCCTACCAACCCGAGCTCTTGAGCACGATCTTCGAGCGTGTCATGTTCAGGCGAGATCTGGCGACTGGAAAGGTTGATCTGAGGAAGAATAAGAAGTACAAGACGAAGGGGCCTAAAAGCGTGGCGGGTGTGAAGAATAAGGTTCCTGAGACAATTAAGAATACCTGCTTTGTTAGGACGCCCGGGATAAGCTGTACGGATGAGCAGTTGGAGGCGTTGGCGAAGGGAGATGCTGTTGTGGAGGACTGGGTTGTTGTTGAGCCGAAGGGGAAGAAGCCTGCGCCTATTGAGGGCTCCAAGAGACGTTTTGTATAGATCACTCTTTAAGAGAGTCTCTCGGGATTCTTATTATTATTTCCACTGTTGGAGTATACTTCATTTCTTGTTAGAACTATCTTATTCACTCACATTGTTTATCCTCTAGACATGCCAACAACTTTCACTTACACTGACTGACTCACTAAAGTGGATCACTGCTGCTGACGTCACATGCCAACTCAGCTGTGCCAGCTCAGCTCAAGCTCCATCTCAGCCCAACTGCCCGACATAACCAAAATAACCTTAACTTTTTAGCTTTCCCCTATCTACAAAAACCACCGAATTCCTCCCTGATACAGCTCTCGACCATGTCTTCTCGAGGCGTTCCAGAAGTCCTCTTCAAAAAGGTGGACGAGTACGTCGACTCTCTCGCCCCTCAGATCCAACCCCGCATCACCTCCGAGCTCGAAACCTTTCAGCAAAAGACCATCGACAGCCTGGAGGATAAGGTCGTCGACGCCTTCCGCTCGCTCTTCAACAAAGACAAGGATTCTTCTTCGGGTTCGAGGGGCTTGGATGACTCGGCGCCCGATGCTTACGGTGGCCAGTCGTTGCCGTTTGCGGACGAGATTGCAAAGTTGACCAGGAGCTTTACGAATATTACTGATGAGGCAAGCGATGACCTGCGCGACATTTTCGATATAACCGAGGGACGAAGCGGTGGTGGACAGACTGATACAAGGGCTCTTGGGGGAGACTCTTCCCGTGGTGGTGGAGCAAAGGGTTTCCTATCGTTTGCCATCGACGCCGTCCAGGACCATCTCGAGAACAACAATGGCAAAGGCGGAGGCGGAGGTCAAGGCTTCGAACTCGACGGTCTTCTCGGCATCATCAGCGGCACCGTGAAAGATGCAGCTCGCAACCCCGAAGAAAAAGCCCGCATGATCAGCCCCGAGATCAAGGAGCAGGTCGGCGCAAAACTCCGCGAACAACACGCCCCCATCGCCGAACAATTCACCCGCATCGCTCTCGACCACATCAAGCGCTGGCTTCGAGGAAACACGAGTACAAAGGATCTGGGAGACGGTGTCAAGGGCGAGATCGAGGACCAGGTAAAGGATCTTGTCAAGGGAATTGGTGGCCTCTTTGGGAACAAGAAGCAGTCCAGTGTGGGATCTGCAAGAGGGTTTGGTGATCAAGATCGTGACCGAGCTGACGGTGATGGAGAAAGTGGTGGCTTTTCAAAGGTCATCAGTGATAAACTAAGCACAGGTATCGCACGAGTCCACAGAGAAGTCCGTCTCGAATTCCGCAAGATCCTCGGTGGTATCGAGAAGCAACTCTTCGAACTGCTCCCCGACCAATTCCAACGTCCTCTCGAAAAGATCCTCGGCGGCAACCCCTTCGACGCACAACTCGACCGCGACGCCGGCCCAGGCCATTCAGCAGATCGTGGTTTCGGCGACGATATCAAGGCCAAGCTGGTCAACAAGATCCGCGGCCTTGTTCGAAAGGTCCAGGAGACGCTGCGCGAAAGCATCCTGGGCGTCGTCAACGGAGGACATCGCAAGTTTGAGCGCGAGAGCTGGGTGTTTGTGCAGAAGACGGTGGAACAGAAGGTGCAGAAGTATCTGCCCAAGGTCAAGATCACTGTGCCTGATGATATCGGGAATGAGGGCGTCAGTGTCGGTGCGCCTACGGGGGCGCATCTCGGTGGCTCGAACCAGCCTGTGCCGGCTTCACAGGGTGGCCACTCGGGGCAGGGAGGATACGCGCCTCCGCCTCAGCAGGGACAGGATTACCAGCAGCCGTATAATCCCCCTCCACAGTTCCAGCACGACTCCCGGCCGGATCAACAGCAGAGTCAGGATTACAGACCTCAGGGTCACGATGATTACAGACCGCAAGGACACCAGGAGTATCGCCCACCACAGGGGCAGTCTCACCAAGAGTACAGGCCGCAGCAAGAGGGATATCGACCGGATGAGTACAGGCCTCAGCAGCATCAGCAGCATCAGCAGCACCAAGAGTACCATCCTGATCAATACCCCCCGCCGCCGTCGGGTCACTCTGGTGGCTACCAGCAGAATCAGGGTTACCAGCAAGACCAAGGGCACCAACAGAACGAAGGGTACGGACAGAACCAAGGGTATGGACAAGGCCAGAGCTATGGAAACAACCCTCGCTACTAAGAGGGATATTGGTGCCATGCACCCGGGTTCGTGATGCCCTCTTTCAATAGGCGTGCAGTACAAAACGGCAGGTGATGTTACAAACTATGGCATATTACACAGCGAGCTCAGTTGAGAAGGAATCCTGAGCCGGCCTAGGTAGAGATATGATAGGTTGACGAATTTACGACCACTTCATCTCTAACGACACATTCATGCTTGTGGCTCTCTTCCTTCTGTGTCGTTGCACTGATACTTGGACATTGCCTCTTCATATCGAGCACCGCCTCGTGTGGTCGAGCTGTTTTGCTTACTGATAAGAATCTAGGATATCTACCTTTGCGATACCGGGGCCTCGGATAGCCATCACGCAGATCCAACAGTCCATGTCGTGATGCATCACATCATGCGAATCTTGCTAATCATCTACAATACACCCCCTTACAAACATCCACAACACTCCAGGGTCCAGCTCCTAGTCTCCGTCAGGGTCCAGCATTCAAAGTCCAGCAAGGGTCCAGTCCCACCAGGTGAGACTTTCTCTTCAACAACGTACGGATATACACTACTCCTCTGCATGCATGCCTGCAAGACCACAGGACCCTGCATCGCGAAGATCTCTGCCACCTGCCAGTCCGGAATCTTGGGAGACCCCATGTCACATGGTTCTCCCGGCGCTTCGGAAACTTTGGCTTGGCCGGGTGGTCTGATCGTGTATTACGTAGGCGAAAACAAAAATATTTCGACGGATATGATATGATGCCGCCACGTGCAGGGTCGTTTCGTCACAACGGTACGATAAACTAGATGGTTCTTTAACCTCGGTAGCGGGAAGCTAAGGATCTTGTTTCGTATAGGTTATGATCTGATCGGCCTGGACCTGGGTGATAGACTCACGCCTGAGGGAAGCGCGGATAAGAGAAGGATGCAGTCTAACGGTTCTACTAGATTCACGGCATGTTCGGTATGCCAAAGTGAATTCTCGTCTAGCAGGGGTTTTGAACATAGATCCCTGGGATGGTTGGAAGGGGTGAGCATTAAGGGATCTTTGGGGGTGGAGGGAAGAGACAACGTTTGGCATTACAGACTCATGTGCGAGAGGATCTTATCATATTATTGAGGTTCGTTGATTCCGGGCAAGCCGCGATGTTGTGAAGTGTTTGAAGTGGAAGAGCGGAAGATGGCGATGCAGAGACATGATAGAGACAATGAAGTGCTGAGATGTCACTGATTACACGGTATAGTTACTGTGTTATTTCCGGGCCTGTCTACCTTTGATCGTAGCAACACATTTCGTCTTCAGAATCTAAACATATCCTCAAGATAGAGTGGTGTACAGCAGTCGTTTGCTCGTCGTGATACAGCCAGCTAACAAAGCTATCATGAGACACAACACAACCAAGACCCCAAACTATCATCCATAGATCACGCTCAAAGAGCAATTAACATTAATTGTAAACACCATCACCTTCACCTCATATCCAACATCATCTAGCAACCCACAACCCTCCATTCCCATAAACCTGATCTCTCATAACCCCGCCCTCACTCCTCATCCCAACCCAATGCTTCGGTATCCTATCCATCCCGCTTTGCACCGCCCCCGTCACCTCTCCCAGCCTCTCCGAGAAGCTCCTCTCGCTGCGTAGCGCCCGAACTGCTGACGCCGAAACCTCCGGGCCCCAGTTCTCTCGCGCCAGACTCGCCGTCGTGGTCATCACGTCCCGCGCGTGCTCCGATATGATACCCTCGCTGTCGAGCTCCGGCGTCCACGCGTGGAGATAGCCCATTAGCATAACCTTCACTCGTGTTTCGAAAAAGGTCACGTCGAAGTCGTGGATGAAGTGCACGGCTACTTTGTTTCGTTGGACGACGCCGGGTTGTGCGTGGCGGAGAGGCGCGATGGTCACGATGGCTTCGTGCCAGTCGTCGTCGAGGTCTTCTGTTTCTTGAACTGGGACGAGACGTGCCCATGCTGCAAAGACTCCTCCCATACGCATCTTGACATCGTCTCCCACATCGCTCAGATTCGCCGTTGGTATTCCAAGTTCCCTCGTCGATATCCCCGTTCCACGAACAACCCTCCCAGCAAACTTGAACGGGAACGGTGCCTCGGGACCTTCATCGTTGCCGATAACTGTCAACGGCTCATCGAGTGCTCCGCCGGGCATCAACGGGTCATATCGTCCAGTCTTTCCATTCTTCCAGCTCTCATGAACGGCATCTTTTAATCCCGATTTTTGATACGCCTTAGTCGCAACTTTCTTAAGCGCTGCATTCGGCGCAAGTCGCTTGCTTCCCTGCTCAACCACCATGCCCGCTACACCGGTGTACTTCTTGGCAACTTGCTGCCCGATAGTGCTCGCGACCTTAATGCCCATCTCCAGCGGCATGGTGCTCAGACTGGAGCCTCGAACAATGCTGGCGTCGGTGGATGTACTCGCTATGCGAAACACGGGACTGCCGCAGAGCACCTTCTTGCCATCTTCACCACTGCAGAGGACAAGGCGGAAATATCCATCCGTTGCAGCCGCGGGGATACGCACAACGTGAGTCTCGCGCGGAAGATGCTTCTTCAAGCGCCCTGAGGCCTTTTTGACAAATCGCTTGAAGTCTCGCTGGATACCACGCTCTTCAGCTTCGGCGAGGTGTTCAACGCTGGCCTTGGTGGCAGGTGTGACATCAAGCCAGTTCCCATTCGTGCCCACCATGGCTTTGAGAGTCATGCCCATGTTCCCTGAGAAGCCTTTCTGCTGCAGCCACACAGTCCGTGTAGGGGGTAGGGGTTCATCTGAGAGGATGGTGATGGGGACAGAGGTCTCAGGACCGCGATACCAGACCAGAGCGTGGGAATGCCGTATGATGCTGAAATGCTTTGTCGATTCAATAGGGTGGCTGATAAGTCCCCCAGCAAAATACTGCGCCTCTCCCAACGCACTTTTCCACTTGGACTCATCCTTCGGTTTGTCCTCCTGCGTCGACAGCGCAACTGACAGAGCCGACGAGCTCTTGACCCGTCTAATCTCATGCGCGGGCTGCGGGCTCAACGACGTTGGACTGGGGATCTCATCCACGACAAAGTCAACCTGCAGCTTGCCCCTAGGATCCAAAAAGCCCGACTGCTGCGGCGCGTGGGCACCGGTGAGATTCGTCGCCGAGCGGACGGGCCGAAGAGGCCGCTGCGGAGGGGCCAGGCCTGGCGCGCCGGAGCCGGAGCCGAATTCCGGCCGGTAGGGGGTGTATGCCGGAGGCGGACCGGGAGACGGCGGTGCCACGGGTCTCCGCTGGAAATGGGGGTCGGAGAACTTCTCCATTTCTGAGGGCGATGCGGGGAAGTAAGGATTCATTTTGGTTTCTCCTGCTGTCATTGAATTGTTGGAAAGAAGAATTATCAAGGGAGAGGCATCCAAAATCAGATGAATACGCGTTCGGTGGCCAAGAAATTGCACCGTGTGGGTGATCAGGGGGTGGAATTTCACACAGTATTCCGACAAAGAGCGTCTCCTTTGAGTGTCTCACAAGACCAAGACTGTTTGAGTTGCAGGCATGAGATATTAAAGGCTTATTTATAGAAACCTTCCATTCATCTATTCTCGTGGCTTGTCTTTCATTACACTTCGACTTTTGCTGAGATATAGTATTGGCTCAACCCCCTCACTTTAACTTCCAGAAACCAAAGCCTCCATCTCATCCGCCTCTCTGGGAACATCTGTCAGGTTCTCATGACCGTCCTCAGTGATAAGAATGTTGTCCTCGATACTGCCAAGCACGGTTAGCAAATTGCTTCAATAGCGCGACGGTGGTCACCAAAACTTACCGGACTCCACCAACATCCCAGTACTTTTCCAGAACATCCTTATCGATGAATTTGCTGTGCGCAGGGTCTTCGAGATACGGATCGATAATAAACTTGCAGAAGTAGATCTGCCAGGGTTAGTCGCCGTGCTAATAAACTTTACTTGTACAACTTACACCAGGCTCAACTGTGACAACGCTGCCGCTGGGAATGTTGCCTCGCACGCGCAGGTATCGGAACATCTTATCCTTGTCGGCAAAGTTGGGGTTACCTCCTGTGTCGTGAGTGTCCATACCGAGGTAGTGGCCCAGGCCGTGAGGGAGGAAAGCAGCGCTGGTGCGAGCCTTGAGGATCTCGTCCTTGTCGCCCTTGAGAACACCAGCCTCGAGCAGACCGTCAATGGCAATCTTGTGGGCAAGAAGATGAACATCATCCCAGAGGACGCCCGCCTTGAGGACTTGTATGCACTCTTTTTGCATCTTGAGGACAGTCTCGTAAATGTGACGGGATTCCTTAGTGAACTTGCCTGATAGAGGGAATGTTCGTGTCTTACTATGTCAGCTACGTCGAAGGCCAGAGAAAATGCGTACTCACAATATCAGCGGCGTAGTTGTTCCACTCGCCACCGGCATCCATCAACAAGTTGAGCTTGCCCTCCAGAGGAGCGTTGTTTCCGACGTAGTGCAGGGTCGCAGCAGCCCTTCCAGAGGCAGCAATGGGGTCGTAGGACATCTTCTTGATTCCGTGGGTCACACATCGCTCAAAGAAAGCAGCCTCGAACTCTTGCTCGTTCTTGGCAGTCTTTGCCCTGGCGAAAACAGCGCGATGTCCAATGCCGGAGATATAGTTGGCCTTTCGAAGCATGGCAACCTCGAACTCGTCCTTGACCACTCGGGAGACCTCGATGGCATTCTTCAAGACGTCGAAGTTCTTCTTGTCAAATTCGATGAAGGAGACATGGTCCGAGACTTGTTTCGCGATGGCAAAGGCTGAGGACTTGGGGTTGGCGGCTCCAAGGTGCGCTAGGGTAGCGTTGAGCTCGGTGGTCAGCTTGACCTCGTCGACGTCGTACTGCGCGAGGGCTTCGTCGATGCTAACGGGGAGGCCGGACCAGATAACGTCGTCGGGGTTGATGGGAGGAATGAAGAGGATCGACTTTGAGGATTGGATGTCGTAGATGAAGTGGCTATCGGGGAGGTTGCAGCCGGTGAGGTAGTAAAAGTATCGGCGCTGGCTGTGGAAGAGGATTAGAAGGTGTCGCACAGATAAGGTGAGCCTACTCACCGGAACGGCTCAGGCTCGTCGCTATCCTCCATCATCTTGGTCATTTGACTCTCGAGGTAGATAATACCATTGGCGTCAGGGACATCTTTGCGGATAAGGTCGACGACGCGCTTGGCATGGGCTTTGCCTGGGTATTTGCCCTTGAGGACAGCCTCGTAGTTTTCGGCGACCATGTTGGAGGGAGTCGAGATCGCTCTAGAGCTTGTAAAGCGGTGTTGTCTCGGCGGATACGATAATGAAGCTCGCGCAGGATACGAGCGAGTTTCGGCGATCGGATTGGTGTTGAGTTTGAGCGTTTGTCGTGTTGATCTCAAAGCCGTTGCAAAGAATGGTCTTGTCTGGGAACAAAATCGAGGACAAAGGTGGGATGTGGACAACCCCGCTATGGACATGGACCTCGGAGTCTTGGATATGACGGAAGCCATTCACAGATTAGGAAGCTCCCAAGATTTCAGTGGTTTCAGTGGCTGCATTCACTAATCGCCTGCCCGTTACAGGTGCGATTTAAGGGTCTTGCAGTGGAGGAAGTGGGGGGTTTGGCGTCCAGTCGGTTGTCAACGGCTTGTGCGGGTTAAAACAGTGTAGAAATTCGTAAATGGGCTGACGTGGGAAAGATTCTATCCGTATCGTGGCTCGACTTTGACGGATCAACAAACGGTCCGATTTATTCTGATAGTTGAAGGTTTTGGCAATGAGACCCAGATAACGAAAGAATTACATGAAATATATTAACAGCTGCAAGCTATGTGTCAATGCCGTATATATCCGGCTATATCAAACTCGTCAACAAAAGAATCATCTATATTAAACCCCTTTTTACATTTTCCTACTCAGAAAGAAAGTCGAAAATGGCATCGTATGTAAGAGTATGTGAGTATCCAAAGTTCAATCCATGGCCCGCGCCAGGAATAACAGTCGTGTTAAATCGCGAAGCCTTTGTGAAGAAATTCCTTGACAGGTCGAGCAGCGAAGGAAGTTCTACGCCTGCGCTTACAGTTGAGTAGCAGTTGTCGCCGCAGAAGGGAACATCGCGCTCTATCTTGCTGTTAGTAACTGTTACAGGCCCGACTTGGACAATTGACTTACCGCCGGTTACGATCTGGACAGGGCCAGTGTAAGAGTTGTTCTTCCCCGCTGGTGCACCTATCGTGAGAAGCTCACCGGGTGTCACAGGCTGGGCAGTCTGGTATGCCACGTCCAGCAGTTGAGGATCGAAATCACCCTCGGCAAAGAAGTTGATCTGTACACCCACCGTAGACGCTGTGGCAATGTACCCAGCGGGATACTGGGCTGCAAGAGGTGTGTCGGTAATGGGGATGAAGTTGTTGCTGAGTATGAATAGAGACATGTAGGCAGGAGACTGTGAGAAACCCGTCAGGACGATGGCGTCGGTGAGCTCAGGGCTTTCGTTGGCGAGGGCGTAGCTAATCACTGAACCGAACGAATGGCCGATGTGAATGGTCTTGGAGTATGGGTTGCTGACGCCTGGGAGAGTGCCTTCACGGGCCTTGGTGGTGAGTGCCTTGAGGGCAGCAATCTCAATGAAAGATTGGATCTCGCTCAGAGGATCACCCTTGGAAGAAGCACCGACACCAAGTCGATCCCAGGTGAGGGTTGAGTAGCCGTGCTCATCGACTGCTCGCGCGACGTAACTGTAGTTGTATCCGTTGTAGGGATAGTCCCAGTAACTTCGATCGAATCCGATACCGTGTGTCATGATCTGCAGCTGCTCTCCGGGGCCAGCATCCGGCTCGCAGTATGTAGCGGCGAGTTCATAGCAGCCTGTGATATTCTTGAACTGCTGTGTGTAAGCCTTTGTCTTGTAGGTACGATATCATTGTACTTACACCCTTCTGCACTTGCTTGACGAAGGGAGGATCCTGTCGAGCAAGATTGACGGCGAAGCTTGTGACGTCAATCTTGGTCAAGGGTGTCTCGAAGTCAAAGACGGCATTTTCAGAAGCGAGAGACACAGGCACAGTGATGTTTGTGCATTTGCGTGCTGAAGCAGCAGCAGCGAGGGTAAGGAGGGCCAATGTCTTGATCATGATGACGATATGGTCTTCTTTGGGGTGATCTTCAGGGTATGAGACTCAATTAAAATAAGCAAAGACATGGAGAGACACTTTGGAGTAAGTGATGATATCAACACTTTATATACAAGGCAGCATCACTCTCTCAATGTCTCAATGACAAATTACCCGTCTATCCGCTGACCGAGCTGCAGGTTGTAGGCTGCAGAGCTAAGCTCAATTGAAAAGAGGTGTAGTCTCCATTTTCAATAATTGCATTGTTCTCTCATCCCAGAAGCTGTCACGACTCCCCGATCTGATGACGGCTCCACCTCATCTCATCTCTTATATGCCGATGGCCATGCCCGAGCATTCTCGGCCAATGCGCATGCAGAAAAGTTACATTGTCTGCTTGGTTAAAAGAGCCAGTAGCAGTAGACGGCCCTCTCTGCTAAAGTAGTGCTGCAGTAGTCCGCGTTTGGGGTTGAGACACCAGAGCTCAAACGGAGAATTAAATAACACACGGGCCCTAAACGTGCGGGTGGCTATTGAGATCTTCGCCCGGTAGAGGCGCTTTCCGGAGACTAGAAGCTAGTGAGTGGTCTAGTCTGATCTCTTCCTGGCCATGATAATCTTGATGAGGAAAGTGGTGCATGAATTGGGGGGGGGATTGAAAGACTGCATTGCAGAAGTCTTTGACTCAAAATCCCTTGCAGAGAGTCTTGTTTTGTTGGTGTTGATGTGATTTGTTAACGGTGTGATATGTCGCTGCGGTGAGAGATCTGTGCAAGGATGTTTATTGTCATGCAGGCAGTCAGACTGCTATTTCCGACAGGTCGCCTAATGCCAGAGATGGTCTGCATTAGCAATGATGTAACGGTTCAACCATGAGGGCGTCAGCTACAAACTCAATTGACTCTGACCAACCATACGTAGTCCATCCATCACCACTTGAGATACACCATCGGAAGAATGACAAATATTGTATGATAAAGTTCCCCTCATGAATCAGCGTTTGTTCATCACAAACCGTTTTATCCAACATCCATGTCATCCCTTGCATTCATTGTGATAGACAACACAAGTCTCAACTGAGACAGACACACCGACCGGTACGGGGACTTTTCGTTCTAGCGCTGCGGTTTGTATAATTAAGACGTGCAGAAGCGGGACGGGATTTGTTCCTTTTTTTTCTCTTGCTTCTAATCTCAGACATGGCAGGGTCTGGATCGTCTAGATGCATGCATGGGCCCAAGGTTCTGTCTTGATCATCTGGGGGACTCACCTCGTATGTTTGGCCACTCATGGGATGGTGCCTAGATAGACGAACGCTCGGATGGCAAATCTTGGGGAATAGTTGATCGTTCTTGGCAAGCTGCATAATTATCCTCATGTGTTGTACAATATGTGCAGGTAGCTGAGATATCTCATAGCTGCAGGCAAACACTGAGTATCAATCAGCCTCTGACAAACAAGGCTAACACCATGAAGCCATCTGCTCATTGCTGTATTCACTATCTCAAATCTCAACCAACACATTCTAGAGCTCATCCTTCTCATCCAACTCACGCTGCAGCTGCATCGCCATCCCCAGCGCACTAAACCCACCCATATACATAGCCTGCAGGACACTCCTCATCATAGTCGCCGCATCCCCAAACGCAAAGCACCCCTTGACATTTGTCTCGTTCCACGGCGCCTCCACCTTGATGTCTCCCGTCGCCGACATCTCCAGCCCTAGCTGCTCCGCGAACGGCGCCGCCTGCACCACCTTCGGGTGGCTGACCACGAAGCCCTCCGTCTTGGAGCTGCCATCCTCGAAAGTCACCCTCACGGCGGGACCGCCCTCGACGAGTACAAAGCTAGTGATCTTGCGGCTGTCGTAGTGTACTTTGCTGCTGTGTACCTTGGCGCGCACCGCCGGGATCAGAGAGGCGTCGCCGTTGGTGTAGACCGTTACGGATTGGGAGAGGCGCTTGGCCATTGGCGTGACGTGGGCGAGCATGTCGGCGCTGGAGATGATGCCGCCTGCGAAGACGCCGACTGTCTCCGCGCCGCGTTCCTCAAAGCCATGGCAGTAGAGGCAGTGAAAACTTCCCGTGTTAGTGAGGTACGTATCCAATTGTGAAGGCATCACTTACATGCCCCGTCCCCAGCAATCGCCATAACCGTCAGGTTGATCATCAAAGATATCCCTCACGCCGGTTCCAAGACCGAGCTTCTTTCCTTGATACGTAGTACCTTGATCGTCGACAGCCTCGAAGACACCTGCGTCTGTCTTTCGAACGGTAGCTATCGTTGCGGACTTGAACTCGATGGTCTCATATCGCTTCTCAAGATCCTCTCGGGCCTTTGCGCGAAAGGCAGCAGGTTCCGCATGGTCAAACCCAACGACGTTATGCATGAATTTCGTTGGCGCATTGCGGTATACTCCCGAGTCGAGAATGAGTGCTGAGTAGACTTGCCGTGCGAGAGCTGAGGCCATGGATAGACCAGCTGGACCGCCGCCAATGATGAGAACGTCGTAGAGTTTGGATGACATGTTTGTCACTGATATTGGTGAAGTTTGTTGTACGATCGCTGTATTTACTGATCTTTTGATACCTGCTCGCTTTCACTCTTGCGGACTGCATTATATACACCTACGGAGAGAATCCATAAAGCTCCGGTCGGAGACTTTGACGATGTATCCTAACTATCCTGCGATTAGATAAAAAGTTGCCGCTGACTTCCTCAAACAGGAGATATCTTTCCGTCGAGTATTGATATCTTACGTTTATGATCATTGGCATTGGGGGAGTTGTTGTATGCTGCAATACCTAGGTAACGATTGGACGGTAGCTGGGCCAATCCATTACCCACCAAAATCTCTTGGTGAAGCTGACAGACGCAGAGTGATGAGTTAAGCCAACAACGGCAAAGATTAATTGATTGGAAAAACAGGTGCTTGAGATATTGTTTCAGGTTGTGGTGAGAAGCATGCAGAACAACATGTGTTAGTGCTTGTACCAAGTCAAGCAAGTTCAACGATATGGCCCACTACCAGCTCTACTAACTCTTCAATTACAATAACACATAACACAGAACCTGGTCCAATAGCAGTCACAGCACAATATCGTCAATCAATGGGTATAATACAGTCCCGAAGCAAGTCTGGACTCATTCATGTTCCACTATATACATTCAACCTCAGGTATAAGAATAAAAGCCCGCGTCCGGGGAATCAATAGAAGCAAAAAGCAACGCTCTACATGCTATGCAAGCAGGTTCAAGGACGCTCCCAAATAAATGGGCAGCGCCTAGCTATCGCGATGCTCAAACAATATCTGCGAGCACCAGCGACCAAGCCATCACCCTTCCACCGCCAACTCGTGAGACACTTACCGGTAGTGCTAGTTTGGTGAGGACCAGTCCGCGGTGAGGCTCTCCCACCGGTTCTTTTATTCTCAGAAATCACAGCACGGGTGTGATTTCGAGGCGGACTTGCTACGAGTCGTCTCCTAGCACTACCCAGGGCTCAGAGGTTGGCGTGGCTGCACTGTCATGGACCTCGCGCTGCGAAGGGAGGTCGTCGAGCTCACTGTCGGAGAAACAGTCGTAGTCGGAGAGCATGTCGGATACCAGATCCGGCGGTTGTGAGGTATCTACGTCGAAAGAGGGCTGTGACCCGTCGAGCTCGTATATCACGCGCAGGGGCGCGAAGGAGCGTGATGAGGGGCCGTTAGAGTCGGGCAGTGAGCCGTCGTCCGAGGGGGAGGAGCTGGAGAGGATTTGGGCGATGGTCTGGTCGCCGCCGAGGTCTGTGAAGGAGAGGTCTAGATGTAGAGGTTGATTGAAGTTGAAACTTTGGGATCGCTTGGTCTTGCGGGAGCGTTTGGCAGGGCGGATGGAGTAGATGGGTTCTTCGTGCTTGATACTGTCAAGACTGAAACCCTCGCCACGATCCTGCTCGTCGTCATACAACAGACCCATACGATATAGCTCAGCAACTTGGTCATCCTCATTCATAGGCATCTGACGTCCCAGATAGACATTCCCTCTTGCTGTGGTAGCATCGCGGAAAGCCTCCTCTCTCTCAAGCGTAGGCCTCCTCACGAGGCGAAAGCGGTCGCTGGGCAGAGGGATCTTGCTATGGGCAAGATCCCTGCCCTCAACCTCATCGGACCATCCGAGGCCAGAGGCGGGATGATGGTTCCGGGCGATGCGGTTTCGGTGAACGTTTGTCCACCGCGGATTCGCGCGCTGCAGGTTCCCTGTCGAGATCTCAAAGTGCAAGATCTGCTCGAGCTGGGGCCGGCGCGCACCTCCTGTGCTTGTATCCTGTTGACCGCAGCGGTGGCAATGCGATTCTCCCCTGTTTGACGTCGTGCATGGAAAGCCAGTATCGCGACATAGATTAGAGCCCTTGTGCTGAGACTGGCGCTTGGCTGTTGCGCGGACGAAGTGGTTGCGGGAGGTATGGGCGCGGCTCTTGACGATGCTGGGCGCGGTGATGGGAAAGTGTTTAGCTGGAAGATCCCCAGAGCTGTTGAGTAACAGATCCATGGTGAGAAGGCGATTCTGGTGGTGTCTTATACAAAGGTTTGCTGTGTTTTGTGTTACGAATCAGATGATGGGTGTTGCGTGATAGGAAGGGCGTCCACTATGGCGCAGATGAACTAGGAGTTTGCGTGCTTGTCACGAAGGGCGCGCAAGAGGGAAGAAGTCAGGGAATATGGAAGAGTTATCTGGAAGACTCGGGCTCGAGGCTGGTGGTAGTGCTGTATTAATATGGTGCTTGTATCATCTCATCCGGGGGGCGTGTTGGTGCGATATCGCCGTGATTGGTTGCCGGAGGAGTCATATGGGCTACGGATGGCGTATTAGTCCTACCCAGAGCCTAGAGGTATCTAGCCCAAGCATGTTGTATGTGTTACGGCTGTTGTCTTGGATGGGCTTAGGCCGAGGCAGCACTCACTACACCCTGATTACTTTCTATAAATGATTTGTGACATGACGTGACTCACTCTTGTTCAAATTGCTTGATCCGGGCGTTTCTCGTCCAGGCTGAGATAGCCGAAGTGGCGCAGTATGCCCTTTGTCCCCGACTCCCCCGTCTTTCGTTGCGACAAAGGCCTGTGTCTGGACTAGTTTGTAGGCGTCAACGAATGGCACAAATGCTCTTTACACCCACGGGCGATAAGCAGGTGTCGCATTGTTGGGGAAATGCCTTATCAGCGAGGCATAGGACGAAGCGCATGATGTGGCCATCATTGACGGATATGAACTGGGATTGTTTAAAACGTTGGAATATGACAGCATGTAGACTCTATATGGAGTTTTGTTCAGAATTAACTATTCCTTACTACACTTCCCTTCATCGCAATTACAAAGGTATGGATTTGGAATTCGGATAGAGACGGCGATGCTAACCTGCATGTTCAACCCCAAGACGAGATATCCAGGAGGGTGGCTCTGGCAGGCAACGTCCTTGTGACTGTCCAAGCAAGACACTCTGATTGGATACTAAACACGGGGTTCTAGCGTTGACTGGAGTGGCTCACGCGCCCAGGCCCATGCCATGATAAGCAACAAGGAGAGGGTGTCGTCATCTCCACAGGTAAGCATTCAAGTATCCGCGCAGACCACAGAGTACTCCGCCTTACATCTACAGTGCGTTGATACCTAGAGCTGCCTAGAACAAAGGGCAAGGTTCTTTCAGCCCTGCTGACCTGCCAACCGAGACATGGATAATGACAAGAAAATATGCCTGGCAAAACCTGAGCAGAGTTGGCCTCTGAAACGGGAGCGCATGAATGACGATGTATTCGCTATCGCTATTGGTGCAAGACGCTGCGTGACGCCTTGGGTGTTTGATCGTCCTAGAGTCTGTTTTCGGCACTTTGCCGATGGTGCAGAAGTTGGCTCGACCAACGGTTTACCTGGGATAAGATCACGGTGCTAGATAAGACGGTGTTAAGGCAACTGATATTCTGCTGATAAGGAATTCCCCAATGAGGTAATCCCGATAACACCCCGGATGCTTCGGCGACGGTTGCGGCTGTCCGACCGGGCAGTCCCGCCGAGACACGGGCGGCTTCTCGGCTTGGTGGAGTATTCAATATTTCTATCTCCATTCCGAAAGACAACTTCTCTGCAATCCAAACACTTTCAACGCATTATGGAATATCAACGGCAGATAATGGTACAAATGGTATTCAATATCAATATGCAAAACTAAATGAACTATCACATTAACCACAGGATAACACAACCGTGTAACATCGGCTTCGCAGATAACCACCAATAATCATTACCAATTCACTCATCTGACTCCCCAAGCTTCACATCCAATCCCTCAAGATACCCTCTTACATCCATCATCTCGATCCCCCGCTCTGCATTAACCGTCCCCTCTTTATCCCACGCAACCCCGCGTCCTTGCGCAAACGTATCTCTATACTTGACCATCATGCTGGGGCCCTGCTCCAGCTGCCTCTTCAGCTCTTCTGCATCCCACACCTCTCGCTTGAACTGCGTATGGAAGTGCTCGTCCAGTAGCGAGGCTAGCGCGCCGTAGGAAATAGTGTCGCCGGCTGTGAAGACAACTTGCTTTGATATGCCCCGCGGATCGAGCACCACGTCCGCCGTCACGCGTCCAATGTCTTCTGGAGTCGTGACCGTGATCTTATTCTCCCAGCTCCCCAACGCTCTCACAGTCTTACTTCCAAAATCAACAACGCCAAAGTCTGCTAGGAACAGGAAACTCATAAACAGCCCCGTAGACACAATCGTCCAGTCAACTTCGTCCTGCGCCCTTAGTCGCTTCCGCACTGCTAACTGCTCGTCAAACAGGTCCTGCGAGCTCCCCTGCCCAATGACGTCGTAGTCCATACCGAATTGCCAGGGGATGAATCGCTTGACTTTAGCCTGCAGCACAGCTTCCAGAAGCTTGAGCTGCGTTCCTGCTGGGAGCCCCATGCCGTTGCACGAGATGACAATGTCGTACCTTGAAAACACGGCTGCCAGGTCCGCCACGCTGGCGTCTACGACATCGGCTGCTTCAGCCTTGACGCCGAGGGACTGAATGCGCTGGACTAGCTTCTTCTTCTCAGGCGCGGCAGAGTCGAGCGTCGCCTGGCGTACGAGAACTGAGACGCGCTGGCGCTTGGGGTGACTGGCCAGCGCCTCCAGGACGCAGAGGCCAAGTTCCCCGGCGCCGAGGACGAGGATATTTTGGGGGGCCATTGTCTTTGCCGTGGATGAGTCGTTGAGCCGGTTGAGGGCTCGAAGGTTCTCGATTGATAGTTCAAGAGGCGTTTCTTGGTCTTGAGACGTCATGATGAGGGAGCGGTACGTGGTATTTAGGCTATGGCTTATTTGTGATTTATCATGACATAAAACGGTTGACACTCACGGATATGATGACAATAGGGTTCGGATCTGCATCTTGGCGGATCCTTTGTTTGGAGGAGCCTTGTTAGTGGACGAATAAGCTTAACATCATGTAAGCTGCCCTGGGCAATGCTTTATCTCCGTGTCAGTTGACACAAACTCCGCGAATTCATGAAACTATTCCCTGTTACATATTTCTCTCGAAGGATCAGATTACATGATCCAAGTCAAAGTCGTCAAACTAAATCACGGCAAACAAGAAGACGGGCCCACATAACAAAGCTCCGGGTCAACAATGCCTAGGCATTTATGAATTCCAACGTCAAGCCATTTCTAAGCCATATTTAGACCAAGGGCAAGCATGACTGGGGCGGAGTTTTTTTTTTTTTAACAAAAGTCTAATTGCATATATTTCATTTCTACCCGGTATACCAAGAAATGTGAAAACAGGACGAAAATGGCCTGGTCTGGCTATTAAACTTTCAACTATGGTAAAGCCTGGCACCGGTGACCAGGTCATCATGTCCAACAATAACGCCCACGCTTCCCAATGCAAACAAAATGATGATTCAAAGGGCCTAAGGAAAAAAGAGCTTTTCTAGCTAGTGAGTGAATGTGTTTAGGGTTTAACGACATTTTTGTTGGCAAATCCAACTCGTTGACCCTTGAGGTCGAACACGACAAATTGTGCCTTGAGGAGAATGTCGCCCAGAATGGCAAAGCCAATGCCTTCGGAGCTCTGGATACCACCGTAGCAAAGGGTGGTGGTGAGACGACCGTAGTTGATGTAGTTTCCAGGGACCTTGCCGCGATAGTTGCCAAAGCCAAAGTAAAAGCTGGGCAGGTTAGATGTGCAAGGGAAGACCCAGACACCGTAGTCTTTATGAACATAAGAGCCCTTGACCTTACGGTAGTAGAACTGGACCAGATAATCGGGCAACAAAAGCAGAGTGGTACCGGTGTCAACAATGGCCGAATAGTTGTACTTGTGCCAAGGTGCGCCTTGAGCAACTCGGAAACCCTCGACGTTTATTTGCCACCAGGGACTGTCCTTCTGCACCTTGGCGAAGCCAACGGATCCATAGTACTCGCTCTGGTTGATGTAGCCGAAGTTGTAGTTTCCAGCTTTACCCTTCTGGAGATTGGCAGTAAAGATGGGCGTTGCGAGATTGTCTTGAACATTTTGGAAATATGTCTTCTGAGGTGTAGGTCGAACGGTGTTGAGACTCGACATGGCAAGGCCCATGATGCCGTTGGAAAACTTGTCTGCAGCGATTCCATCTGAAACCTCAGTGGCAGACTCCACAGCTTGCTTGTTGACATAGGTATTGCCAACTTGAACCTTGTCGGTGTAGACAATGCCATTGGCGCCAGTACCATCACCGTACTTGATGCTCCAGGTCTGACCATTCAGTCTTTTGCTGGTCTTTGACTTGTCTGGCTGGTAGAGGATGTGGCCTTCCTGGCTAGGCTGATAGGTGTCTGTGGAAAACACCCAACTGTGCAATGTTAGAACAAGTCATGCTGAACAAAGGAGAAGACTTACAGGTCGGATGAACCAGTGTCAAAGTTCAGAAAGGTAGTCTGAGCTGGAGTACCAATCTTGACAGGCACGACATATTGCGAGTCGTAGTACTGCGGAGGAGTTGCCATAGCACTACCTTTCATCCCTGAAAATGAGTTAGTAGCTATATTGATTACAAGATGATCCGAGACTTACCAAGTTTGTTATTGATCATATCAGCTTCGATTTTGGCAATCTTCTGGAGCTTCTTGGGCAGTGGCTTGTGGTACTTGTTGTAGACTTGGATAAGAGCAATCTCGGCATGCGGCTTCTTGTATTTGTCGTTGGTGAGCTGATCAAGCATGAACTTGTCTCCCTTGGCTCGAGGCACAAGGTGAGCCGAGTCGGGGTGAGTCTTTGTGTCGACAGGTCGGCCTGGCAGACTTTGATCCATGTCCTCAGGCTCAACAACTCCCTCCTCAAGGCGAGACCTGAACGCACGCTTGGACTCACCACGAGCCTCAATGGTGGGAACGTTGGCAGACTCGCCCCTAGAGTCTAGATCTCGCTGCTGTACCCCTTCTACCCCTTCTTCACTTGGAGTCTCGGGGTCGGGCCCGAAAGCATCCTCCACCTCATAAACTTTACCCGGGATTTCATGAGGAATCCCCGTACTGCAGCCGGCAAGAAGAAGGAGGGATACCGTGCTGAACTTCATCGCTATGGTGATATGCTGGGAAATGGATGTGATCGTGATCAAGAAACATGATCCAGAGAACCGGGGGTTCGGGCCTTGATATATCAAGCCGGTGGGCGACGAACAATGACGACGATGAAGAGACGGGTGAGAGTATTCCGGATCGAGGGTAAAGCCAGATTGCCAGGCACTTCGAGGTCCCCTAGCATGGTATTCTGGACAAGCCTGGAGCTAGGTGAAGCCATGTTAGGAGCCCAATGTGGAATGTGGCCCGTGGAGAGGATGGTTTTGCGTGGAATGCTCCTGGATACAGTATAGCGAGGCATGGCATTTACATTCCGAGGCCTGGGGCTAGACACTTTAGGCCCTAGAATGGATGCCACGATCACGGCAGACCGGCCATGACCGAGACATGGCTGAAGTCGGCTTGGCAAATTCCGTTCATGGTTCCTGGTTCCTGCGTCTGATTTGTCCGAGTTTGTTGTTAGGGGTTCCTCTTGACGTTGAGAGCGCTCAGTTAATTGTCAGGGTCCCGCCTTTGTGTCTATCGGCACCGGATTGTCCTCCAGAGACACAAGGCTTAAATCCCATACTAGGCAACGATCGGCGTATTGCCAAGGGTCCTTTTTGTCATAATGTTCGGTCGTGGCAATCAAATCATTGGATTTGTCCCGATGTCGATATTCCTATTCTTGATCGATGCCCAGTCTTGAGTTTGCATTTCTCGACGGATATACCGTCGGAGATGTCCATGTAACAAAAAGAGCCTGACATTCCCATTGCAATTTCCTATTTCCGCGGGCAGTGCCGTAGACAGTCAAATCCCTCGTCGGCCCAAAAGCCAAATCCGTAGACCACTTGGTCTACTGTACTGCAACTTGCGGGTACGATGCCGGAACGCCTCAAGTAAACAACCTCGGGACGGCACTCGCTTGACCGGGCCGTGGCTTCAAATGCTACGGTAGAGGAATGCACTGACTCGATATCGTGATGTTAGCGATGGTGGAGTTGAAACGCTATGCGAAATGCTGTTCAGCCTCTGGGGAAAATACTCCGAACGGACATGATTGGCTGCTCATTGCTTGGCAAAGGCTGGCTGGGTTCATTCCGCTTTGAGATTGTTGGCGTTATTGGGTGTTGCATTGTTGCTTTGTACGTACAACACCAAATTCAGACATCGTCAGTGAATATCATCTTGTAGATGGTGACTGGAAATGAGTGACACATAAAGATAGTGGGGAGATGATGTAAAGTGACAATGTATGGCTCATCCAATGACTCTTCGACTCAAAATTACCCCTCCATGACTCACCCCAGTCATCAAAGATACAGCGACAAACTCCACTGAAAAGTCCCTAAAACCCTCGTAAACCACCTGATAAGATAACGTTTTTTTCGAACCCCGCGATAACTTCTCAAGGTTGCACAAAAATTCCACAACGCCTCCCAACTCAAGTTTGTTCACTGCCAAGACGATAGAGACGAAATTTACTCTGTCTCGTGTCACATCTCAGCGCAAATCATTCACCATGGATCCCTCGGCAGGTGATTCTCCTGCCGCTCCTCACCAGCCGCCCTACACATACACGGCAAACCAGGGCTACGAGCAGACCGAGGAAATTCCCCGCGAACTGCAAACCCAGAAAGACGACGGCGCTGTGCTTGAGAACCAGGACGACGAAAATGACCTGGACGATATCTTTGACGACCAAGACTACGACGATGAAGAGTGGGGTGCTGATGGCGGAGACTTGACAAAATCCTACAACCGCCAGCGCAACGCGAACGACGGCGCCGTTCTCCCTCGCTCAAACCAGCAGAAACCCACTGCAAACACTTTCCACAGCGTCGACGACCAAGTTTCAGCTCTGTCCAAGCACGCCGCCAAGATCCGTCTCGACTCTGTCAAGCAGGATGCCGAGAAGGATAAGGACAAGGCGGACCGCGCCACCAGCGAGCAGGTTCTGGATCAGCGTACTCGTATGATTCTTCTGCAGATGATTAACCGTGGCTTTGTCAGTGAGGTTCACGGTGCCATCAGCACTGGTAAGGAGGCCAACGTCTACGGCGCCGTGCTGGTGGACGATAGTACTGGCGAGGCGACCCACAGGGCTATCAAGGTCTACAAGACAGCTATTCTGGTCTTCAAGGACAGAGAGCGTTACATCACCGGCGAGCACCGTTTCAAGGGTGGCTTTGACAAGGGAAATAACCGCAAGATGGTTAAGCTCTGGGCAGAGAAGGAATTCCGTAACCTGCGAAGGATCTACAACGCCAATATTCCTTGTCCAGAGCCTATCAGCCTTAAGCTTCACGTTCTCGTCATGGGCTTCCTTGGTGACCGCAAGGGATGGGCCTACCCTCGCCTCCGCGATGCTACTCTGACAGGAGACGATGTAGATCACCAATGGTACAAGCTTTATGTTCAGCTCCTGGGCATCATGCGCCGTATCTACCAGGTCTGTCGTCTTGTCCACGCCGATCTGAGTGAGTACAACATTCTCTATCACAATGAGAAGCTCTACATTATCGACGTGTCACAAAGTGTGGAGCCTGACCACCCTCGGTCGCTTGAGTTCCTGCGAATGGATATCAAGAACGTCGGCGATTTCTTCCGCCGAAAGGGTGTTGATACACTAGCCGACCGCGCTATCTTCAACTTCATCACAACGCCCCAGGGTCCTGTGGAGGAGCCAGAGATGGGCAAGGCGATCGAAGTTCTCTATGAGACTCGGGGCGATGTTACAAATGAGGACAATGCTGCTCAACAAGAGGTCGACAACGAGGTGTTCAGAAACCAATACATTCCTCAGACATTAGAGCAGGTTTACGACATTGAGAAGGATGCTCAAAAGGTCGGACAAGGTGAGGGTAATGACCTCGTATACAGCAACCTATTGCCAGACCAGGTAATTGCTGGTAAGAAAACCAATGGTGATGACGTTGATGCCGGTGATGAGGACGGTTCCACATCTGATTCTGACGATGACGGCGCCTCTCTCTCCGGTGACGACTCGCACAACGAGGCCGATTTCGAAAAGGGCACTCCTCGTGGCCGCCGCTTCGAAGACAAGGACGAGAAGAAGGTTTGTCTTTCATACCCCTCCCCGAGAACTTCACTGACCTCTACCTCAGGCACACAAACAAGCCGTCAAGGAAGCCAAGCGCGAGAAGCGCAAGGACAAGATGCCCAAGCACCTCAAGAAGAAAATAGTCGCCAGCTCCTCCCGCCGTAAGAAGTAAACCTGCTTGCCATGACGATTCCTAGAGGGCTATTACCGCCCTTCTTCCCCATTCCGGCTGCGGGACCGTTGGGTCGAGACGCAGGTACCAGAATGAGGACCGAGCCCTTTCGGCCAGAGGAGGAATAACCCAAAAGCTTATATCAACCCTTGTTTTTCCCTCCCCCCCTTGGGCGCAATTAGCATATCGAATGATGAAGACATTGATTCGTCGCGGAAGAGCCTCCGGCCGAGACGGTTTAGCATTCCCCACTTGCGGTATGTGTAACCTCCGGCCTCGGCTCTGTAGTGCGATCTGAGCGCTCCTCACGGTGCGTCCTGAATGATCAAAGAGAGCTCTGACGATTGTTTTCTGCCTCCCTGTAGCTTCCCTTTGTCTTTTGGCACAGAAATACGGGAAGGGAACTGTGGGGGCACTGGTCTAACAAGTAGACAGCTCCGGATGAGGCTCGTCGATGTGAAGAGCCTGGGATATTCGGCCTGGCTTTTTCGGATCCTTGGCGAAGGACAAAATTCATGAGTTGAGCACACCGGAAAAAAAGAGAATAAAGACCTGAATATTATGTATGAAATGTCTGATGATCGCTCAGTTCTTTTTCACCCTCAATAAAAGTCAAGTGCCCTCTCAAGACTGTTCGCATGTGGCATGTTACATATCAGTACATTCAATCTGCCCATAAATCCTCTGTTCAAAACATATCAAATATTTCAGTCCCACTATCGGCTGGGGGTGCTACAATAGGACTGGCAGACCCCGTGAGTCAAAAGTAAAACTGCTGCTGAGGCTGACCTGGTGGCGGCTGGGCGAGAAAGTCAAAGTTCAACGAGTCCACGCCCGTATTCCATGGGTCCGGTGATTCTGTGATGAGTTAGTGTCGGGCTGCCAAGCAAGTATGACGAACAAAAGGGGAGAAAGAGGAACTTACCACCCCAGATAGATTCGTAGAGGTCCATGGGAGCCATGTATTGCGTAGGATCGACGTTCATTGCATTCATGTTATCGAGGTTCAAGGTTCCATTAGCCTGCATCTGCTGGAGGTACGGGTGTCTGGAGGGATGATCTTCAGAAACAATTACATCAAATGGATACAGATAGGAAAACTTACGTAGGAAAGTCTTGTATCGATGCACCTCCATTTTGCATTTCAGCCATGGCGAGCGCAGCGTCCTCTCTTGGGTCAGCGCTTTGCGAGACGTTGCGGAACATTGAGTTGGCATTTCCAGGAATCTGGTTCGCGTTCCCAAAGGGGAACTGAGGCGTCCGGCTTCCACTGCCAGCGGCAGAGGCGTCTCCCTCTTTCTTGAGGTGTGATGGAACAATGGAGCCATGGTCATAGATGTTCTTGAGGGCCGTCAAAGCTCGGTAAAGTGGTCCGGAAAGCTCAATATCCTTGTCCGTAGTCATGACATGCGGCTCGGGGGAGCTAACGTCCTTGGCCGCGGTAGCAGACAGTGCAGCGATCAAATCCCCCTGCAACTGACGAACTTCGGGATCCGTCTTCGTCTCACAAAGTATACCGAGGAGCAACGCCGATGATAGGCCATGGTACGTAAAAGCCCAGCTTCTCGTGGGGATAGCGGATAGCTGGTGCATTGCCAAAAACATTCGGACGGTTTCGGTTAGGTTGTCTTTGCAGCGTTCTGCTAGCGTCTTTCTTTGCTCAGGTTCGAATTCGCTGTCCTTTCGGAGTGCTGGGCGGCAGGCAACGGAAATGACAAATGATGTATGCAGGCGGATAGCATAGTGTTGCAGACGGTCAAGGGCTGTTTTGCAACTCTCTTTGATTCGCAACTGAGGTGCGGTGCGGCCTCGAAGAGTTTCTACTGCTTCACAGTCTTCGATAATTTGAGCATACGATGCGCTCATCATATCGTCGGGATTAAGTCGACGAGAAATTATCTCCATGAGATGGTACATGGTTTCGAGGTATGAGTAGTTGCCGCTCGGTGTCGGCGACATGACTGGGATCGGACAGCAGGGGAAGTTGGTCATTGGGGACCTGTAAGTCATTAGAGGTGACCATCAACATCCAGTACAAAACTTACCTGTCAAAAGAAAGCGATGTCAGGGTATCGTGCCAAACAACACTCCACCATAACCTTCTTCGAACCATTTCTTTCGACTGTGTGTTTGGAGGTGTACAGTCACGGCTTTCGTTGCGCGGTGTTCTGTGGAGACCTAGCGACTGGGCAAGACGACATGTCAATCCCATAAGAGCCCATGATGCTTCAGCCTTCATGTCATTTAGAAGGACAAAGCATGTCAGAAGAAGCGCTTGGATAGAGTCAAATGAAGGGCTATCACACATGTTAGTCCAGCTGTCAAAATTGACAAGCAGCACTTACCGAAGAAGAAAGTTGCCTAGTCGAAGGAAATGGAACGATATCTGAATGAATCGCTGGGAATCACGAGTGCGGATGTGGTAAGGAGATTCGTGGTATTGGGATCCGACAGCCAAGACGGCGAAAAGAATTGCCAACCATGATGCTGTGACAGGTTTGGTGGATTTGATACCGTTGGTCGCATTTCGTGAACGGTCCTCGAGGTAAATCATAAGTTTGCTTTCGAGATCGTCAATGTCCATCACAAAACCCCAGAAAGGCTGCGGTATTTCCTTATATGCACGAAATAGCCTGAAATGCTCGTCAGCTTACGACCTTGTGCAACCATAGCCGTTGCGGAACAAAAGACTCACTTCATGACCTCGCGGTCAGATGGCAGTTCATTCGAAATGTCCTGTGTCAGTTTCTGGAGGTGTTGAGACGACATCAATGGAAAAGGCGCTGATGTGTCCAAGCCGAGAATGGACCGCATGTCTTGTCGGATGTCAAGACCATCACCTTTGTGGACTGGTGAGGACTGCTCGCGCAGTAAGGCAGGAATACTGTTCTGTCCGAGATATCGATCTGCTGCCACTTCTGGCTCATCAATACTTGCTGTGGTGTTGTGTTAGTCTGATGGCATGGCCGGATATCCGGAGACTCTCACCAAGGTTGCGTGGCCAACTATCCTGGCGTTCGACTTTGCGCACGACTTCGTCTTGGTGTACTTCTGAGAATGAATGCGTCCTCTTGCGCGTGGGCACGCTTTGGCTGGATTCTGATGGTGCAGCTGATCCTGACAGCTTTGAGGTTGATGAACGATTGGGCTTATAGGAACATAGCCGGGGGTGTTCTCTCTTGACGCAGTTTTCACACGGCTGTTTGTTGTCGCACTTGACTTTACGCTGGCGACAAGGCCAACATGCAGTACCTAACGTGATGATAAGCGACAGTTACCTACTTGAGGTTATCGCGATGGCATTTCTTACCGTAGCGAACCTTGCGATGGGAGTGTATGATTCGATTGGCCTCTTCTGGAGTCAGGTCATCAATGACAACCCGCTCCTCAGGACTGGGGTTTTCAGCCATGGTCAAGCGGGTTTTGGGCTCAGAATCGAGCCGTTGGGCCAAACAAAAGTCGCGATAGCAATAACAAGGTAATGTTATGATTGCAGATGAGGATTGACGAATGCCGAATTCCGAGAGTCTCCCATGCGATAGTGGACAAAGAGGGGAAGATGCGGTTGACGGGGCGGGGCCGGTTCGGCTTTCAAATTGGAGTTAGTAGCGTATTAATAAGGAAAGAAAGGGAAAGAATGGACTTGGCGGCAGATCTTTTGGTTGGTTGCGCTGGGAGGGGGATTCGAAGGGAGGCACGAACCAGTGAGCCTCTCAGACCCGTCAACCGGATAAATACCCGCCGTATTCCGTGGCAGCTCTAGGGTAAAGAGAGGAGAAACCGCCAGATAATCGCACGAGATGGACAATTCACAACTCATAAGGTACTAAGCAATGGTTCTGAAAATATAGTTCGCGGTAAAATTGGGAACAATATAGTAAGTTATCTTGACTCTGGCAGCTACCTACACTATATAGTTGTGTTGCCGATAAGTGGCAGATACCCGAAGTCACAAGAACTTCACACCTCCAGTTTCACAGTTGAACAATAAGGGACAGATTGAAAGATAAACTATGAACAATACTCGCTTACATTTCACCCACCGCCGCTTTTCAATGCTTGCTTCCAGCAATCAATTTCTGTTTAACTAATGCAGCTTCCATCGCCACTATGAATTGTTTTTTCTTCGGCGGTCTTGCATCTCTTGTCTTGCTCCGTGTGGGGGGACACACATTCACTGCCTAACTTTTTACAAATGCTTCCACCGTTCTGCAACATCTTGGATCCGCCATGGTTCACTGTCCAATCACCATCTTTTTGTGATGATCATTTTGTTCTTGCATTGCATTGCATCAGACTTGGTCAGTTTCTCGAGGTCGCGACTATTGTTGACCGATTGAGCTGAGCTGAACTTAGCCCATCTGGCTGAGCCTCACCCCAGCGCTTAGCAGCTGGAGAGAAAAGAGATCGCCAATATCGCTCGTTTGATGTGCGCGCACTAAACTTGACTGCTTTAACCTGTGATCGCAAGCCCAGAACTCTCTTCCAACCGTCAACGCCGCGACCGTTGATTTGTTTTTTGACTTTTGGTCTGCTGGCGCCGGTCGCCATGTCAACCCCGTCTTCTAGAAAACTACAAGTTCAAGATGAGCTCATAAGGACAATTCGCTCCATTAGCTCTGATTTCCAGCTCCAGCTTCAGATCCCCGACCCAACATTGTCGCCCAGTAAGCGTCGGGCGCAATGCCGCACGGAGGATGAAGCGTTATGCGACGCGATCTACCTTTGCGCTTATCGACTCAAGTTCCAAGACCCAAATCGCCTTGCCGTATGTTTCACCCGCTTCCGCGAGCAGGCCGACGACCACCTTAAGAATTGGATCAGGAAACCCCGCGGTGACCCTGATACTACGCCTGTCAATCCTTGGAATGACCCACATGGCCGTGGTTATCGATTGACCTCGCAGGAACGGACTGAGCTTCAGAACTTGCTGTTGCGATTGCTCAAGGATGATAATATCGCGAATCAACCGCGTTCCAGACACTCGACTTCAAAACGCAGATCCGACGAGTTCCCGAATTCTACTTCAAAGAGATCTAGAAATTCTTTCGATGGGTCACCTGCCTGTGATAGTATCGACAATATCCCAGTTCGATCCACAGCCATCGCCTCGAGTAGTCTATCAACGGGACGGCCCGCACGCGGCGCAGGTACAACTTCCTTCACCAATCGCGTCGCCGCTTCTACCACATCGTTCTCAAATACGCAACCGTTATCTTTTGGTTCCAGATCTTTCAACTCCAGCAAGGCTTCGTTGGCTCCGACTGTTTTCTCAGCCACAAATGACACTGCACCCAGCACGCAAGCTACAGTCCTGACAAATCCTTCCTTCAAAGACCCTCGAACTTCATTCCGAGCTACTCAATCCTCATTCAAGTCCCAACAGACCTCGAAGGACATCCAGGTTCCATTTTCACAAAGAATTCGGGAGTTCTCATATCAGCCTCCAAGTCAGCCCAATCAGAATGATACTGATCCAGCAAAGCCACGCTCATTTCACCAGCATGGGTCCCAGATGCAGGCCGGGTCTAGCTACAAGCCTATTGTTGTTGATGACCCCGTGGACGATCCTTTCAATGAGCCTGTCCTCCCTGCTCTGGCAATGCCCCAGCCCATACGCAGCCAAACCTTCGACATAAAACGACAAACAACGATCCGGTCCAGTAGCCCCGCGACGGCATACTCAAGTAATATAGATGTGAATGAGTGGGAAGAGGCATTTCTCAACGTCCCAGGCCCTGTGATAGAACCACCTTCATGCTCACTGACGGATCGCCTGCGAAACATCTGGCCCAAGTTTCCCATTCCTGGGTTGAATCAGGCACCTTTGATTATCTTGTGGGAACTCACACGGGCTGCGCTCTACTGTCGCGTGGACCTGTCGGAATGGGATCTCGAATACAAACAAGACGATACCTGGCGAGATCAAACCAAGTTTCGAGGCCAGATAGTCCGACACCGTCTCTTTGTTGGCCAAGGCCTACCTCCGGCTTGCGATCGTGTGGTATGGGATGCGGCCTTTGGCTCCTTCACTTCCCAGGATAGAACTATCGTTCTCGCGGCGGAATTCGTAGTGAATACTGATAATACAGGTCCTCTTTACCGACTCAAGCTTCAACCCCCTCGTCTTGAGCTTGGGCATCGACTAGCTCGTCGCTTTGGAGCAGATCGTTTTATGGAAGTCATCATGCCTTCTCCCACTTCCAGAGATGCTCCTGAAATAATCAAGCAGGATCCGCAGGGGTCGGAAAAAGTCATCAGATGGCTGACTGACAACCACTACTTTGCTGGTCGCCACTGGGCATCCTTCTATAATCGCGAGGCTAAAAGGACAGCCAAAGATCCTCAACCTCCCCACAAGACAATTACTATCATGCAAGAGCGTGTTTACTTTTTCGCAACCGATGGCAACAACTTCCGGCTTCCAGAGGACCAGTTTCCCTCTCAAGAAGAGGCAAAGACTCCCGAGTATCGCACAAAAATGCGACGATCCGATCTCCTGACCTGGGCAATCAACGTCGAAGGCAATGCTTCACAACCTGTACCGAAGTTGTTCTCAAGGCTTGCCCTTAGTACGTATCTTGATAGTGTTTCTGTGGAATCAGCTAATCCTCATATGCAGACCTCAGCAAAACCTTTCCCACAATTGTCCTTGAACCTCACCAGTTTCGGCACCGCGACACTATGCTAGGCTTCCGCCCGTACATGAGTGACGAAGAGGAAAAAGAACAGAAGGATATGGGCGATGGTATCGGGAGAATGTCTCGAAGTCTCTCGCGCAAAGTTGCCACACATTTGGGCCTTATGGAGGCACCGAGTGCGTTCCAAGCTCGTATCGGCAGTGCCAAGGGAATGTGGGTAGTTGATGTTGAAGATGATGGATTGGATGACGACGACTGGATCGAAACATATCCATCCCAGCGCAAATGGGATTGCGAGTTCTCGGACATCCACCATCGGACATTTGAAGTGCGAGAATGGTCAAGGGAGCTGAAGTCTGCTGCACTCAATACACAGTTCATCCCTGTTCTGGAGGCACAGGCCCCGGTGCCTCAGAATATGCGGGATATCATATCCCATCACCTAGCTACTAGCCTTCAAGAAGAGATCGGAGGCCAACTCGCCGCCATGACACATCCTACCAACCTTCGTGGCTGGACACGTCGTGGTTTTGATCGATCGACATTGGGCACCGTCCCTTTTGTGGGCGGCTTGCCAGAACGAGACGAAGACATCATCTCATTTATGCTTGATGCTGGATTTGACGCCACCAAGTGTAGTTTCCTGCGTGATCTCGTGTGGAAAGGACAGAAAAGACAAGCGGAACAGCTCAAGGCAAAGATGAACATCAAGATTCCTCGATCAACATACGCGTTCATGACGGTAGACTTTACTGGGACACTGAAAGAAGGCGAGGTACACCTTGCATTCTCTTCAAAGTTCCAAGCCGATGGCGATTCTGATACACTGCTGGATGGTATTGACATACTGGTCGCTCGAGCACCAGCCCATTTCGTCAGCGACATACAGAGGGTCAAGGCTGTTTTCCAACCGAGCTTGAAGCGGCTAAAAGATGTGATTGTGTTTTCGTCACAGGGAAAATCTCCACTCGCCGACTTACTCTCAGGTGGCGACTACGATGGTGATCAAGCTTGGATTTGTTGGGATCCTAAGGTTGTGGCCAACTTCAACAACGCGCCAAAGCCTGTTGAACCAGACCTTATCGGACAGGGATACCTCCAAAAGTTAAATCCATCTTTTGGATCATTACTTGACGCAAGTCCCGGCCTTGAAAGCGCCTGTACAGACTTTCTTCGCTCAGCAATTTCGTTCAACATGCAGCCGAGTTATCTGGGCATAGCTACCAAGTTCAAGGAGAGGGTTTGTTACCTGGAAGGAGGTGTCAATAGTGAGCAAGCTGTTGCTTTGAGCACTTTGGTCAGTCTACTTGTTGATCAAGCCAAGCAAGGATTGCTATTCGGCCGCGAAGACTATGATAGGTTGAAGCGTGACATGAACATGCGAGGCAAAGATCCCGAATATGAGAATGAAAGAAGTTCTCGACGTAGCTATGTGAACAGAGATGGTTCCATCCACATTCTTGACTACCTCAAATTTGAGATTGCAGAGGATACAATTAGCCACGCGCTGAAGCTATTCTACGACGCCCTTCACGGGAAGGATGTTCCGGTTTACGCGTGGGACAAAGACCTGGCTCGACTCTGGGACGATTTTGAGAGTCAGAAAAGCGAATCGAGAATCATTAGTAGGCTTATGATTGCCCTTCGTGCTGAAATCTCCGACATGAGCAGCAAATGGAAAAAGACAATGATGAAGGGCAAAACCGACACCATGACCTACGACTTTCCTGTAAAGGTCAAGGAGCTTCATCAGCAATGGTCGTCTTATCTGCCATCTCCTGACCTCCTGGCTTCGAGGCAAGTCAAGCCCCTCCTCGATTCCTGGAATGGAGATCCAACCTTGAGCAAATGGGAGCTGCTCAAAGCCTCAACTTTGTTCAAGATGTGTTACAACGAAATGTACCACGGGGTCTGGCATCTCGCAGGGAAGCAGCTCGCATGGATGAAGGCGATGCAGTCGCGTGGGGGATCAGATACGAGTGCGATAGCAGTAACAGCAGAGATGTGGAGCATCCTTCGACCAGACAACAAGCGCATTGCTGCACTTAATGCAAAAAGACAGACTGGGCACGACAATGAGAGTCTGGCTGCCCTTGAGGAGGTTACGGAGTACGACGAGAACGGAACGCAGATCGATGATACCTAGAGGCGCATTGACTCGGACAGTTCAACTCTCACGACTAGACGGTCTTTTGGGAGTAGGTACTCTTGACTAGATGGAGGAGACGTTGGATGTAGAAGGGTTTGGACATGGCGGTCCACTTTGTGTAGTCAGGTCTTGGGGGTTTTCTTTTCAGGCCGAGATGGACATGTCACGTCACGTTTCCGCGCAAGAGGCGCTGGATTTGCGGCTTTGTATTTATGGGCTTGTTGGTTGATACCCTTGCATTTTGTAATGCATATATTACAGTTCATTGTGCCACTCAGTGACCTCGAAGTTTGTTGGCTAAGTCCTGCTTAGACAGGTATGACTGTCGAGATTGACTCAAGACAAGTGATTGGTGTTGAGATCTAACAACCTGTATCCAACGCTTGCATGTATTCGTAAGGATCGTAATCGTTCAAACCTCCGGTACCCCATCCCCGATCGCTAATCGTCAAAATACCAATCATGAATTATTCGTTACACACTCATGTCCAAAACAACCGGGAACTCCACTTACACCATCCCATCATAAAGGCCTTATCGCAAGTCTTCGTTGAGATCGCCGGAACAATCCATCTCTGAGATGCTGCATTCGGCTGTCTTAGAGTCATCGACAGGAACGGTCTTGATCGATGTCAGAAAGCTGACCACAGGGCCCATGACAAGATCGAGTAGATCATCGTCGTTCTGGCCAAGTTCGGCAGGGAAGATTGGTGCAAGCTTGCTGCCCATGTCGGATGCGGCGCTGGGATAAGTGGTGGCGATACTCTCGAGCATCTCGGCGAGCATGTGGCCTGCACGAGACAAGGATCGACCTCCTGATGCTCCTCCCAATGTGTCGATGAAATCTTTAGTGGTCTTGTAGAAATAGCTGTTGATGGTGTAAAGATACTCGATGAGTTCCTTGCGCTCTTCCTGGGCAAGGTCTGGATTGGAGGCGTCGCCGAGACCAGAGACTGTTCCGAATAGCATCACTCGGATGTTGTCCATCATGTTGACTCCTGTCTGTACAGCTTGGTCACTTGTCATTGTGCCTCCTCTGGTAGCTTCTAAAGCCGATTCTACTGGATGTTAGTACACACAAATGAGCGAAAGGACGGTCGATCTTACCAATGTCATTGCATCTAGCCTTGATAACCTCGGCCACACGTCCCATGCCGATGACCAGATTCTCATGACGGTTGATAGCGCTGCTTCGACGACAAATACATTTAGTCGAGCTCTTTCCCTTGGATGTAACAGTGACGCCTATGCGAGGCAGAGCATAAGCCGGTAGGGGCAGAGGTAGTCGCCGGGCGTTAAGCTTGGCCTCGTCGCGTGTGGCGATATCGTTATCAACGGCCGGAGCGGAAAGCACATAGTTGACGAGTGTCAATGTGGAGAATAGTGTGAACTTCATGGTTAGGATGTGAATTTGTAGGATGTGAAAATGTAGAAGAGGCTTGTTGGTGGTGAGCTGAGATGGACACATTTCTTAAACCGGGATTATCACCAACTTATATGACTCTCTTGTAACAGACTCCACAGCCTGACAGCCTCGATACCAAGAGTCAACCGTCGACGGAGTCTTAGCTCCCATCATCGTCTTAGTGCCGATCTTTCCCCTTGCGCTTAAAACCTTGTTCCTTGATGCAGTGCACGTGTAGCCAATAGTGGGAGAGGAATCTGACTGGTAAGCTTTTGGGGAGCATTCCCCCTGAGAATAAAGTGGTGTTGATCGTTTGCGGACATGGCATTTTGTTGGTTCTTGGTATTTGGGCGGTGATCTATGGGACTAAGGGAATTGGGTGTTGTGATCTTTGGCGGTGGGATTGATGAGGCGAATATGTACTGGTTGCATGGTGTTCTGATTAGAGCTGGTCAGATATCATGATAGTAAGTCTGAGACCATCAGGTCTATCATAACTGCAACATGGGACTCCAAATAGATCTCAAGATCCTCATGAACGCCTTCTTGTCCTGTGACAAGTTTCACCTTCATAGTCTTACTACAGCCAAGACTTGGTTCACCACCAAAGGATATCACATCTCATCCCCAACATCGGTGACAGATAACGGTCTTTTCCCATTCCCGGTCTCGGTCCGATCGTCTCCCGCTAAAGAACCTCCCGATCTAGAGGAACGCTATTGGATTCGTCTCGGTCCCGATAAGCTTCCCCTCGACGACAGCCAACATTCCGCACGGTCTCACCTTTATCAGCTCATAGTCTGTTTTAGTTATCCACTTCCGCTTTTGATAGGTTGTTTGCGCCTGTAGGATTCGGTTCGTTCGGCAGCGTTAGTTGTTTTCTTGAGGCTTGTGTTGCTTTAGGTTTGGTGGCTCTCGGTTGTCACAACCGGACGGCGGCCGCCAGACGGGGAACTGGGCTGCTAGGGAGAATATGATCTGATCTGGCTTGAGATCTAAGCCTTGCTAGGTGGAGATAAGGTTTATGGTTCCCGGTGACGCCGATATGGTATTTCGTTGGAGAGTGGTTGATGATAGGGCTGTGCAGAGCTGAGGCGGTAGCTTATAGATAGAGAACTGGATCGTTACATTGCAACTTGAGCTTCAATGTCTTGCCTTCACCACTTGACTCGAAGTTGTTTCGTTTTCCTTATGGACTTTCAGGTAGATAATCTTTGTAAAACTCGATGATAGTTTGGGCCAGTTGTTTGTGACTCACTGCGTGTTGAACAGCCAGGTTCACTCTAAAACAACCACGAAGATTTGAGAATGTGATACTTAGACTTTCCTGTGCTCCAGAACTTAATGGCTTATCTGAGACTCGTCTAGACTTTTCTGAGGCTTTCCCAACACTTTGGTTGTTCCTTGAATCTGTGGCATTAGTCCCAAACCAAGGTTGAGATGTATATTCCTCTTTCGTCGTGTGAAACCACCGTTTTCGAGATGGCGAACTTTATACCATGCGATATTTCACTCTATTACACGTACATTAGATAAATGATCACGATTCCCATGGACATCGTACCATGATTCTGAAAGTGACGACAGACCTTTACCATCGGTCCTAGGTCTTTAACATTTTGTCAGACCGTTAACGTCTCGCTAGGGAATTATTGGTTCTGTATCGTATGATTCCTTCAGACGTTAATAGGCAAGCGTGGTCAGGTTGGACTGTTACGGCCGTCTTGCAATGTGTTGAACTGCTGGGTTCGCTAGATGGGTGACACTACCTTGTGGTATGTAAGTGATCTAAAGCTGACGTAATCCCTATACCATGTCTTATTCTACTAACAATCAGTAATGACGAACTTGATGTTAGTTGGAAAAAGAATCTGGCTGAAGAGGGCTAAGGTTAATGCATTCAAACTGTAAGGATAAGGGAAGGTGCCCATCCGGCCAAAAGACCAAAAGATCAATCAGTTCAGACATGTTATGTCTGAGCTGCCTTCTACATTAGTATATAAGGAGCCTAGGTCTTTAAACGTAGTAAGTATTCCAGGCCTTGTACTACGTCCTTTACTTTACTTTATACATTTAGGTCTTTCCTTTTAGGGTACTACTAAACTTATAATATATGCTTTACCTTATAAAATATAAAATAAAGTTATAATATTCTACTCTTCTTGAAGTATATTTAAATAATATTACATATTTCATTACTATTTTATTATTAAAATGTAGTATATTTTTAATATCTTTATTTCTTAGTATATTCTTACTATTTTTATTATCTATATACTATATTTACCATTATATATATATTGCACTTTATAAACTATATAATAAAGCTATAATATTACATTCTTCTAATAGTATATTCAAGAAATATCACATATATTCTTAGTATCCTGGCAGTAAAATGCATTATGTTTCTAATATATTTATAAATTTCTCTTTATATTATTTAAGGTCGAATTTTATAACTAGTATAATTTTCAGTAAAATATAAAGTATAATGAAAGAGGAGAATTACTTATGAGAACTAATACAAGCAGTTAAATATATTTATAACAAGAGTATTATATTACTCACTTTCATACTTACCACTGAGGAAAACGAAGAATAAAAAGAATATAAAACCTAAATATTTAGCAGTAGTGTACACAGTACGCTTAATTTATTTGCATCTTACTTGTTACAGTACGCTAAATTAAAGTATTTATTACAAGTTAAATAAAACAAATTTATATACTGCTATCTTTAACCAGTATTTATTACTACTTAGTCCTAAAGCAGGATAGACAATAGCAAAGTGGTTTGCTAATAGGAGATTACGCCCTATGGTCTGGCGCCTGTATAGATCGGCTTGGGTTGTGTCTGTTACTAAATCAGGCAATTATAGAGCTAAGTTGAAGTTAACTATCATCTCTTAATTCCCAATTCAATAATAAACACACAATTCACAAGCACAGGCAAGAGACATACGTGTTTTCCTCAAATATCTCACAGTTGAATTTACCTCCACAGGAGGGAACTCATAACTAAATATCTACATCAAATGAATAAATATCCTCTTCACAAAACCACCATGGAGATCCTAAACAATCAACAGTAGGTCTTGGAGTCAGATCCGAAGCTTCCCTCGCGACAGGTGCGTTCAGTAGTCATCACCCTCGTCGGCAGGGCACTCCTCGTCCTCATCACCAGTAGCGGGCTCCTCATCCTCATCGCAGTCCTCGTCCTCAGCAGACTGGTTAGAGACATCGGGCTCCTCATCGTCGTCACAGTCCTCATCGTCATCACCGGTAGCGGGCTCCTCGTCATCGCAGTCCTCGTCGTCGCCAGAGACAGGGGCCTCAGTGGTGGAGGGGACAATGGAGGTGGTCGCGGCAACGGCCTGGAGAGTGGTGGGGACGGGCTTCTCGGCGGCGGCGGAGGTGGCAACGGGAGCAGAGGTGGCAACAGGAGCGGAGGTGGCAGCGGGAGCAGTGGGCTTGGTAGAGCCGGAGCCGGAGCCACCGACGACAAAGTCAACACAGGCCTCGTAGGTCTGGTCGATATCGGGAGCATCCCAGAACCACTGGAGAACACAGTCACCAGCCTTGGTGCAGTCACCGCCGAGGCTCTCGGGGAGAGTGACGCTGAAGGCGGTGTTGTTGGCGGCGGTGCCGGCGTTGGAAGCGTAGTTCTCGAACTCAATGAGGGGCTCGCCGATCATGCTGTCGGAAGAGGTCTTGACGACAGAGACATTGGCGTAGCCGGTGTGGGGAGCGGCAATGTTGATCTCGAAGGGGATCTTCTCGCCCAGCTTGTAGCTCTGGACGTTGTCCTTGTTGTCGTCGAACTGGAAGCCCTTGCAGAGCCAGAGGTTGCAGTCGGTGGCGTCGAAGCTGCTGCCGACGACCTGCTTGATGCCCTGGACGTTGCCGTTGATGTCGGACGACTGCTGGTAGAAGGGCTGCTCGCCACAGGCGGCCTTGAAGGCATTGCCGGGCTTGCGGGGGGTGGGGGACTTGATGAAGCCGTGGGCGGCGACAAGGGGGAGGAGAGTAAGAAGGGCGGCGGCGTTCTTCATTTTTGCGGTAGTTGATTTATGAAATGTAGATATAAAGATGTGAATTGGTTTTGTGTTTGTTTTTTCTTCGAAGAAGTCTCTGGGACCAGATTTGTGTTTTAAAGAGTGGTAGTTTTTTGTTTAAAATTGAACGGCCGTCAAGGCTCGAAACGAAAGTTGAAGATAAAAAGGTTGGAAAGAAAGTCAAGTACAAAAGTGTACAGAAAAGAATGTCGAATCTGGTCCTTCGAGGTCCGTGAAAAGAAAGAAGTTGAGGAAGTAAAGAGTTAACTGAGAGAGAGGAGAAGAGCTGTGAGGAAGGGCACTCGAGTTTGGATATATACTCGAGACGTACGGAGGAGGACTTCTACACAGGGCTTAGTTCGTTGGGTGAATGGATTATTGGAGGATCTGATACTAGGCGAGGCGGTGGGCCTGGGTTCACTCCGTGGTCAATCTCGTTTCTTGTTCATGGGTTTCTACCCCCTGGTCTCTCGTTGTGGCATGGGATGATGGGACTGACGGCGGCAATGGAAGAATGACTTGACTTGACAAGCGCCGGCCGATACAGAAAGAGTAGGAGGGGTTGAAGGTTATTACAGTAGTTACAACTTTATTAAGATATCAACATATTAACAGTGCTATATTATAGTTCAGCTTGTCATGGTAAACTAAACAACATGTTTGGTTTACACCATCAAACACATCACCCTCATCCCGTTTCGTCTCCCCCCTTCCAAACCAAACACTTCCCTTTCTTCTCGCATCGCTCCCCTCTAAGCGAGCAATCCACCAAAAAAAGCGAAAACCCATGCTATTTACACCGTTGCCAAGACCCGACCTCACCGGAATTCGAGGCGGCGCCTGTCAAACTGCTTTTCGTCTCTCTCTCCCCCACTGTTAGTTAACATCGGATGTCTTCCCCCTGGTCGCGGGAGGGGAGGGCCTTGTTTGGAGCCAGCGCAAGGGGCGGGATTGTGATTGGTGGGAATTTCGAGGTTCGTGTTTGAGCCTCAAGACAAGCAAGACAAGACGATGGAAAATGGTTCTTTCGAGCCGCCGAGATTAATTTAGTTGTTGGCGAGAGGAGGGGATGGATTATTTCGATCGGGGTTTTACCGTTATTTGCAGGCATTGATTGTTAGAATGAGATCTGGACCACCTTGTTTATCTCAAGGCTATAGCACCATAACTACAGATCTATCCAAAGTAAGTTTTCAATGATTACCACATCCAATACCCATCACCGAATCACAGCACGCAACCTTCAACTCAATTTATTTACACTCTCGATCTACTAAACCATATCGTAGCGCCATAACCCCTGCCCTGCCCTGCACCTACAAACCCCCTGCTCTGGTGGATCTCAAGCCCTGCATCCCCTCTTCTCCAAACAAACGATTTTCATCCATGGAAAAACTATCCTCCCAAGAAACCCGAAACTGATCTCCGACAAACACACCAAGGGCCCGTGTTTCAGGGCGATAATGCGACCAAGGAACGGCACAATCCTTTCTTTTTTCCTTTCCCTTCCACTTATTATGCATAACAACAAGAATACAATGACATGACCGGCTGACTATGTGTATGATATTATCCGTACGGCATAATGATATGAGGGGTTCCTTTTCACTCTGCTCTTTGTTACATTTCGCTTGTCATCCTGGACCAGTCAGAAAACGGCAGAAAGAACCGTGCCATGCACGACTTGTTCATCTTGGTAGGGCCATGTGCAATACGCGGGTACTCAGCTGTCAATATCCGTAGGGTAGATAATTAACCCGAGTCGATTAAGATCTCCATCAATTCATTCATCCATGCAACTAATAAACGTAACTCATTATGCTTCTGCAACACCACCGAGACAAGTAGGTTATTTACAACACCAGCACCACTTCATCATGATCCCATCATCAAACAAAGAACAAAGCCCCGTAAGGGCAGAAATCTAGATACATTGTTTGTGCCTCCAAACAGGCACACCATACACACATCATTTAGATGGGCTCATCACGAGGCTCAATGAGAACCTCATTGACAGCAACATGAGGGGGTTGGCACACGGCAAACACAATAGCGTTGGCAACCTCTTCGGGCTTCAGCACCTCGGCACCTGTAGGTTCGCCGTACTTCTTGAGAGCCTCTTGATCCGTGGACATGCCCAGAAGGTCCGTCGCAACGTTTCCTGGCTGGACAGCGGTGACCCGAAGGCCAGAACCCGCAGTCTCGACACGCAGGGCCTGCAGCGTCGCCTCGACAAAGAACTTACTGGCAGAGTAAACACCCAGGCCAGGGAACACCTTGCGCCCAGCGTCAGAGGAGATGGCGACGATATGTCCAGCTCCGCGAGACAGCATGCCAGGAACCGTTGATGACAGGCAGTGCAAAAGACCCTTGCAGTTGACATCGACAGTTTGCTCCCACTCGTCAGTCTGACAGTTGGCCATCATGGTGAAGTACATAACACCCGCGCAGCTGACAAGGATATCGACAGGGCCAAGCTGCTCAGTGGCCTCCTTCATCAGGGACTCCACCTGGGCCTTGTTCGTCACATCCGTCTTGTGGATCAACACTTTACCACCGTAAACGCTAATCTTCTTCTTGACGCCTTCCAGAGCCTCGGTCCGGCGAGCCGCCAGGGCCACATGGGCACCCTCCTTGGCGAGACCAGCTGCCACAGCGGCGCCAATTCCAGAAGAGGCACCAGTAACGACAGCAACCTTGCCCACCAGACGACCCTTGCGCACCTTCTTGGCACAGCCGTTGGTTTGCTCGCGTCGAGGAGGGCGAGATAGCCAACCGCGGGCGTAGAAGTGTCGCATGTAAATCTCGAGAAGTCCGTCGTTCATCTTAGGACGGGGGACATCATACTTGTCAAGTGTAGGCTGTGTCTTGCCATCCTTGAGCACAATGACTGACTTGAGGACCTCGACACTGGGCATTCCACCACGGAGAATGTCGACTGTGAAAGGATCATCTCCAGTCCTTCTGTTGCCGCGCTTCTCCCACCACAAAGCAACCCACTCATCCCACGATAGAGGCTCAGTGGGGTAACCAAGCTTGGCCAAAGACGCAAACAGGTCCTTGGAAGCAACGGGAGAAGGATCACCTAGGTGGTACAGAGTCTGCTCAGTGTCGTCGGTATGGTTGGCGAGGGTAACAATAGCGTCGCTGACAAAGTCAACAGGAGTCATCTCCAAGTACCAGCCCTCGACATCAGGAGCGCGACCAAGCTGAAGAGACTCTACAAGAATAGCATTGATCAAATCCCAAGCATTGGTCGAACCTGAGACACTGTGGCCGGTGATAGTTCCAGGACGGTAAACCCGCACGGGAATGCCTCGACGGCTCGCCTCATCGACAAGCTTCTCGGCAACCCACTTAGTCTGACCATAGCCATCCAACAGCTTGGTAGGAACATCGTCAACATCGATGACAGTGTTCTCACACCAGCCTGTGTGCGAAGGTGGAAGCACACCGTTGGTAGAGACATGGTGGACAGTGGCACCGCTGCGGCCAGCAAGTCGAAGAACCTCCCTGGTTCCCATAACGTTGGCGTTTCGTAGGGCAGCATAGGGGTAGACCAAGTTGACAGTGGCGGCGGCGTGCACGATAACCTGCACACGGGTCGCGAGCTCGTCGAAGACTTCAGGGGCAAGACCAAGGCGTTTCCTTGTAAGAGTGCCAGGCAGGATCTCAATACGCTCAAGCAGGTAATCCTCCCAAAGTCCAAGATCGATCAAATTCTTTCGAATTCGAGCCATACCAGCAGGGGCACAGTCCTCCACAGGCTCAGGGAATCGCACGAGGCAGATAATCTGAGCGTCAGTAGAATCGACCAGGTTCTTGAGAAGGAAAGCGCCCAGATAACCAGTAACGCCGGTAAGAAGGATCGTCTCAGCGTCTCTCAGAGCACGCATGGGAGTACCGTTGCTCTGGATGTCCTCAGGGAGTACAGAGTCTGCGCGAAGAACAGCTGGTAGATCAGCCTGCACAGCAGCGGTGTGACCGTCGCGGGCAGCCTTGATGGCTGAGACATGACCTTCTAGAGTAGGGTTTCCGGCCAGAGGAGCCAGGGGAACGGGGAATCCGAAGGTCTTTGTGAGGCGACCAGCGAGATCAGCGAGTGCCAGAGAGTGACCGCCCAGGTCGAAAAAGTCATGCTTTGGTGTGATAACATTGGCAGGCATGTTGAGAGCTGCAGCCCACAACTGGATGACAGTCTCAGTCTTGACCTTGATGTTCTGCTCCTTCTTCTTGGGGGTAGGTCTGGGAGATCTTGGAGATGGAGGCGCAGGCAGAGCCTTGAGATCTGTCTTTCCAGAAACACCATGCGTGGGTAGCTCGTCCAGTTCAACCCAGACTGAGGGAATCATGTAGTGAGCAAGAAGATCGGTCAGGGCACGGCGAGCAACGGGACTGTATCCATACTCGTCAACGAGGGGAATGGTTCGGTCTCTGGACTCGCCCTCCTCTCGGACGATGTAAGCAACAATCTGTCTCTCCAGACCTTCACCATGAGCCACGACTGCACAATCTCGGACAGCAAGGTGCTTTCGGATAGCACTCTCGACAGCACCAGGCTGGACAGTGTACCCGCGGGTCTTGATCATTCCACCCACTCGGCCAGTAATCTCCAGGAGTCCGCTAGGAAGTATCCGCGCCAAATCACCAGTTCGGTACATGCGCGCCTCCTTGTCTCCGGCGAAAGGATCTAGCTGGAACGCCTTGGCTGTTGTTTCGGGCAAGTTGAGGTATCCTCGTGCTAGAAGGTTGCCACCAACGTAAAGCTCGCCGCTCACGCCGGGGTTGACTCTGTTACCAGCTTCATCGAGAACATAGGTATGCTCAGGATCTGTGGGAAGGCCAACAGGGCACACTTGCGTGTCGAAATCAACGAATGTCTTGATATCACCCACAGCAACCTCGTGAGTCTCACAAGCACTGTAGACGTTGAGAAGGCGCGTTTCAGGGAGAGCATCCATCGCGCGGTGGACGAGATCTGTGGTGACGACCTCGCCATTCAGCCAAAGCGAGCGGAGGTGGGGTAGTTTCTCGCCAAGCTTAGGATGTCGAGAAAGAACTGTGGCCAAAAGGGTAGGAGTCATGAGGGTATCAGTGATGCGCCATGAAGAAAGGAGCTCAACAAGAGCAGTGGGGTCGTAACTGGCGTGGTCGGGAATAGCGACAGTTGTGGCACCTCGAATTAGAGGTCGGAGCATCTCCCAGATGAAGAAGACGTTGCAAGCTACCCTGTCACCAGGCTTAAGGTCGCTGACTTCAAAGCGCAAGTCGTAGGAGCGGATTGCGGCTCTGTGTGGGTTCATGATACCCTTGGGCTTTCCAGTAGTACCGGAGGAGTACGAGACGAAGAGTAATCGCTCAACATCGTCATCCTCTGGCAATGACCGCCTGTCGGCCAAATGAGGTGAGGTTTCTCCCCTGGCCAATTTGTCGGGGCTGTCGACGACAATAACAGGAGTTTCAGATGTGAGATTGGTGGAGTGCTCAACTTGGGTGAGAATAACAGTTGGCTTCGCATCTTCAATAACATCTCGTAGAAGACCTGGAGGGTAGGCGACCTCGAGGACGAGAAAGGCACCACCAGCTCGAAGGGCAGCGAGAGCGGCAATAACGTAATCAGCACTTCTGCCCATGAGAACACCGACGAGATCATCGCGACCAACTCCGTAGTCACGCAATCGCTCGGCTAGAGCCCAAGTTTCTCTGTCGAGCTCTGCATATGTGAGGGATCTCTTCTCATCTTCGAGCGCCACAGCATCGGGAGTGGCTGAGGCCTGCTGCTCAAAGAGAGCAGCGAGATCCTTGTTGACATCAATAATGGTCATGATGTCGAGAATGTGGTAGTGGTAGTGGGATGAATGAGGCTCAATGGGAGGAGAGAGTCTGGGTAGTGGTATCTTTTAAAAGATATGGAAGGAGAGCGGTGGGTGGGTCACGCGACCACTAGGAGGAGATGTCGGTGACGGGTCCGGTAACGACCAATCCCCAACAATTACAGTACTGACGTGCCTTGGACTAGGGGAGTGGATGATTCCTTTTCTGGGGTTCGGTAAGGCTAGATTATGTGTGAACTGAGTATTGAGCCGAGATGGGCTGAGATTGCTTCTCGTCGTGCACGCAAAACGTTTCTCAAGTTCCCATATCGTGAAGGCTTAAGGGTCTCGCGGGGTCAATTAAGGTTGTGGGATAAGGCGTCTTGGCTGTCAAACGGATGCCACAACGTCTCTCAAGAGCAAACAGATACAACAATGAAGAATCTTATGGTCCGCAAGGGTATCACCCGTCTGTTTATGAACCGAAACATAGAAAAAGAGGCCACCTGGAAGCCCAACGCTCGCATTTTATTTACGAGGACGGTGCATCTCTACCTGGACGGTGCCAATTGACATGCCCCCACGAAGAATTGATAGTTGATGATTGGGCTAGAGCAGCGCTATACCACTGGGTCTAGGGACAATTCAGGCCTAGTTGCCCGCCAATTTTGGAGTAGGAGGCGGAGGGAGGGCACTGACTCCATTGTGGTCCTGGAGAAAGCGTCAACATGGAGGGGAAGTTTTGCATGTGGTCAATGGAAGGGTCTTCTTATCTTCCCTATTAATTCTTGTTCAATACCACAATTTTGTCTAATATAATGTGGCTCCCATGAAGCTCTATCAGTCCAGCAAGATATGGAAGAAACTTCATCACTGTCGATCAAGAAATAAGCCTGCAAGGGACCTCTCAACCAACCAGCTGGGCCACTTTCACGTGCTAGAACACTCACTGCAGTATCCCTGTTTTGGCCCTGGAGCGCCAATCGGAATCACCCAGAAAGCGTTCCAGGGTAACCTTGATAGTATCACAATTCAAGACGTTCTCAACATCAACTCCCCGTCGGTAACCTCGTGTAAACAATTATTCAAGGGACTTTTGTAATCGTATTTCTCTGCATTTCAATGACACGTATCTGCAAGTTTACAGCCATGTAAGTTTGTTGTGACAGCATGACCATACACATGTGTGCACATATGCACAATGTGCTAATCCTAGCAGCCCAAAACTTGCATCTCCTCACTCAAAGTCTCAAACCAACACACCCACATATGAAGTGCGGGATTAATTAAGAATTCGACTATTTTGGTTCCATCTCACGCGAGGTGGTGCAGAGCCTAGCACATCATTCGGATCTCGCAGGGCAGAATTATTCTCCCCGTTGATATCATCAGCTCATGAGCGTTCCTTTTCCTCTTAACCGGCCGACTCACAACCGCTTCAGCTCTCTCCTCGCGAACTCTACCAACTCATCGCCCTTTTCAAACTGAAAATCGGAGCAATTGATCCTCTAGAAGACGCGTTGCATCGCGATTCTCCCCGTCGTGCGTGGCCCTGATTGGCGCCGACGACCCGAAGCAGAGGGGTCGGGCCATCGCCACCACCGTCGAGCATTGCCCTATTGATCTTGGCGCATGACGCCCCGGGGAGTCTATTTCTTGGAGGGCCGACGAATCAACGGGTTTGTGATGAGCTTGTTTGGGGCACAGGATTCGTGGCCTGGCTCTTTCATTCGTTCTGCTGCCGTGGTTTGTAGATGATTGGGTATTTGTTGGGGTGGAAGGGAATGCGTTGTGAATATTCTGTTCTTAGAAATACGCCAAGATATGATATCACAAATATTGTCAACTTTTACTAGACAAGTCATAAATGGTATCAAGGCATACTTTCACAAGGCAAGTTTTCATTTGGCCCGGAATGTCTCATCCACCTCCATCTCGGATGCGTTCCATCGAAAGAGGCTTAAGGTTGGGCGGGACGACGTCAGCGACTTTGTTGGCACAGAACCACTAAACACCAATGAGATGCTCTGGACCGTAAACGAATTATTTGACTTGCCTTGACTGGTTATCAGGCAAGGATTTTCTTGTTTAAAGAAATACTAAATTAGGTGGTGTACAGTACGTGTGCGATAGCATTCACTCTGGCCGATGGGGGATATCTTTATTCTCTTTCGCCAATGGCTTGCAGTCAGGAAAAGACATGCTTCCTTCTTGATACTTCTGTTGGTAAGTACGAGTACTGACATGATGGCGACGACAAGACAAGGTATGATAAAAAATTCTCTTCTACCAATTTTCGCAGATAATGTTTATTAACTCACATTGCCGAAGCGATCTCTCTGTTCCGCTCTCACTCGATATCTTGATTAGAACGTGACAGGCGCAATAGTTATGGAACCATCTGGCTCATAACCTCGAGATAATACCAATAAACACTAGTAGACACTCACACTCACACAGCTACTCGGCGGAATAACTTCCAAAGCCAGACCCTGGGAATATCGGCTATAATCATTGCCATAACCATGGGCTGATCTCTAACAATTTTCCGGGCCCGCAAAATATTGTCAAACGATAAGATAAAAAAGACCCGCCAAAATAACGCCCTTTGTCATGTCGTGTCATTCATGCTGGGCCCCATCGTGTCAAAACTACGACGCCCTTTGCCATGTCTTGACACGCTGCTAATAAAAAATTACCAAATAATTTGATGCTTTTGGCGGTAAAGCACCCTAGTTCGTCTCTAACTCGCTGTCTCCTGCCACTCTCATGCCATGGTTGACGTAAAATAAATTCATGCCGTCGTAGGGTGACATGCCAGGTTATTAAAGTAAGCGATGCCCCCTGGGATTTGTTCCGTCTACTCTTCTCGAATCCTGTCCTGGATACGATCCTGACTTCGAGCGAAACCGAAACCGATCTCATATTACATTCGACTTCACACACGTTCGAGATCTCAAGTGTTCAGGGTATCATTCGTCTCATTACAACTATTCCTGCTATACGCTCAAAAAAAGGGATACAAAAAACTTTTGCTACTTTTCCAACACCCAAAACTCCAAATCGACCGTCGTTTACATCACTTCTCGTCCCTTGCTCAGATCAACCTCAGCCAGCGGCACAACCTTGGTGCGGCAGATGAGCTTGTGGCCGATGTACAGAACGGCGAAAAGCATCAAGCTGATGTAGTTGGAGAAGAAGTCGGCCACGCTCCAGTCAATGAAGGCTGTGAAACCACAAGTAATGGTGATGAGAGCTACGAAGAAGGCGCCATAGTATGACAGGTAAGGCTGGAGAGGCGCAAGGTAGGGAAGCTCGGAGCGAGGAATGCCCTGGACGCGCATGATCTTCTGGAAGCGAATGTGGCAGACGTTGATCAAAACCCAGGTGATGAAGCATGAGGTGGAACTGACGTTCAGGAGCCAGTTGAAGACCTCGGCACCGCTGGAGGAGAGGTTGATGTAGGCGATGAGGCCCATGACGGAGCAAGAGGCCACGGCGAAGTATGGGGTGCCGAACTTGTTGGTGCGCTTCATGAAGGCAGGGGCAAGACCATCCTCAGCGAGAGCAACCATGATACGGCTACTGGAGTAGACGTTTGAGTTGGCAGCTGTGAGAATGGCTGAGAGGAGAACTGCGTTGATGATGTCAGGGAGCACCTTGACACCAGCACGCTTAGCGACAATGACGAGAGGTGAAGCAGAGGCATCCTGAGCACCGCTGTCAAGGTTGGGATCGTTAGAAGGCACGTTGATGCCGACGAAGAAGACGGTGGCCATGAACAAGCTGAAAATACCCCAGAAAGTCCAGCGGATAGCCTGGGGGATAGCCTTACGGGGGTTGGCAGTCTCACCGGCACCGACACCGACGAGCTCGGTTCCCTGGTAGGAGAAACCAGCAGTGACGAGGACAGCCCAGAAACCGACGAACTTGCCAGTGGGACCGTCAATGTCCATGTAAGTGTTTGTGACACCAGGATCCTTCCAGTACTTGAAACCGATGTAGCCCTCGTCGCCAACACCAGCGTTGACGCAGATGGAGAAGATGATGAAGCCGATGATGGTAACAACCTTGATCATGGAAAACCACATCTCAATCTCGCCGAAAATGCGGACAGGGACAAAGTTAAGCGCAGTGAACATGGCCCAGAAGATGCTGATCCAGATGGCAATGCTGAGGTCCTGATCCCAGTACTGGATGATGATTCCGGCAGCGACAAGCTCGAGGGCAAATGTGATGGACCAACTGAACCAGTATAGCCAACCCATGGCAAAGCCCAAGGTAGGATCAACAAAGCGAGCGGCATACGAGGTGAAGGAACCGGCAATAGGGATGTACGCGGCCATCTCGCCCAAGCTGACCATGACAGCGTAGACGACAGAGCCCATAAAGGCAAAGGCGACGAGCAGAGACACGGGACCGGCCTTGACGAGGGCAGGGCCAACACCGAGGAACAGACCAGTTCCAATGGTACCGCCAATGGCGATGAACTGCAGGTGACGAGAGGTCATGGCCCGGTCAAGGCCAGCCTCGCCGTTCTCGACATCCTCCTTGTCGCCCTTGTGCTTCTTCTCGTTGCTCACACGGGGCGACTTTTCGTCTGCCGAGGATGAATCGACAAGCATGATTGCTGTGATAGTCTGAAACCACTCGGACCAATTTTATATTTATATCAAATTGGAAGTGAGGCTGGTGGTGATGAAGACGGAAAAGGGCAGTGAAAGATTAGATGGTTCTCGCTTGAAAGAGGAGAAAGAAATCAGCCGAGGCGAGAGAGAGGGAATAATGATGTGATGAGATGAGAAGACCGAGAGACCGGAAGACCAAGTGGGTTGGAAATGAGTCTGTTATGTAAAAAAATGGACTTCAACTGTCAACGACGGTATGGGGACGGGCATGGGAACAGGATCGGGAATGGCCCATGGGCCCATTACGAAAAATTTCGATATATCGGAGCCAGAGCCAGAGAAGTCCAGTCCTTGTCGCTTGTCAAAAAAAAAATTGGTCTGTGTGAGTGGATGTGTGTGGCCAGTCTTAGTCTGAGTCTCAGTGCCAGTTTAATCCCGTCGATGAGTTTTGCCTCTTCGGTGATGAGCGAAAACTGCAAACTCCAAGGACAGACGCTCAATGATGATCATTTTCGGCCATAATTGATCAGTCACACGGGTTTATTCCCCCAATTTCCTCTTTCAATTCTACATCACCTCACGCAATTACCCCCCAGTCATTTAACACAAACAACACGTGGAACCCCCTTGGTCAAATGTTACAGTAGGAAATATCGCGAGATGTGAGATGTTTAGTGCTGCGGTCTCCGGCTCGTTGCCGAGTTAGGTTCCCGGGCCTGTCACCCTAGGAAAAGAAGAAAAAAATCAACGTCAGGGGTTCTTGAGGCGCCACTAATACATCCTTGCCACGGGCTTGGCCGCTGAGAGAATTATCGCACGCGACCAATCAGCTTGTCTCTCGAGGTTGAAAAAAGGACCAAGACAGAGATTTTTGCGTGCAGATCACAGTGGCTTGATAGCTGCAGCCACCCGATCCCAAGAGTGTTGTTAAAACAGGCTTCGATTTGTTCCATGCAGAATTCTTAAAACCTCTTGCGGACGTGAGTGGCTAGAGTGGCCTGACAGCTTTTTTCTTTGCAGGTCGGGCGATTTAGGACGAGCAAGGGGAGCAATGCCAAGCTACGCGGCTCTCACAGTCATAGCTTCATAGCTAGCCCGACGACAACCTCCCATCTCCGAGACTATTCCTTCTGCCCTGTCTGTCTGTGACTCTTTAAATCCAGTCATGACTTCAATCTCCATTATCGGAGAGAGAGCACTGGCCAGGATAGGATAAGCAATCGGCGTAAACGGTGAAACTTGCTGGGAATAATGGATCTCGTGAAACTGGGGATAATTACATTACACTGGGGATCCATCCTGGGACATGGGCTTCTTCTGTGTTACGGTTACGTACAGATATGAGATGCAGAAAATAAGCATTTTATGGCGTCAAACGGTTTGGTAAGCCAGTCTTTTGAGGAGAACCTTGTCGTTGCGATTGGGCTTTGCATGTTTCCATTATGTACGTTTAGTTCCGCTCGAGATCCAAACGCTTGCTGTTGCTGGGGTTTGGGAACGGGCCGAGAGTTGGTGATTGAGTCATTAGTGAATCGCGTTTCGATGTGACGGAACTCGTTGCTATCATTCAATCGGATGTAAAGCCTCAATCCCCAGTCAAACCTCACAGCTAATCCCCGAATTAGCATTCCGTAGCTCGAGTTGCCTCTTTGCGAGCCAACACTACGGCGTAGCTGATATCCCTCACAGCAACATCAAACGGACCATCACTGCATAAGCACAATCAATTTCCCCAAGAAGAGATTCCCTCCGCGATATCCCCATGGTTCGACAATCTCGCTTGGGTCCCTGCTCCTACGGGTCTCACCACCGTTCCAGTGACACATTCTTTTGACGAACGTTTGTGCCATAACCCTCTCAGCTTGCGACTTTCAGGGCTAGGATCACGATAGGGATAATAATATTAGATCCGGGAGATCTTCCCGCAAGGACCTGCATGAGTTGAACTGGGCTAGTGATAAAACATCGTGATCGTGTCGTTCTAGGCCTGTGTCTGATAGGCTTGAGTCGGGTTTTCTTATTTTATCCTCGACAGCTTCCACTTTATTAGTGTTGTTGGTTCTGAAGACTCAAAAGGACTTGAATATCCATGGTTGGTTCCATACTGGTGAGACAGAGGTGAGAGTGTTGGTTGCGGCGTAGCAGACAGATGGGACCGGAGCCTCAATGTCACACCACTAACGACATGCCACTCCACGGCGAAATCATTCACCAGTGGAAGATTATCTGGAGGGAATATGCCTAAGTTGTTTTCCCGATCCGACCGGTTGATTGTGGATGTGACTTTTGATGCAAGATGGTTTGGTATGATGTATTGCACTGCAATTTTAGCCCACGGCGGCGGCTTACCTCCCTATCACGTCCACATTGGGTTGAATTCGCCTAAGGTTGTTCTGGAAACTTCACTGCAATTTTAACCTACTGCGGCGGCTTACCTCCCATCACGTGCAGTTTATATATCAACACTACGGTATGAACAACTTCACTGCAACTTTGAACAAATCTTCAAGATTGCTCAGCTTAACAAAGACTGGTACTGATATTATATCCATTGTTCATCGGCCTCGACCACAGACAAAGTCTCGGCATCTCACTATCAAGAATATCCCAAGGGATAAGAAGTCGACTTAACCTTTAGATAGCATATTCTAGTGAGCGCCAACGACATGCCACCTCAATGTGGATTGTAATTATCATTTGAGAAGCAGACAACATAATTCCAGAATGAACATGCCCATCGCGGGAATTAGTTTCGAGGCAATAGTTTCCGACTCATCCCTTTGTCCACTTAGCTTTGCTAAGGCTACCAGTGCAACCTATTTAAAACTCCGATCAAATCCGAAGATTATCACAGTGACATCAAATATTTGGGGAGAGAAGAGTATGATTTTGACTATCGTGGGAGCCAGTAGAAAGTAGAGCTCAAGCGGCGCCAGGAGAATTATTTCGTCATTGTTCTGACCAAACTTAACCCAATTGCGATGACATTCAGTTCATAAAGGCGTTTTGAGCCCATTCTCAATGATCGTGCTCCGTGAAGGAAGTAGGGGAATGGTTTTTTCCCCCTTTTCACTGCAGTTTTAACCCACCCCAACTCTCTTCACTGCAATTTTAGATCACCTGATTCTACACAACTTCGCTGCGAATTTAACCTTATTTTAAGGCTTACTCTAACAAACACTAATCTGGAAATCCATCCTCCAATCACCCTCATATATGTCTGTAGTCACTTTGCATCACGAAAAAGATAAAATTATCATTTTATTATGCACTCTCAATTAACCTCCCCACACGCATTAATCCCGGACATGGGAGTTCATGACAATATTAGAATGTATTAAAACGCGGATTTAATACTCTGGGCATCTTAAAGCTATTCATAACAGCGTATAAGAACATTATAAGTATAACCATAAACCCCTCTTGATGGCCTAACCTTAGTGGTCACGGATGACCTGCTGAACCTTGGGGTACACCCGGACCATCTCGTTGTACAGCTCAGGGTGATCGCGCCACAAAACTTGAGGATCCCAACCGGCAGCAACGAAGATAGTCTCGAGACCGCTTGAAATGGGCGTGGTGATGATGTTTGCGATCTGGAACCCGATGAGGAAGGAAAAGGCCACGACGACTGGGGTGTATTGGCCCTCGCTGTTGTAAGCAGGGTCGGTGAAGTAGAGGTACAGGTAAGCCAGAAGAGCACAAGCATACGCGATGAAAAGGGCGCCGAAAGAAAGGACAGGTCCGATGAGGCAGTCGTTGATGAGAGCGTCGATTCCACGGTCCTTGATCATCTTCCAGGTATCCTTTGCAGCTGCGAAGTAAGGCTTGCCGTAGAGGGCGATGTGGCAGAAGGCATAGCGGTTGAGGAACTCGACGGCCCACTCCAGAAGACCAAGCAGACAACTAACGCAGCAGAACACTGCGTAACCGATCATGCTGCCGTCAGAAGCCTCCTGGTTACGAGCAGCGTTGCAGAGCTGGCGTAGGAACTGCACGATGGCAACCAGCAAGCTGCCCAGACTAATGGAACCAAAACTGTAGGTCAAGGCACGCTTGGCAGAAGCGCGAGTGGCATCCTTGGGGAAGTTGTGAGGATTGAAGTACCAAGAGCCATAGACGCCGGCAATCGTTGTGTGGATTGTGTTCTTGAGCCACTCGGAGAACCAGTACATGGCAAAGGTGATGAAGGCGATAAGACCGATAACCTTGCCCTTGCTACAACTTCCGTCGGTGCAAGAAGGATTGTCGTTGGAAGGCTGGTATTTGATGTAGACAGCTACCAAAGTGATCGAGTACCAAGCGGAGAAAGCCGTGGCAATGATGCCTCCGATAAGACTAGTGAGATAGACATGACCGTACTTCTTGCTGACATCGATGGTGGTTCGGAGCATAAGAGCCGAAAAGGGGATTCGCGAAATCCAGGTCCAGAAGCAGAAAGCCATGAAAAGACCAAAGATCAGGAACACTATTCCAGCGGACCAGTATTTGCGGTACAGGTAAAAGATGGCCGTTCCAATTGCGAAGCACACATTGAGAATGCCGGTGACCCAGATGAATTGCTTGGGGAAGACTCGTGCAAGCCAGATATATGCGAAGGAGAGGACAAATGCGACGGCGAGGACAAACATGAAGAGGATGACGGTACTCGTGTTGAGAGAAAAGTCGTTGCGATTGCCATAGATTCCATTACCAGCGTTGCCCTTGTTAGAAGCGTATCCTTGAAGAACGAGACCAGACACGGCGGCAAAGCCGATCATGACGGCGATCAGAAGGATGCCAGCCCAGAGATCATTGTACTTTGGCTTTGCGATCTTGAACTGCTCGTCGAAAGAAGTCTTCTCGTTGCCGTTTTCGTAGCCCTGGGAGGGCATGTAGCCATTGCTGGCATTTTGGGGGGGACCTCCTTGATACTGCTGGGGCGGCGGCGGTTGGTACTGCTGCTGCTGCTGCTGCTGATAAGACGCAGCAGGCTGTTGAGGCTGGTACTGTTGCTGATAACCCCCGTTGGAGTACGGTTGCTGTTGGTTTGGCGTGTAATAATTGTCGGCTTCGCCCATGATGGCGACGACTCGATGGAGTTCTTGATGAAGCTTGCTTTGTTGTTCAATGAAGCGTTGAAATTAATTATCAGATGAAAATTCCGAATCCCTATCGGATGTTTGTTTTTCGCGATCGGAATGATGATCGGCGCAGGGATGCGTGGATACGAATACCGAATGCGATTAATCGTTACCGGCGGTCGCGACGGGTGACTGAAAAAGCCCGCGACGTTAATTAATTAATTAGAGTATGGCGTTCGATAAAGTCGTTGATAGGATTAAAATCGAAATCGGGGGGACAAAACCAAGCAAAGGATGTCGTAGCAAAAAGATCATGACAGCTGCTAATAAAACATCCAAGCGGGGCCTCCAAGATTGGCTCAAAACAAAATCAAAGACATCACGGCAGCTTGGCTCGGCTTGGTGATGTCATTGCGACGCCAGCTTTATCAAGATGTAACGGAATATGGCTTAGCCAGAACCTCTCAGCCAATGAACTCGAGAGAAGACGGAAAGTGCCCTGTAGCTGTGGTGCCTGCGCAGCTGAAGCATATGCTGGGCCGAGACTGCTAAGACCCGCTAGAGGCTTGTCGAAATGCCGACATGCCGTGTGCTACCTTAGTAGTCTTGTCCTATTGAAGATGGTTTCAATCATGCAGCTAGACTTTTCTAACACTGCTAATTGCTGTTCCTTTTTCTTTCTTATCGAAACTGCTTCAAGAGATTAGGCTGATTGGTTAGCCTGTGTCCCTATCGTGGAGGAAAGGTGATACACTGCTTAGAGAAACACGATGTGTTCTTCGTTATTGCACGCAACGAAAAGCTGGGAAACCCTCTTTGGGTTACGCATACTTAATCCGTCCATAGTACATATCCCAATGCAGATTAATGTGGTGTTTGTCCTCTGTAACGGATGCAGCCCGCCTAATGTTGGACCATCAAGATCGTCATGCGTATCACAATGAGACAAAGCTCTAAGATAACATTCCAACAGTAGATTATGCCGACTGAAATAAATACGCATGTAATTGTTTCTTCTTCGAAAGGAGGATGAGTTGATCTATACATTGAGACTCTAAGTTACCCACCTGGAGATTAATTATAACAATTTGTTATCGAAATCTGACCGTTACATCATTGTGTAATTCTTCCAACACCATTATCGTTCATACGATACAACACGAAGCCATTCAACATTGGTTCAGTGACCTTCGGCAGGAACATTATTGCGGACCGTTTTAAAGGTACCTAAAGACTAGAATGGCATTTCCATATTCTAGTCAGGAACCAGTGAATCTAGTAGCGAAGTCAATTGCAATGAGATAGTGTAAGAGGTGACAATGAGCAAACCATGAAATATGAGATCTAACACAACAAACTAAAACAATGTAAGAGTTCTTAAGTAGGGTCATGCACAGCTTTCGCGATGTTTGGATCTCATCGATATTCAGCATCAGACAGATACGATCTCCATCATTCGGGCTGTCACTTCAAAGACTATCATGCTTGACACAACACTTATCGACTTCCAAATACATCGTCAGCCAAATACACTATATTCAAACAACCAAGATATTACCCTAGAGCAATTGTCTCATGTGAAAGAGTAGTATTGTACCTAATCAAAGCTATCCATTCCCAACCCAAACGCCATGTTCCCAACCGTTATTCCCAATTGCTGTTCTCAATCGTACAAATTCTGTATCCTATCTTACTTTGCTGGCCTACTGCACCATCTCATATAGCCGCTCTACCGCCTCTCTGCTTTCGCAAGCCGCTCCTTGGCCGCCTCGACAACACTCTTCCGCAGCGCCGGTCCCGGCACATCTCCCTCTTCACCATCAGGAACAACTGCCCATTTCCTCGCGGATCCTTGCATTCCTGCCCAAAGATCCGTTGGTAGAAATTCACCCACGTCTTGTCGGAACGTGTCACGGGATTCGCGGTCGGCGTCGAGAAGTTTGTTGGCGCTCTCTTGGGCTTTGCGCCAGATACTGCGGACCCGATCGTCTACGGCGCGACGGCGCTCGACTTCGAGAATAAGACTGTCGTAGGCGCTTGCGTAGCGCTCATAGAATTCCTTGAGTTGCTGCATTTCTTGCAGCTTGGCGAAAATGCTCTCTTTCTCCATATCCCACCGTGTTTTGAAGTCTCCCTCGGCGGCGACGTAGTCGGCGAGTCGATCGCCAATCTCTTGGAGCATGACATATGCCATCACCATACCCGAGTAGGCCCGCTCCGAGGTCTCTTGTTGATCCTGCAGCACGATATATTCCTGCTCCATCGCCGCGAGGCGTTCCTGTATCTCCTGGACGACGTCGTCTACCTCGGCTGCATCTTGCACAACGACTTTTAGCATCTCAGCCCGATCCTTAACCGTCTTCGGCTCGAGGTCTGGCACGTTAGACTCTTGCTCGGCGATGACGCCTGAAATAGAGACGCCGTCGCTCCCTTGAGACTGTGTGGCTTCGGCGGCTCTACGACGGGCGAGAGCGACGCCACCTTCTGTCGTACGGACGGCGGTAACGCACATGTCGAAGTGATGCGTCAGAGAGGCCAATAAATGGGCCATATTGGCTGAGTGGTCGAACAAGCTCTCAAGTAGCTCGGCAGAGGGCGGATTGCTACCATCCCGGATGTCGCCTATTAAGCTTGGGGTATCGATAATGATGTTCTTCAAATTGCGAATGTCGGTATCCAGGCGGAGTAAGTCGCCGTCAAAGGACTGCTGAATGGCCTTTTCTGAGTCAGCAGATGATTTGCGATAGCTTCATCTGGGAGAACTTACCTGAAGCTCCTGTATGCTCTTCTTCATAGCCTCCCGCACGCCGTGTACACCGCCTTCATCAATAAAATCGAGAAGGCTTCGTCTTTCCTCGCCCTTGGGTCGGAAAACACCCTCGACTCCTGTATCGCGAAGCATTTCCATGGTGTGTTCCAGCTCTCCATCAACCAAATCCATCGACTTCACCAGCTTCTTAAAGTCTTTCTTTCCCCAAGCATAAGTGCTTTGTAAACTCCTACGCACTCGAACCAGTATCGCCGCCTGGTCGAGAGTAGACGTTCGTAGGAAGCCCGACTGGGCAGCTAAGACGGCGATATCTTCATGTGATTGCCGAGCATCGTTCGCGATATCGTGGGCGCGCAAAACAAGGGTCATGGAGGAAAGCGATCGTTTGGCGAGGAAGAGATAGTCGACGAGAGTGTCGATGGAGATGGAGTCCGCGCTGGAGTCGGCATCTTGATGTGTGAAGGATCGCGACCGTGATGAGTTTGAGTTCCGAGATTGGGAGGCTGATTGTGGGTGCAATTGTCCGGATGAGGCTCCGGACGAGCCATGGCTGCGGCGCAAAGAGGTAGCAGGTGAGGATGCCATGTTGAATGAAACGTGATTGATGTAGATACTAATAATCTCCCATGACTACATGGTGGGAGGTAAAGAAAAAGAATAGCACAAGAAGAAGAAGAAGGCTGAATGTTACACGAGATGCAAAACGAAGGTACAAGATGAAAGAGAGAGACGAGAGACCGCAAGTGCAGTGCGACGATGACGGAACTTCGCGATAAGCTAAGCTTCCGTTATCGCATGGTTCCATTCACTGTAGGCTCTGCTCCACCCTGTAGTCTAGGCTGACGACTCACCTACGGTTATACCTGGAGCTGACTCGTTATTCCAGGGACTAGCCCGGCTTTGTTCAGGCGCCCTGCAGTGAGTCTAGGCAGAATTAGCGCCACTTTGTAGGCTGTCTCAGGTCCTGGCGCTGTCTCAGGCCTGCAGCTTTGTTCTGTTTGCGATGTGGAATTCATTCCTGTCAGGCACGTGGAAAGGACATGAAAAGGATCCACATGGGTCTATTGGTTGCCGCCATTCGGGTCACCTATGTCGCAAAAATATCATCTCACTTAGAGCGAGGATGGTGAAATAAGTGGGTTTTATGAGAACCGTAGTGAGTGAGATGTGTACTTGTAAATCAATTGCTCAAATCAATCTTGATATCTCTACTAAAGTAACAATATTCGTGTCGTCGTTCCTAACAGAAACCAATCCCATGCGCCTATCCTCCACCCAAAGTCATCAATTACCCATAATCTAAAAAATTATCTCGATATCATATGCTTTCGAGGCATGATCTTCCCAATAATCTCTAAAGCGCTCTCTTGAAATGCAATTTCGTAACCTACGCCTCATACTCAACGGCTTGTAGGGGGAATCTCCAGGCGACGGTCATGCTCATATGGCGTCGGTGCTGGGGAACTGACTCTGGTTGTGAAAGCAGAATCGATGTGGAAGTAACTCTTGATGGAAGAGTACTTCTCTCCAGTGGTGCCCTCGTCTTCCACGTACTTGCCATCCTTATGAATGACAGCCTTTTGAATGACAGGAGTGTAGATTCTGCGCTCCTCGGATCTGGACTTGCGGACATATCTGTCTCCAGCTCGGCCACCACCTGCGTTGGACTGAGCGTTATCGAGGTCACCAGCGCCCTTTGGTCCCATGCCTCCTTCCAGAAGCTCACCACCCTCCATGACGGTGCGAAGCTCAAGGTTCTCGTCCTTGGAGTAAACACGAACACCCACAATGCAGATGGCATTCCAGGGTTCAGGCATCTTCTCCTCTTCCGAGTCCCACTCCTCCTGGGCTCCAGCCTGGTTGGCTTGTGTCAGACGAGGCTTACGGGCCATGTCGTCGCTGCTGTATAGAGCCTCCCAGTCCTCCACAGGAGAGTCCGAAGACTCGCCGGCAGAATCGTAGGCAGGTCGGGAGCGAACTGGATATGGCTGCTCTTCCTCAATAGGAGCTGGAGGAGGTCCTCCGCTGACAGGGGGTACCTCTTCTTTCTCACCAGCGGCATCTGCCGTTGACTCGACGCTCTTGGGTGTGAAGTTAGGAGATCCAGTTGAAACAGAGATCACGGCATCGTCAAGATCCTTATGATGATCGTTAACGACAACAGGCTCATCTTTATCTTTAGCCGACAACTTCATCTCCTCAGCCTTCTTGCTTAAAGCCTCGTCGTCAGCCTCCTGGGCCTTCTTCTCAGCTTCAGCAGCCCTTTCGGCCTCGGCCTTGGCAAGCCTTTCCTTCTTCATCTGTTGTCGCTCAGCCCTGACCTTGGCGTTGAACTCCTCATCCAGACGACTCTGCTCGGCTTCCCACTCCGCTCGACGACGTTGCCTCTTCTCGAGGTTCTTCTTGTTCTGTTGCTTAGAAACTTCGCGATTGGTGACACGCTTCTCCCACATCTTGCGACGCTCCTTTTGACGGCAGCCAGAAGCCTTCTGCTGATCCTTCCTCTGGCGAAGCTTTGTGACCTTGTCCATGTGATCCCAGGCCTTGCTGTGAGCGAGATCATATGCGTAGCCAACCTGAGAAAGCTTTTCGTTCTCGGTTCTCTTGGAAGCTTCGCGCTTGACAACCTGCTCAACTGACTGGGCACCAGAGTCTCGTTCAGCAGTCACCTTAAGGTAGACGACGTAGTTGCCAGCAGCAAGATCGGGCAACTCCACGGACACAGAGCGCTCCATCAGATAGTTGCCGTGGGACCGGACGATATAGTCTTCGGCATTGGGGCTATCCTCGTAGTGGAGTCTGAAGTGTAGACGGAATGAATATTGGCCTTGAAGGCCCTTGAAGTATCGACCATCAAGTTGCGACAAGACAAGGACGATAGGGGAGTCTTGAGTAACCTTGATGTGAAACTTCTCATGATAGGCTGCCTTCCAAGGGACATCCACGCCAATCCAGCGCTGGCAGCATCGCCAGTCCTGATCACGGAAAAGTCGAGTACGGTCAAAGTGTGAATACTTGCGGATGAGGTCCTCATAAGAGATCCAGAAGACTGAGTCGCTGCCGAACTTGTGGTCTATTTCCTCCTGAACTTCGGCTGTCCACTCCTTGGAGCCATCGCTCCAAGCTCCCTCCCAGATACCCTTGCGAACCTTACCCCAAGGGTTACGGAGCTTGACCAAGCGTTGGCCCGACTTGAGGGTACGTGCCTCCATGACGACGTAGGCGTGTCCTTCGGAGATACCGTTGCGCTCACCGTAGCCGTGCTCAAGAAGACCAGTGGAGGCGCCAAAGAGGAACTCATCGTTGACTCGCGACATCTCCTTGTCCCAGAACTCATCGATATCGAGGATATCAGAGGTCAAGAGCTCTGTAGTCACTCCACCAGAGAGATCCTCGACACCCTCACCAATCCAGCCACCAGCTAATGACGCATAGTCACCGTGCGCTTTGGCATAGGCCTTTTCGAAAAGGGGGACCCAAGTTTCGTTCTGATCTCTATTTTGAGCAAAGAAAAGAGCCTTGGAGCCAGTCTGGTAAGTCTTGCGATAGACGTTCTCATTATCTTCACGATCGATCTGCTGCAGAAGATCTCTCTGCATGCTAGGGGAGTCCCAGCATGGCGACTTGAGATAGAGTTTATCGTCGATGATGGAGTAAATCCACTCGCCATCACGGCAAAACACAAAACCGTAAATGCCGATCTTTGTGTCATAGGCGACGCAGATCCGTTGTAGACCATCTGGAACACCAGCGAGGGCTGTTAGGCCGGCCATGATCCAGCAATCACCTAGACTTCCCTGCTTGACGTCACCGCCACTAACATCCTTCATGAAGGTGGGCTTCTCGAAGATCTCGTGCACCCGCTTGACAGCTTTGGGAACAGAGGCTTTTGAGCTAAGTAGTGTTGTTCTGTTCAACTCAAACTTTTGTGTCCCCAAATTGTTCAGGCAGTGGCCCTTCTCATACTTGAGATCCCAATCCTGGTCAATGCATTAGCGTCGCATTCGTGCGCATTTCGGAGACTTTCATGACAACTTACCAAATCCCAACCAGGATCCCTATAACGCATATTCACTCGCTTACATTCTTTGATAATCTTTTCGACCTTTCGTCGACACTCCTCGGCAGCTCGCTCATAGCCAGCTGACAGGATCTCGTTGGAGTGGTAGGCTGCTGGAGGCTGCACAGGGTCGAAAGGAAGGACAGCAAGAGCCTTGTGGAATTTACGCTTGGAGAACTTCTTCCAGATACCATTGATAGTCTTCTGGGGTGGAAGCTTCTTCTTTTTCTTCTTCTTTTGGTCGTTGTTGTTACTGCTGGTGGCAGGTTGGGCGCGAGGTCGACGAGGGTCGTCTGACTCTTCTGAGGAGCTGTAACCGTGCATGTTGATAATTAAGGATGGCGAGGGTTGGAGGAGATGAGTAAATTCCCAACTAAGGGTGGGCAAATGTTTAGGATGAACCCTATGGGTGTTGTGTATCTCGTCAACGCAGGTAAGACCAGACAGACACAGAGTAGAATGTGATAAGAAGTAGAAAGGAACAGAGGTCCCGTAAGTTTAGGAAGAGAACAAAAGGAAGAAGGGGAGCGAGGTCGGAAGGGAGGTTATCTATATATGATAAGCTTTGAGTAAGGAGACGGCAATGTTATTGACTGTACTCCGTATGCACTAAAGTCAATCGTCCGCCACCACCCTCGCTCGAAGTCAGACACGAGACATGGTAAGAATCCAGCCCTGCGTCGTGTACGGTGCAGCTACACCGACAGACAAAGGAGGCCATGGCGAAGCTTGTCCTGTTCCTTGCGAACTAACGTAGGTTGTTGAGGTTGAGGTACAGTATGTACAGTGCAGTAAGGGTACCTACTGGCATACATACATTCTCGAATGGCACCATTGATGCACGGTGCATTCGGGGCACCGGGCATCGTCTCTGCCGGAAGGATTGGCGGAGAACAACAACATGGGTCTTCTTGGCGTGTTGAAGCGCCCTCGGAACTGGAAGTATAGAATGTACCCGGTACAGATACCACGAGGAAGCTGTTAATTATGTGCTGGCTTACCCCAGTAACTCAGTAATCTCACTTCGAGGCGGGGAGGTCGTTTCAAACCCGGTTGCAAGGCACAGGGCGCAGAGCATTCCCCGTTCAGGCCGTTCCCTCTCTGTTGATTCCAGACCGCTCTATCAGATGGGAAACGGCTTGGCAGACTCGACGGTCAACCATGTGGCCTAGTTTGACACCTTCTACCAGAAACCATGTGGCATTTTCTTGCAAGACGGACAGTCCGATGCCGCTTTTAGACGTGGCAGTGACAAAGAGAATGGTGCTGCGCTGTGCTGCAAAATACAGCATGGCCCACCAAGTCTATCGCGAGTCAAAAACCCGTTGTCTTTGCCATCCACCGTCACGAATGCTTCTAGCTTCCTTCGGATCCGATTCGTTAAGACGACGAGGCTTGAACTCCTGAGTCGTTGACACGGAAGAAAGGCGGACTGTGGGTCATGTTTTTGTAGGGGTCCAACCTAGAACCCGTTTAGTGAGTTCAGGGTCCTGGGGGCATCCTAGGACGACTCCTTTAAGGTACTTTGGCGAGGCAAACAGTGTGGGGCCCGTTGTCAGGGCCAGGGCTGCAGGCTGTAGCTGCAGCTACAGTCCCTGGAGGTGTGGTAGGTAGTTGTAGGTAGCGGTACAGTAGCGCTCAGCGCATAGATGCAGGGGCCTTGGGAACACAGACCGACAGTAGGCACAATACTGTACTCCGAACCCCGTACTCCTTTCCGTATCTCCTGAGGCCATCGAGGCGGGTGATTGACGATCGAAATGACTGGTCACGGGCATCTTGTGAATGCAGGTGGTTGGTAGCTGGAGTGATATTGCCTGGCTGAAGGACAATGCAATTTCCATGAGTCGAGGAGAGCAGAGCAGAGCACTGTACGAATGTGCATCCGCTTCTGGAACAAAGGGAACAAGCGTTATCAGTACCCCGAGGTACTTTGGCGATAGCGCGATAAGCGATTGACCAATGAGCGACTGCAGATTAGCCTAGTTCGGCGAGGGAAGGGAAAGCGTGGCAATGCTTCCAAGAACGGGGCCTATTGAGATGCCAGGAGCGCATCTGACTCAGGCTGGAGTCAAGGAGTCAAAAGAACCGATTGACAAAAGAGAAGAGACGAATAGGAAACTACCCCGCATTCTCGATCATGAGAATCAATCTCGTTATCCGCTATCGGGGGCCTCTTGTTGAAGATAACGATGGGTCTTTGGTGCTCAAATAGGCAACAGACATGACAGAGCCTCAAAAGCGTGTCCAGGGGAAATAGTTGGGGGCGGAGCAATGCAATCCAGACCGGAACTGGAAAAACAAATGTTTGCGGGCAGCTGGCCGACTGGGTACTGTACCATTAGGTTGACAGGCTCTGGAAATGAGATTCATTAGTAGATATTACTAAGTATGTAGGATCCATATACTAGAATATCTACTACAATAGGATAATAATTATTGAAAAAAGTATACTTAATCTTGTAGTAATTCTTTTTTACTTGAATCTTAAACTTTGTCAAGCTCAACATTATAAACAATAAAACAATCGCTTCCGAATTTTATAGTACAATGTAATTGAATACACACTTATTCAATATCAAACTCGATACAAGTCATCTTGGTAAGAGACTCTCGTCTTGGCTAGTGCTTTATTTCCCTTCAATAGGTATCTTTGCAGGATACCGCCTCGCAGAACGGTTGGTAGGACACCCCATAAATTGACATCCACGAGCAGGATGCGTATTTGTTGGGCAACCCTTGATAAAGCACCCATTAACGGGGCATCTCTTCATAAGAGACCCCGCGGCAGGACAGCCAGTAACCGGACACCCGATGGCCGGATACCCATTGGTATGATGCCCATTGGCAGGACACTTTTCCACTGGACACCCAGAAGGAGGATGCGTATTTGCAGGACATCCCCGGATGAAACAACCATTGATGGGACACTTGCTAACGGAAGACCCATAGTGAGGGCATTCAGGAACCGTACAACTATTAATAAGTTTGTCCGTACTAGAGCCCGAATATGGGCGGTTCATAGCGGGGCTGGCCATTGAAGAGTTGCCCCTAACCAACCTCGAATGTGGCCGGCTCAAGACGGGACTGTCTATACCAAAGCCAGGCGCACCATGTCGTTGGTTGCCCGAGGGCATGCGGTTTGCTGAAATCCCACCCATTTGATATGTGGGAACCGGAGCGGGAGCTAAAGCCGGAGCCTGAGCCCGAGCGAGAGCAGGATCCCAAGCCGGAGCCCGAGCAGGAACAGGAGCTAGACCCTGATTCCGAGCCAAAGTCAGAGCGGGAGTGAAATTAGGGACTTGATCGGGCCCTCCGCCGTGTTGCTCGTTCATCTCGTTCATAGTGGTGAGATATTGTGCACTAGCCTCGACGATGTCCTCGTAAAGTGCATCAATATCCACGCTATCCGGGATACTGGTTACAGGCCCTTCTTGCTTGGCCCTCCTCTTCTCCTCAGGAGACAAGTATGGTACAGTCACACGATGACCACCAACTTTCATGGTGAACTCATGGGGATCATCAGTTTCGACTTTGAAGTTATGCATGGTTGGAAGAATGTGGCTGACGGTGGAGAAGCAGATATATGTTCCGATTAGAAGAATGTGGTTGAAGGTAGAGAAGTAGAGATTTGTTCGGGAGCAGAGAGAAATAGAAGATGTGAGCGCGGTTAGGGAGAGATTCCTTTCCAACTCGTCTGACAGCACAGCGCTTTATATATTTAGGTAAAAACTGTATCATGAGGGAATTAGAAAGGCATCAAAGTGTATACGATGAAGAACAACCTCCTTGGCCTTTCAAAAGCCATATAATATGTTTATAAAAGCTCTCAAACTTTCCTCTACACCCTTTCTGAGTTGTATGATAATTTATAAAACTTAGATGTCGTCCCTCCTGTAACGATTACTGTAGTAGAGCTTAGTATATTTTATTTATTAAAATCTTTGTACGGTTCTGCACTTACATGGCCATAAATTCATTCGAAATGCTGAGCCAAATCGACACAGTCTTTCTAGATGACTCTTGCCGCATCAACATATCCCGATGGATCACTTTCTGTGGACGGCGAAATAGGAGAAGGCCCGTCTCCAAATAAGCCCTCCTGCTCCTGACCCAAAGCTTGCTGCTTCCTTTCCATACGTCGTCGCCAGGGTTTGTAGACGAATACAGAACCTAAACCAACAAGGAGGAAAACGCCGCAAATGCTGCCGCCCACGATGTCGAAGTGGTCGCCAATGTCTGATACTCCGTCCCAGAAACGCCCCTGAGGGTCGGCCACATTTTGCACCAGTGAAAGGACCTGGACGATGCCGATAAATGCCGAGACAACCACGGTGATTCCAGTGAGGACGATGGAATAGTATAGAATAGCGACGACGTCTCTAGAGAATGCTTTCGAAGTGTAAAGAGCCATCATGAGCGCCCCGTCGGTAGTATCGAGCATGCACATGCCGGCTGCAAATGTTTAAGTAAAGTATCTTGGACACCAGCCCCCTTACTGACCTGTGAATAGTATAGGGAAGACGAGGATCAACCAAATGCTCGTCCCTTGCACAGCCTGAATGCTAGCGATACCCAAAATAGCAATTTCGGAGCTGGTATCAAAACCAAGACCAAAAACCACGCCGAGAGGATACATCTTCCACGGCCGGTCAATAACACGGAAAAGTCTCTTGAAGACTCTCGTCAAAAAACCCCCTCCCTCGAGCGCAAAGTGATCCTGGATTTGACTTTCTTCTTCGACAAAACCTTCGAGTCGCACTTGATTGCGTCGCTCTTGCAAGACTTCCTGCAGACGCCGCACCAGCTTATACAGCACCCATCCGTTTCCAATACAGAGGATGATTAGAAACGTGGCGCTTACACTTGTTCCGACAATATTCCCCACTCGCTGAAAACCGTCAAATCTCTCCCTGAGAGCACCGCTCGTGGCGGCAACGACGACACATGTTACTATCACGATTGTGCTGTGACCCAAGGAGAAAAATGTCCCTACAGTCGCGGGGCGTTGACCTGATGCGATGAGTCGTCGTGTCATGAGGTCGATTGCTGCGATGTGGTCGGCGTCCAGGGCATGACGTAGACCAAGGACGTAAGATAGAGCAGCGGGTGAGATGAGACGGGGGTGGAAGTGAAGGACGATGGCGACAGCGATCCATACGACGACGTTGATTCCGATCAGAGTAGCTATCATGAATATACTGTTGTTAGGGATCCCATGGAGGAACTTGGGCTTGGTGAGACCCCGGAGCTGAGGGATTGTGAAGCCGGCCATTATAGGTCAGTGGTGATGCCAATGTTGGTGTTGTGTTGAGCACCTTGACCAAAAGCTCTTAAAATCAAGGGCTCACAAAAAGATGTGTGCAGGAATACTGAAAATACATGAGCGTTCTCTGGATTGATGAAAAAGGGCTTCAATTTTTCAAACCCCCACAAACATTCTAGACCATGCAAAGACGTCGCTGTACCATCATCGAGACGCAGTGAGGAGACCAACCGGCGTCAGGTTTGATAAGCCGGCGGGCGGACTCTCCCCGCACGGGGCGGGTCTGTCTTGGCCGCCGGCCGCCGGCTCAAAGATGGATTTGTTAGTGCGGGGATTACCAGGGATATAATCGGCATATTTCGCACTAAGCTGGGGTGACAGAAACATGGTACGGATCAATCGCGTGGGAGTCGTCAGATGCATTTTGTCACCATATCCAATGATGTGGTAGAAGAGCTTTGTATTCTCCGACTCACCTGAATGCATCTTCTCCCTTGGGGTCTTTGATACTGAAATAGTTAAGTTTTATATCAGTTAGACACGGTTATATGGTTGACTTGATTGCCTCCTGACTCTGACAAGATGAAAGGTATTTGGTTTGGCATAAAACCGGGGGGAACACCAGCTTTTTATCTTACAAGTTTAGGTCAGCTGTTCATACTGAATAAAGTTTGTTGAGGTTGACAGCTCCGTTAATCCGGGGATGGGCTGTTTGTGTGATATCACTACGAACTTTGATGGAGTATTATCATGTTATCAGGTATTGTGTGTAAGGCCTCTTATTGTGTTAAAAGAGCGGTCGTGTCAGCATCACGGGGAAGGCTCGGGATGAGTTTTGAAGGGTGTAGATAAAAACAGTACTGTTGAAGTGTCTATAGCGCCAGGAATATCTCTTCTAATGCTGATCAACTAAAAAACCCAAAGCTACGCTCGAATGTATCCTCATCTTTCTCATCAACTTCGAAATCGAACCTTGTAACATCCTCTGCAAAAGGCCAGAGATACTGACTTGTTACCCTGCAAACATTAGCACAAGTACGTAATTTCTTGGGGTATATTTACCTGTGATGCTCGCTGCTCGCTTGATACTCTGCCAGTGCGGCAGGACTGTCGTGAAAACTCAGTAGACAGATCTGGAAGCCTTTACTCCGCTCAATGGGATCGGTGATCGACGGCCCTCCTACCACGAGACGTTGGTTCTTCACACATGGCAGGTCCTTGAGGGTTTTGAGCTCGCGCACAAAGGTCTCGCGGTGAGACGTGTCGACGTCGGAGCGGAACTTGAAGAGGACTGGATTGGTTAGTGGGATGAAGTGTGAAGTGAGGGTGGCGGATGTGTACCAATGTGAACGACAGTCATGGCTATTTTGCTTATGGAATAATTGTTTAGAGATTGTAGGATATATAGAATTAAGTATTAAATAGTTATGGGTTGTTGTTAAGATGCAAGGCGGCTTTACGTAGGACGGACTTGTTCCGTCAGATTTCATCACGGGAGAAACCCGTATATCTGAATGGGTCCCGCAGTTTGTTCGAACTGAAGATACGTTGAGAATACTCACAATTTGGATTCATCGTGGCCTGTGCCCCAAACTCTATTACAATCTCACATGGGTACCGTATTGGAGGACAGGCGGGCCAGAATGGAGATCAATGTTGTTCTCATGTATTACATTGTCGTATGTTGCATGGATAGGCCCGAGTTGTTTATGGAGCTTCTGTATAAGCGCATTACCCTGGTTGGATGTAGTATTGTTACTCTCAGTAGGCCAAAGACACTTGAAGTGCGCAACAGAATTCATTCTTCGTCGCATGTAACAAACAGTCGTTCCTTCAATCATAGAGGCAACCCATAACCTAAGCCCGCCCTGTCGACGATGTTATCCCTCCGTCAACAACAATCTTCTGCCCGGTGATATACCTCGCCTCCTCTGCCGCCAGAAAAGCCACGGCATTCGCAACATCCCACGCATCCCCCATCTTCCCCATCGGCACCTGTCCCTCCCTCGTCCTGCAGAACTCCTCATACCCGTTCTTGGAGAACCTCGCAGCCAGACTCTTCGTGTACGGCGTGTCCATGAGGCCCGGGACAACGGCGTTGAGCCGCACGCCGTTTGCTGCGTAGATGACGGCTGTGGCTTTGACGAATTGTAGGATTGCTGCTTTGGCCGTGTTGTATGCTACTTGTGGCTTGCCGATGTAGCGGAGGCCTGCGATGGAGGAGATGCACACCACAGAGCCGCTTTTCTGCTCTGCCATTATGGGGAGCACGTGGTGACATGCTAGGTAGACGCTTTTAAGGTTGATGGCCATCTGCGAGTCCCATATGTCTTCAGGCATAGATGCAGGGTCTCCTGGCTGGGATTGGCCAACACTCGTTACCAGGATATCAACCCGGCCATGTTTAGCCATACAAGCGTCGATAAGGGCTTTGACAGACGCAGAGTCTGTGGCATCTGTAGCCAGGATATCGCACTGACCCCCTTCCGCTTCAATGGTTTGCTTTGTCTTGGTGGTTGATTCGACTGTTCGGTTGCCTCCGAAGATGATGGCCCCCTGTCTCGCCAGGGTCACGGCACAAGCTGCACCGATACCCCAGCCTTCGGTACCGCTTTGACCAAGGCCGATGACAAGGGCAACTTTATTTGAAAGATCGAGCATGATGATGGATTTTGAACAAGTTGAAGGTAACAAACATCTTCAATAAGTGCCTATTTAACTAGACGTTGACTTATATGTCTTCTAGTTTACTAGTCTACTTAGTATTGTCTTGGTATTGCGGCATTGCTCCGTCTTGAGCTCCTCCGTCGGCAAGATTGCGTGATAGCCGACGCGGGGTTACCCCGTCTGCAGGTGTCCGTTTACAGGATGAACCTTGAGATGTCATCATTATATTCCTACTATCTCATATAAGAAGTCGTTCTATTAACCTTGTTCCCATATTCTTACACCTATCAAACTTGAACAAAATGAACGCCGATTACGATCTTGACACCCCCATCACCTCAAAAACCGGCCTCCGTCAAGGCCTGGCTTCATACGGAGACCCTCACTTCTCACTCTTCCTTCGGAAAGTGTTCATTAAGGCACTGGGCTACAGCGAAGATGCTCTTTCAAGGCCAATTATCGGCATTGTCAATACATACTCCAGCTTCAACCCCTGCCATGCAAATGTCCCGCAGCTCATAGAAGCTGTCAAGAGGGGAGTTCATCTCGAAGGTGGGCTGGCTATAGATTTCCCGACCATCAGTATCGCTGAGAGTTTCTCGTCGCCGACGAGCATGTATCTTCGTAATCTCATGAGTATGGATACGGAGGAGATGATCAGTGCGCAACCTTGCGATGCTGTTGTGTTGATTGGGGGTATGCTCCTCTTTCTTGATAATGGGTCGAAACTATGCTAAGCTGCTTAGGCTGTGATAAGACTACTCCTGCTCAATTGATGGGTGGAATTTCAGCAAACAAGCCCATTCTTCATCTCGTTACTGGCCCGATGATGCCCGGCAGTCATCGCGGAGTGCGTATAGGAGCCTGCACGGATTGCCGTAACAACTGGGCCAAGTACAGAGCAGGGACTATGGATATTGAAGATATATCAGCAATCAATGAAGAGCTGGCACCAACAGTAAGCCCCTACCTCCTTTCAACATGCCTTTCCAATTCTGACCGTCCAAAAGGGAGGAACTTGTGGAGTCATGGGTACTGCGTCTACCATGGCCGCCATACTTGTTGGTCTCGGTATGATGCCTTTCGCTGGAGCAACAGCCCCAGCTGTATCGGCAACAAGACTTCGCATTGCAGAAGCCACAGGTGGATATGCCGTCGCTTCGTGCAAAGATGTCGAGCGTCTGAGACCGCAGGCTCTGCTAACACGAGAATCGTTTCTGAACGCTATTATTGTTTTGCAGGCAATAGGTGGTTCAACAAACGCTGTTGTGCATCTCATGGCTATTATCGGACGCCATCCTGCCGTAGCAGGGACGATCACTTTGGACACTATTGATGAAATAGGTCGAAAAACACCATTGCTAGTTGATTTGAAGCCGAGTGGTGATAATTACATGACCGATTTCCATAACTCAGGTATGTCCGGCGTTGAGCTAATAAAACATAGCTAACACTCTTTAGGCGGCATGCTCGCATTGTTCCATGAGTTGAAACATCTTCTTCATCTCGATGCTTTGACAGTCACTGGTCGTACAATTGGCGAAGAGATTGCCAACAACTCTCTTATCCCTGTCCCACGGGGACTCAGCGTCATCCAACCATTTGACAAGCCCCTATACCCAGCATCATCCCTAGTGGTGCTGAGAGGCAACTTGGCCCCGGGAGGTGCTGTAATGAAGGCAAGCGCTTCCAAGTACAGAAACTTGCTCCAGCATACCGGGAAAGCAGTAGTCTTTGCAAATTCTGCGGATATGGCCGAGAGGATAGACGACCCTGATCTGGACGTGGCTCCAGATAGTGTTCTCGTTCTTCAGAACATTGGACCTATCGGAAATCCGGGAATGCCGGAAGCTGGTATGATCCCAATTCCGAGAAAGATTGCATCGCAAGGTGTCCTGGATATGCTGCGTCTGTCGGATGGTCGCATGAGTGGTACAGCAGGTGGAACAATTGGCCTTCACATATCCCCAGAGTCAGCCGACCCCAGGTCCCCTCTGGGTATCGTTCGAAACGGAGACGTCATTACATTGGACGTTGAGAACAGACGACTCTCGGTTGATCTTTCTGATGACGAAATATCTCAAAGAATTCAGGAGAGACTCGAAAGTTTTCAGAAAGGCGAGGCTGCAGAGGCACCATGGGTGAAAAGGGAGGGGATGAGAGGATATCGTGGGTTATACATGCGCAGCGTGAACCAAGCGGAATTAGGTGCCGATTTTGACTTTTTGACGGCGGAAGGGCCAAAGAAAACTGAAGATTGATAGGTACTATAGTCAAATTTATAGTCCATTTGGGTATGTAGGAATAAAGTCTTGAAACAGCTCGCGAACGATGTTGTCGACATTGATAGAGTCCGTCTGTTCAAAATACCCAGCGAATGAGTCGCCAAACAGACTATCATCGAATGGGTTCTGCATGAAACCCATAGTGTCGTTTGTATCCATTAAAGATGTCTCGACATGCGTATCGGTCAAGTCTGGACCTTCCAAAACGTCTCTCGACAGTGCTGTCGGATCAACTCCTATTCCATTCGCTCGGGACGTTGAACGGCGGACGGGACCATCTTGCCGGCTGTTATTCTCCCGGACATATCGAATTGTGGATTTGCCAAGTTCATCTAAGATATCACGACTGCGTTTTGCCCCAGACCAGTGCTCCCCTGTAGCACTTAACACACTCAGCGATATACTCAAACTAGCCATCAAGACATCTACCTCAGTTGAGCGGGTGATTTCTGGAACGACTTTGATACAGTAGAGTAGTGTTATGGTGCTGAGAACAAGCCCATGGAAGGTAGTCCAACTGTGAACGAGAAGGTCTTTCTTGTATAGCTGATCAAACAGCTGGATACATTCGTGAGCGCTTTTGTGGCATTGGACCAAAGCTTCGTTAGAAGGCTTAGGGATGCCTGGGCTAGGTCTCAGGAGAAGCATCCGTAAGCCGTGGTATCGTATCTGGCAAGTTGTCCGTAGATAAAGTTCAGAAGGGTTATCCAAGCCAGGTATTTGACTCGCCCACTCGTCTAGTTGTCTCAACATGATGGATTGCCATTCATTGATATCAACAACCCGAGGATAAGCATATCTCGGTGAGTCCCTAGTGATACTCTGGGCGATGTATTTTATCTCAGAGTTGAGCTTCGCTGCCTTGAACAAATGGATAGCGAATGCCATCTCACCTGGAAGCTCTGCTGTTTGCTGCTGGTAGGGGCTTGCAAGCTGTTCATCAGATAGTCCTATCGGCATCTATAACTGTTAGTTCGCTACATAGCCAACAGTGGTTGAAGCACTTACCCGAAGTTCACACCCCTCATCTCGAATTCCAATAGGACGGCCCATCATAGTGGCGATAACGCGATCAAAAGAATAGATGACCCAAAAGATCCGAGCTCGCATTTCCTGTTCTAGTAGGGAAATCTCTGCTCCCACACTGATGTTTCTCTGCAAACCTAAGTCGAGGAGAGCTGCAATGCAGTGGTAGTTTAAGTACCAAACATTAAGGCGAACGAATGGGTTATGTATGGTAAATACAAGTAGCAACAGAAGACACTGAACACCCTGTAACGAGTTTTCGAGATTGAGTTCATCTAGATACTGAAGTGCTGAGAGACAGTATGACTCTGCTGGAATACGAGCTCTGATGCGGCCTGATACGACGGCAGATCCTATCGCCAGAACCATGAATACCTGGAAACTGATGACCGGATCTTGAGTATCCTGTTCATAAGCTTGATTCAGCATATTGTTGAACGTAGGTTGGTGTAAGATTGGGTGTTGAAGATTGATGGCGCTGAAATATGCGTTGCATAACTGTGTCGCCATGCCTCTCGGTGGAAGTGGGAGCGGTCCCTGGATGGCCTCGACGAGCTTAGTAGGAAAGGGAGCATTGCGACTTGCGCGGCCAAGTCTTTCATCCTGTTTGGAGACCGAGTCAAGCATCACCCGTGCTAGAAAGTAACCGCTAGATGGGCCGATGTATCTTGGGTCTTGGTTTGTGCCGAGGGAGACCAGTCCAATTTCATGGGTTATCGCGCCAGCTCCTGTAGGTCCGGGAGCAGATCTTACAGGCTGATTAGGTGTCTCAACAGCTGATGTTTCATGTATAGAGTCCGAGAGAGTATCAAGATTGGACTGCATGGGTACCGGAGACTGAAGTATTGGTCCAGTTGTGTCTTCAAGGATGGTGGTGTCCAAGGTTTCATGGTCTTCGGGGGGATCTTGGGATAGGTCAACATCAGGACATCTTGACCTCACGATCGATTCTAACCACGAAATCCGACTCTTGAGAGTTGAGATGTATCTATTTGATTTGTCAGTAAAGGCATTGGTGAAGAAAGATGCATGCGCACTCTCGAGGTAGATCTTTGAGACGGGCTGATTCTCCATCAGTGCACGCAGCACCCGCATTACGGCAATTCTTGCACGTGGGTAATTCCCCATCACACTGGACGCCAAGTTAGAATAGAGACGTCTAGAAGCTAATCGTGATGACCAGGTACGTACTTTGATCTTTCGTCGTTGGCAGCGGAGACAGGCCAATCTCAGACGGGGATTCTTCCGGCCAGCCTGAGCACTCCTCGTACGTGATCGCCTTCCATTTCCATCCGCATTGTCGTTATCGGGCATTATTCTATTGTCGCCGAGGTAGCGGAAGTCCTGGGCGGAATTGGTTTGGAATGTGGAGGAATGGCGAAAATCCGTCGAGGCGGGGAGATGCCGCTATTAACGTCGTCAGAGAAACGGGGGTTCTCCGCTCCTGCTTTCTATGTACGCTAAGTACTAAAGCTTGAGCATGCCTCTTATATAGGAAAGCTCATCTTGGCAATAGTTTACAGGCAAGAAGACACAACAAGACGCAATTGACTTCTTGATAATTCATCTAATATTTGACCTCAGTAAACATTATCCTCCAAAATACCTCATCATGGCTGAGGACGCAACATCTCAGAAAATCCCCATCGCAGCCTCAGAGGCAGAGCGTTTCATCAAAGACGTCCTCCAAGACAATGGTATCCCCGCTGAGAATGCTTCCATCATCGCCCGTTGCCTCGTCGCTGCCGATCTACGAGGCGTAGACACCCACGGTATGAACCGTATTCCCTCTTACATGGAGCGTATCCGTCAAGGCGTTCTCAGCGCCACCGCTCAACCCATCTTGACACAAGTCACTCCCGCCGTTGCCCAAGTTGACGGTCAGAACGGCTTCGGCTTCGTCTCTGCTCATAAAGGCATGGCTGCTGCTATTGAGTCGGCGCGAATTTTCGGCATTGGAATGGCGAGCATTAAGCACTCTAACCATTTCGGCATGAGTGCTTGGATTGTGCAGCAGGCTCTGGATGCTGATATGATGAGTCTGGTCTTTACAAACTCCAGTCCAGCACTTCCTGCTTTTGGTGGAAAGAGCAAACTTATGGGTGTTTCGCCCATCGCATGTGGCGCACCTGGCAAAGGTCCCATGGAGAATTTCATCTTAGATATGGCGCCCTCTGTGGCAGCGCGAGGAAAGATTTACAAGGCCAAGAGACGAGGAGAAAAGATTCCGTTGGATTGGGCCCTTGACGCTGAGGGTCGACCAACGGATGACCCTGAAGCTGCCTTGGGCGGAGTCATGTTACCAATGGGCGGTCCAAAGGGCTCTGCGCTGTCTATCATGATGGATGTATTCTCAGGAGTTCTGTCGGGCTCTGCATTCGCCGGACACGTCACTGGTCCCTACGATCCTTCCAAGCCTGCAGACGTCGGCCATTTCTTGGTGGCCATCAAGCCTGACCTCTTTATGAGCCTGGATGAGTTCCGCGAGAGGATGCAGTACCTCTATGAACGTGTTGTGGGATCAGATAAAGCTGCTGGGGTCGACAGGATTTATTTCCCTGGCGAAATTGAGCAGTTGAATCAGAAAGAGAGGGAGAAGAATGGGATACCACTTGTTCAGGCGGAGATTGATGCTCTGAATGCTGAGGCAGAGAAGGTTGGTGCACAGCCACTTAGGATCTAAGTAGTTAATCAATTTGTACGAATGAGGCTTTATTTATGTATAACATGTTTGAGTTCATTGGTGAGGTCTAGTGAGACGACTGATGCATGAGTATCACACATGTTCGTCGAATGTTCAAGTATTTCATGACACTCATACAAAAGAGTAAGACCCTCAGAGACAAAGATAAGCCTTCCATCTTACTAAGAGTTTTATATCTATTCTATCATGCTCATGGAGCCTTTGGCTGCGCTTGCTTCACGTACTTCGTATGCTGCCCAAGGGTCACCGGCTTCAACGACCCATCACTCTCAACCTTTGAAATCCGAATCGACGAAAAAGCCACACTCCCACCAACCTTATCCGCCGTCGAAAGAATCTCAACCGTATCTCCCAAACGCGCCGTGCTTAGATAACTTATGTGCATATCCACACTCGCACCCGTCTTATCTCTCAGATCCCAACTCGCAATAGCCAGGCCGGTGGTGAAGTCAATGATCGTCGCCGAAACGGCCCCGTGGAGAGTGCCGCTGCTGTTGAGGTGGTTCTCATTCAGTGTCATGCGTATTGTGGCACTGCCTTGGGTTGTGCTGATGAGCTGCGCGGGTGCCATTATGAAGGTGTAGATGGGGCTTTTGGCGCGGAGACGGTCCATGAGGCTTTGCACGTGGGCGGTTCTCGCGGCCTCTGAGGAGTCGACATCTGGGGTTTGGACACGTGTTGAAGGTGGTTCAGACATTTTGAACGATAAATGAATGTTTTCTTGTAAAAGTTTCTCTTTGTTTCTTCTCAAGACGGTTTATGTAGACTGGCTGCTTGAGTCTATTTAAGAAATTTACTCATCGGGAAATTCCCGCCCCGCTTTGATGAATATCCTCTATTCTCGCATACGTCTTAGACCTTCTCGAAAACATCCTTCAGGTAATCAAAAGCACCCAGCGGAACACCCTGCGTGCGCATGATGCAATACGCGCTGGTGAGGTGGAAATGGAAGTTGGGGATAGCGTACTCGGTCACGTATCGTTGTCCCGTGAAGCGAAAGTTGCCCATCGCGGATTCCATGATGATCTCCTCATTCTCCTTCCCATTGATGACATCCGGGTCTACGCCCTCCAAGACCTCGATTGTTTTGGTGATGCGAGACTGGAGCTGCTCGAATGTCTGTTCGTCATCCTCAAATTTCGGGATGTTGGGAGCGCCAAAGCGTGCAGCTACGAATTTGGCCGTGTTGGAGCAGGATTGGACTTGGTAAGGTAGTCTAAGAAGTGTCAGTAACGAAACTCTCGTGGTGCCCGTTGACTTACCCTCTCATGTCGGATATCAGACGGTATGTAAGTAGGTCTTCATGCCTGATATCCTTTTCTTCACAGAATTTAGCACCCTTCTGGAGCATGGCAGAGAGGCCCTTGAGGTACTTGACCATCACCGGGATCGTCTGATTATAGAGTGTAGTCATCTTGCTTCTTTCACAATAGCGGTTAACTGAGGATAGATGATACAATATCTTTGTTCCACGATGGTGATGTTTCTCGGTTTATATAGCGACTTCCGTGCTTCCGGCTTACATCACCCCGCCCTCAAAGGTTCAAGCATCTCGCATAGGCCTCGTTTAACTCCGGTAGGATCGACTACTAGGCATGTCTAAGCTGGGCTAAGAGGTAACAATCCTTCTTAGTGCTTATACCAAAAACAAGATAGCCGCCCAGGAGTTGATCTTACATGAGGGCTAACTGCCTGCTCGCTCACAGATGCCCTTTTAGTGCGTGGCTTATTAATTGAACAACGTACGGCTGACAAGAAATGGGAGTGGCATGCAAGCTGACCCGCAAAGGATAGATATATCTCACCTGCACTCCAGTTAGGTGTATAATTTTCTGGTTCCTAGCAATCCACGTTACACAACAGATTTATGTTACTGAATCATATTAACACTACCAACTTGTCTGTATCCTAATTAAATTAAACTCGATCGCACCCTGCTGCATAGTCTTTTATAAATAACCTCTTATCTCTGCCTCTTCGTGCAGGCTTGGATGAAAGCAATGTCTGCATCAAAGGATGAGATTTCCCGTAGAAACGCCTAAAACTCAAAGTTCTCGTCCTAACCTTCCATAACTTGATCGTCCAGCTCTGATCTAAATACACCCATGGCCAACTCAAGCTCCTGGAGATCAATTCCATACCAAAAAGCAGTAGCCTTGGTTGCCCATGTCTTCTTGATAGCACTGAAAGCAGCTTTTAGCTCCTTTGGAGTATCAACACCCCCTACCCATTTGCAGGAGCTATATGGATGAGCAGGCTCCATTAGGGGTTCAACATCGTGGTGCGATTCATAGTAGACACCTATGTGTTGGTCTTCCTTCAGCGCTCCAGCCGTAAAACCATAGATCTTGGAGTACTTGCGTATTGCTAACAAGCCTTCGTCCATTTCGCACATCCCACACGCCAGCGCGGGGAGACCGCCTTCTAGCAAGACTGGGGGAATCTGGGCGTACTTCTCAACTGAGATGGGGATCATTCGACCCATGCATACATCGCCGCATCCTGGGTGGTCGTATATCTTGATGGCGCAGACAGGGCATTTATAATACCCTCTGTCGGGGTTAGTTCTATCGGAGCACTCAACCCATCTGGACAGGCAGGAGAATCCTACCATGTGGCCGCAGGGCTGGATCCATGCTTCGTGGTGATGGGGGTCAGAACTGCGGTTTGGTTGTGAAGGAGTGGTGATCATTAAGTCTCTACAGATGGCGCATGTGAGTTTGATAGGGCGAGGTTGACTGACTTCGATTCTTGCGAGGTCCTCTTCGACTGCGCTTTTGAAGACTGGCCAGTAAATTTCAGTAATTGGGTCCTCAGCAGAACCCCCGGTGAATTCTTGGGTAGGGTTCATAATTGAAAGTGATTGAGGGCGAGGAGTCGACTCTTGTTGGCTTTGAAGCTTGGCATTGGAGAATAGTTAGGGTTAGGCGCACTACCATTATTAAACACGAGGTATCTCGCGATATATATGTTCTCTTTCAAGCACAGACTGGTTGATGTTTATTTGCCGGCTCGTTCGACTGTTCAAGTGTACGAGTGTTGAAATAGTCAATGCATTGTCTAAAATTTGAGTGTTCGCGCCTTTGTAACAAGACTCTTTTGGATAGCCTTGTTCGTGACAAATAACTCGTGTGGATTAAATATGAACATAGACATAGATATGGATCTATTTTATCCATGTTTGAATTGTATTCCATTACAGTTATTCCCTAAACCTGTTTTACCAAGTGCGTGGAAGGTTCCTCCTGCTAATTACCGATGGTGTTGTGAAGGTTAGTTAGTATGAAACTACAGAGAAGAGTGTCGAAATTCCCTCTTGACCATTGACCGATATCATTGCGCTCGACCACTTTCTCCATTTTCATTTCAGTATCAAGATCCTTTTTTAAATTGTCAGACGCAATGTGAATTTGGTCGGTTCTATTGTAATACTTGATGACAATCGCGGTAGTCAACACGCTTGCCATGCAAGACGTCCTCCGAGTCAACCCCGAACCCCCGCATAACTCCTCATATAAACGCAGAATGCAACTCATCAACAACATAACAAACACTCCATCAGCACCTCACAATGTCACTTCCAATTCTCGATCATTTCGCTGTTTTGGTTTCATACCAAACCCTCCAAACAGTCACCGAGAAGCTTAAAGACTCTCTCGTCGTCATTGATGGGGGTGCTCACGCCGATGGTCTTACAGTCAACAAACTCATACATCTCGCCGATGGAATATATCTCGAGTTCATTGCCTTTGTCGAGGGTGTAGATCCTGAGAAAAGAAAAGCCCATCGATGGGGAAATCTTGAAGAGGGCAAGATTGCGGATTGGGCCCATACACTGCACAGTGAAGCCGACTACGCCAAGCTGCAGAAACGGGTGGCTGATGCTGGGAATGGAGTCACTTACGGTGATCTTACCTCGCTTCAGAGACATCGGCCTGATGGTGTATTGATGAAGTGTCTTGTTTCGGTGGCACTCAACCCTGAGGGTGGTCGTATCTTCCCAGGCACGGTTCCTTTCTGGTGCGTTGACGAGACGGAGCGTCATCTACGATCCCCATTCAAGGCTGAGAACGGCGATGGTCTGCATGAGTACACAAAACACCCTTCTCACGCCCAGGGCGTATCGCGAGTCACGGTTCTTCTGCCTGAAAAGGATATCCCAACCTACAAGCCTGTTTACGATGCTATTCACAACCAGAATGCTACCTCCGGAACAGATGGATACTCTTGGCCATATGAACTCCCCGCTGGGTTAAACCCGGGTAGCAATCAAGTTGTACTATCAACACTAAATGGAGGAAACGGCAAGGCTGAGATCAAGCTGACGCTTTTGGGCACGAAGGAAAGCCCCAGGTCTATTGAGATTCTTCCAGGATTGGTCCTCGATTTTGAACATGCTGCATAAATAGAAAGACTATAGTCTATACATGGGTATCTAAAAATCAAACTCCTAAATTCATTTCCTTCCATAAAATGACACTTGTGCTCAGACCAGCTGATGTTGAGACATGAAATAGTTCACCGTCCAGCGAATGTCTATGCGTCGCCTATCCGACGCCGTTGAACACTCAGCTCAAACCCTGCGAGATCCAACGACAACCAAGTCTTGGTAGCGTTATCACTCAGACGAGCCTTGGTCTCGTTGCAAACCCGTTGCATCGCATCTCCCATGGGTATCTCCACAACATCGCTATTCATCCCTCCAGGTTGGTTCGGTGCGATGCCCCAGTTGCCACCAAAGGTAGTAGCCGTCACGCATAACATCTCATCTTCATGTATCTCGAAAGGAGATAGAAGTGTAGGTGCAAGGTAGTTGATTCCAATAAGGATCTCGGTTACCTGACAATCGCCGCACTTGTCTGCTATCACGGCACCCTCTTCTAGAGTCGGAGGGAAATTCTTTATCGCTGCGATGCTGGTGGGCATAGGCATGCCGGTGTGAACATGTTTGCAGTCCCGGTGCCAGGAGAAATCAGCACGACATACTGGACAAGAAATAGGTTTGTCGTCTCTGAGATCTTCTTCGATCATGAAGAGGGCGCATTTGCTCCCGAATATATGGCCGCATGGAAATACACGGGCTCGGTGGGAGAGGTGCAACATGTCTGGATCGTAAGTATGTTCGTGGGGGAAAACAGTCATCTCATCCAGACATATTCCACACTCGAGATGAAGATTGTCAAATTGGCTTGGGTCTTTCAGAAGAGCGTCTCTGATGTTTGGCCAGTAGGTCTCGATGATTTGAGGGCCAGTATCGGTAGGTTCCTCGTTGAGTAGGCTGGCTATCGACAACACAGCCGTAGATTCTAGTGACATGATCAATGATGTTGGTCCCTGGTATAATAGGATGTGTAGGTATCTAGGGTGGAATTATCTTCAACTCAACGGTTTTTTCATGGCTATATACTGTGATTCAAGTCTGTTGATAGTTATTGTTCTTCATGAACATCGTCCTTGACAAAGACATTCATCGTTCACTTGTCCTTTCAATTCTATCTAAGAATCATTAAATATGGCTGTTCTTTCCAGCGTGAATATAGCTGTATTCTTCAACAAAGGAATGTTGCTGACATCTCTGAACAGTGGTAGTCCATTGTTGAACAACGAGCCAGTGCTGAGCTTCTGCTATCAATGAACAGGTGGAACATTCATCTACAATTCGTCTTGAAATGAAAATTAGTAATTTGAGCTATCAAATTGGTTCAAGTATCGGATCAGTCTCCATATAAGGGACAACTGAGCTGTGATGTTCTGATCCAAGTATATGATCCAAGGGATCCTACTCACTGAAACTGGACAAACATCTTTCATTCTCAGCATCTCATCATGGACCCCACGATGGATCCTATTACAGATGCTATCCCCATCACTGATATCTACTGGCCCGAATTCAAAAGAGAAGTGGAAGCTGACACAGCCAGGGTTCGTCCCATCCAGCTTGAATGCGTGGTTTGTAGCGACTTAATGACTACCAGTCCAGACAAACCAGATCATACCTTTGTCGGCATTCCATCTCACGGTGCACAGATCCTTCCATGTGGCCACATGATCGGAGCCAGCTGCTGGTTCGAATGGATTGCTCGCGAGGAGCAGACTGCTTCTGGGAAGAAATACGACAAGTGCCCTTGCTGCAATACGAAAGTTCCTTTTCACAGCAAATGCGGCCACAGAACCCCAGGGAGGTTCATCCCCGACACAGTGGCTGAGTATTCCACAGTCCCTGCCGTTTTCCGCCATGGAGGTTGTATTCCACCAAGATGCCTGTGGTGCGAGCTCAGACATGTGATGGAGATGTTTTGCAATTCAGCACCAATGCCCAGCCTTGGATTACAGCCAGGAGAATACCCGTCCATGCTCTTCCATGTCGAAGGTACTCCACTACTCCAACAGTATCCTCGCGATCACCAGCCCAACCAACTTGACACAATAGTGTGTGACCTTGAGATGCCCCAAGAGTTGGTTGCGCTCTGGGAAGTGATTAGCTTAACCTGGAAACTCAACTCCCCAAAGCTCTGGTATGGAAGAATTCTTGCGCAAGTAGATTTTGCTATCTGTGTTTTCCGTTCTCATTCTCCCATCTCGGAACCTGGGACGGAATTCATGTCATTTTGATGGGACAGGCGAGAGTGGGATGCAAGAGATGAAGCGCTGGCGCTATGCAAAGAGGTGAGTTATCATATATAGGAAGAAGGAATGGGCTGGTTTTTGGGGTGTTAATGGTTGATCTGCGGTAAGTTGTTGACTGGGTCTGTTTGCTGAAAGACAGTACCCTGCTGGAGGATGGCACTCTGGTGACTACCACGAAGTCAGGAGATAAAGATAGATCATGTACACAGTCTTTTCAGGATCATTGAACGGTGATTTAATTTAAAGAAAAGTACAATGGATTCACATACGCATCTTCTTGAGTTGATACTATAGTTTCTTAGAATTTCCCATAGTGACAAACGCGATTTGTAAATCACCCCTTTTCCTTGTCAGGGCAATCTGTACTTCTTGTCAACCGCAATCCTGTGTTTCAATCATTGAACTTGGTTGTTTCTACGTAAGCTGCTTCACTAGTTGACGAAAGGAAGTACGGGCAAACCTAGGGTGGTCTCTAACAAGAAGTATTTCAGACAGTTCCAATTCCTCGAGCTTGACACAAACGAGCCAAGCTCACTACGGTGGAAGACTTGCCGACAAAGTTGAACGCCAAAGACCAAGCCAGTAGCCGAAATAATAGATTCTTCTTTCACTCTATTCTGACTGTATATTAAACCCACGATGTAGCTCTCAAACCCTAACGGCTACCTCAAACCTGATATGCGTCACCTAAGAGCGCACCGAGGGTACCGAAGCGCGAGAAGATCGTCCTATTGGACGACAGGACTATTGCAGTATCAGTCCAGTTATCATCCTAACGTATTGGATGAGATATCATACGTTCGATGTCCTAGAAGGTCTAGAAGATGTTCATAAGAAGGTGGATTCGATAGCCATGACACTGGCGACAGCTAGAAAACCCAGGCCCAATGGTCCTTTTTTCTTATCTTGAGAATGGCCGCAGTTGGCGGTCGTGTCAATAACACAAGCTTGGTCTTATAATACAAATATGCGCCCCTAAATAACCCAGGAAACATGAGAAATGGTGCTTGAAAAGCTGGAGTAGCGTAAATATCGCCAGATTAATCTCTCCGCCGCGTTTTTGTTTACTCGGCACGCGAACCACTGCTGTGGCGGGCGCGTTTTCTGTTGCTGCTGGTGGCAGGGTGCATCTTGTCGTTGCGCTCTCGCTTGAGCTTGTCGTCCAAGACGCGGGCTGGTCCTTGTTAGCATACAATTGGCGTGCCGTAGAGTGTAAAAACGTACTGAGAACGTCGTATCCGAACTGAGGGTGCTCCAAGCACAGAGCCTTGAACTCTGACTCGGCCTCGGCGCGCAGGGTGTGCGAGCGCGTAGCCCAGAAGCTCGCGACAGGAGCGCGGATTGTGGTGTCGTCATTGCTAGTAAAGGCGTAGACGTAGCGAGCGTATGCGATCTCGCCCTTGGCGGTCGAGTTGACGCAGTGGATTTTAGAGCTTGAGAGGGTCTTGAGTCCTGCGACACCAAACTTCTCGGCGAGCGTGTAGATACGAGCATGCTTGAGGAGCTGGTCACCACTGTCATCGACTGATGGGATTGCAGGGTCGGATTCGAGGACGCGTTGGCCAGGAAGCTTCTTGGGGAAGTATTCGCCAGTGTAGAGGTATTCGAGGAAGCTGCCGACAGTGCTGATGTCGTAGTCAGGGAGCTCAATATGGCGCGGCTGCGGGGTGTCAAGAGGAGGTCCATGGTGCGAGGAATCGCTGACGCGATGGCACTGAGGTACTTACGCTGCCGTCCTCGACAAAGGTATCGCAAATATCCTTGAAGTACGGGCTCTGTGTTAGGAGACCCTGATGCGCAGTGAGAATGGATTGGTCGCCTGATCCGATGAGCAAGGTGACAATTGGGCTCATGAGGTAATCGGCGAAGGTGACTCGAGGCTCAGCGATCTCGGAATCGGCGAAAGGAAGCTCAGTGTCGTTGGCGTTCTCATTCTCGTTCTCTTCAACCTCCTGGGTGTTCTCTGGCGCGGTCTCTTGGGTGTTCTGGGTCTCAGACATCTCGACGTCGCCGGCGGGCTCGACTGATTCCTCGTGCTGATCGGTAGGCATGATTGCGTTTATGTGAGAGTAGGGAACGAACGGGTGTTTAAATTTCAATCAAAAACGAGTGAAAATTGTCGCTGAAATTGGTATCAGGTTAGAGGAATCGCAAGTGATGAAAGCTCCCAACTGTGGTGGGCAGGTACGAGTCTACAACTGCGCAATGAATGCCGCTAGTCCATATGTGGAAATCAGCTTGGTTTCTTGACGCCTTGTGCGCAAGGCATCTTTGCATCCGCCCGTCTGACTACCCTATACAGCTTCACACGGTCACCGTTTCAGCCGCTATCGGGGCGCCCCGCCCCCACTAAGATCTGAGACGTCGTCAATTGGCAATCGCTAAAACGTCTCGACTAGCAAACATCACCCACCACCGACACAATATCCCATTGTTCTGTTTCTTTGTCCTTTAGCCACCAAATTTCTCCGGTGACCATAACTTACTGCTATAAAGATGTGTGCAGCACAGGTAAGAACGTCTCATTGCCACGGTCATTGCCATTTATTCCTGCACCGAGACATCCGCAATGGATCATACTAAACTTTTACGCCAGCTTGACATCCGGCCAACTGCCGATGAAGCTCGAGATGCCTACAACCAAGAATGGACAGACTCAACTCGACCCACGCTTCTCCCCGTCTGCGCCTCTGCTCCCGCCGACCTTCTGACTCCCTCTGCTATTTACCTGAAGCTTTCATCAGGGTAGGCTTCCTACAATTCCATGCTGGAGCACATTGGCTGACTCACACTTACAGAGCAACTGCCGAATACTCGTTTCTCCTCGAGAGTGCAACTGGTAGCACAGAAACCGTTGGACGATATAGTTTTATTGGCGCCAGTAAGCTTCCTTGTGGTTTACTATGCCGGGCAATCTCTAAATTCCTATTCTAGACCCTCGAAAAGTGTTGGCTACTGGCGATGGCTACGAGCACTCTGGTGACCCTCTCAAGATCCTTGCCGCCGAGCTCGCTCAGGATAGAGTTCTCGACATCCCTTCGCTAAGGCTCCCGGCACTAACCGGTGGTGCTGTTGGCTACGTTTCATACGACTGTATCAAGTACTTCGAGCCAAAGACGGATCGACCTCTCAAGGATAACCTCAAGATCCCTGAAGCTTTGTTCATGCTATTTGATACTGTTATCGCTCTCGACCACTTCCGTTCGACATTGACTATTGTCACACACATGAGATTGCCAAAGAACCCTACAGACGATATACAACCTGCCTACGACGAGGCCTGCAAGACCCTCCGAAAGACCCTCGATATTGTGTACCAGCCCGAAACACCTCTACCTCCCCAAACTCTTGGTACTCAATCCGACTCAGAGCAAGAGTACTCTTCAAATGTTGGTCGTAAGGGTTACGAGACATTTGTAACAGAGCTGAAGAAGTATATTGTTAAGGGTGACATCATCCAGGCTGTACCTTCGCAACGGTTCAAGCGAAGCACCAAGCTTCACCCTTTCAACATCTACAGAACTCTCCGAACACTCAACCCCTCACCCTATGTCTTCTTCCTTTCTTGCGCCGATTTTCACATCGTTGGTGCTTCACCAGAGTGCCTCATGAAGACTGACGGATATGCACCCCTGCCCTCTGACTCACGGATTGCTCACTCACCAGCTGAGGCCCGATCGAGACCTCGTATTGTCAATCACGCAATCGCTGGTACAATCCACCGTGGAAAGAATGCCGCAGAGGACGAAAGATTGGCGGCTGAACTTCTGGCTTCCAAGAAGGATCGCGCCGAACATGTCATGTTGGTGGATCTTGCTCGAAACGATGTCAACCGAGTCTGTCATCCCATGACGGTCAAGGTTGACCAACTTATGAAGATTGATCGTTTCTCTCATGTGCAGCACATCACCTCAGAGGTTTCTGGCGTGTTACGCCCGACATGCACTCGTTGGGATGCTCTGCGATCCATCTTCCCCGCAGGAACGGTCTCTGGAGCTCCCAAGATTCGTGCTATGGAGTTGATCTACGACCTGGAGAAGGAGAAGCGGGGTATCTACGCTGGAGCTGCAGGATGGTTCGGGTACGACATTGTCCGCGTGGACGACAGCAGCGAGTATGATGACAAGATTTACGTTGATGAGGGACCCATGGATACATGCATTGCCATTCGTACCATGCTTGTCAAGGATGGCGTGGCATATATGCAGGCCGGCGGCGGCATTGTCTATGACAGTGACCCTACAGATGAGTGGATGGAGACGATGAACAAGCTGTCCGCCAATCTCCGCTGTGTGGAGCTGTCGGAGAGATACTTTGGTGATGGAGTCAGCACCAAGACAGTAGAGGAGATCATCGCTATCGAGAGGAGGAAGGGAGAGGAGGAGGTCAAGGCTGCCGAGCAGTGAGTATATTTGAATCAGGTTGACCCGATATTAGAAGATAGACTAAACTAAATGGAAATGATTGGCTATGATCCTATCACATTGAGGACACCTGCGTGTTCTTTGTGACGGTGTTGATGGTGTGTCCATTATGTTGTCCCTACAGCCAAAGCTCGGGAACACCACCTTGTGTTACGAGAACAGAGATTACGGCGAGGTCCACTGTTGCGGCTTGATAACAAATTGCATTGTCTGGACTGAAAAAGTGGGTGTTCAAGTGTGAGAACTAAACATCCAACTCCTTCATACAGAACATCAAGAACAATCGTTCTACTCAGTTGCTGCTTCAAATTTGAAGACTATAAATCAGCATCATGGCCTCGACTCTTCGGCCCATTCACATCTCATCACAGCCGTCTCATAATCATCTGCAAGACACTGAGTCTACGATATCATCATCAACTTTCAGATCCCATCTTGCACACATCTAAGAAGATCACTTCGCGACACTTATAAGTGCAAACTACAATTCGCAGTCATGTCTCACGGTGAAGGTTACTGGCCCAACATTAGAAAGGCCACCAAGAACAACACTTCTTCCCAATCCAATGGGGCGATGCAGTGCCCTATCTGTAGCGACTTCTTCCCAGTAAGAGTCACTTCCTCTGCAAAAGCTCATGCAGAGACAGGTCCCCAAACTAACGGAGACTCCACGCTAGGAGAGATCTTGCTCTGCGGCCATATCATCTGCCAGCCATGCCGCCGTAGAGGCGAGTCTACCGAGAATCGCTCGATAACCAAATGTCCCGTGTGCCGTGCAGAGCTGAACTGCTCACGCTGCGGCACACGTTCCGTGCTATGGCCCATCACATCGACTGTTGTAGCTGAGCATATCCCCTTGACTACGCGGGATGGTGCAGACCACAGGGGCCAGTGCCCTGAGTGCAGGGCCAAAGTTCAGTTCCACGAGGCTGTCGACAGAGGTGAGTGGCCCCAGGGTCTTGATGACACCGAGCCTGGCTTCGTGCAGCTCTTTTACCACACCCTTAACAAGCTTGAGCAGGAAGGCCGTAATGTGGGCAAAGCGGAGATTAAATTTGCTCTCAATGCTATAATCAACGAGGAGTTCTACACGCTGATGTCTAAGCGCGAGGAGGCTGCGGCGGAGAAGGCCAGGGCTCTTTGGGAGGAGAACGACTGGTTCACGAAGTTGCCGCCAAAATCTGCAGCTGTGCGCATGGAGGGGATCTCAACAAGACGAGAACGAGGACGGGTGCATCCGGATGATGTTCGTCCTCTCTTGCTCGAACTTCGCCAAACGTCACCGATATTCGACAATGAACGGCAGCTATACATCAGGAATGTATTCGAGGTGCATAACCCAGCAGCCGCGGAAGACGATTCTGAAGACAGCGGAATCTCCAATCGCTAAAGCGCCAAGTCCCGTACCTCTCGTCTCTGGAAGACGCGTGTAAGTCGAAAGCTTGGGTTTGTGAACGGATACGTCCGCGGTAGTTTAGCGGTTAGCCATGGAAGGACGCTCGGGCCATGGATGGAACGGCACGGCAGACGGCATAGCAGATGGAGTTTTCGGGGGTCGTGATTGATATGGTGGATATGTCTTTTCCATCGTCAGAATCTCATCTGTTACGCCGTATCCGTAGACGGTGGTGAAACAGGGCACAGATATCCCTACAGGAAAAAGGTTTAGACCGGGGTTCAGGAACAGGAACGACAGAACAGAGCCGCCGCAAACGGGAATAAACAAAAGGGATTTGCAATTGTTCTTGTGCCGTCGGAGCCGTTTTAGCTGCCGTGTCGGTCGATCTTGTAGTGTGATGCGATGATGAGTAAAGTGGCATCCACTCGTGACCACGGTCGTTTAGTTGACAGCTTGACGATGTGCAATTTTAGGCGTCAGCCTTTCATGCTATCATACGTCAGCTAGGAGCTATCGTCTATGGGATCATATAATTAGATAGTGGTGTTTTGTAAATGAATAGGTAGACACTATGGCTTCTGCACAAACGAAAAAGCGTAAGCGATGTAACTATTTGCAGCCACGCAACACATGGCGCGTAGTGTAACACGTAAGATGGATGGATGGATGTGATGCAAAACAATTCTCGGATATCGGCTCACGAAAGACAACAAAAAACACAATATCAAATCATCATGACTCAATTCGCGAGTCAATAGAGTCAGATCGCGGGTAGAAATGAAAATCCGGGATATATATGCCGAGGACTAATACTACGTACGTACTATTGAAATTGCACAGAGAGGGTAGAACAAGACTTTTCTATTCTCAATAGCAGCCAAGTACCTCACCTTAGTAGGCAGGCAGCAAAAAGGCGCTGTGAGTCTGTGAGAAGGGGAAGGGGAAGAAAGAGTGGGCGTAATAGCATCATCTCACCGCGCCGTGCCGGTATCCGATCGCGGCCAATCGACCCCGGCAAGTCGGCACGTAGACATCCACCTTTGTCAAACGCCCAGTTTTTGGGATAGTCTGGCCTTTAGGAGTATGACTGTGAGAATTGATGGACAAGACAAGGAGAGAAAGATACAGGAGAGGGGAGCATAGAATAGAAACACAGTAATGGTCTAGACAGTAGATATATCTTTATATGTCTATTGTAGTTTCTGCAATTCCCTATTTACATGCATGTCACTCACTCGCTTCGCTTCTTCGGCATCCACAAATTCCTTTCAACCCACCCCTAGTAGCCTAGTTCTAGTCCCTAGTCCCCTACCACCAATCCCAATCCTACCCTCCATCCGCTATCCGTAGTGGACAAGCCCATTGCTGTCTCGGAAGTGCGGCTTCATCTTTTGCCTACCTATTGAAACTCCCGTCTTGGTGGCTTTGCCGTCTCTTCCAGATACATTGCATTTTCAATTTTGTTCCCCATAGCTGATCCATAACTACCTAGTCAGTCATATATCGCCTTAACTCCATATGTAACCCATTCTAGACTAAGAATAGACCTGCTCTGCTTGGACGCATACTTCTTTATTCCCTGCTTTCCCGCCTCCATCATCGTCTTCTCTTACCTGTGGTTCCTGGCCTTTTGGAGACCACACACCCCCTCTAGCTTCTGAAGCCCATCTTCATTCTCTCTCATCTCGCTCTTCCCGCCCACCTCTTTCTTTTTCCTTGCCTTGTACTCCCGTTACATACTTGGCCAAAGTTCCATTTAAGCCTAGAAGCCGTCTTCTGCCAAGATTTCGAGCTCCCGCTTTTGTCTTTCACTCTACATCACGTCGCATTTTGAGCCTCAACACCTGCCGGCCGAATCGAATCAAAGCAATCCGCCGCAATTGATACGATACCAGTACGATAACGAACGCGATACATCACATCACCGCCTCTCGATTACGTAACCACGCCTCATCTCGCTCTCACCTTGAATGATACCGCGATAGATGCCTTCCGCTCTGCAGGCCGACATGGATCCCGCCGTTGTCGGCCTCCCTACCATCGCCGCCATCACCGGCCTTCTCGAGGTCGGCGCCGCTGCCATCGACATCCTTAGCGACCTCAACATCTCGCCCCAGCACGACACCCTCGTCCTCAACATCCTCCTCCGCGAGGTCAAGGAGTGCCGATCCTCCGTCCACGCCTTCTACAAGACCCTCAACCTCATCGAGAACAGCCAGGTCCCCTTCCCTGCCCGCGCCGCCTGGATCTCGCTCGAAACCCTCGTCGCGACCCTGACGGATACCGTCCTCGCCTTCTCCCGCCTCTCCACGTTATGCTGCACCGTCGACGAGGAGGCGTCGCAGTCGAGCCCTGAATATGCGGCCAAGCATTTTGAGAAGCGCATCAAGGCGCTGTGCGCGAGGATCCGGTGGCATAACCTCTCAATCGCCATGATGATGACAATAGTGAACTGGTGAGTCTACAAACGAGGCCTACCCTGTCCAAAAAGACACACGGACCGCCGCCACTCGAACAAATTGAGCTTTTTTACTGACGGACAAATTCAGCCCCGGAGAAAAAGACGCAAAGAACAGCCGCGACGAACTCGCGCACCGCGTGGCCAGACTGCTCACATTCAACGTTGGCCTCGCAGCTCGATTGCGACACACCAGCCGGCCCGGATCCTCGGCTGCCAAGACGACGACTTCGGGAGCCCAGGTCCCCGACACCCCCGAGATCACCCCCGTCAATGTGGGGCGCATATCCGCACCGGCGTCTTGGCCCGCCTCCGCGTCCCCCTACTCGGGCACCCTCGCAAACCTGACAACACCAAAGTCTCTGTCCCGCATTATCCTGCCGATAGAGCTGAGGGAGCTGCGTGATGACTATGAATACTATACAGCCGTGTTCCCTCAGCAGGTTGGTGGCTGTGAGTTTCCTACTGGTGGTGTGCTCATGGGCACTCCATACGATATCGCATCAGCCCGGTGAGAAAAGGGACGGGAGTACTGAATGTTCCCTGGTCCCAGGAGGATCCATTACTTGCCATTAGTTGGAATGACATTACATGAAGTTGGTGTTTGGGCCGGGGTGTAAGGCGGCTTGAAGCCAACCCCGGCCACATGACAGCTGAGCTGGGGGTACTAGACGGGCATTTTCAAAGGGGTATTACGTGTAATGATTTTTATTTTCACAGGGAGTCGATTCATTCAGCTAGGCATTTGCATTTTCAATCTTCAAAGTAGAGATATCCATTCAATCAATTAATCAGCCATTACTAAGTTGCTCGTGCTGCGCTATGTCGTGCTATGTATGCTATGCTACGCTCTACCTACATGTAGAGCTTGCTGCCGTGGTACTTGGTCTTACCAGAGTAGGTCTCAGTCTGGACAGTGGCCTCGGTAGATCGCTCGGGGAAGCCCTTGAACGACTTGGCATATGTAGCGACGGAGTGGGCAATAAGCTGTGAGATGTTAGTGTTACGCGCTCGAAACATGTCGGTGGATATTAGTGATCGTGGCTTACCTTGGTGTTCACCTCCCAGGCAGTGTAGTTGAGGTTGGTCAGATCATCGCCAATCTGATGATAGTTCTTGTCGTACCAGACACCGGCTTGTCCGCCGAACATCTCAACCTCACGCTCGGTCTTGACTCCCTCGGCACCAGTGGCGATACCTCCGGCGGGAATTCCACCACGGATAAAGCCATCGTAGTCACTACGGCCGTCGAAGGGAATGAAAGTGTAGTTAAGGCCCTGATCCTCGTACCAATCAACGTAAAGGTTGCGCAGCTCCTCAGATCCCTTGGGGTTTGCAGCGTTAGTGGCGTTGTAGATCTGGTAGGCAAAGTTGGGACTGGCCATCATGTCGTAGTCCATGAAGAGGCGGATCTTGCGGTTCTCCTCCTCGGAGAGGACGGAGACGTAGTGGTCGGATCCGAGGAGACCCTCCTCCTCGGCGGCCCACCAAGCAAAGCGGACGCAGTTGTTGACGCGGTACTTGGTCAGCTGAACAGCAACCTCGAGCACGGAGATACTGCCAGAACCATCGTCGTTGATGCCAGGGCCCTCGGTGACACTGTCACTGTGGCCGCCGAGCATGACACAGTTGTCGGGGTCGCCACCACGTGTCTGGGCAATGATGTTGGTAGTAGAAATAGTCTTGACCTCAGAGTTGATGTAAGCAATAGCATCAACCTTCTCGCCATCCTTAAGCTTCTCGGCAACCGCCTTGCCCTCCTCGCCGCCGAGACCGAAGGTAGCAACGTGGTTGGGAGAAGGGGTACCCAGGGTGCCGTGGACCTCATCCTTCTCATAGTTGTATACAATAGCAGCAATAGCGCCCGCTTTGCCAGCGTTCTCGGACTTGGTGCCGAATGGGCAAGTACCACGAAGCACAAGAGCAATGTTGCCGTTGACTTCCTTAGGGAAATCGGACTCGTCGCATCCTTCATTGTTGACAAGAATAACGTCGCCGTGAACAGGCTCCTTGTTCTTGGTAGGGGGGGTCAGGCCCATAGGCGAGACCTGCTTGGGTACAGAGTCGCCGAGAATGAGTCGAGACTCATAGACATTGCCCGAAACAGCAGGGAACTGCTGGTTGGAGACGGAATAGTATCCGCCCAGCTTAGCTAGCTCAGCATGGATGTAGGCCAGCGTGCCGACATGACCTTGTCGCAGTCAGTCACCTGAGTTCATGATAAGATGCCGATCTCGGCTGACTCACCTTCACTGCCGATAACACGAGTAGGATGCCCATACTCCTCCTCGCCATTCTTGGCAATTTCGTACAGATCCTTTGCTCTGGCCTCGAGGTTCTCGGGCTTGATGCTCTTCTGAAGGTCCTTGGTGTCAATCAAGGGCAAGTCATTGCCCCAAGGACTCCATGAGAGCTTAGGAACCTGGAGGTTAAGCGGAATCTGAAGAGCTGAGACGCCTGAAAGAGCAGCCGTAGCGGCGACGAGACAGAGTCCCTTTGTTGTCATTTTGACGATGTTTGTGATGATAAGAGGAGAGAGGGGGAGGATGGAGAGAGGAAGAGAGGTTGCGGAAGGAGAGTTTCACTCAGGCCCCCAGGTCCAGGTGATACAAGCAGCCTGTGACGTGATGATGCTGGGAGCTCTTAGCTCACTATAGCTTAGCTTGGTTGCCCTGCCAGGAACCCGAGCCACCCTTGCTTATCTTGGTGTCCTGGCCTTAGATCCCTCCGCCCCCGCGCCCTGTCTCAGTTGGTGTGTCTTGGCGATCGGCAACTCTTACCTACCCTGGACATCGTTCATTGACTTGTCGCATGCGACATGAACACATGAGAGCCGTTCAGCGTAGTCCTTTCGGTTACAATATTACTTTATAGTTGAGTGAGAGTTATATCAGACATATTTATTCTCTCCCAGAGGCGTGTGATTGATCGTGGGGTTCACTGTAGGTTCGGAACCTTGATGTGACTATACGATTCAAACGGTAAGTCAAATGAGGAATATTTAGTATTGATGGTTGTATACGTAAGGACATTTTATTCTCTTTCGAGTTACGATGCGAGTTCATATATAAATGATGGGCTTCGTAATTTGGCGCGTAGTTTTATTCACGTCCTTTTGATAATTACGCATTCAGTCGGACGACAGCATGTTAACTGGCCAGGCTGCTGGACTATAAATGAACCCTCCAACAGCAAACATCTGTGGCATCACCAGATCATATCCTATATAACACAACACAATTCTACATACACATTTTTTATTGTTCACTCTACGACCCTCCAATTGGATGAGCTGTACGTTGACGTTGAAACTATTTCACCAACCCACCATCATCTTTCTGACCACACTATACCTATACAGATATCGTCAGCTCACTCAGCGAGTGAGAATAGATAGGGTGCTTACATGGTGCAAATTGATGGAGAGCAGAGCGATGCTGACGCTGACGCTGACATGATGGGCTAGAATAAGCAGTTAAAGTGAACTCAACTCCCCTTCCACTGCACTCGTGGGTTCACGTCTTATCAAAACAAAAATAGTTGTTCAAGCCCTGAGCTCAGAAGTGATACTTGATCACTATGCATCCCGCCTACACACTGTATATCGGCCTTGAGGCTCAGGTGGCAGAATGGAAGAATGACATGTATGCCACCGTCAGCAAAGCTTTTACAATGCCTATCGATATGCGGAATCAGGTGAGTCAAGTTACGTTAGACTGAGGAAAAGAGATGCTGGCTTACACTGAGTACAGGTCGATGAGAAGAAACCTCTCATTATTGAGAAGCAAGTTGAAGAGGGATGGCAAAGATCGGAAAAGGAATGCGCAGAAAAGAAATAGTGGTGTACGAAAACAAACCTCTCACATTGCGCTACCAAGGCTCATTTCTCATATTGGTAAACAAAGACATGGTTTCTAGGTAAACAAAGACATGGTTTCTAGGTAAACAAAGACATGGTTTCTATTTTCTAAACTCTACCCTATAACTCCTCTATCCCATAAGTAGTCACTTTTCCGTTCCATTAGAGGTTAGCCATCTCGACATAATCCTGCTTCTTCGTCGCCCGGCCTCCAAATCCCCATCTGATCTGATGCGCAATCTGGATCTCAATATCCAAATCCTCCGCCCACGCCCACACCAGGCCGGGGTTCTTCTGGAACAATCGTCCTGCTGCAATAAGATCAAGCTGTGCATCATCCTCATCCTTTCCGCCTGAGATAATCTCCTCTGCTTGAGTGCCGGTCTTGATGTTGCCCACGGAACTCACGAGGGCCTTGTCGCCGACCACCTTCTTGATGTGCTTGGCGAACTTGGCCTGGTAGCCTGGGCCGCCCTGCACCTTTTGCTCGCGGTGGTTTCCGCCGCTGGACACGTCGATGACATCGACACCGCGGTCGGCAAGGAGGGCAGAGAGCTTGGCGGCTTGGTCGACGGTCCAGCTCTCGCCGCTGTAGTTGGGGTTGGTGTCGAGCCAGTCTGTGGCGCTGAGGCGCACGAACAGAGGCATGGTCTCGGGGATCACAGCGCGGACAGCATCGACGAGCTCGAGGGCGAGACGGGTGCGGTTCTCGAAGCTGCCGCCGTACTGATCAGTTCGCTTGTTAACGGCTGGTGTCAGGAATGAGCTGACGAGGTAGCCATGGGCGAAGTGCAGCTCAATCACATCAAAGCCAGCGGAAACAGCACGCTTAGCGCCTTTGACGAAGTCCCTCTTAAGCTGTTCGATTTCGCTGATGGTTATGCTGCGAGGGGTAGGGTACTCGTCGTCAAAACGCTCGGTGCTGGGACCCACGACATCGTCGGGCCAGCCGCCGGCTTCCTCTGTGGCAACGGCGCCAGCGCTGATCCATGGGGCGACGCAGCTGGCTTTGCGACCAGCGTGGGCGAGCTGGATGGCGATCTTGGCGTTTTGGCTGTGGGCGAAGTCGACGTTCTTGCGGAGAGTATCGACATGAGCATCGAGCCAGATACCAGCATCCCTTGTTTCATTAGCATCAGGAAAACAACGTAGGACCTGGCGAAGTTGACTTACTCAGGTGTAATTCGACCATTGGCCTGGACGGCAGTAGCCTCAATCATCATGAGTCCAGGCTGCATAGTTCATTAGTCTCAGGTCCTCAATGCTATGGAGAACGCCACTTACACCACGCTGGGCCATACCGCCGTAATGGGCAAGATGCCAAGGCGTCATGAAACCCTCATGGCTTGAGTACTGGCACATGGGGCTGACCCAGATTCTGTTCTGCAAGGTAACATTGCGAATCTTGAGCGGCTGGAACAGTCTAGGGACAGGTCTTCCGTTCTGGGGCTTGATGGCCAGACCAGCGGGAGGATCTTGCTCTGGCGAGAAGAAGGGAACGCCCTTGGCCGCTTTGTTGTATAGAGTATCGCTCTTTGCGGGAGCGGGCGAGATACGAGTGGTGAGGTAGGCAGACATGATGAATTAAGCAAAGGCTATTGATCGAGAGGGAGGGATATGTTGTACTGGATAATACTTCAAACACTTGCCATGGCTTGGCGACAACAGTTTATATATCGAAGCATTATGGGTCTCTGACGTTGTGATTAGGAATCACATCTGTAAGAATTCGGTGTGGAACCTCTATATCGATCTACAAATAGCGCCAATCTGAGGGAATCGGCTTTAATCTCGGCCTGGGTAAAGGGCATTACCTGATCAAGGCATTTCAAAGACTCGCCATAACGTGAAGACGTGATGGATCACAAAATGACTAAGGAATCTTCTAGGTCAGGGGAAACTCTTCTTCTAAGTGGTCAGAATGCGGGTTAATATCCCCACTCACATCTGCAGGCAAACTGTGAATAACGTTATCAAGAAAGTGGGTTAAATAAATACCGTGTATAGGAAGATTTGGTCCGCTCCACTAATGCCCAAATCCAAGTACTGTAGATCAAGAGATATTATACAATTATAAATATGCTCGCCTCAAAAGACAGGTTCGACCATCCAACTCCAGGAACTCTTCGCGTTCATGTTGATCATGGGTCAAGCAAACGGCTGTTTACTCTACGTAACCTCCCACTCCTGCGACGGTCTGAATCTTGCTCTGTTGCTGAAGCTAGCTTTCCGAGTAAGCCACTGGTGCTGTATCGCTTTCGTCCTCGTTCAAGGTCTTCCGCTTCTTCTGTGCCTGTCTTTGAAGCTCCAAAGCTCCTCCGACCCCTAACTTTCTGCTCATCATCAGGATCCAAGAATCGGTTGATTGTGCGATGATCCAAGATCCTTTGTTCTTTATCATGTGGTCCAGCCTTCTCCGTCTTAGGCCAGATGTATCCGTAGAGCTTGGAATGCCGTTCGCAGCGGGGACATTCCTTGCGTTTAGCGTATGCGTTTTGTTGTACAAAGTCTTCATGGCAAGTTTTGCATTCACGCCAGGCCATTTCAGGTTCCGATAAAAGTAGCGGCGTGAGGTGATAGTCTCCAGGAACTCGTAATCGAGACGGCGGTGTGTCTTGCTTGTAGACACGACGTTGGTATTTCTTGCGTTTTGGCTGATTGTCCTCCTCAGCCGCTTGACCTTCCTCCACCGTTTCGATACTAGTTGTAATTGGCACAACCGATGGAGGAACCACCGTTACTGGCTTCATCATTTCGGGCTCAAGGTCGCTCTCAACGTCGGATTCCATCGGGGCGTTGAGTATGGCTTGAATAGACATACTCTCCAAGCCGCTTCGACCGCTCGACTGTCGTGCCGTTGTTTCTGCCTTTTGTTGTGGTGACCGTGAACCCTCAGTACTCTGCGGCGAGACAGGTGCGATCCTGCTCTGTTCATTGTTCTGCTTCTCCATCGTGCCTTTCGACGGTGTCTGTGTCATAGGCTCTGGGGTCTCTTTCTCAGGCGAAGTGGCATCTGTCTCTACAACACCACTCGACGTTTCACTAGCTGTCACAGATGTGCTGCGTGACGATGAATCGTCTTTTGGGGCTGAAATCTTAGCACGCTTCGCTGGTGTCTTGGGCGGTGTTGCTAGGACGTCGTGTGGTCGTTTGCGGCTGTTCGTTTGCTCGACAGGAGGAGATCTGGCCGATGACGAATCATGGGCTAGAAGTGATCCTCGTGAATTCGCTTTGACCATTCGAGTTCGCATATCGGGAGTGATCGACGGTGTCCGCGAAGAGCCAGACATGCTATCGTCTCTACGTCGGCGTCGTAGTGAGTACCCATCTGACTTTCCCTGCTCAATACTTGTCTTTACTGGCGCTGTCCCTTCTTCTGGCTCCCATGCATTCCTCAAGAGCTCCTCGCATGTCCTGCACAGGCATTCGCAGTTGTTGTCGCCGAAGTAGTTGTCTCCATAGGTAACTGTAATTTCTTCTCCTGCTTCAATTGCTCTGGTTGCGACGATCTCGATCCCTGAATGACTCGTCCTCATAAGTTTGGCGTTGGCTTCGCAATCGTGGTTCGCAAATCGAGCAGGTCCCATGAATAGGCTGGTGCACTTGCTTCGTGAGCTGACAACAATGCTGAAATCCTTCTTCTGAGACGAAATTGCCTTTTCCTCCTCTGGTGTAATGACAACCTGGACGCCGGACAAGTACTTGATGGCTTCGTTACGTCGAATCGCCCGTCGAGCTGTGACGGCAGCCTCGTGGCTGACAATTGTATATCGGTTCGTTGAGCTGACCTCCCAGGGACAATCGGGGAGGTAGATTTGCACATATCGCCTCAGGTGTCGTCGGAAATCCTCCTTCTCCTTGTCGGTTTTTAATCCATTATGAAATCTCTTGAGTCCGTTTGTTGTCAATAGTCGTTTCTCAGCACCATCCAGATCCTTCTTCAACACCACCTCCTCTTGTAAGATCTTTGTGATTTCCTCCTCCCTCACTCCTCGAGAGGGGTGATAAGATGTACGGTTCTTGGGAACAGTTGTCCAGTAAAACACCTGCTGGCGTTAGAGTCGCATTTCTTCACATGCGATGCTCCGTCATAAACCACTCACATGATCAACCAGGGCGTCGGTGAGAATGTCATCATATGCTGACACCTGAGCCAACGTCATGCGCGGCTTCTTGTTGGCCGCATTCTGTGATGGAGGCATTTTGCCGGGTTCGAGGTCTCTCCCGAAGACAGTATTGCTGTGTAAAGCTGCTGCTGAAGAGACAAAAGAGAGTACGTGTCCCTCGAGAAACTAGCTGTGAAGCCCGAGCGAGAAAAGAGCGGAGATGCCGATCCTTGCTTCCTGAAACGCAAACCTCGAGTTCCAAAACCACGATGGGAGTTCCTCAGCTCTCGATGAGCAATGATGTTGGGGGTTAAAAGAATGAAAACCAAAGTCAATCGTTGTTGTTAATTTCAGCTCATCCGGTAGCGCAACGTCATAGTCTGAACACACAGGGGCTCAATCTCTTCAGTAAGGAACGATAATCACTGGAACGAAGACCACAGGCTGAGACTCGAGTGAGATAAAATGATTGTAAAGTGGTGGCCTCTCCAAGGAATCGGGCTTGAAGGAGGGAAGTGTTGATTGAGGTGGAATGACATGGTATTAGCTCGCTTTCTCTCTACGTTAGGGGCTTGCTTTGTTCCTCTTCCTTGAATCAAGGCCGGTTTGGGGCATTGGCCAGGCGACGGGTGGGGCTGTCCCTTTTGTTGACATGGGGTGTGTGGCGCTTTCAGCTGTGGCTGCGAGCACGTGATCCAAGTTCGAAAAGTTCAACTGAGCTGGGCAATTGACGATATCCCAAGCTGGAGTGGTGAGAGTTGAGATATCGAACCTCCGCGCGCGGAACCACAGTCAAAATGATTCAATTAAAGGTGAGTTTCTCAAAGCTATAATCGCATATATGTACTGACTGTGGTAGACAATGCTCAACTGCATTGACAACTCGGGCGCTGCCCTTGTTGAATGCGTCTTGGTCGTCGGCCAGAAGCGACATGCCCGAATCGGTACGACACTTCCCCCTACGATATCGAACTCATGCGACCCACTCACCTTGGTCGACATATCATAGCATATAACTAACTTCCTCTACAGGTGACCGTGTTGTGGTCGTTGTCCAGGAGCAGCGTGGTAGCTCCTCCGGTGGTATGGCTGGTATGTCTGCCGCCAACAAGGTCAAGCGAGGTGACATCCGCCACGCCGTCGTCGTCCGAACCCGATATCCTACCCAGCGCCGAGACGGCTCCGTCGTCAAGTTCGACGACAACGCCTGTGTGTTGCTAAACAAGGCTGGAGATCCCGTTGGCTCACGTATCAACGGCGCTGTTGGTGCTGAGCTGAAGCGCAAGAAGTGGAGCAAGATTCTGTCCATGGCACCTATGCAAGCGTAATGGATTGGCAATGGGAGGTTGGACAGTAAAAGGATGGGGAGTTATGTATAAAAGACGCAGGATAGATCAGGGGGGCTAGGTTGGCTGATAACAGCCGTGTACGAGTGGAATACTGTACAATTACGATTACTATACTGGGCATTTGCAAGGCGTTGATGCGAGAATAAAGACACCTTTCAGCTCTCACAATTTCACTAAATCGCTATAACATATCACAAGGGGACATTTCGTGCAAGTACTAATATTTCATGTTGCAGAGCCGCGAAGAGCAACTCATCCAGTTCAATTTCCTTCTCCAAGACTTAATCGCTGCTATATGCAGTATAATACGGGATCTTTGATAGAATACAGGTTACATCCCTTCTAAAAATCCCCGGCGCCGGTGACATATCCTCGCCACAACCTATTGTAAACGCCATGCCAAATTCAAATGATAACGCGAGCCTCCTCCACATCTTAGGCAGCAACGTGTCGGTGCCTGGGTATCGATACAAGAACTCGTTCAAGTGAAAATGTGACCGCATTCGCAGCAGACGTAGAACAGTTTCTAGCGTGCTGTTAGTGAATGGCCATCGGTAGAACAAATGATGTGATTCAACTTACCATGCCAGTTTCGGCGCTTCGCTGCTGGGATTGGAAGAACACGGCTTCGGTGTGCTGGCAACTAGGGCAGGTCTTTGTAGCTCGCGGGAGCTGCAGCGCAAAAGAAATAAAGTCAGCCAGCAGTCTTTAAACGATGACAAGCGGGTTCCAAAGAAGACGCCAGACACGCGTGCTCCAACTGCTGTTTCCAACTTATATACTGCGTCAAGTCATGGTTGGCTGCAAACTGCTCACCGCCAGGCAAAAATACCAGAAAGCCGGAGCATGTGCCAGCCCAAGTAATAATATGTTCGTGCCAGTCATGTCGTCATGTCCATAAATAATCGTCGTAATACAGTTTAAATGTGGTCGCGGGTCGATCACGATTCAGAGAACATGGAAATGTCGTCAAGGAACTCTTCACTCGCGTCGGAGAAGAAGTCATCAGACTCGGTCTTGTTATCGTCCGAGTCCTCGTCCATCATCTCCTCGTCGTACTCGGCGAAAGGGTCCTCCCATGGCAAGGTGAACTGGCACATGCCCGTGATTGGCAGACTGATCTTGTTGAAAGAGGCGACCATATGGCAATCGGGCTTGCCGCATGAGGTGCAATAGATGACTCCGCCACAACCGTGACAAAGAACAGGTGGAAGATCACTAACCGTTGGATCGGAGCCAACATCCTGGGTGACACCGGCGGTCTCGCCGGCCGAGGTGTTGAGATTGTTGCGGAAGACGCAGGTAGACTTTGCGTCCTCTGTGTACTGGCAAGTTCGGCAGGTAAACTGCAGCTTGTGAGCATCCTGGTCCTCTTTGGGGTACAGCATGTTTGAGCATTCGGAGCAGAATCGGAAAGTAATCTGCTCGAGCTTCTTGTCGGCGTCGTTGCCCTCGTAGGAGGTGGTAGACTGAGGAGTCGCCATTTTATCGGTCGCGTTGTGGTTGTAAGGTGATTTCAAATCGATCAAAAGCTTGATTGGTATTTGAGAAGAAGCAAACTCGTAAGCTGAAATAAATGGTATATTTCAAGCTGTGAATACGGAAGACGAATGTGCAGTGTCGTTTGTCGCTCAGAGCAGAGGTCGAAATGTTGATGGAAGAAGAAAGGAAGAGGAAGAAATGATGAAAGGCGGCAAGCGCTGGAAAATAGTGGGAGTGGGAGTGAGGAGAGGGGCTCGCTTTGGCAGGTCTTGTCCCACTTTTTGTAGAAAATAGGTTTGCCTTGGGCTGTATTGGCTTTTGCAGGTAGCCACAGTTTGGGGATTTTGAGGTAGTAAAATAGGTTTCTAGTTTGCGACAGATGTTCAGATCTTGAGTGCGGTTTGTATGAGGATGTATGAGAAGAGAATTACAGAAGGGAGAAAAACGGAACAAAGTTACAAGGCTGGCAGTGAATCGAGTTTTGTATGGTATGGCCCAGCAGCAAATGACTTGAACAAATCACAAACCAAGGCACAGCCGTCGTGTTGACTTGAACGTGCACCAGTTTATCCTTCACTGACCTCGCTCGTGTGGGCGGACAGTCACACGTGGGCGGTCTTTAAACAGGAGGAAACATACATCTGCATCAGCGAACGATGCCTGCCAGAATACTCCGTAAGCTTTACGAACGATGTAATTTACTTTTATGATTCCATAATTAGATCTAAATCGTTATTTCTACCTTACGGAGAAATTACCAGACATTTCCCCTCACAGTATCCTAATATTATCACATTATCTTAAACATCTCGCTTCCCCCTACCAGTGTACCATATTTAGTGTACGGATTTCAATAACCCACCTGATTGCTTACTCCTTTCTCCTCCGTACATGTATCTACAAGTGGCAAGGCAAAACACTGGAGATCAAGTGTTTTCGACAGGGGTGATTTATGGTGACTCACGGCTTCAGCGAGCGTCAGCTCTCGACTGTGAGGCGGTGATGCCTTAGAGTCATCTTATGAGGCAGCCAGAAATCCTCACAGCGTGCATGAGAGAACATCACGATCAAGGCTTGGAAACAATCCATGATTGGCCATCAATCGTCCAGCAGAATGAGGTGGAGTAAGCAATACTTGACCTAGGTAGGCGTAAGGCGGGCCAAGCGTTAATCAGGCACAATGTAACATCCGTCACAATAACGATTGAACTAGAATGATATGCATGCGATAAATACGCATAAGATGGCGTCTTGTGAAAAATCAACTTAGTAGAAAGATGCAGGAACGTGGTTCTCTACCCATTCAAACGTCTTCTGCCGGATAAGGCGCAGACGAATGACCAATAAGTGGCACATGAAAGGCTGGGTGAGGTCCACGAGACCATCACGATCGCACGAAAGCGGAACTTGAGGCACGATCAACACGAAAAGGTCTCAGATACGTCCACGTGTATAAATCAAATACGTAGTCCATGTAAATTCCTTGATTGGACGAATATATGCACAAAGTGTGCTGGCCGAGCAAGAAGCTGTCACTAAGCTTCCCATTTACTGTAAATAGCTGGACCTTTGCGTGTTATGCTTCAGTAAATCGACCGAATCGTCCAAACCGTCCAAATCCTGTCTAGTATCAAAGGATGATAACTGAAACAAATTGGAATCTTTCAGTCTTCAACTTCCTTGTGCTTACCGGCGCAACGCTTTTCCCGTTGTCCAACGTATCGAGCATCTGCTCCGTCTATTCTCCCCGTAGCTAATGTGAATATAACGCAGCGCACGTACTCTCTGAAGCCCACTACCATCATCATAGTATCGGTCAACGCAGCCACAGCCTGAATTCTCACAAGTCATGTATATGGTAAATGGCGACCATGGTTGGTTGTGCCGTGTGTCACGGCCGCAGTCGTTTGCGGGCGTATTCATAAAGATATGATTAATAAGGCTGCACAAGCATGAATGCCTTACCCGCAATTCAATCCCACATCCAGGAACGGGTTCAGTCTCGTTATGCCACAGCGCTAATTCATGGTGTTTAAAAGCTGCCTTAGCTTGGAGAATTGTGTAAGTGGAGGACAACTCCAAGCCCCCAGCCATTTGGCTTGCGGAGGCGGTTGGAGTTAGAAGCGTGAAGTTAATCCTCACCAGGCGATTGCCTTTTTTCTAAACCATCCGCACCAATTCATGTCTGAATAGTTCCACCAATTTTATATATATCCTGGAATACTGCAAAGGCATTACTGAGCTGAAGCGCGCAAAGAATTTGTCAACCCTTATTCTATGGAGACCGACCTACTATTGCATTGTAAGCAACACGAGACATCAAACTCCCCGTAAGGTCATATTTTCTACGCTGCCAAATCTGTTCAGTTCGTGGCAATACGGAACATATACGAGCTACCTAAAACCTCTTCGTTTAGTATACGCAGTGTATTCCTCATGGACTGCAATAAGAAGCGGCGGACTACCGGGTAATATTGGAAGCCTGACTAGGTACAGGGTTGGTGACCATTGACAGATCTGCATCTTATTCCGAGTTGATCAAGGTGCATCTTCCCGCATCTTCCATACGACGCCACAACAACGAAGGATGCAGAAAAGTAATACCTAAGCATAATGCAAAAGCCCCGGCCCTGATTGCCAATTCTATCAACCAACCTTCCTAGACATGGAATAGAAAGTGATTCAGCTCTCCATCGCAAGGTCCAGTGACAACGAATACGCGAAACTCCACGTTTAAACATACACTACAGCCGATCTCATGACAGCAAGCATGCCTTTCTATTGGACTAGACACATTGGAAATGCCAACCGAATTGGATATATCCCTCGCTAAGAGCCAACCTCAACGGGAGGGGCCAGAGTTCTTTGAAGGTTAAACCGCTGCAAGGTCAGAGTGTCTAAGCCAATCACATCCCATGACGACTTCCTCCTCCACTGAAGCACCCCGCGTCAAACCCTGGCCGCCTTAGCAACAACGCCATGGCAACAGCGCGCGGGGACTGCTACTGGACGGCACGTCATTGTTCCAGTTGAGCCCAGGTCCATCAGCTCCAGCTTACCATACCCAACTGGTAGACTCTGCCGTCCATCTCATTGCACATCTTTCTGATTTGCAACTTTCACCTCACTCAAGACGACGATTGGAAAACGATTGATACTGCAACAACGAGGCCTCACTCCCACTTATATCCACTCAAAGTTTTAAAAGTGATCATAAATATGGTAAGCAGCTTGCAACACCAAAGCTCTCCATTGCAGATCGCAAAAGAGCCTTCGCATTGTCTACCCTTCTAGATTTTCATGCCTCAATCTTCTTCAGTCCAGCAAACTAATGCCCGCTCTTACTAGTCTGACACCGGTCTTCCTCCTGGCTGGGAGGTCCGTCACTCCAACTCCAAGAACCTTCCCTACTACTTCAACTCTGTTGAGAAGCAATCGCGATGGGAGCCTCCCTCCGGCACCGATACCGAGAAGCTCAAGCACTACATGGCCACAAACCACAGCGCCGGCTCTCGTCCCGGCGCCGTTCCTAGTGTCCCCGAGGGCAAGATTCGCGCTGCCCACCTTCTGGTCAAGCACCGCGACAGCCGACGACCCAGCAGCTGGCGAGAGGTACGCGCGCTCCAATACGATACTCTTACATGACTACAGGCGGCTGACTAACGCGATTACTACAGGCCGAGATCACTCGCTCTAAAGAGGAGGCGCTCGAGATCATCCAGGAGCATGAGCGAAAGATCAAGTCAGGCAGCGTTACCCTTGGTGAGCTTGCTTTGTCCGAATCTGACTGCTCCTCCGCTCGCAAGCGAGGCGATCTTGGATACTTTGGTAAGGGAGACATGCAGAGGGAGTTTGAAGAAGCTTCCTTTGGTCTCCAGCCTGGTCAGATGAGCGGAATTGTGGAGACAGCCAGTGGTCTGCACTTGATCGAGCGGTAAGTTAACCCTTCAACAATTAGAACTTCCTACTGACTTGATTTAGCCTGGAATAATTGAAAAAAATGTAATAATTGATCTAAAAATGTAAATTGACAAAACAGAGCCCAGTTGACGTTCCTTTCGCGATCTTGCCTGTCATCTATCGAAGACAGTCTCGTTTGAAACCGTGACACATACGTATTGGTTGATTTCGGAGCGCCGAGGCCTGATATTGGGTTAAAAGGCGTATCATTAAATATTGATTGTTTACATTATCCTGTCTGGTCTAAATCTTTACAGTACCCATCCATGACTGGCCTCTACCAGGCTTGGTCTTCGCCTGTCTATCCGTCTTCCTAAGCAAGTATATAACTCTAAACACCAGGCATAATGAACGCTACCACGTCTATCCTGTCAACCGTCTACAGCTGTTTGTCTTCAGCTAGCCAAGCTCAACACCACTTCCTTGAAGGGTTCGACTGTCGTAAAAACCACTGTCATGACACCTGATACTGTCATTGCGAGAGCAGCGTACGGAGCCGCGCGACTTCTAGTCTCGTACAGGTACGACACACCCATAGCTGCGCCATTGATGCCAACAGCGATACCAGCAGATATTGTGAAAGGGTCGTCGCCACTCGCCAAATCTTGTTGAGCTGTTTTTAAAAGGGGCCTGAGGCTCAAGCGTGACTCTTTTCCATCAGAATCCGGAAGACTGACGCTGGAACAGCTGATCTTATCCTCTCGCTTGACACCTAGCTTGTCTAACACAAACGGATAGCAAAGCTGTCCAAGGATCCCGTTGCTTACCACCAGGGCAGCATTGACGCCGAGATTCCCACCCAGTGCTGCCATAGCTGGCTTGGCAAGTGCTAGGGTTGTACTTCGTGCAGCGAATGCCAATGCCTCAGGTGCGTCCAGACCGACGAAGCTGCCTGTAAGAACCGACAAGAAGACATTGGCGGCTGCGGCGGCTATTGCCAATAGGACTGTGAGCAGACCAGCCAGGCTGAAGAGTTGGCGTTGGCACTCGTACAGTTTGAAGCCCCATATCAGGATACCGCATTCGAGGATTGAGAGCGCAGCGTCGCCAGCGCCAAACCACGGGCTCCTACCATCCGAAAGAGGTGTTCCTGTTGCTACGGATGTCCAAAGAGCGTAAAGCGGTGTGCCGCTGCTGAAGATGCGCAAAACCTCAGGTAAGCTATCGAAGCCGTATGCGCAAGTTTTGGCCCGAGTGTAGGCCGTCATCATAAGAGTCGTGAACAGGACAGGATTCATAAGAGTGACCAATGCATTCATGAATTTTGACTTGTCGTTGCACAGGTTGGATGTCTTGAGTTCCCGTTGAAGTCGCAATGTTGAAGCCCAGACGAACCACAAAACACAACCATCGAGAATGCGATCTTCGTTAGCAATAGCAGCTACCGGAGTTCCGATGATGAAGATTCCGAGAAAGGAGGTGATCAACGGAAAGTTGGATGTCCACAAGTGCCACACACGAGAAGCATCGACCGGGTCTTTGAGAACGATTGAGGACCTTTGGCTTGATGCTGGCGAGGGTGACTCTTCTCGCCCGGGAGTCATTTGATTTGGTAATTTATCACGGCGACCGAAAATGGGCTGAGGTGCCTGGTCCAGAGTTGAGTCGGATAGCCAGCTTGTTTCGACTCGCGGCGGGCTCGATGTCAGAGGTTGAGGAAGGCAGAAGTCGTCGGGAACCTGAGCAGTCATGCGAGCTGCACCGCTCATGACGAGAAGGGACAGAGCAAAGACAACGGCCCAGGAAGCAAGGTTCGTCACGACTGGCGATGAGATTAGCAAATACCCGACACTGTTTTACCCATGGTACTCTACCGAAGTTGCCCATGATGCGAGCGATGTCATGACCACCAAGAATATCGCTCTGGTTCAGCATTACCAGAGGAATGGGAAAACCCAAGCCCAAATGGGCGTTGATGAAATCTACCTGCGACAACAGTCAGTGCTGCCAACATTGGAGAAGCTTGCGGCCGTGGTACCTTGGATTTGATGTGTCTTTGGTATATATCATCAACACCAGCAAAGCAGAAGAAGGCAGCAGCCATAAAGCAGAAAGTCAAAACCATGCCAAAAATGGAAGAGAAGAACTCAAGATGCACAAGAGCCAGCGCCCTACTCAGGCCCCATATGGTGAGCTCGCTCATGAGATATATGACGACGACCCAGCCAAACTCAATCACACTCCTGGCAACGGTGGTTAACCGCCTCCTCCAGAGGTTTGATAGCGACATGTCTCGGGCGAGTTGAAACAGTGTTTTGGCTGAAGGGATCCATAACGGCCTCGAGAAGAGCGGATTGCGAGCTTCATTTGAGGGTCTGAGACAGCGGAGGATTTCAGAAATGTTGTTCCTGAAGGTGGACATGGTGTGACTGGAACTGCAACTGCAACTGCTACGTGATGAGCACAGCCAGCTTGGTGAGGTCGAAGCACAGAGTCGGTGGTTTGGGAGGCGTAACACATGAGTGCACCCTTTCGCAACTTGCGGAAGGGTGGAGGATGTTTAAGAAGGTTTCGAGGATCAAGCGAGAGGTGTTGTGGGAAGAGAGCAAGTGAAAGGCCTGCGTTGACAGTGATGAGGGAGCTTTGCGGATAGCACCAGGCAGTGGTTTGCACTGGCGGATAGCATTCTGGAGTGAATGGTGTCATGTTCACTGCTGCAACTTCGTTTACAGCGGGATATCACTTTATCTGATAATGTGTGCAGCTCTTTTGGGCAAGATGATGTAGGGACCCGGACTATCAAAGCAAATCTACAATCTAGATCGGACTGTTACCGAGCCACTTCAAAGGAAATCCCACATAAATGAGAGATCTGATGATGCGGAGATCAGTTTTAGGTTATATCTCGTTTACATGTGTTTGTCCAATCCAACGGGAAGAAGACGGAAACGGGCTTTAAAAAAAACCCTCCCGCGTCGAGACCCCAGGTGAAGATATCCCCGTTTGAAGGCTTTTCTCCGATCTTGTCCCATCCTCTCTCCCCAGTGCGAGGGCTTTGTTTGACATGGGACGTCATGGAAAGGAACGGAAATAGCACTATAAGGTTGAGACACGACTTAAATCCCCGTGGGGATTTTTAATGTGCAGACAAGACTTGGAGTAGAGAGATATGGGGTGACGCCCCCTTGATCACGACATTGGGAGGACGATGTTGGGAGACGTGGGACGGGGGTGTTCAAACGGACGATGGGGGGCGTATCAGATATGAAGAGGATGGGCTGTTTGTTTGCTGTAATGTACTAACGCTATGCTATTGAGACTTTGTTACTTTATGAGACATGCATTGGATTGAGACTTGTCATTTTAAACTGGAGATGTTCGCATGGAGATGTACCAAGGTTAGCTTTCAGCGTCCCCTGCATTAGGCTGGCATAGAGTATGAAACATATGCATTGCCGTTATAACCTTGCGTATGTCATCCTTACCAATGATCAGATTTACAAAGGACTATGAAAGCATCTCATGCAAGATGCGCTGTAGATGTCGCATGCTGTGGCTCATAGTACGGCAGACGACATATAGAACTGGAGTTTGGGATTATGACAGTCTGAAAGTTGAAGAATTGGCCATTGATAACTGGGCAGAGCTATGCCGCCAGAAATTGTAAGAATCTTCATTCTTTATTGCTTTGGCTCGCAGATTGGTAATGATGGCTGTGATAACAAGCTCTGTGATAGTCTTCGTCGATGGCTCTGAAATATTATTCAAACTCTACCAAACGCTGATCGAAATAAAGCCCCAAGTGTTTGACAGTGAGTTAATCATTACCGAGTTGTCAATGAATAATATGAAAGTATCCATATACACCCGTAGTACAGGAACGCTACAAACGAAAGAGTATCATTATCCCAAAACTTCGTTTCACATGCAGGCTACCGTGGGAAACCACACATCCACTAACCTCCCAGGGCTGTGTGTCCCCTGAAAAAAAAGTGCCGCGCAGGGCCCGGGGTGTTTGACCGCCCAATGTCTCGGATCTTGGGCCGACATGTCATGTCCTTCCATGTCTTTTTGTTTTGTTTGATGTGAGGTTATCTTGAACATCATCACCACGAGATACGGGAGTTGTAACACGACACAGCACAGCGAATTGACAAACAATTGCAGCGGGATTGTTTATTAATTCCTCCTTTCTTTTCTTTGTTGCTTGTTTCATTCTCGGCCGAATTTGAGTGTTTGTTCTTGGAAACAAGATCTTCAGTACACCGTCTCATTGAGTTCTCTCACGACATCTAATTTTTATTCTTAATCTGATTCCTAATCTACTGTCAACGTTTCCAAACAACCTGGCACGGATCTTTGTTATCGCGTGTACAAAGAAACCTTCCATCGACAGCTGGAATTGAACGTTAGCTGTACCACCATCACCCTTACTTCAAAAACGCCACCTCGCTATTCTACAGGTGCAAAATGGATATCAGCTCCAGGGACCGCGCAGAAGCCCTGCTGCTCAAGGCAGCCCGCGCGCACGGCATCCCCGTTGCAAAGGACGACGTGTACAACGCCCTGGCCGACACGGCCTTTGTCGAGTGGGCGAATCTGCATCTCGCGACCGATCATCTTCTCACGGGTGATGAGCTGGCACTGTGAGTCGTTACCCCTCGTGTTATCCTTCATCTTGGCTGACAGAGGCCTCCCCGCGATCTGTAGGTATACCGCCCTAGACAAGAGCGGACAGGTCGATCGCTTGGCCGATCTGCATGACCTGGGTGAGGTGCAGGCGGTCAATGAGGAGGACATTCGTGCTGCGATCGAGGAGTTGAATCGGTCTACGGTGACGATCTCCAAGCAGACGGAGACGTTACGACAGCAGCAGGATGCCCTTGCACGTCTTGTTGGGAAGCGGGCTGAGGCAGAAAGTCAGCGTAAAGATCTTGAAGAAGAGCGTCTGAATAAGACGAAGCATTCTTTGAAGAAGTTGATCTTTGAGGTAACACAGCTTAACACCACTGCTTAAACAATTTCCCAACTAACGGCTTTCAGGTCGATGGCGAGGCACAGAGTTTGGAGTATCGTGTCGCAGATCTGGAGCAAATTGCTAAGGACTCACGCTCCAATCTTAAGAAGACCACCGATACCGTCTTTCAATCTGATGATAAGTTGTTATCCAGCCTACAGAAACTCGGCTGGGAACTTGAACAGCAGGACCCGGAGGAAGAGAAAACCATCGAGAAGTTGCGAGAGACATCCATGAGGTATGTCACAACCTTTGTGTCCCACTCAATCAATACTGACTTGGATGTGCAGATTAATCAAGACGACTGTTGAAACGCTACGAACAAGACTAGATAGAATCTATATTGAGGCTATCCTTGCAGCGGAACGGTCAGGCGATGTCAAGTCTGCTACTCAAGAGGACGTCAAAGCTCTCGAGGAGGAGCTTGAGTCTCTTTACTCGGAGATTTTACCTGTCGCTCAGATGTCAACTGAGCAACAGCACCTGGAACCAGCCTTGAAGTCAAAGGAGTCTCAAAGCGGGCAAAGCTTGCATCGCTCAGCTGTTGCGGTTTCTTATGTATGTTCTAATGCTATCTTTGAATGTCATGGGTTGCTAATTGTCTAGGTCAACGAATGTCTTGATTACCTCGTGGAAAGGATAAGCCTCCTCACGGAACGTGTGGAGACTCTCAAATCGCACAACGCTGCGGCATCTTCCATCATTGCTACCGCCAAAGCTGAAGTATCCGCTTCGCTCTCCCCCGAGAAGAAAAAGTCTATCAGAGCTGCTATGCCGGCATCCCCTATCCGCAACCCATCACCCATCCGCATGCGTGCAAACACTGATGATAACCGCCGCGGCAACAACAATAATAGACGTCGCTCGTCAGGTATCCTCGACGAGCCTGCTATTGAAGCGCTTCTGCGCGACCTCGCTCTCTCCTTGCCGGACTCCGAGGAAGCATCTATCCAAGACCAAGTCGCTGCTCTTAGCCAGGCCTTTACCGAGCGTTCTGGAAAGACAACAGACGTGGTACGTAATGCGCAGGATAATTTCGAAGCTAGCGTCACATCTCGTCTTGATGATGCTCGCTTGGCCATTCAGCTCCTGCGCGATAGTGTACTTGCCGAAAGCCCGTATGGAGAGATCAAGCTTGTTGATCCAGAATTTGAGGGATCGATACAAGTGCTTGCTCAAGAGGTGAATATGGTTAAGGAGAAGTTGGATGGTGTTGCGGGGAAGAAGGCTTTGGCTAAGAGTGTGAAAAAAGACGAGTTTGTGCAACGGTGGGCCACATAGAAGAGGACTCGAGTCGCTTTGCAAAACAGGATCTAGGTTTCTGCATACCGACTATGAATATGGCTGTACATCTATTCCTGGGGTATACAAAAGTTTATCTATACATGCAGCCAAGCATGATCAATGAACATGGGTTGGGAGAATATACTATCCAGGGAATACTGCTCTAGGCCTTCATATAGATCAACCGCGCCCGTCATCGAATCACCCATCAGGTTCTGTCGATTATCCGCCCGTCTGTCACCAACTGGGTGAACAAACGTCGTCTGTACGCTAACAGTTGTTTTGGAGGCGTCCGACTGGCCACCCATTGCGCCGTCTGTGGTTGGCTGTGGCGAAACAGCATCCATGATATCTGAGTCAATGAGCTGCCAGATCTTTGAAGGCTGGAAGCTAATCATGTTATTGTCCTGGGCTTGGCTGGACATTGTTTGTAGTTGATACAGAAGTTCTCGCTGCTTTCTGTTAATTTAAGCTGGATTACAAGGCTGTAGTGACAGACATACCTTTTGTATACTCCTTGGAGAGGGATCAGGCATGGACTCTAGAAAGTCTACACATTTTCGATAATTGTCTTTAGAAGTCTCGGAGACTTTTGTGTCTCTTGCATATTGGAAAAGCCAAGGAATAGTAGCCGTGGCAGCGACCAGATCGCTGATCAATGGATCATACACCATCAACCCCCGATCAACACAAGTTTGCACCAATCGCGCAACCCATGCAGAGTGAAACATGGCCTGGTCGACAGTCTGCTGGAGGAATAACCGAGGTTGAGAAGGCCGATTGGCTCTTCGCAAGGTAACCAGATGAATGAACGGGTGGTTTAATAGCGCCTGAGTCGCATGGGCTGTTATCTGGAAAAGCAGCCACGGCGCCCAATACTCCCTATGTCTTTCAAACTCCTCCGGCGTGCGCTCTGAGAATCCTACATTGCGAACGAAGTGTATATGACCAAGCCGAGACTCAAGATCGTAAAGTGTATTCGTCAATTGGTAGAAGTTGGAGTTTGTATCAGCTGGATTATCCGCCTTTCCGATATGAAGCGCATGGAGATACGATATGACGTCGCCACAGAAGGACACCGCGCGTACTGCATGCGAAGTGATTCCAGGGTCTGTTCGTAAATCGTCCTGGATGGTTACCAGGTCAGGCGCGTACTCCTCGTCGCCCAAAAATGCTGGTGGCGAGGGCTCACGCGCACTGCGAGGATACTCGGGTTTGATGTGGGTTTGGGATAGAAGTGTGAAGCGTGGGGTAAAGCCTTTTTCCAGAATGGAAACGCTCCAGTAGCATCTAAGACTGGCGTCGCTTTGGGAATCGTGAGGGGATCCGGAGTAGCCTGCTCCTCGGACGAGTTCGAGTCTGCTGGCGGCTCCTATTGTCATCAAGGCCAATGCAGGTCTTCCCTCTACATGAGAATTAGTATTGGTCTGATGAAGAGGGAGGGATGCGTACCAAGAATGTCGCCCACGGCTAGTAAGCACAGGGCTTGTGAAATCTCGAGCTGGGCGGTTCCTCGCATAGCAAGTTCCAGCACTGTATCGCGAGCAGATCTTGCGTGAGAATGAATTATATCGGCCTCCTTAGCACTGCTCGAGTCATAAGGAAGATTGGAAAGAGCAAGCGCGAGAAAGATCCATTGGAGAAACATTGAGAATTCCTCGATACGCTCCCGTAACCCTTCTGGGTCGAAAAGGGGCAGTGGCTGGAAGTACAACCGTCTTCTATACTCTTCTACTGCACGGTCGAGAGAATCTGGTGATGGGAACACGCCGGTTGCAGAAGATGCCCTATTCGCTACTGAGTTGGCACATCGTGTAGTTTGTAGGGAAGGGCTTACCATTGTGCTGAGACTCTGTCGTTGATGCTTACTACATTCATACGTCGTGAAGTACTCTCCACCATAGAACTTGTTCTATTTGTCTGCCTTGGCAAAGAATCGGGGGTCAAGACTGAGCCATTGCTAGAAGAGGGAGCTTGAGGAGCCCTATGTATGATTGTCAGCCGTTTGCATTTAGAGCTGCTCGCAGGGTTTCTCACTCATGAGGATCATATATCTCTCCGGGTTGGTAACCAAAACTTGAAGCTCTGCCTTTCGACCCCGTTCTATCACAATTATTAGAAAGACGTATATTAACAAAGAATCGTGACTCACGCTCTCGATTGCCTCCTCCTTCGCTTCACCGTCTCTCGATTACGAGGTAAATACTCGCAAACCTGTTGAAGCCTCTCACAGAATGAACAAACAGGTCGTTCTCCAGTACATTTCGTCTTCTTCCGTCTGTGCATTTAGTACCCCAGCTTTAACCCTGGTCCGTGGGACATGCCACTTACCTGCAGCTTTCACAGGCGCGTCGAACGGCCGAATCAGGATTATCGGACATTGTGAAGTCGACAGTGGGCCCCTGGTAGACAATCACAGTAAGGGCAGCAAAAGACGCTATTTACAGTACAGGCGTGGATGATGATGGATGACGGAGGTGAGATATGCTCTGTTCTGTTCACATCTTTGGCTTGGGGGAAATACACGTGACTCTGACTCTGAATTTGGAGATAACTCGGAGTAATCTTGGCCTTTAATCCTTAGTACTCCGTAGAGAGTTGACAATTGTAAACTTTTATTGTTAATATCGTTCATATTTGGAAACTATCGTTAATGATACGATTAATAAGGAATTGTAGGGCCGGAGAATTGTCACAGTAGTTTTCCGTGTTCGTGGGTTAGATACCGTGCTATACGATTGGTCAATGGCTCTCGACACGGAGTTTTACACCAATTCTCCGTGTTCGAGGTCGACTTACACACATCGCCTCGCTACTATAAGATGGATAGAGAATTTCTTCATTTCAATTCTATATTCAACATCTTAGTCTTTCTTTTTCGTTGATCATAGCGTCCCATACTCAACTTCATAATGACATCCAGAAAGCCCGTGGCCAAAAACGAGCCCATCGTCATCGTAGGCGCTGGCGTCTTTGGTCTCTCAACTGCACTCGAGCTCAAGAAGAGAGGTTACCAAAAAGTCACAGTCCTTGACCGTTTTCTACCACCCGTCGTAGATGGAAGCAGCGTCGACATCTCTCGTGTCATCCGTGTGGAATATGCCGACCCTTTCTATGGCAAGATGGCCATGGAGGCCCTCGATGGCTGGACGGGCAACTATTCAGACCACTACCACGAGTCAGGCTTCGTCATGCTGACCAATGCCGAGGGAAATTCTTTTGTTGAACAAAGCAAGAACTCCAATAAGTCTCTCGGTGGTACGCTGAAGGAGTATGAGAATGCCCACGATATTCGCAAGGAGTTCCCGGCGGTTCAAGCAAAGCTTGATGGCAAGAAAGCATACTATAACAAAACTGGTGGATGGGCTGATGCAGAGTCGGCCATACGGCAGCTAGCCATGGAGTGTTCTCTCACTGGGGTGTCTTTCATTACAGGTTCAAGAGGCAGAGCTGTCTCTCTACGCTACAGCGGATACAAAGTCACTGGGGTCAACGTCGCAGAAGGAGAACCTATTTCAGCAGCACAAGTTATCCTGTCCACCGGAGCGTGGTCCAACAGACTCCTTCCCATTAGCCACGCATCATCTGGTTCTGGACAGCCAGTTGGATTTGTTCGTCTTACCCCAGAGGAGGCAGAGAAACTCGCAGATATGCCAGTCATCATCAACCTCAGCACAGGAGTTTTTATCTTTCCCCCTACGCCAAAGACACACATTCTCAAAATTGCACGCCACGGTTATGGCTGGGCGACAGAGATTGAAGTGAAGGACCCTCTAGGTCAGTCTCGAACTGTATCAACTCCGAAATACGAAAACAACGCTGCTGCCAACTATCTCCCCGAAGACGCTCAACAAGCTCTCCGTGAGGGCTTGCAACAGCTCGTGCCCGAGATTGGCGACCGCGAGTGGCTGCGAACACGGCTATGCTGGTACTCCGATACCCCCGAGGGCGACTTCATCGTTGATTATCATCCTGTTCGTGAGGGACTTTTCCTAGCCACGGGTGGTGCTGGACAGTAAGTTTGCTTAATCTGAACAATTACAAAGAGACACTAACACATGGCAGCGCCTTCAAGTTCCTCCCTGTTCTTGGGAAATACATCGCCGATTGTTTCGAAGACAAAGCCGCCAAGGAGATTCGACATAAGTGGAGGCTACGAGCGCCGACTGGACAAGACATGATTAAGAAGGGTGATGGTAGTCGAGGTGGTCCTCCATTGCGAAAGTTGACGAGAACAGAGCAGGCCAAGTTGTGAGAGTATACAAGTATTGAATTTACTATAGAAATTACATCATAGACAAATCAACGTCTCTAGATAGCAATTGAACAGTGTTTGCCATATTCTAGGCGTTCAACTCTTCCGAGATCGTATGATTATACGCGAGTGTTCGGAGCCGTAAAAATAAACTAAGACTATCGCATCACTTGTGCGAAGCATTTACGTGGTCTGTCGGCGGTATAGTGCGGCGCTGACACGCCTAAGTACATGTCACGTCTACGTTTACGCATGGCCCCTACGATGGTGTTTTGGTGCTGTATTATATGGGATATGGACATATGTGTAACATGTAATATCCCGTCGCTTGGTGACTGGCCCGAACTGAGCCAGACACTCTCATGTCGGTAGACCTCTCACCAGTGTTTGGTCTATATGGACTTTTAGCCAAGAGGCGCACAGGTGAAAGCGCTCTTGACGGTTCCCTGGTCGTACTGATGAATCTGTTGAAGGGATTAGTCTGTGCTACGCAAACAGGCCTGTGCAGATGGACTTACAATATCGACGACAGCGGAGTATGTTCCGGCAACTAGGAATACAAGACCCATAACGAAGATGATAATGTTGACAATGCTTATCAAGATATTCTTCTTGCTGTACCATTTACCCTCCCGCAGCAACATGAACCACATAACAGCAGGCCAGTAGAGGGTGAAGCCAGAGTTCAAAAGACTCGATGTAATGGCGATCAGATCGCTGAAGAAAGGAATAGCCTCTGCAACGACGAAACCAATCCATGTGAAGATGGTGATGAGAAGTAGCCAAGAAATCCATCCCTTGGGGGTATTGATATACCTGGCGATGGAATTCTCATGGACGCGACCGTGGATGTACCGCACCGCAACAGTTGTGTTGATCGAACCGCTGATGAAAATGACAGGCAAGGCGACACCAAAGGCGACCTTCGCAACTGTATGGCCTGCAGATAGAAGAGCTGGAGACTTGACATCAACACCCACGAACGAGTAGATGAGCGCGCCGGTGAGCGTGTAGATGACGATTTCCAAGCCACCGAGAGTCCAGATGGCCTTCATATAATCGGTGGGTGTATGCATCTCATCCATGAAGCTGAACTGGGAGATGGAGAAGCTGTAGGCAAAGAAGATATTACAAACAGCAATAAAGGCCTGCGCGAAAGTGATATCTGGCTTGGGCCAGGCAGACCAGTTGACAGGCTCGGGCGCCTCACTAGACCTGATACCAGTCGCAATGATGGTGATGCCAATAGCCGCGATGATAGACGCAAAGTCAATGTAGCCCAGAATGGCCACCTCGGCGAAACTAGGAGGCACCGCAAGGAGCAGCAGCAAGATGGCTGAAATAACACCCCAGACCAGACTGCAGACGTTGCTTTCCGTAAGAGTCGAAAAGGCAATGGTCCCCGTCAGGCAATGCGAGGCCGTGAGAAGCAGAAGTTGGAGAGTAACCATGGCTCCAAAGGCCTCCGCTCCCCAACGCCCAAACATTAGCCCTCCTGCGGCAGGATAGTGCTCTACCTGCGGGTACTTGACCTTGACCTGGCCGACGATCCACGACGTGTAAATGGCGATGAGTCCAATGCCGACTGAGCAGATGACGCCGGCTACCATACCCAGCGTGGCGAAGGCACCGGGGATGGAGAGCGAGCCGAGGGCTACGGCCTGGACGATGAGGACGATGGTGAGGCGCTTCCAGCCGAGACGGTTGAACTTTGCCTTGCCGTCGAGGATCTTGCGCTTCTCAAACTCGGTGACCTCGCCGATCATCTTTTCGCTGGTAGAGTCATCGTCGTCTTGAGCAACGGGCCCAGAGAGGATGTTGTTCTCTTGAGGCCCCTCGGGCTTGTTGACTGTGTCCTTGTTCTTGTTCTTGTTGCTGCTGGCGGCGCCGACCGCAGGAGTAGTTGTGGGTGTCATTTTGGGTGTTGTTTTGTAAATTAGTCTCCCATGGTCACACAGAAAGTTTCCTTTGTGCTCGAAGAACTCTTTCAGAGGTATTCGTCCGTTTGTAAGAGAAGACAAGACGTAGTGAGAGCAAACAGATTTGTGTAAAGGTCAAGAATAGAGTCGAAGCGGGCCCCATGGGCAAGCTTTGTAGGGCCACACACAAGACATGACTCCCCTTTAGACCGACGTCGGACGTGGAGATTTGTTCATCTGGGAAGAGGCGAGAGAGAAAAAAGTTTGTCAATCCAGGCCATGTCATACGAAAAGGGCCAGGCAAGGGCCATTCCACGATCCATGGTGGATGGAGTACTCCGTAGAAGTGGGACCCTTTCCGTGGTGTTTCTAGAAAGACGGACAATAAAGCTTCTTTTGGAGGCTTTCAATTGGTTGAAACTATGGGACACTATTGATTAGCGAATCGGCTAACATCAGTAGACTTCTTAACCAAGTCAACAAGGCAGAGTTTTACAGCAATTTTCATCCTTTTTTCACGCTCTTCTTAAGTATTACTCACGCAAAGATGACAATTAGAATCACTGGCCCTTTCACCGGTACAATTCTCGAAAGCTTTAGTCAAAAGCAAAGCACAGTTTTGCCGGGGAAGCTGAAGAGGGTCACCAGAGATCATCTTATGTGGATTCTGTTACTCAAAAGTCGGTCCATTTTACCTAATGCTTCTGGAGACGCCGAGTCATAAGACAGAGCAAAATGGGCTGTCGCCCCTTGAATTTGATGCTCTAGGACGCGGAGCCGAGGTGAGCTGAGAGCTGAGAGCAAAGAGTATGAGAGCGTTGCAGGGTCCAAACTTTATATGGTTTCTCCCGCATAATGAGGCACGCTTTATTGGCAGATGCATCATGACTGGCGCTTGTGGTTCTGATTTACTCTGCATAAACGGTTAACAACGGTACACTATGTATCAGTTGAACTGTTACAAGTGGTCTAGTGTTAATAGAAGATTTATTCATGATTATTCGCGTTGTTGCTGTTGGTTTATCGGAAGCGCTACTCGGCAACGTTGCTTATGTGCCGGTTCCGAGGAGCCGCATTCCACGGTACGTCCAGAGATTCGTGTTCCAAAGACCCTTCATTTCGTTCTCTTTCCCCAAGTTTTCTCCAGGATGATCTGCTAACTCAATCATACCCCCCCGCGCTCACTTTCTTTGATTGCTTGACCCGCTATGTTTGACAGTTCAGTGCAGGCACATGAATTGGTCATGACTTTCGCTTATTACGTACTGAAGGTTTGCATGTGTTAATGAACGGACGCCTTGGACCGTTTGCACTTCCAGTGGTAAAGCTCCTTCACCAGCAGTTGAGAGTGTGTACGGTCTGTGTTTGTGTTTTGTGATTGCATGTCCTTCGTAACTGGGCTACTGTCTGGATACACCGGCATCGTGATCTTTGAAATTTCAGTGACCATGGTTCCTAATAAGATAGACCGTAGGAGCCTTCACCTAGAGGCTTCTACCTTCATCCCTTGAATGATACCCATTGCCGTTCGTGATTCTCTCCTCCTGGTGAACAACAGCCTTGGGCAGTCCAAAACCGACACCAAAGAACACAAAGATGGCCCACTTCCATCGGAAAGGATTAATAACAACACAGAAGAAGAACCACCAGACAAGCTCCAGATACGTAAAGAAGTCAAAAGCGCCAGTTGGGCTGGTAGTCTTGAGCGCCTTGGTCATGTCAATCCAACGCTGCATCCAGAACGGACTGGGACGCGAAAAAGGGTCCATGAGAAACATGAGGAGGATTCGCGTGTAGATACCGATGTGCCAGTTGCCCACGCTGCCGATGGCGTTGACGTATGTGCAGTTGATGGCTGAGACGGAAGGGTGAGCGGGCGGGAAGGTCTGGAGATACCAGTTTGGCGGCGGGTAAGGCTCTTGGAAACAGTCGTTGGGCAGGAATGATAGAGAAGGCCTTTTGAAACCGGTTGCCATTACGACAATGTCAGCGTCGATGACTTCTTCATGGCCTGGACCACCCTGAGGAACACCCTTGGCACGTCGATTGACGAGGATTCCACGATCGACAATGTCATCGATATCGCAACGGATCCATTCAGCCTTGCCCTCGCGGAGCTTTTCCATGATATCTGAGTTGACCATAGGTGTCTCAGTGAATAATCCGTGGCTCTTGTCAGGTGCAATGTTCTCAAGGTCTTTGTAGAAGAACTTGCGGAGGAGGAACTCAGGGATAAACGATAGGATTGTCTCCTGGCCGAAGATGTTAAAGCTGAGAAGAGTGTCGACTACTATGTTGCGTGGTATTATCCACTTCTCTGAGCGAGAGAGAATGGTTGCTTTGGCGGCATCTTCGGAGAAGGCAAACTCAAGTGCTTCAACTGCAGAGGCACCTCCCCCGATGATGACCATCTTCTTACCCTTGACATCTTTTCTGCAAGGAGGTCAGCAAAATGCATTATGGATCGGCAGATTAAGAGACATACCCAGTCAATTCACTGGAGTGGTAGATAGGACCGTTGAAGTTGTCCATGCCAGGAATCTTGGGCATCTTGGGCGCACCGCAAGTACCCACGGCAGCAATAACACCACCGAAGCGTCCCATAGAAGGGTCGTTGACAATCCACCTTCCTTGTTCATCTTGATAAACTCGATCAATCTTCGTGTTGAAGCGAGTTCTCTCTTTGAGCCCGTAGCGTTCCCAGAGCTGGCGAACCTGGCTGAGGATCTGCTGACGGTTGGGATAGCCACGATTCCATTGAACAGAAGGATGGAAACGATACATGACTGAATGGATTTGAAGGCCAGACGTCTCATTGACTCTCTACTCAGATATTAGCTTTAAGAAAGTACATGTCTTGTGGATGAGTAACTTACACTCCAGATACCGCCGACGTTATCCTTGGTACCAGCCTCGAAAATAACAACATCGAAGCCATGTCCGATACAATGAGCAGCCGAAGTTACACCCGTGATTCCTGCACCGATCACAGCGATTTTAGGACGATTATGCCCAAGTCTCGCATTTTCACCCGGAGGCTTAGGCGAGAGAAGCTTGTCCGTCAGCCATTGAAAGATCTGGAAGAGGAAAATGAAAGGATGCAATATGGGATTGACGAGGCCCTGAGTTGAAGACATGATTTCCCACAACTGACAAGAAATATTCCTTTGCAATTGTTGCAGAGTGAGTTGTAGTAAGCCCGTGGTTTTTACTCATAAATCCTCGGTGTTGGATGTTTTCATGTGAAACTCGATTGGGCATGACGTCAATCTTTCACATGTTAAGCACGGCCATGACGAGTCAATGATTCAAATGTCAATCCTGAACAGGGCAGTTGAGATAAATAATACCGCGGTGATAAGAACGCAAAAGAGGGACACAGATACGGCTGAAACCAGAATATCATATCTCATTCCAAACTTGTCTGGCTGATTCTTTTACTGGTAACTTGTGTTTTATTTTACCTTTCCTCGTAAACCCGACCTTGTCACGAAACCGTCCTACAGCTTTACCCCCAGAATTTCATCCACTTGAAGAATACTTTCATCATCTAACTAAGACTACTAACCATACAATCTTTTGCACAATGGAGAATCCAGGTATGGCCAAAAACACGATCATCTCACCATGTGGTCAATTAACACGCCACCAGTCAATGAAATCGCCGGCGTTATCAAGTCCCTCACCCAGGGCGCACCAGATATCCAAGAATCTACCCTGAGAGAATATTTCCTACCCAATGCCTCATTCTCACACCCATACTGTCGCGTTCCGTCCATATCCAAAGGGCAAATTCCTCTGGCTAGCGGTCTTGAGTCTATCCAATTGATCTTGGGCATATACCGGTGGTATCGCACCTTGAGTCCGCAAATTGACATTAAAATCGACTCAGCAGGCAAGTCTCCAAGTGCACCATGATTGCTTTGATGCTAACTTCCCAAAGCATTTGATCAACAAAGTGGCCTTCTTTACGTCTCAATACGCCAAACATTCGCCATCTGGTTCATCCCTTTTTACAGGGCTCCCGTACGGCTTGTCTCAGTTCTGCAGCTCACGCAGCTATCATCCGAGTCATCGTCGGAAGATGATGAGCTGAGCGAGAGCCAGAGCCTCAGCCCTCGGGGGCAGAGCCCAAAGTACTACATTGCCAGCCAAGACGATCTGTATCCAGTAAACGACTGCATCCAGTTTCTGTGTCCTGGTCTAGGTCCGTTCCTGTGGACTATCTGGCAGCTTTACAGCACTTGTCTCTGTTTTGTGGGATCTCTGCTGTTTTTGCCGCTCTACTTATTTCTCAATGGGACTTCGTCTAAGGCGAAGAAGATGCCTAAGGTTTAAATTGGGCTGTCGAATTGGCGTTTTGGGGTAAATTTCATGACCAAGTACAAGCGATGTGGGATTTCATGGGACATGCTTAATGATAAAACTAATGACAGCATCTTGAGGTATCACGACGTACTTGCTTGACGTTTTCGAGGGAATGGGGATGTTATTACTGGAGTCCATAGACTTAATTGATCGGCACAGAAAATGAGAAATTTACGAAACCATGCTCGGAATGGATCAATTGATGTGGACAATGTGGCATGTATATTCTCCTAAGTAAGAATAATGTAGCCAGGCAGTTTCCTTGGCCATGCTTCTGGCTGTTTTCCCCTAGCATATCACCAAATACGATTCTCTATATGGCCGTGTAACGTAGATACTTCACGCAAAATCAATGTGGTTTACCATGTTTTGGTCATAACTTCGTAAATTGATAGGAATCTATGCACAGCATGAATCCTGGCTACTTCTAAGTAGGCTTTTACACTATTGTCTAACGCTATACTTACTCTGTGCAATACTCGCAGACGTGGTGATCGGCCAATGCCAATATTCCTCATGGTTTGGGCTTTGCCTCTTACTCTCCCGAATATACGAGAGGTCTTCTCTTCCATGGATGTCCTTCTTGGTCGTCCAAGTCCGATCTTGTACCATCCTGGAAGGTTTCTAACATGCTCTTGGGAGCGACGCGGTGCTGAGAAGTATGATATGAAGTGCTTCGAATGCTAGATTCGGGAACGTAATCTTCTATGTGTCCTTGGTGCCATAGGTCACGATGGTCTCTTTGGTAACCGATATACCTTTCATGCTTTGACTGCGCATGGTGGAAAACCCAATCTGGGCTGGGTCCGGACTGGTCGGCATAGGCAAACCCCTATCAGGAAGGCTCTCGATACTATCGGCATCCTGTTCCGCATTGATAGAATTTCGGACGCCGTTGGGTAGAGGCGACACAGGCCAAAGACGTGCCTCGTCATCTTGGGGGTTTCTATCATCAAAGGTTTCGCTCCTTTCAGCCAATTCGTATGATTCGTTAGCAGGCGTTTGGCCTTTACGTTTTTCTTGACTTTGGGAGATTGCGTTTCCAGAAGCTGTGTTTTTAGAGCTCTTGGCTCGTGACCGAAGACGGGATTGGACGATGAAGGGGACGTATCGCATGCAGAACGGCTTGAGGGCTGGAGCTGAGACACAGACGAGACTAGTGTTGACTTCTATAAAACTCAGCACGAGTTGTTTAGGAAGAGCCCAAGTGTAGTCGGGTTCGTCCAAGATAGGAAGGGTGATGGTGACTCTCCTAATTGTGACGATAACGATGGCCCCTCCCGTTGCGAAGAGCACACAGAGTCCAATTTTCTGACGGTAGGGGATCTGGAGAGGTTGAATGATGCGAATCGGTAGAAGGAGAACGAAGACGTCCACAGTAACAGAGCAGACTAGAAGAAAGATAATAAGAACACTCAGGGGAATGCATTCTCCTTCAATGGTGAGGTCCCACCCTGAAACGACTGGCCGACATCGAAAGACAGCGAGCATGGTGTATACAAGCATGTAGGCGCAGACAAGAGCGATGAGGACATGGACAGCTCGACGGACCCATTTGTCTGGAGAGATTCGAAGGTAAAAGGTGAGAACCGAGAGCTTGGCAAGGTTGATGGCGGCGGCGTAGGTGAGAGTGGCCCCGATGCTGGTCTGCCAGAACTTGGGGATGTATTTCTCAGCTGGGATATCCCACATGTGATTTCCGGCACCAAGGTTCAGGACTGCTGGATGTCAGATGTGCAGGCTGTGTTGGTTGGAGATGGGGATGTTACATACGTGTTAAGCAGATACCAAGGAAGATAAACGAGAAGCACATGCCAGCTATGCATAGATCTAGACAACTCAGTTAGCTTCCCTTCCATATCAATAAACCACACAAACTTACAGTCGTCAATACCCAACACACCCTTCACCACAACCTTCCTCGTAAAGATCCGAAGACCAACGACGATGAGGGCGATCGCTGTCGTAGCAATACCGCATGGAAGGACTCCGCCTGCGCTGCTAGGAGGATTGACCAAAGTCCGGACCTGGCCCTCGGGAGGCTCCATGAGATAAGCAGCAGGCGCCATTATGACTTATGAATTATATGTAGATATCTTTTACATCAAGATATTATGAAAGGAAAAGGGGTGGACTGAAACTGAGCAGTCAACTTGGCTGTGTCAACGAAAGGACATGATCGTGCAGAATGGTTCAACAACAAAGACGTTTATTGTGATGGGATATGCAGTGGCTTATATCTTGTACAAGGAGCCAGGATGTAAAGAAGTCGAGATGACAAGTTTGACTCCACCCTGCAACGCCATCAAGATGAGATATATCGAGATCTGCATCCAACTATTCGTACATACAACCCGGACCCTCTTCTCGCAGCCATATATTCTTCCTGTCTCTCCGAATCAAGCCAAAGACCCAAGGAAAATGTGAAAATACTTCGACTTTAGGAAGTCTCTCCCGGCACCGAGGGTGGGTGCAAGTAAAAAAAGTGATGGCTCATTCTTGCCAGAGGGTGGTGAAACCTGTAACCAGTGTAGTATGGAAATGAAAAAGCAAACGCTATTTTGCCCTCTCTCTCTCCCTGTCTTGGTCGATAAATGCCCTATTCTTTCCCCCCCTAGTCGCTTTTGCTTCTTCTCGCGCTTCATGCGGTTCCCATTCTAGCGCGTCTGATATACCCTGACAACCTAGGAACCCGGAGTGCCCTCCATCAACCGGGACCCGCTGCGAAGCGTGGGGATGGGAGTTTCTCGGACTGCCGGGAGGCGATTATACTACGAGACTTTGTTACTTGAGATGAGTTGCTGGTCGTTACCTCGGAATAACTTGTGGCTGTCATGAGCCACTAAGAGGAGATGAGTGGTCTTGTTCATCACATGCAGGAACATTTGAGGCCATCATATTTTCTTAGCAGAGACGTTCCTTATCCGATCAATTGCTAATGCAGTGTATCCGTAACTATCCAAGTAACAGCCAACTGCCGTATAGTAGTCGTTGAGACGTGTGCTCGGATCGCCAGGGTCTACTCCTTGGGATGACATAGACCCAAATTCCACGCGAGTTCTGTTAGTCCAGGGGCACAAGCCAAACAAAGGTTTACGCATGACACGCTATGGTATATTCCATTGTATTTGACGGATGCAACACCATGATCTTTCGAGGTCAATATGTACGGATCTTATTACCGACAAGCCAAGCGAGTTTGGCCGTCAGTAGCGCTTATTCGAACAACACCAAAGCCAAAAGTGCTGACACTAACACGAATTCCGCAATATATTTGCACGGTATTTGTTTCTTAGTGTCCTGGCTTCCCTTCTTCCCCTCCTCCTGGTCTCGCCGCTTCTTCATCTCGCACCTTTTTACCTCTTTGGTGCTTTCGTGATGGACCCTTCGGTGTGGGGAGGTTGAGGAACTGTCAATATGATTTACATCAGAAAGCGGGTAATATGCTGTCAAACTTGCCGAATGGAACCTATTGAAGATCCGTTGCAACGTAGTTGACGAAGGAAAGGAAACGTAAATCCCGTGATTCCGCGGTACATAGATGAGACAATAGTAAAAGCAAGGTTCCTGTCCCGCAAGGCAAAACAACAAGGGTCCATATATATCTATTTCCACAAACGGCCGTGCATGAGCATATTGTAAGCCACAGGAAGGCCTCAGTACTACATCGTTCAAGACTTATAACTATTTCCCTGTATTCACTCACTTACCTGCTTGTTTAAATTCTTATTTTTCTCAATCTTCCTCAAACCACAGTGAAATATGGAGGACTAGGACCCATAAAATAGAAAAACGACAGCTCGCTACTCTATCGCCATGGGTGATTTGCTTTTTCGTATCTCTTGCGCTTTCAAAGGGTTTATATCACCCTTGTCTCTCTCATAGGGCATTGACACACTCGACGTTGAATGGCTCTTGGCTGATTTGTCTTGGAGTAGTCACTCGGTCTGCTGTGTTTCCTTTCTCTTGCATGAGAGACATCGTGATATATGTCGCCTTATGCCTTATGTATGTCTCAGATGACTGAAGAGATCGGATCATTTTTTCTTAACAAAGCTATACCAATTTTAAGGCGAGCTTGATCGGAAATAAAATATCCAGTTTGACTTTTGTCTCCTTGTTGGCTTTTGAGTTGATATATCACAATAGATTCAAGACTGACTATCATGAGACCCATCGTTCGTAATAGCCACCTGACACTACTCAGACCTGGTAGCAATGCCAATTGACAAGAGCCATGATCCGCTATCCGAAAAAGATGATCTAGCTTGGGATACGTAATAGTCGATGTTCTCTCTTGTCCCTGGAACTGAATAACACACACCGAAATGCTACAGCAGTGACAGAAGTGAAGAGGCTGCATTATAGGCATGAATCAGACCATAGATCTCCGAGGCCATTGCACGACAAAGGAAAAAGCAAGCACATATACTGTATAGTGACATAGTCAACGTCTTGGCAACAAATCAGGCGTGTGAATTGTATGCAGGTACCAACGTTTATTCTTGTGTCTGAGTCAACTCAACGCCTCCTACTATGCTATGCTGCATATTAAAACGCCACATACGACTCTCTATGCTGTTACCTCTTCATCCATCACCGTCAAGTGACTAACCATTCGAGCTCGTCCCTCAATTATAATTCGGCTGTAAGTGGACGATGAAACAGCGGCCCGCAGCCCGTCTTCGACCCTTGCAAAGCCGTTAGAAACCAGGTCCAACCTTGTAATTCCGGAGCGTTTCTCTCCCAAACCTACAGTTATTAATTGCTTTATGCAGAGCCAATAGATCTGCATACCTTGCGGCTAATCACATTCTATCTCATACATACACACAGACTTTTCTCCCATTTTGAAACGCCAGAGCATGGCCCCAGCAATTGTCTAGTGACAATGACTCTTGTAGAGAAAAGAATATGCTTCGTCACATATCAAATTCGTTAAACAAAAAAAACCTTGCTTACCCACTTCCTCGCAAACATGACTTGACCAGGAAACCTTTGCTGGGGCGAGGAGAACAGACACTAGAAGAGCATAGTTCTAGGTGCTAGATCTATGAATTTTTAGTTGCAGGTGATGCTTATATTTCCTCCTCTCAGGATGGCAAAGCCTGAAAATTAATCCTGGGCATTTATCATGGTGCAGCTGCATATCATATTTATATCCCACCTGTCATTTCTCAAAATTTCGTATTTTTCTTCCCTAACACCTGGACCATGTCGCTGCATGTTCAATACTACCATAATACGCACCATCTTCGTCTTCACTCTTCAACTTGAGATCAAAGGCCCGCTCCGACTGGTAAATGAGACTCGCCTTCTGGATTGGTAGCCGCAATTGGAAATGTTTGAAAATGGAATTAGTATGTCATTATATCATGGCCTCGGTCATTGGTAGTTAAACGACTTGCTTGCCACGGCAGTTCGTCCACAACACATCCTCTCGGCAGGCACAGGTTTCAGTATGCCTCTTGATGGAATCCGAAGCGGTGAGACCCTCCGTTGTGGGCATCTGACTGGGTCTACCCGATTAAAACGAGGTGTTATTACGCTCTTTGTGGCTTACATCTCGGTTGACAGTGTCTTAGATGCAATGCAGTTCGTCCATCTTCATCATATCATCCACGATGACATATGACAGCTCCGAACTCGATTTTCTGAAATCCAACGTCTTATTCTAAGCGCCCCTGCCCGTTGGTGCATTAACATTACATGATACATCCACAGCTAGTGTACAGGCCTTGTCATATCCTATTCTCTTTCGTCTACCCAGATGCTCGCTCTCGCAACATAGTATAGTCGTGCTCGTAATGCGTCATTCTCCCCATCATGTACTACCTAACCTGGCCAGTGCTAGTCATTTTGTTCATCACATAACCTGCTCCCGGCCAACGACTCCCCGCTTCTCAAAAGCAAATCTTGTCATCAACTCAGACATCTTCAGTTCCCACTGCTTCGTAACCTCCACGTTCTCTACGACCTGTCAACTGCATCAGGCCAGGGCTCTCGTACATAGCCGTATAGTCAACCCTCTCGCCACCAAGCACAGCAGACCCGTTCTCTCTCTGGCCAAAAACGGGCGCAGGATCACACCAGAAGTCCTTGCAGTTGGAAATACAGCCTCTGCTATAGGGGTTCTTCTTCTTGCGCTTATTCTTGCCAGATACCGCTCCGCGGCCGGTAATGGTCTCGATGAAGGGGTCGACACCGAGGATACGGCTCCACTGCTTGAGCATACCGCCCTTGTGCTTATGAGAATGAGCAGAGGAGGGTGTTGTCGCGGACAGAGATGGGTGGTTGGGGTCAAGAGGAGCGCCAGTTGATGTGAGAGCAGTAAGGGTTGTGCCATCTCTAACACCAAACATGTTCTCATATGTGGTCATGGCCCGGGCTACTTGAATGAACTGAGTAAACAAGAGCATAGTGACCCAGAGAAGTTGGAGCGTAATCCAGACAGCCAAGACTGCCGTGTACGGGTCGGCATTGATGTACTTGCACAGAGACGGGCTAAGCACATTGCAAGTTTCTGATGCATTCGTACTGACAGTTTCGAAGTCTGCCCGGGGTCAGTTTCATGGCCGTAAATATTGGTGATCAACTTACAGTAGTACAGTAACCAGTCGTACGACACAATACCCAAAGTAAGCGAAATGAGGTAGAAGAAGAAGTGTCGGTGGTTGTTGATACCGATACAGTTGTAGACCCAAGGACAGTGACTGAAGCTGGTTAGTATTGGATGGCAACTTGAGAGACAATATCTTACTGATCATGCTTGGCCACACATCGCTGGCAGCGACGGCAATGCTTGCTTCGAAGAGGAGTCTGAATCATGCACGTAACACAGAAATTGGTCTCATCATACTTCCACTGCGCAATAAGCCCATCAATGACAGCCTTTTGCTCCGCGATGCCCTTCATCTTTGGGACAAATCCAGGATCATATCTCATGCATGCGATGTAGAAATACACAGTGAAGCCGAAGAAGATGGCAAAAAAGAGGTTAAGAAAGCTGTGGCCGTGGCCTTCGCTCGCGCTCAGCGTTGTCGCAAAGAGAACTGTTGTCAACCAGTTGAATCCCGTGAGGAAAAGAGTGGCCGCAAAGATACCGGTAAGCCAGGGCTATGATCAGTTAGCAGCTGTTTGCGACAAGCAAAACCACTTTCACATACCGTCTTGTGGAAATGTCGCATGTCTGAAGGCGCATACTCCAACACTTGCTGAGCAACCCACTGGATACCATAGACAACAGCTAGTCCGAGAGGCACACCGATATACACGGGCGCACTCGAAATTGTGACGAGCATTGCCCAAAGTAAAACGAATGGCCAGAGGAACAGGAATCTGGTCACGAAAGTTCTCTTGTCCTTCAAGAAATAGCTAGCACCAGGCCATGGCGGCACCGCGGGATGTCCGTCTTCGTCGAAACCACATTCTTGAAGTGCTCTATGCCACGCAACTTCTGTGTTAAGCTCGCTGGCCGTCACAGCAGGAGTCTTGCCCGTCTGTGTCTTTGCAAATCGATCGGCGCCGTACTCAATAAGCTTGAGGATGCATCCTGGGCTTCCCTTTACCAGAGCCCAATGCAGCGCGGTAAATCCTTGCTCATCTGTCGCATGGACGCTTGCGCCCCAGCGAAGAAAGAGGTCGACGACCTGGGGAAAGCCTTTGTAAGCAGACCACATAAGCGCCGTATGACCGAAAGTGTCCAGGACGTCGACGGGAATGCCCTGGTGAAGAAGGAGGGCGATGAGAAGGACATGGCCGTTGAAGGTCGAGATGTGGAGGGTGTTGTAGCCTTGAGCGTCGGTAATCAGAGGGTCTGCGCCATGCTGAAGGAGTAGATCGACGGTATAGTAATGGCAACGCTGAGCAGCCCATTGGAGAGGGGTTGCTACTGATTCGCCGCCCTTTCTGTTAATCTCGGCGCCGTGTTCGATTAAGAATTTGCACATCCCATATTGATTGTTGATTGCAGCCCACTGGACGAAAATAAGTCAGCCAAAGTCCTTCTTTACCCGACTCGTCGTTGCATCGCTCTGCACTCACATGTAAGGGCGTGATGCCCTCATCGTCGTGGTAGGTCGCGTCGAATTCGCCCGACTCGAAAATCTTCTCCATGGCTGGGACGTCTCCTATCCGAGCCACCTGCATAATATCATCCTCCTGGCCTTGGCCGTCTCCAGGCAGACTGCCCATCTCGACCTCGCTGTTCAACTTGGGCGTGGCAGCATTCGACTTGTTCGACATTTGGAGAGGCGCTGCTGGGCCGGCTGACATGGTGCTGTTGGTGTTGACGCTTCCCATGGCGATTGTGCCCATCAGCCAAGATCGTCAGGTGGTTGCGCGGGGAGGAATAGGATTCGACTTCAACTCGAGAAGGAACGCGATGAGACAAAAATATAATTGACAAGGTCAGTTATTCGTACAGCATAAACATTATCGAAACGAATCTTGCGCGAAAGAAAAAGCAGTGAAGAGAAATGAGTTAAAAAACCCTCCTCGAAATGTCTGGGCTTGGCTTAGTCTTGGCTGGATTTTGGATGAGACAGCGCGTGGAGTAGGCCTACGTATTACCTGAAGCCGTGATGCCGAGCGCGGCTGAGCTTAGACCCCAGGGGCCCTCATCCTCCTCTACGGGGGAAGCCGTCCGCCTTAAACTTGCCGGCATTGCCGTTTAATTGAAGGATAAGGACAGGGTCTCGTTGTGGCTGATTACGTGCCATTTCCCCCCTATCCGCTTTCTGTTGCAGTGGCTTCAGTCATTGGATAGCACGTATTTTGTCTTTCTGTGGCTGAGGCTGAGCCTTAGCCTACCTGGTAGCTAGTCCTGGTGGGCAGGTGGGCTGGACAGATATCATCTCGCACAGCTTCATCTAACTGACAGCAAACGGTCTGTTCGGTTGTTGATATCGTGAATCGACCAATCGCATACGCAACGACGACTTGAGGCTGTACGGAACTCACTAAGGCGCCCTCACATAGGCTTTATCTGTTTCTCCAACATCGACACCTAACCAGACAACACCAGGCGCCGGTCGGTGCCGCATTCCTCCCACCATGGTCAACCTCGTTGAAGCCTTCGAGGCCATCATGACGCCCTCGCTCGCCACAATCATTATCGGCGCACTTATCATCTTGGGTGCTCCTATCATTCTTCACCTCGTCCTCGCCTCGTCAAGGACATACACCGTCCCGCCCAGCGTTCTCCTCATCGGCCCTGCCAACGCTGGCAAAACCGCACTCCTCACGCTTTTTGAGCGCGGCGCTTCTGGTACCGAGACGCACACCTCCCAGGTTTCGCACGATGTTGAGCTTAATGCGTCCACCGACTCGGATACCAAACATTCTTACCGGAACCACGATGCCACCGATGGCACCTACACGAAGTTCTTGCTCGTTGATACCCCAGGACATGGCAAGCTGCGAAATGTGCCCATGGGAAAGCTGAGCAATACCGAGAAGCTCAAGGCAGTTGTCTTCGTCGTCGATGCTGCTGCTATTGGAGAGCCGGAAGCCCTCGCCCCTACCGCTGCGTACCTTTACGATGTGCTGCTCCTGCTGCAGAAGCGAGCCACCAACACAAAGACCAAGACCTCGATCCCTATCCTCATCGCCGCTAACAAGATGGATCTCTTTACTGCGCTGCCGTCAACGCTTGTTAAGTCCAACTTGGAGGCCGAATTGTCGAGGATCCGTGCTTCGCGAAGCAAGGGACTCCTGGACTCGGGTGTTGGATCTGACGATATTGGGTCTGAGGAGCAAGATTCCTGGCTGGGCGAGTATGGTTCTTCCAAGTTTAGCTTCAGCCAGCTTCAGGAGTTTGACATTGATGTTGATGTTCTCCCTGGAAACGTCACTGGCGATGGTCCTGGCGCCGACAAGTGGTGGTGGTGGATTGCTCAGAGGATATAAACGACAGCCATATGATCAACACAACTCACAAAAAGGGGAGCACAAAGGGGATGACACAATTATATTAATGACAATTTTTAATGCTATGCAATTGGTTCCTATCGTAAATGCCATGTAGATGTTGAGTCTACCGCCCAGAATTCTATCAAAACCGAATCCACCCAAATAATTCCATCTTTCTTTTCTATAAGGTATCCTGGAACGCCAGACGTGAATGTCGTTGAAAACATGAGTACTCGTTCCCGCCTCTCGCGAGGTTTCCTCTTCTACAGCTTCTTGTTGATCATCCATGTGAGGAGATCAACCTTTGTGATCACAGCAATGGGCTTGGAGAGCGACTTGGAGTCGTCGGACTTCTCGGTGACGACGGCCGCACTGTTCCACTCGAAGAACTTGCTGAGCACAGTGAGGGGTGTGTCCTTGGTGATCTCGACAAACTGTCTGCGCTTGCCGGGGTTGATGGGGGAGGCGAACTCGCGGGGATCGGTGACGATCTCGTCGAGGCGCGCAAAGTCGAACATAACATCGGACACGGGGCTCTGGGCCGTGGCGCGGCCGCTGGAAATATAGCTCAGAAGGTTACCCAGTGTGACGAGGCCGACGAGCTTGTTACCGCTGGCAGAGAGGACGGGGAGCTGATCGAAACCCTTGTCGCGCATGGTCTCGATGGCCTCGGAGCATGTGGAAGTAGCACCGACGGATGTGACTGGCTTGAGACGCAGGTCGGCGATGGTAGCACCCTCGTAGGGATCGGAGTTCTTCTTCTGGCCGTTGCCGTTCACTGTGGATTCGACTCCGTTCACAGGGAGTAGGTTGTTGGCAGCGAGCCAGTCGTCGTCAGCGAACTTGGAGAGGTAGCTTCGGATGCTGTCGGGCAAGACGACAACCACGACATCTCCCTTCTTGAAACCGTACTCCTTGACAGCGAGGAGCATAGCAGCCATGGCAGAACCGGAGCTGCCACCGACAAGCAGACCCTCCTCGCTGATAAGTCGGCGAGCAAGGTGGAAGGATTCTCGGTCATCAGTCTTGTACCACTTGTCGACACTCTCGCGGTCAAGGACGTCGGGGATGAAATCGTATCCAATACCCTCGACCTTGTAAGACTCGTTGACGTGTTCCTGGTTCAGCAGCTCGGGCAGAGCAAGGATACTGCCATGGGGATCCGCAGCGATGGCCTTGATGTCCTTGTTGTGCTTCTTGAGGCCGCGAGCCAGGCCAGTGATAGTACCTCCAGTACCGGCGCCAGCGACGATGGCGCTGATCTTTCCACCGGTCTGCTCCCAGATCTCCTCAGCAGTGCCGAGCTCGTGGGCGAGCGGGTTGTTCTCGTTGCTGTACTGATCGAGAATGTGGGCGTTGGGGAGCTCCTTTTCGAGACGTCGAGCAACACCAATGTGAGATTCGGGAGCGTCCCAGGCAGCCTGTGTAGGTGTGCGGATGATGGTAGCGCCAAGAGCTCGGAGGACGGAGACCTTCTCGGCTGACATCTTTTCGGGGAGAGTAATGATGGTCTTGTAGCCCTTGATAGCTCCAACGAGAGCAAGACCGATACCACTGTTCGGAACACAGTCAGCAAAGTTTCAGTGGCATTAGATAATGGTGATCTTACGTGTTTCCACTGGTAGGCTCGATCAAAGTATCACCAGGCTTGATTCTGCCGCTCTTCTCGGCCTCCTCGATCATGCGCAGGGCGATTCTGTCCTTGACACTACCGCCAGCGCTGAAAAGCTCAGGCTTGACGTAGACATCGCACTCGATTCCCAGCGACTGGGGGATCTTGTTAAGTCGCACAAGAGGAGTGTTGCCGATAAGCTCTGTCGCAGAGTGGACAGTAGCCGCGCGAGGCGAAACGTGGGGGACCTCGGACACCATTTTCGCAAGGTTGTGATGCTTCAAGCAAAGACAGACAGAAAATATGAAGAAAAGGAATAAAGAAAGAGCAAAAGAAAAAATAAGATTCTCATACGAGGAAAACGACCACTTAATGATTAAGCACGCCACGAGAACAAAACATTGTCCAAGTGGCGGGGCCCGGCGGTAGGACAGAAACTTTGCCCCGCCAATGCCGAGATTATCCTCTGAAAACCGTTCTAGAATGCAGCTAGAAAGCATGGATGGGGAAGGCGGTGAGGGATCAGATCACGAGCGTCGGTTCTGCGAGAACCGAAAGCCGGTGGGTTACCCGGTAGCATGTGGTCATGATGAACATTTTAGGGCGTGTTAAGCTATTAAGCTTAAACATAGAGCTTTCGAGTTAGTCTGTATAAGATTTAGGATTGATTCAACCATTAAGAAAACAACTTGAGTGAGGTACGAGTGTTTTGTGTTTGTGCATACTTTCATCGTATATCTGTCAATCATTGACTTTACACACAGCTATTTAGTCTTAACTTCCCAACCACGCTTTTTCGCAACGAGATGTGGTTGTGTGATTGGAACTCACAGCACGTTGGAGATCATCATGAGAACTCTCGTCTCATAATGTTGCTGACTCAAAATGATCGACAGTGCTATCTACACTGATAAGACACCATCATCACCGGCCGTTTATCTCCTTTCATCTCAAGTTCTTACATTCCCAGTATAACCAGTCTAACTCCATTCTCATACTCTCACGACTGCTCTTCAAAAGTCCTCGACCCTCTTACAATAGTTCCTCGCGCCACCGGCTCTGTAAGAGCTGCGAACCTATCACCATCGCCCCGGACCTAGCTTCCCCCCCGCACCCGTTCGCCTACCTTGTAGATCTTATCTGCTCTGTCGTCCTGTCATGGTTAGCTATCATCGCGCCACGACAAGGGTCCAGTTGATGCCAAGACCCCGATTGTTGCGACCTGCCACTTTCGCATTCCCTGCCGATAGCTTCGACAGAGCCTGGGGCTTCCGTTTGGGGGAAAAGTTGCACCGTTTACACTAGACAGACGTTACATTGGTGCTCGTGTAGCTGCAGATATGATTGGGATAGTGGGAAATATGATGTTGATTTGCTATATAATGGAGAGCCTGTCGCATCGATGAGAGAACTCTAGTTTGCACTCTCATCTTCACGGTCGAAGGCATTGTGACTCAATTGCCTAATTCCTGACATCATGAAGTTCCTCAACACCTTGCTCTACGGAGCCCTGCTCTTCTCGGAAGTGTCAGCTACTAAGAAGTTGACTGCCAGTCAGGTTGAAGGCGACATCAAGAAGTCCAAGTATGTTAACCACCATTCAATTGACCACACAAGTCTGACAATTGTAGCCTCCGAAAGACTCTCAAGGATCTCGACTCGATTGGAAGGAAGAACGGCGGCAACAGAGCCTTTGGTCTCCCTGGTTACAAGGCATCTGTCGACTACATCCACAAGGAGCTGAAGAAGTACAACAAGCACCTCAACACTCACATTCAGCCCTTTAACTACACCTTCGAGCAAACGAGGGATATCTCGGTGCGGGGACCTGATGGCGAGGATGTCTATGTCATCACTCTTATCTACAACATAGGCACGCCTACTCCCGACGGTGTGACTGCTCCTCTTGCTCTTGTGCCAGTTGATGACACACGTGGCTCCGGATGTTTCGCGGATCAATGGGAGGGCGTTGATGCCAAGGACAAACTCGCCCTTGTCAAGCGTGGCTCGTGTGCCATTTCAGACAAGCTCAAACTTGCAAAGAAGGCCGGTGCTCGTGGTGTTATTCTTTTCCACAACGCTCCTGGCGAGGGTATCACCAGTGCTACCCTCAGTGCCGAGAACCTCAAGCTTATTGTGCCTGTCGGTGTGATTCCTCTTGAGGTCGGCACTGCGTGGAAAAAGCGCATCGAGGCTGGCGAAAAGCTCGAGGTCACCCTGCTGGTGGACTCGTTCTACGAGACCCGAGAGACCTGGAATATTATCTCTGAGACCAAGCAGGGCGACCCCAAGAATGTTGTCATGATGGGTGCACATCTTGATAGTGTCCAGGAAGGTCCAGGTATCAACGACGATGGTAGTGGAACTGCTGGTATTCTCGAGATTGCCAAGTCCTTTACCAAGTACACTGGCTACAAGAACAAGGTCCGCTTCGCTTGGTGGGGTGCCGAAGAGTAAGTACAGCAATGCCTTTTGTCGTAATTGGTAACTGACACATGGTATAGGAGTGGTCTCGCTGGTTCTTACCACTATGGCGAGCAACTCACTGAGCAGCAAGCCGACCAAATTCGATTCTACTTCAACTACGACATGATCGGTTCTCCTAAGCCCAAGTACTGGGTTCAGGCTACTAAGCCTGCTGACCGAGTCGGTGGAGATATCCTGGCTGCTTGGCTACGCAAGAAGGGCAAGACGGTCGAGTGGGAGTAAGTACAAGAACACAACTACTATAAGAAAGATACTTACCAGTAAAACAGGGAGTTCGGCGAATCCTCTGACTACGCCGCCTTTGTCGAGCTCGGCATCCCCTCGTCCGGCATCTTCACCGGCGCCGACGCCGAAACCGACCCTTGCTACCACTTGGCCTGCGACACCATCGACAACATCCACTGGGGCGCGCTGACTCTCAACACCAAGGCAGCTGGTCGTGCTGCTGCCCAGTTCGCCCTCAGCCTGAAGGGCGTCCCCGGGCGCGACAAGGTTACGCCCAACCCCAAGAGCAAGAGGGCTGTTGCTGCGCGCTTCGAGCAGTGGCAGAAGAAGAGGACGCTTGCGGGCACTGCGCACAAGTGCAACCATAAGACAAAGGAGGTTGTCTAAAGAGTGTAATGAGAATGTTTGAGCTGTGGAAAAGATTATGATGTGATGAGAGATCAGTAATGATGAATTGTTGTTTGTATAGTATATGTACATGTCTGTCTATACTGATTGGTTGAACTCTGAATATTGTTTCATTAATGGTATCGTGAATCGTGAAAGGAAATGCATGCTCGCTTGCTTGCTGATATCATCATAAACGCCCTCAGTAGTACGCCCAACTCTGGTAACATTATAGGCTCTTCCACAGACCTGGTCCCATCATCGATACCTTCTCATAGCTCATCGACATATCGCCGCTGGTGGGGTTTGAAGAACGATCTTTTCCAATCGTCTATCGCCAATAAGGGCGGGAATAAGTGCGAGGTGGATTATCGCTCCGTCGAGGATTGGGAATAGGAATCGCCCTGTAGGTAGGAAACTTTGGTCCTCCAGGAATCTGTTCCCTCGGCTGCTCTCTCATCTGCTCCCTCATTCTCCCCCTCTGAGCAACCGGCGAAGGATACTGCACCGGTGTAGGTCCTCGACCAACAGGAACAGCAACAGGCACCGGCCTCGTCCAGTTCTCATTCGGCAACGCCTCAGACCAACCATCTGAAGAGCTCCCGTAGTAGCTACTCCGATCACTCCGTCGTCTCTTCACCTGCTTCCTCGGACGACGGCAGCAGCAGCATATCACGACAAATGCAAGGATGAACACGCCAACGATAGAGCCCGCGATGGCCCCGATCTGAGTGCTTGTGAGGCCATCGCCGCTGTGCTGGGATGTCACGACGACGGGTCGGTCCGTGACGGGAGCCGTAGCTATGCCTAGCGTGTCAAGTGTGGTGTAAGTGGTCGTGGGGAGGTACACGGTCTGAGTGATGACTTGCGCCTCTTGGCGGATGGCGTTTATGTGGGGAACCACCATGGTGAGACAACGCGACAAGTGAAGGTATTCACAGATGTGAGAAAGTGCAAAAACAAGGGAAGAAACACCAACGGAAATCGGGGGCCATGACGCCCTTTTGAGAAACATGTTTTAGCCGTACCGTCCCGTCCCGTTCGGTCTCAGACGAGGCAACCATCCTGCAAGAAAGCCCGTCTGCTGATGCTATCTGGTTCCACGGGTCCTCGATTAAGTCCAGCCCTGTGAGATAAAAGCTACCAACGGCCCCCAATGTTTTCTGCACCAGAACTGGAAATTACAAGACCCTGTATGAGCTAACTGGCAGGTCGAGGGGGTTTGATGTAACAATATCTGTATCCGTTCTGGGCTTGAGTGGTCAGTTGGTCAATGTTGGCCAATGGCGAGTGAGACGGATGAGTGAGGGGGTGTGGTGATGCAGGCTGGGCTAGGCTGCCGCAGCTCTTAAGGATGACTGCATCGCCTTTTACTTCCTGCGTTGTTTTCTTTGTACTTTGGTTATTTGCGTGGTTCGCAAATGTCTGTTATCGAATGGTAAGTTTGCCTGGGACTGTTTGGAAGACTTACATGAGGTGATTTATGTACCGCAGATGAAGGTTCATCACGCCGACTATAGTTTGCGACAAGTCGTTACATACGAAGCCATGGTGTTGGCATTGCATTAATATGACTTTGGTATGTTACTGTGAAAAGTTACATTGTCTGTACGTTCCTCGCACTGCTTTCCCTACTGGCAATTGTATGTAGCTGCTATGCATAAAACACTTGATCAAGCAATGTTCATGACGCAAGCAGCATTGTTAGTTAGCATGAGCCAACAGTCTCTGGGCTCTCTGTATTCGTTCAACTCCATATTATGTAAAATTCAAGTATTACAAGACTATACTGATTGTACGATCGCGAAGTGTTGCATGAACCAAGTTTATGCTGGCCGTGTCACATATCTATTCCTTTACTGTGCTCGAGTGATGGTGGTGATACGGATATGAGATAAGCGAGACCGATGACTCCCATCTTATGATACTAAAAAAATGACAGTATTGCGCCGCTGCCCGTAACTACGACCCCGGACTTCACACCCAATCCATGGACCCACCGGTGCAAGAAGAAGGTAACAGTCTAAACGATCGAAGATGTACTCATAAGGCCTGGTCCGACCATGATAAGTCATACAACAAGTTGAATGCTCCAGATGTGGTAGATTTAGAAATTGGAAGCCCTGTGTTTCTTCGACAAGATAGTCATAGAACGCTTCATCCACATTAAATGATTACTTTACATTAAGAGACAGGACCTTCAAGCGCCGCACGACTGTTTTAGTATAATTTGACGATGGAACAGTCAATAACGAACCATGTCAATAGATCTTTCCCCCAAAAGAGTTAAATAGCTACCATCATCTCTCTCTTTCGACTCACAATATACCTAATAAGAATTTAAAAGACGAAGCGATACATCTTCCGACGCCAATACTCAGAGGCCACCCCTTCCCGCCCCCCTCTGGCTCACCAGTTCACCCCTATCATTGCTTCATCAAAATAATGAAACAGTTCATACGTCCCCTCGCAATCGCATCTAAATAACTCCCTCAAGCATTCTTTGAACGTCCTGACAAACTCGTTCTCGCCAGGCATCCTCGACCCCAGTTCATTGCCGACCATAACACACCTGACAATCATCTGCCAGCAACCCTCGAGATACCGATCCATTTCGGCTCTGTTGCCGGGGTGAAATGGCTTTCCGGCAATAGGTAGGCTTCGTGTAGGGGTGTAGTTCGCAGCCTTCATAACCTGGTCGGCCAGTTCTATCGGTAGGCCCTTCTCGCATAACACGTGTCTGACGTGGGGAATATCTGTCGAGTGAGGTCGATAACCAACTGGATTCTCGAAGTTTAGGAATTCTTCGTATGACATGAGCCCATATGGGTAATATTCCAGATTGTAATAGACTTCCGAGTTGAATATAGATTCATGATCATCGCCATCGCTAGAATCGCACTTAGAACCCCTTGGTGGCTCATCACAAGAAGCTATCATTTCCTTGTATAGTCGGACACTGTATTCGTCTTTCTTCATCAAAGACTTCCAGCGGGCAAAATCGAATGGCTTAGGGTAAAAGTTGAATTGCCCCCCCTCGATGCCGAAAAAGTCTCTGTGTGGATATGTTGCAACATCGGATAAATCTCCAGACTTGGTAGAGGAACGAATCGCCAACTGATATGACTTGATATTGCGGTAGTCATCAATCAGCACACCTTCCTTGTCCCATGTCTCGGGGAAGCAATATAGGAGGTTCAAAATCATGAACATCCTAAGGGCGTTCTTATACACCATGTCTCATCCCGGATTCCCAATTATGCAAGAACACCCCGTCTGCTCCCACCACTCTGGCAGTCCACACCCTTCGTAAGAACAAGAGCGAAGTATTGGCTCCATTCCGCCGTGAAGAAGTAAACTCTTGACAACCTCGAGGTTATGAAAAGCTTCTCCATTGACTTCCTCGAATTTATAGCAATCGTTATAGGCCCATTTTCGTTGGAATGCAGCCATCTTGCGCTCTTTGAAAGCCAGAGCACAGAAGCACTGCTCAGACTCGTTCTCATGAGGGCACAGGTTTCCTCTGCCAGGTATCCTTGTTGATGCGATATCACTAGCGTAAAGCCAGTTTTGCTCAGGGTGCCAACGGCGAACTGTTGGAACTATTCTTTCAGCAACGTCGTCTGTTATGATGACCTGGTTCACATTAGGAACGTCGTATTTTTCGGGGTATTTTTGGCGTTCAGTGATTGCGTCAGCCGTTGCGTTCTGCATGAGGGCATTGAGAAATTCCGCCAGCCTTTCCTTTGTATCGGGTTGGACTCTTATCTGAAGGTCGGGAGCCTCACGTTGACAAGGGTTGGTCTCTTTCAACTCAAAGGCTGAGGCAAGATCCTTCCAAGGTAGTTTCTCTGCATAATAGGCCATGGCTTATGAATATGATGATGCCGTAAGTATAGTTAATTTGCGGATGTAATTCGTATGAACCGAGTGTAGATGGAGAAGCTCAAATATTTGTATTCTTATTTGAGTCACTCACCTCGCGAAGGACTGAATGCGGCTGTGCGGGAGCCTAATTGAGAGCAGTCATGCTTGTCGAAAATACGACGTAAGGAAACAGAAAAGGAATGAAATCTCGTAAAGACTTTGGTGCAGGACGTATTGACTCATTATCTCGTATTTCGAATTTGTTATAATCTATTTGAAATTGAGTTATCAGTGCTAATGATCTCGACCATTGGTGTAGTCTTACATTCTACGACCTAGCTGTTTTTGCTTCGCCAGTAGTCTAACAGATCATGGGACATGTAGAGAATTAGTGCTAAAAGTCCCTTACACGATAATCTACAATTGAAGAAATAACAGGATTGAAGCGATTCTTCGGCCTAGTGACCCTATAAATAATTGACGAGGCTCACATCGAGCAGAGGCACGACATACATCGTGGCCGGCTGCCTGGATTCCGTCAGTGGGCTATACTCCGTTTCTAAGTCACAATGTTAATATAGATTCAAAACCGGTATAAATATTTAAGCCTTGAGCAATCGGGTGAAACCCTGAATAAGCTCGAGTTGATGGCAAGACCACCATAAGAATGTAAACTATCAGGTAGACATGTTGAAGCCAGACCATCGCCTTATGAAGCAGTGTTGGAACTACCCCTTGGCGGTAAGAGCTGGTGTTGAGACCATCTCCAAATCACATTGAATCACAGACCTCCCCTGAAACTCAAATGAGTACAAATTTAATAATCTCAGTAGTCGCTTCCACGACTAATAACTTCCTTGGTCGACTCCCGAAGCAGGACCGTCTACAAAAGTTAGCATCAGGTACGAATCTGAAACAAACATTAGACTTACGTGTTCGAACTGTGCCGAATAAGACCCCTTGATGTCCGCGAGCGGTTCATACGCTTCAAGTATTCCGTGAGAAACGAGGGAGTTTAACTAGATATTTTTCAGTCTTTGGACTTCTTCAGGCTGATGGAAATACTTACACCGGCTAGATACCGATCGGCACCGAGACGCTCTAGATAGCGACGGCAGAACACAATAGTGCCGAACTGCTCTCTGATGACCTTGTACAATTTGTTGGCTGATGTAAAAGGCAGCTTAACTTGCTTGGGCGCATCATTCTGCAAGCCATAGCCGTAAATGCCGACCTGTAACTAATCAGTGCCGTTCTCATATCACAGAACACTTGACTTACATCGTCATGCAGCCGTCCGGTGCCGGTTGTACCAAACGTCTCAATGGCAAACACTTCACCTTCTTCCATCTTAGTCTTATCGCGGTTCTTGATGAACGGGATTGACTTTCCGCCGTGGATCTGGTAGTGCTTGATGTTATGCGCTGAGATGTTGCGGACCGGCTTCACAGGGTATGTCTTGCCGTTGATCTCCACCTCGTAGCTCTCCATGGCTTCTTGAATCGCAGCGCTGACATCGCAGATACGAACGTCGATTCCGGTGGCCTGCAAACATGTTAGATATCGTCACTGGTAGTTGGTAAAGGACACATACCTTGAGTCCAGTGTTTGTAGCATCCTTGACCGCAGCCAAAAGATTGTCATACGTAGGATCAAATGACATGGTGAAAGCACTATCGACGATCCAGCCATTGATCTGCACGCCGAAATCCACCTTCATGACATCCTCGTACTTGAGAACGACATCTTTCTGGCCGGGATTAGGCGTGTAATGTGCGGTCTCATGGTTCAGACAAAGACCCGTTGGAAAGCCCATTCCAGACTTGAGGTTGTCTCCAGGCTCTATACCCTGATTACCCAGAAGTGCGCGCACGCCATCCTCGATGCCATTGGCGATGTCAATCAGCGTATCGCCAGGCTTGACGTTGTCTTGAGTCCACTGTCGGACTTGACGATGTACTTCAGCAGCTTTGCGATAGTCATTGAGAAATGCAGGATCCTCAAGCTGTCGACGGCTCTTGTAGCGTACTTCCTCAGCGGTAGTACGAGCCGTGTTGAAGTCCTCAGAATAGCCCTGAAGTTCGCCAGTCGGATAATTCTTGTTTGCAAAAAGATCGCTCAGGGGCACTCTGGGAGGCGAAGACTGTTGTGTAGGAGCCTTCTTCTTCTTCTTTGGCTTTCTCTTTTTCTTTTTCTTACCAGCACCATCCGCTGTTAACGGTACGGAGGTGGCATCGTTAATGTCATCGTCGTCGTCGTCGCCCCCTTCGCCGCCCAGGTCGCCGTCTCCATCACGGGCGAGATGTACACCGCGTGGTTCTCCACCTGCGGAGGAGGCTTTGGAAGAGAGTGGTCCTTGACCTGTCTCATGTGAGCATTCATCAGATATAACGAGAGCTATGAGTGTTTTGTACCATTTCCTCCAGATTGATCGTCTTCAGATGTCTTGGCGCCCATTTCGACATGAACGCTGCTTCAAAGTTTAGAGTGTAGGGTTGGTGGTTGAATGAGTGAGAGGTGAGACGACGATTGATGGTCTCACTCATATAAATTGGGGTTGAGCGGTTACTGGCGGCAGAAACGAATATGGAAATGCTACGCGTGCATCCCTTTGCGACCAGTAACTGTTGGCATAAGTGCTGATGGTCCAAAGAAGGATGCGCTACCTGACACTTCGTTGTCTTTTGCTACCGACGGTCAGAAAATTATATGAACTGTAGCGTTGGGTGTTGCGTTCCCCCAACCGTGGTAGAGGATGCTGTATGTTCACGATCCCCTCATTGAGGTCGTTAGGACAACTTCATAGTCAGAGAATCGTTTCGTCATCTCATTGACAGTAATCTTGCAATACCATTTCCTAGCTTTATCCGTAAATGGCAATGGACCGAGTCGTGCAAGTATGGGGTAGCGGGTCACGAATGGATTCGACAAAAGAACCCGGCCGGAAATCCTTTAACAGCGAGTCAAGTTACCTTGGCAGATCAACATATCCATCTTGGATCGACAAGAATTTATGGAAAAGTCTGAGTATACGGGCGGATCAAGGGATACTGCCATCATCGCCTCTACAATGATATACAGCTACCACTAAGCTATAGTAAACTGTTATGGTAATACGAGAGAGGCTGAATAGGTCCATATGACTTTTGGTATTCAATATCATTTACCATAATTCAAATGACCCTTTCACAGTTCTTTGTACATATCACAATAAAAGTGTATGAATGTATTGTCTGGTCAAATTTAGATGCTCCTGTAATTCACCAGCAGATCACTGTCTATTTCTGTATGTCTTCATCAAATCTGGGTATAAATTCATGATTCACTCCAACATATATGCATAACCACTCAATGCTCCGTTTAGACTATGTGCCAAGTATAATCCAAGTACATGCTCATGCCAGATACCCTCAAACTATATGCATGCCTCAGAAAGAGAAGAAAAGAAAATGACATGCAGCCCCGTGCATTGATATGCTCTCAAAACGTTGATACATCAAAAGTCATATGTATGATAATTGAGCCAGCTCGTTGTACTCATGCTGCTGGCTGGGCTTCACCGCGCGGGCGTAGCTTTAGGTTCAAGATAGGAACGTCTGCATTGCTAAAAGCATAGCGGGCCGTTTTTTCCTTTACGCGTTCGTAGTGTTTTTGTAATCGGCCCTCGTCAACAACTAGCTCGAATCCAACAAGGAAACAGAAGCTTATCTCCAGTCTAGCCAATTCCGCTTCACTGACGCCGCCAACTTTGGCCATCTTGGCATGAGGATAAGATAGATCTTCAAGGGCTTTCATCGCAACTCGAAGGCCAGCCAGTACCAAACGGTGTGCGTTACGTCGCGTGACCGGAATGGCCCGCTCCTCAACGGCTAACCGGTGGATGTATAGAGATGTTGCCAGGTAGACTGCGGTGCTCATTGGGCAGAATTGGTGCAGACGTTGAAGATACTGGTTGATACTAATTGGAGGCTCATTCTTGCTGTAAAATTTGCGTGTTATAGCACTATGTTGCAAATTGACAGGTTGAGAATCGGCTCCGACGACGACATATGGCTCTGACTGAGGAGGCGGCGACATCAAACCTGGGTGCGATTTTAGCTGCACACCATCGATGTTTTCACACTCTGACTGAGGGTTATGGACAGGCTCAGGTCTTGATTCTTTTGCGGCTAATTTCTTAGCCTCAAGCTCCGCCTGTTTTCTCAGTCTCGTCAAACTTCTATCCGAGTATGATCGCACGATATTGTCCTTCTCGGCCTGCATGCCACTCATATGCGGTACGGTGGGAGACTTTGGAGGTGGCGTCGGAGGCACATCCCCAGTTATTCTGACAAGAAGCTCAACGCCAGCGCTCAGTAAAGAGAGAGCTTCGGCAGGTGCCATCTCGAAGAGGCCATGATCGGCAACGGGCTTTGGCGCGGAGGTATCATCGTCGGCGATCAGATGGGGATCCGAAGAGGGCACTGGAGGAGGCGGCGGTCGATCAGTCGAGGAATCGGGATGTCGCAGAGGAATTGTACCGGCTTGGGCCTCGGTCGCTACAGCCGTCTGATAAGACATGGCTTGGGAATGTGTTGTGGTTGTAAAAGCTTGTCGTCAATGGTCAAGATACAGAGCTGTTATCGCGTCTCAATCTCTTAAGGCGCTGCGCAAGATCCGGCTCGCCGCCTTTCATGGTCTCTCGTGAATCGAGACGTAGTGACTGTATATGAGACAATTGGGTTGAAGTTTTCGTATCGCAAGCTAGGCCTGTTTTTGCTGTTGCTTGGGCTTGGGCTTGGGCTTAGGTTCGGGTGTAAAAGACGAGCGCAAACTTGCGACCTGTGGGACGAGAATACCGAAGTGGGCCTGCGATCTGGACCTGGGACCCTGGAGAAGCTGAGCAAGGTCCGTGAGGGCGAGGGGCTTTTATATCGAGCTTTAGCCGTATCAAGATCGTAACGGTCGAGAGGAAGACGATACAGAAGCCGGACCGACTACTTTAGCGTGGCGTTGTTTTAGGTCAAATGAAGGATGAGATGAGTGAATGCGAAGTAGCGAAAGGCTCGGCTCGCTTTGGCCTGCTGCAGCGAACAGAAGCCAGGACAATGATCGACGGGTGATGGCGAGATTAAAAGCAGAAGCTCGCAAAGAAATGAAGTGATTTCTTTGCTTTTGTATTTGTAGACTGTAACCGTCGGCGGCTGCCCAACCTAAGAGAAGGCACCTGCCCGCACTTGCACCTGCACTTGCACTTGCCGTACGCCTGCCTTAGCAGGTACACCTTCTCCCGATCCCACCTCCCGAGCTTCATTTCTGCCTGTCACGAGCACGTGGTGCGGGGGAGTTTTAAGATGAGATATACTAAGATATGCGTATCGTGATCAACCAATGTTTTATTCCCCTGATTTTCACCATACTCGGCTTTTGTTTGTTAGTTTCGAAAACTAATCATGTTCTAGTTAAAGAGTGGAATGCGACGGTTCCTGTTTTGTCGAAATTAGTTCAAGATTGGCCTCTGCAAGATTTAGTCTCCGTCGATGGTAAAAATGGTGTTATTCCACGGTCGCCTCCGGATATGAAAACAGCATTTGTCGTGTTATCCCGGCAACATTACGGGATAGTTTTACGCTTACGGCCATGCCCACTGATCCTTTGCCCACTGCCTCCACAGTTTGAAGATTCTAGACCTCAGGGTCCTCGGGTTAAACTACTGCATGACCAGCAGGAGAGAAGAGCCGCAAGAGATGATGATCTTCCATGCCAAGCCACCATTTAGGCGTCTTGGGCGTCGTCTGATGTTTTGCTGGCGTCTAATCACGGCGCTACGCTTGAGGCGGACACCCCGGATTTGGTGCATTAATTCTGGTGACCACGAGACACAGATATGCGGGAGAAACAATGAATAACACCTGCAGTTACGCGCTTGCTTTGTGACAATATATGTTTCCTCATTTCTCTTTCTTCATACGTGCTACCCAGGCCAGGCAGTATGATGAATTGTTGTGGATTTGATAAGTTGGTGGCGATGGAGGCGAATCACTTACTGATCCTGGTTAAAGCAGATGCGGGTTTGTGGGAAGGCATCCGTTAGCCTTATCAACGATTATGGATAGTGGTCTCGGAGCAAGATGGATCTTTGACTTGATACTCGTATACAGTTCTGCTCCGTTTATTTCTTTGAAGAGTAGCTATCCGTATTCTGCTCACGGCCCCGCCAGATAGACTGTAACAGTTTCGTATAGGAATGGTTCAGTTCATGGATACGATGAGGAGAATATTAAGACGGTATTGAAAAGACTTACTAACAACAACATGAAGGCATTCGACAAGCCTGACTAATGTCCAATATGATAACAAATATCCGTATTTGTATTAACAAATCGTCGTAAAAGGATCTCGCTTTAAGTTATAACTCGCCTGCCAGCGTGTCCCGCATCACGCACCGAAGATCCATGCAGCCTAGTCTCGCATTGCGGAATTGTGTCTGCTGATCAAAACGACAGGGACCAGCATTGGACGGCTTACAGAATATCACACTTCGAAATCTTCCTTTTGGTGAATCCTATCACTGTTATCGAAAAGCCCGTTCACCTGGATATCAGAAACTTAATTACGAACAATTGAGTTGACTATCCTTTTAATGCAACCATCACATGCTAGTCCGATCTAAAACACTATAAACTTGACCTGTTCAGCCAGTGGAGCCTCAGGATCTAGAATAAACCTTCATATTATATCTTATCGTCATTCATCATGAGTTTGGTCCTTAGCAGTCGGGTGCTACCTTGACGTCAACCACTGCCGTTTGTCCTGCTTGGACCTTGGCGATAGCCTCTTTGAGCACACTCTCCAGCTCAGATGCCTTGTCTACTCGGGCAGCGTGAATGTCCCCACCGGCGGCAGCCTTGGCGATCCCGGCGTAGTCTGGAACTGGGTCGAAAGAGATGTTGATCTCTTCGTTGGTGGCCTTGGAGCCGAGACCGTCAGGGTGAACCAATAGCAGAGACCTGCGAGGTGCATTCCACCCTGTTGTTTGTTAGCGATTTGTTGGTATGGATTCTGTGAAGTTCACTTACCCTTGTTGTTAAGCACAATAGTCAATACCGGGATCTTGTATCGTCTTGAAATCCAGTACACGCTTCCAGGTACTGTGAAGAGATATGTTCCGTCTCCTACAATCTGCACAACAAACTTGCCCTTGTTGGTGCCGCCGTTCTCAGCATCTGTGGCCAGCTTGATACCCAAGGCACCACCGCCAGACCAGCCAAGACCGCCACCACCACAGTTGAGCCAGGATCCAGGGATGGTGGGTCGGACGTTGTCGTGTACGAAGCCAGTGTTGGTGACAGCCTCGATAGCCCAGATTGTATCCTCAGGGCACATATCACGTAGCTTCTTGCTGAGATGTCCAGTACCGAATGTGTCATCCGCAAGAGGTTCCGCGGCTTTCTCAATAGTGGCCAGCTTGTTCTCGTAGACCTCAGAGCGCTGCTTCTCTGTCTCTGCTGCGTTTGCCTGGAGCTTGCTGGCGTATTCCTTCTTGTTCAGAGACGCAGAGATTTGCTCGACGGCTGTCAATGCATCAGCCTTATAGCGTGCGTCGGCCTGGATGTAGTGGGTAGGCATCTGCTGCTTCAGGGGGTCAACATCAATGTGGAAGATCTTTGCATCTTCACGAGGCTTGCAACGAGTTTGCACCCAGGGAACGTCGCAGTCCAAGACGACGATGGTGTCAGCAGTGGTAACAGTTTCGTGAACACCAAACGCCAGACCCACCCAAGCAGGGTGATCTGCTGGGAAGCACATGTCGCAACCACCTGTATCCAACACCCGAAGTCCCTTCACCTTGTCCGCCAATTCAACAAGAGCAGCAGGAATCTTGTGGTTTCGTCCACTGTAGCCTGTAACGAGGAGAGGAGCCTTCGCGCCGGCCAATGCCTCGGCAATCTTATCAACCGCACTGGAAGGAAGCCCGCCAAGCTCCACCGACTCCCAATGTTCCTGCTTGAGGGAATAAGGCTTGAGATCAGCCTCGAGAATCTCTCGTGCACTGCACAGATACACTGGCCCCTTGGGGTCTGATGTGGCGAATTGCAAGGCGCGGTTGACCATTTGCTTGACGTTGGCTCCAGTCTTGATCTCGCCTGTGTATCTGCAGTACTGGGAGACGATTTGCTTCTGGTCTGGTACATCTTGAATCCAGTGGATGTACTCTGTACGACTTCCGCGGTGCTCACCTTCTTGTGTGAAGGGTGATAGACCAGCAAATACCAGTACGGGTGCTCGTCCAGTGGAAGCATTGTGGACAGCTGCTCCGAGACCTTGCGTACCGACATCGACGTGCACAATGACACATTGAGGTTTGCCTGTTAACCGGGCGTATCCATCAGCCATGGACATGGCTACCATCTGCGCATGCTGTCAGTTTAAACTAGGGGAAATGAATGAGTAGAACGCACCTCGTTTGGACAAGTAATGATCTTTGGGAATTTCCCCTTTGCTTCCCTTTGACCCTTGACCATAGCCTCGATGATACTTGGGTGATCAGTACCCAAGTTGACGAAGCAATGGGTGATACCTGCGTCCCAGATAGCCTCAAAGAAGGCAAAAGACGCGGTATACATCTCCTCACTGGCTGTTGAGTAGGGACGAGCCATGACCGCTGTGGGTGAAGCATTGTGAAGTGCAGTGGAAGCCTTTGAGTGGCTGGTTGATAAAGATAAAGAAGGACTTCGTCCATCTCTTTGAGAAACAGAAGATGCAGCGGCAACGCTGTTATATCTGCGTACTGTGGACTGAACCTGCCCGCGACACCTCCAGAGGCTTGGAGCAGCCAATCTTGAGCGTTGTAGCAGCGCCATAGTGATTTGATTTTTCTGTGGTCATGTTAATATGTAGAAATTGGTATATGTGGGAGAGGATGATGGGTTAGGGAACGGTTGAATAGGGGTGTAAGTGAGACTATGCACCAGTCCACTACTTTTTTTCAAATCTTACCTTGTAACAACAGTCGTAATAATCTCGATCCAACCAGGTTCAATTAGGCTGTAGTATGATTATAAGTGCTGCAGCTGTCTAAAGATGTTGTAATTGTGGTTGTGGTTGTAGTTGGAGTTGTAGTTGTAGAAGCCTGGAACCAATACAAGCTTCCAAGCCCGAGTTTTGTTGCCCCCTCCCCCGCAAAAGCCCCCCTTTCACTATCTGTCTCCTCCGCCAGAAACCCCATTCAAAACGCCCTTTGTTGTGTCAAGCGGGTCTCTAGAAATGCCGTGTCTGGCCGTGTTGTGCTCACGCGGAAGGGAAGGTGCTACAAGTTGGTCTGAGTTACAGTGACAAGATAATGCGGGGTTGGGAGGGAGACTAAGGTCAAAGTGTGGACATAGGGCGTTTTTGACAAGGTTTGGGGCATGTCAGTGAGATAGCATGACGAATTTGGTTACAGGGTTATAAGTTGTAGGGGACAGTTGACATTGGAGATAGAAGTAGTTTTCTTTCTGTTATGCACTTTCTGGACCACTTGCGACTCTGCTGACGACTTGTTAACCACATCATATTGGAGTCAAAGTGTCTGTGTTATTACCCCAGATTTTGAATAGAAGCTCCCCACTCTGTAGTTTGCGCCAGAAGCTCTGGAACAGATACGCGGGGAAATCATGACACCAGAAAACTGAAGCGGGTCCTCAATCACAACCACTAACAAGAACAAGAAGAGTATCTAATGATTAGATAGCATGAGGCTAAAGTGAACAAGAGTATCGGTGAAGAGAACTCCCGATTGTCCATTGCAATTGCATACTTCTGTGTGCACCTCCAAGCATTGGTAACACCCCGGCCTCTATCGGCACCAACACGGCATCCATCGGAGCTCGGAGCCGTCAGTTGACACTCTCATTCCCTATTCGCCCGGCATGTCATCTCGTGACAATTGTTTAATTAAACGGAATTCCGCTCTAGTCAGCCGGCTCAACGCTCTGTGGGTTGTGAAAGACATCCTCCGGGTCCCGCACCTTCTTTATCTCCCGTAGCTGTGGCAGATTGTCCGCCCAGTAGAGCTTCTGTGCCGCTTCCCGGTCAATCCACGCATCAATGTATCCGGCATAAGTGGAGCGGGCGCCCGGAGCCGACCGCAGGATCCGTTCATGAACTCCGTCCAACAGCTTCCGTGTCGCGGCCGATACCTTACCCACTCCGACGCCGTAGGACTGATACATGATAACACTATCCCGGTGTGGATATGCAGTTGCATTCGCCGGTATGTCCATCATAGCGCCGCCCTCAGTATTGAATATGATTGTGACAGGCGTCTTTTCGCTGTGAGCATCTTCGAGATAATTGAACAAGTCCGTAATGGCGGAGTCATTCAACAAATCTTGTTTACTGAGTGACAGTGACTTGGAGTAAAAGGCGTTCGGCATGCTGCCAAAGGTACAGCCAGCTATTTCGGCTTCGTGGAGTAAATGGCCTACCCAATTTGTGACCCAAACGTCACCTTTGCCAACACCAGGGAGACGAGCAGGGATGCCTGTGGCCTGGTATTGGTCCTCCGTACCGAAGAATGTGCCAGTAATAAGGGCTCCCAGAGGGTGAACGACGAATAAGCTTGCAAACTGTCGGTCCAGTTCTGGGTCTCCTACCAGGGCCTGCCATTCTTTGTATAAACTTGCAGCATCATCTTGTGAGCCTAGAGCGATATTGTAGGTGTACTGGACGACGTTACCGGGCTCTTCCCTAGTCTTGACCACGAAGTTGGTCACAATGCCAAAACTTGCTCCTGCGCCGCGCATTGCCCAAAAGAGGTCAGAGTTCTTGTCTTGACTGGCCGTTTGAATTGTACCGTCTGCTGTTACGACCTCCATTTCGATGAGATGATCGAGAGCGCTTCCCCACATTCGAGATATTGGTCCAAGACCACCCTGTCAAGTTCGGTGTGAGTTAACGCCAAATCTAGAGGTCAGAAAACTCACCACCGTCAAGTGTCCCCCTGTACCAACACTTGGACATGTCCCATGAGCAATGGCTCGTTTCCCATTCGCGTGCAGATGTTTATTCAGTTCATCTAGGTTGTTCCCTGATCCGAACGAAGCATACCATGTCACGTTGTCCATCTGGAAGTTCTTGAGATTGACGAGATCGATTGATACGGCCCCGTCTACTCCTCCTAGGCCATAGTTGCTACTTGATTAGCTTTTGACATGGTTTGGACAGATAACCCACCCATAAGAGTGTCCTCCAGACTTTGCTTGCACTTTGAATCCGTGTTCTCTGGCACATTTGACGGTCTCGGCAACCTCAATAGTGTTCTCGGGCCGAATAATAGCTGCAGGGATGACTGGGAACTCTAGATTGAATGGTTTCGCCCACCAAGCGAAGATCGGCTCATCTGGGTAAGTGACACAGGCACTGCGATTGGAACAGATGGCGTCGAGACAGTCTCGGATGGGGATGCTGTTATGGCTGCCCATTTTTGAGAGCGATAATCGTTGAGAGGTTCTTTGACCGAGAAGTTATCCGTGAAGTGGTGGAGAAGGAGGGTTTCCCGTTTGGAAAAGGGCAAGTACGTATGTTAAATGTTTGGGAAACACATGTTGAATCGTGATCACGCGAAATATTATCCTTTGTCTGGATAGGTAAGTTGTCCAAATTGTTCATCCGGTCCGTTCCTTCCACTTCCGCAGGTGTCGCACAGCGTTGTTCTGGAGCAAACACTGGCAGGTACTACCGGTAGTTGGCCAAACATCCCGACGTCGTTAGTGTATCACGAATAAATCGCTAGATGGTAAAAACGATGTAGGGTAAATAACATGCATGGTTTAGGCCAAGCACGAAACGAAATGGAGGACTTTATGTCAAGCAAAATATCATTATATCATTATGTACTTGATCCCTACCCTGCACCTGTGATCAAAGTCGACTTCATCTCCATCATTACAACCGATAATTCCTACTCGAACTTGGGCATGTCATACAAATCTTCAGGGTCTAATAGTATGTTAGCACTGGAAATATCCGATTCTTGACGTATCAGCTTACCCTTGCCTTCATCTTGAATGAACTTCTTTACCTCGGAGACCTTGTCATCAATCTTCTTCAACATCTCATCAAGCTTGGCCTTCACCTTATCATTGGATTCAGCAGCACCCTTCAGTGCACGCTTGGCAACATCAAATCGACTGACCCAGTTGACTAGCATCATGTCGAAAGGTGTGGTGGTGGTACCCTCTTCCTTGTATCCCTCTACGGTCATGCGGTGTAGACCAGGGCGTCCAAAGAGCAGACCCTGAAGCTCGGCAGCGTATCCATGGTAGTTGAAGCAGATTGCCTTGTCCTCTGTGAACATGTCAAGGAAGTCGGCTTGACTGAGAGCGTGGGGGTGACGTGACTCGGCGGCTAAAACCATAAGATCCGTGACGTTGACAACACGGACCCGAAGCTCGGGGAACCAATCGCGCAAGAGCTCAGCAGCCTTGACAACCTCGAAAGTCACCTCAACACCAATTCCAACAATCACAACATCAGGCTCCTTTCCGCTGTCAGTGGACGCAAACTCCCAGGTGCTCGCACCCTTCTTGCAGTGCTTGGCGGCTTCCTCAGGGGAGAGATAAACACCAGTGGGCTGCTTGGAACCAATCATAAGGTTGACGTAGTTCTTTGAACCTAAGCAGTGGTGGACAGTGCTGAGGAAGCAATTGGCATCAGGAGGAAGATACACACGAGCCGCCTCGGCCTTGAGGTTGAGGACGGATCCGATGAATGATGGGTTCTGATGAGAGAAACCGTTGTGCTCCTGGCGGGCCCAGGTGCTTGTTTCGATATAGTTGATCGAGCTGAGATCACCTCTCCAATTGGTCTCGCGCGCCATCTTGTTGAACTTGGAGTACTGCACCATCATCGTGTGAATAATACCCAAGAAAGACTCATAACTGGGGAAGAGTGCAGTTCGGCCTGTGAGTGTGTAGCCCTGACTGATATTAGAAAGCCCGCTGAATCATGCTTGTGTACTTACCTGCATCCATCCCTGGCAGCAATGCTCAGACAGGATCTCAATAACTCTGCCACCCTGACCCCGAGAGAACTCATCCCACTGAAAGTTTCGGCCGGTGTTTTCGAATACGGCACTTAGTTTGTTGCTCTCCAGCTCGTCGGGCGAGAAGATACGGAAACTCTTGGGATTTTCCTTAATAACTTGGTTTAAGAAATTGCCAGTCTGCTTCATGCAGCTGTCTTGCGAGAACTTCTCTACACAAAACTGCTTCCAGTCCGGCAGTTTCAGCTGTTGGTAAGGATCATATGTCTTCTTAAGTTGTCCAAGTCTCTTCTCCTTTTCAGGGATGATTTCAAGAATACTCTCAGCAGGCTTGCCGTCCTTAAGCAAGTGGTCTGTTCCGTAGGTCTTGAGCCACTCCTCCAGAATCTTGACATGCTCCTCATCCTTGCTTGCGTTTGGGACAGGGATCTGATGAGAGCGGAAGGATCCCTCAATAAACTCGCCGTCAACCTTCTTGGGTCCTGTCCATCCCTTAGGAGTTCGAAGAACAATCATGGGCCAGCGAGGCTTGATAATAGGCTTTCCTTCTCGCGCAGCTTTCTGGATCTTCTTGATCTCGCTGACAGCCCACTCGAGGGCACCAGAGAGTTCAATGTCAATCTCCTCGAGAGTTTCCACGATGGTTGGTTGGTATCCGTAACCAGAGAACAAGCTTGCAAGCTCTTTGTTGTCCATGCATCCGAAGATGGTTCGCTCGCTGATCTTGAACCCATTGACATGAAGAATGGGGATGACGGCTCCAGACTCGGCAGGATCGATGTATTTGATGGAGTGCCAGGCACTAGACAGTGTTAGTTGGAGGCTCGGGAGGTTTATGAACAACTCACGCCGCAGTAGGGCCACTCTCGGCTTCTCCATCACCTACGAGACAGGTCACCAGAAGGTCTGGGTTATCCATAACAGCTCCGAAAGAGACAGCTAGCGAATAGCCTAGCTCACCACCCTCGTGGATAGATCCCGGAGTTTCGGAGTTGATGTGACTGAAATGGTTAGCTCCTTGTTAAGTGATCGAACAACACTTATCTTACCTTGGGAATCCTCCAGGCACCGAGAACCCGGAAATCAGGTTTTGTAAACCATTCTTACTAACATCGTACTTCTGAGGGAAGAATCGCTCGAGAGATCCCTCAAGCCAAAGCGAGGCGAGAGCGGCAGGAGCTCCGTGACCAGGCCCGATCACAAAGATCATTTCCAAGTCATGGTTGCGGATAAGGAGGTTCAGATGAGACCAAACCAAAATGATGCCAGGACATGTTCCCCAGTGGCCTGAGCGGTTAGCCAAGCACAAATTCGAAGATAGAGTCGCATACCCAACAAGCGAGGCTTGATATCCTGTGCCTTCAGTTCTCGCTCAAGTAGGGTGTTATCTCTAAGGAAGATCATGGCTAGATATTGACGTTAGCCTCGTGCTCCACACCCATACTTGAGGCTGATCTCGCTTACACCCAGCAATGTACAACGCCGCATTTCGAAAATCCTTAAGCGATTGGGCGATCTTCTTGTCCAACTGCTTCTTCGGCGGTGTGTAGGCCAGATCGAGAGTGTTATCAGGAAGATGGCTATCCAGCGGAGCCGGGTTGGGCCGATCGATCACTTCACCAGGCATCTTTGCGTATTTAATATCAGTGTCGATCTGTTAGAGTAAATGGTAAGCTACAACTAAATGTGAAATTAGAGAAATTAGGAATAGAACAGAGATGTCGGTAACAGAGTCACAGGGAACAGGATCGGTTGAAGACTCGGCAGTTTTGTGTATTCATTGCGTTTGAGCTGTGCGATAGTGACGCCGAATTAAGCAGGGAATGATGCTATATCGATGACGTATATTGACGTCGCTTTGACAATTGCCCCACGTAACAAGAAGTTGAATCAATATCGATACGGATATGCCGGATATTGAGCAGACATGTGAGAGCGGGAACAGGCGTGAACTTTAATGTTTTAAAAAGAAGAAGAGGCTCTGTTTGGAGTTCGTGTGTACGGGAATATTGAAAATCGATCCGGCAATATGGGATTCTCATTTTGTCGATAGACGGTTGACGATCAATTGCCCAAGTATCGCGCAGATCCATAGAAAGAAAACAGCCCCTGTCTAATTGAAAATTGTAGCGGTCATGGCAGCTCAGGATTCCACATCAATTCCCCATTACAAAGCAATCATTCTCATGCTAAGATTCCACGTTGAGATCTTGTCATGTTAAACCAGGACCAAGAGGGAAGAAGTGGGGTTGATCTTTTTTACCTCCGGAGCATTTACCCCTGATGTATGGGGTAAAGTAACAGTAGAAGCACCTCCCAAAAACACAGATCGCGATCGCATCGCCCGTTTCAAATTGACAAGTTCTGATAGGCCAATTCCCGTTCATTCTTGACGAAACATGACGATGTTTCCTCAACAACTTTTGTCGTTTTCAGTGATAATCCCCCCGCGGCGGGGGACGTCGAACCGCATATGACGTAAAACCAACGTGGTACTGAAAGATATTCACATTTGTATAAATCTGCCGTCGCGAGTCTCTTTTGTTAATTTCACTATCTCTCTTCTTATTGCCGAACTATCTACCTATCAAACGGTAATTTGAACAAATTCGACATGAGTGATAAAGTTACTGGAGCTATCAAACACGCAGTCATGGGTCACGCAAATGACAAGATCGATCAGCTCAAGGCCAACACGGTCGAGCCCACCGAGAACTCAAGGATCACATCCGATTACGGCGTCAAGCAGAACAATACCGATGAGTGGCTGCGCGTGAGCACCGAGGATCAGACTGGCCCGGCGCTGCTGGAGGATGCCTTCGGCCGCGAGAAGGTAAGTCACTGCGGCACTACACCGCGACCAAAGAGCATTATCAATACTAATTATATGTTCAGATTCATCGATTTGATCATGAGCGCATTCCTGAGCGTGTTGTCCATGCCCGAGGCGCTGGCGCTTTCGGTACATTCAGACTGTTTGAGTCCGCTGCTGATGTGACGAGCGCTGGCATCTTTACCGACACATCAAGAGAAACCCCCATTTTCATTCGATTCTCTACCGTTCTAGGAAGTCGTGGATCTGCTGATACCGTGCGCGATGTCCGTGGTTTCGCTGTCAAGTTTTACACCCAAGAAGGTTTGTCCCCACCAAAACACCAAAACACCACAACGTAACATCACCACATCATCCCATCATGAATTCACTTCAAAAGAAGATGCTAATAAAGTACAGGTAACTTAGATCTTGTAGGGAACAATATCCCTGTTTTCTTTATTCAGGATGCTATGAAGTTTCCCGACTTGATTCACGCTGGTAAGCCCGAACCGCACAATGAGGTCCCTCAGGCACAAAGTGCACACAACAACTTCTGGGATTTTGTGTACGGGCATCCGGAGGCAACTCACATGTACGCATGGGCTATGTCTGATCGCACGATTCCCCGGTCTTACCGCATGATGCAAGGCTTCGGTGTCAACACCTTTACCCTCACCAACGACAAGGGCGAGCGGTCCTTCGTCAAGTTTCACTGGACCCCCGAGCTAGGAGTCCACTCCCTAGTCTGGGATGAAGCTCTGAAGCTCGCTGGCCAGGACCCTGACTTCCATCGCAAGGATCTTGAAGAAGCAATTGAGAATGGCGCGTTCCCCAAGTGGAAGTTTGGTATCCAGGTTTTGGAGGAATCGCGCGAGCACGAGTTCGACTTTGACATTCTTGATGCCACCAAGGTCTGGCCTGAGGATCTTATCCCCGTCCGCTACATTGGCGAGCTCGAGTTGAACAGAACTGTCGATGAGTACTTCACTCAGACCGAGCAAGTTGCTTTCTGTACCAGTCACCTTGTTCCCGGTGTTGGCGCCTCAGACGACCCTCTTCTCCAGGGCCGAAACTTCTCCTACCAAGATACCCAACTCAGCCGATTGGGCATTAACTGGGAGGAGCTGCCCATCAACAAGCCTGTCTGCCCTGTCATGAACTTCAACCGTGACGGTGCTATGCGACACACTATTTCCAAGGGCAAGGTCAACTACTGGCCTAACCGTTTCAGCACCCAGCCCCCTGCTACTGCCCAGCAGGGTGCTTATATCGATTATCAGCAAAAGGTTGCCGGTATCAAAACTCGCACTTTGAGCAAGAAATTCAAGGACCACTTTTCTCAGGCCCAGCTCTTCTACAACTCTTTGTCTGAGATTGAGAAGGCTCACGTTCAGGCCGCTTTCTCCTTTGAGTTGGACCACTGTGACGAGCCCATTGTCTACGAGCGCTTGACTGAGCGTCTTGGTGAGATCGATGGTGAGCTAGCCAATACCATTGCCGATATGGTTGGTGGCAAGAAGCCTACTCAGTCCAAGCCCAACCCCGGAAAGAAGGCCAAGAACCTGAGCCAGCTGGATTTCCTCCCCGAGACTCCCACCATCAAGTCTCGTCGTATCGCTATCATTATTGCTGATGGTTACAATCCCATCGCGTTCAACGCCGTGTATGGCGCCATCAAGGCTCAGAGCGCCCTTCCTTTCGTGATCGGACCTCGCCGCTCTGCCATCTTCTCTGCTAGCGAGGATCCCTCATCATCTAAGGGCACAGTTCCTCAACATCACCTGGAGGGACAAAGGTCCACAATGTTCGACGCCATCTTCATTCCTGGTGGTGAGAAGTCGATCCAAACCTTGTCCAAGAACGGTCGAGCTCTGCACTACATCCGAGAGGCTTTTGGTCATCTCAAGGCCATCGGCGGTACCGGCGAAGCTGTTGACCTGATCAACAAGGCTATCCAGCTGCCCGAGGTTTCCCTCTCCTCTACAGACGGCAGTGGTGTCGTCGACAGCTACGGTGTTGTGACCTTGAAGAACGCTTCCCCTGACAGCCTCAAGGAGATTGTCACTGTTGCTTCTGATGCGAAGGGCTTCCTGGAGAAGTTTGTTTACAACATCAGCCAGCATCGTAACTGGCAGCGAGAGTTGGACGGTCTGAGCACCCAGGTGGCGTACTAATGAATTTATGGCAAGATACCTATTTTATGAATCCATTTGAGTCCTGAAGTCAATACATTAATTATATTAACATCCCATCCTGTGTAAAGTGAATTCTTTAGTCCCTGCTTGTATTTCTTGCCTGGTTTCACACCTCACTTGCTATACTCGCCAATGTATAAACTTGCACAACTGAGTATAGCCTTCATGGGAATAATGAACCTGTTCTGATTTGACTGTAAGGATGAGTGGACAAGCAATAAGTTAAATCATATTTGTAAGGAAGTTGTGACGATATCTTTGGATAGAGTCATGAAATTCTGAAAATTCTTTGTTTTGAACTCCATACAGTTTAGACGAGTTTATATCATTTTTGACAAGTCAAGATGAATTTCTTTGAGATTAGATGAATTTGATGAATTTGGTATGATTTATGATGGTATTATGATGACCTTTTCCCCTGGAGCTTCTGCTTGAGCTTCTGAATACCTTTTCCCGCCTTCTTCAACACAAAAGTGGCATACTCCCCGTGCCCTTCCATATCTCTTGAGGCCCGCTTCTTGATATCTATATACTCGACACGGTCCTCTTCAGTCTCCCCTATCGCCACTATAACACCAGCATACCGAAGGAGGATCGCATTCAGGATCAAGCGACACATGCGTCCGTTACCATCTTGAAAGGGGTGAATTTCGACGAATTTAAGCGAGTATTTCGAGGCCAATGAGAACGGGTCTAAAATCCCTCGGGTGGCCTCGCCCTCTTCAAGCTCTCTCTGGAGGCCCGCGCACATTTCAACCATCTTAGCAGGGACGAACTTCGGCATGATGAACATCGTATTTCCGGCACCCACGGCGACATCGCGATATTTCCCTGCATATTTTTCCCAAGGCACTTCTGGATGCTCCGGATCAATGATTGAGATATTCTTGCACAATATCGCGTGCGTATCTTTGATGAGGCCTTCCGTCATTTCACCACGAGCGATAACAAACTGGTGAATGATATGTTGGAAGGCCATCATATGTTGTGCAACTTCACGATGGCCTCGGACAAGCTCATCACGGGACTTCCCACGCAATGCACTATGGCCAGCCCATGACTCTCCGATGTCACTATACGGGTCTACCATATATTCCCCATTTTGTCTTATAACGCTACGGCAAATCAGAAGTGTGGGTTCCCAATCAAAACCGGCCCGTTCTATCATGTTGCTCCCGAAGATGGCATGAATCACGGCCTCGTTGGTTTCTCTGGTCAGGGTATTTTGCTGCTCTTTTGTGTAATTCGCTTTCAAGGAATCCAAGTAGCGTGTTGCCTTTTCGAAGAGGGCTTGTGGATTCTGCTCGTCATTATATGTGCGGTAACTGTTGTCTGATTGAATGGACACTCGCACTGGAGGCCATGCAGATATTGTGTTGCTGGTGTTCATCTTGCGTAATTTCTTGAGTAGGAGGGTGCCGAAAGGATGTGGATGTATATGCGAAATAGAGAAGGAAATAACATATTCAAGTCAGGGTTCGTGGGGCATATCGAGACAGAGTTAAGTTCACTGTGAAAGCTTATAATGTCTGTACATACTACATAGCGGATACACCGACAATCTTCTTGAACTCAAAAAGAGATGAGACTAGTTTACATAAAATAATTATAATTTAGATAATTATTATTAATATTCTTCTAACCTAATCATGAGACTGATGCTTTAACCAATTGGCAACTCTACAAGAGGCATTCTCAGGTACCAAGAACCAACATCCGCGTCGCTAATACACAATTGATCTTCTGACTAACGAGGCGACGATGTTACGACAAAGTAAGGAAGTCTTTTCAAGAATGTTGTTGCATTCGTATAACGTACATACATCACGGATGATTCTAGACAGGGGTTTAAAGCTGTCAGGGGTCAAGGTCTAACTTAGACCAGAAGAATGAACCAATCAAAAGGCTTTCAACCGGCCAATTCAGGTAATTTTGAATCCTTTGGTGGGGCGGATACGTGATACGCAATACGCAGTACGAAGGCTTCAGTAAAGAATAGAGAACAAGAAGTCTGATATAATCCGTGCTCTCCCTTCAACTATCCCAAATGTCAACTCTTCTCTACCTTTCATTTCAATCTGGTTACTAGCTTATATCATCGACAATGGTAGCAGGACCTCGAACCCTTTTGTCCTTCCGTCTCCCCACCAATCGGCTTATTTCGTGGGCTGAATATGGTTCACCAAAAGGACGCCCTCTTATCTTCCTCCATGGAACACCCTCGTCCCGTCTAGAGTGTGCTGAGTTCCACAACGAACTCAAAACTCGCAACATTCGACTCATTGCTCCAGACAGACCAGGCTTCGGCCGTTCTGAATTTCTTCCTGGGCGCACAATAGGAGGATACGTAACTGATGTCCTTGCACTCGCAAAGCATCTGGATTTGACAAAGTATCATGTCATGGGAGGAAGTGGTGGCGGCCCGTACGCGCTCGCGTGTGCAAGACATCTTCTGCCTGAAGATGGATTACAAGGCGTATGTGTATTTGCAGGCATGGCACCTTATGATTGTGGTCTAAAAGGCGTGAACTGGCGCCTTTGGTTGAGCTTCGGCATGGCCAACTGGACTCCCAGACTCTTACGCTTCATCATGCGCTCAGCTCTTCCTACGCCTACGGGTGATTTTACTGGCCCAATTGATCAATGGACGTTGGACCCCTCGGCACAAGCGGATGCCAAGAAGAACATGGACGCGTTTGTCAAAACTCTCAAGGGACGTGAGAAGGAGGTTATGAGCAAACCAGGCGTGGCAGATTATATGGCCGTAGCGACAGTAGAGTCACTGATTCAAGGTTTTGATCCATACATGCACGAGGCAAAACTTTTTGCACAGCCATGGGACTTTAAGATCGAGGATATCACATTTGCTTCTAAAGGCAAAGGACCAATTTCCTTGGTTTATGGGACTGATGATGTGAATACCACGATCCATATGGGTAGATGGATAGCCGAGAGGGTTGGGGGGTCGAATCTCAAGGAAGTTCAAGGCGAGACACATTTCACAATAGGGGAAAGGTTTGTAGATTATTGTGACGAGTTCTTGCAGATGACTTAATGCTGAGGGATATGGGTATTCTTTGATAGACTAGTCGCTTTGTACCTATGAGAGAATCTCCCCTCGTCGGATCCGAATTCATGAGTACTTGCCACCTGCTTTTCAACAGTGATAATAACTTGACAATTTCCTTTTTGCTCTAACCTTCAACTTTATCAAGCCCAGGCTTTTCAAATCTCCCAATTATATCAACAATAAAAGTAACTTTCTATAGAGTCAAAACTCAATATAATCAGAACAATAGAAGTGACACACGGCAATTAAAGTCTAATCAAGTAAACACATATGACAGCCGTACGCATAAAATATGACTTTTCCCCCCACACCCCTCAACCTGTTCCACACCACAAGCACACAATCGAACCCATGCAGCTGCCTGAAAGAGGTCAGAATCAAGAAGTAAAGTACAAGCCAAGTCACGAGGGAGGACATAAGATGGAGGTGGGAAATAAGAAAAGTCCTTTCCAATGTAAGCTGATGATCACCCTTGGGTAGAATGTAATAACTAACCATACTCCAGGTGGAATGGAGGGAAAGGCGCTCAACATCTGGATCCATTATGCCAAAGGGAACTCGCAGGAAGCATACGCCGGGGCTAAACAACTCCTGCGTAATGGTGAGATCTCGGTCATGGACCGGGTATACCTGCATCTCCTGCTTGCAAGTGATCCTTGCGAGAAAGGAGTTCCTCACGCTCAGGTTACAGATCGTATCTTGACCGCCGGCAAAGCCGAACTTGAGAGGCAGAAAAAGACTGTGCACTTTGATACACTTCTCCGCCTCTCCAGGCAACTTTATGGCGATGCCAGTTCGGCCAAGAATTATGTAAATAAAGGCGACTAAGAGAGGTAGTAAGGCACATCGGAACATGTCGTGTGGGTTTAGCTAATGATATGTTGCAGGGCTGACCTGACTTTTAACGATACTTGGTGGTATTACATCCAGGGTTCGTTTAAAGTCTCCCACATGGCGATGTCCAACCGTTACTCTTCCAGCAAGAAGGATGATCGCTTAGCTGTTTATTAGAAAGGTTCAACGCTAACATGTCGAGTCATCGAGACTATTTTCAATGTCGACAACAGCGAAGATTTGGAAAGCGTCGGTTTAGTTCCACAGTGTAGATAGTTCGCCGTGCAGTTGCCTAAAATGGTCAACCAGATGCCACGAAATGGTAAGAGCTGAGGAGAGATAAAAATGCTCATGATCTTAATTAAATCAATTACTGTTATTTACGACACGGTGTTGCTATTTCCACCCAGCGAGGCTACTCGTTTTCTCCCGTTACCCTACAGATCGCCGAGTGCTTAGATTACTAGAGTATAGTCCCGGCAACAAAATGACTTTCGCCGAAAAAATAAATTAAAAAGACCCAACATAAAAACACAACAAAGAAACTTTTGAGTCGCATACAAGGAAAGGGCGGAGCATGTTTGGTGAATGTTCCTTCCCAGACGGACGAACCCTACTGGAGGCAACTGCGAGGCCAACATCTCTACTCAAACATTAAACACACCAACGCTCTACCACGACGCCTTGAACACGGTCCAAAACATCAAAATCCAGACCATCTTGGCGGAAAGCAACAACAATCATATTAAAGTCGCGCTCAAGAGCTTCGACACTCCAATCAGCCTCAGACAAGCGCGCGATTTGAGGTACTGCTTCTTGTGACACCAATGGATCAGCCCAAGAAACATCAACCTCCTGGGTCCGTACTAGACTCTTTGCTAGCTCAAGACCGGGAGAGTTGGCGAGATGTGACTGTCCACGCTTGAAGCCAATTCCGACAACAAGAACTCGAGGACGTTTCCCATCCTTCTCGCCGCGGAGACGCGTAACAACGCGCTTTGCAATCTCCGAAGGACGATCATGCATCTTTTCAGCCGCCGCCCGCAAGAGAGGCAGCTTGCTGTTTGAGAATAGGTACCATGGGTTGACGGGGATGCAATGTCCCCCAACACCCAAACCTGGAGAGAACGGCTGGTAACCAAAGGGTTTGGTGGAAGCTGCGCGGCAAACCTCAAATGGGTCAATGCCGTGTGCGCCGCAAGCATCGGCCATCTCGTTTGCGTAGGCGATGCAAACCATACGTTGGCAGTTTTCGTACAGCTTCATCATTTCGGCAACCTCTGGCCTTGACACAGGGACGACGTGATCGAAACTCTTCGAGTACAGTCGAATAATCGCGTCGAGCGATCCTGGAACCACATCATCCAGTCCAGAAACGATCTTGGGGATGGACTGTGCTGGAGGCTCAACACGACCTGGATCGACACGCTCTGGTGACATGCCCGCAAAGAATCCACACTCTGCAGCGATAGGACCAAGAAGAGCACGAGTCATTCCTACTGCCACCGAGCTCTCGACAACAACCACGGCACCCTGGCGTCCATAAAGCTTGACGACATCAAGAGCGCTGCAGAGGTACGAAGAGTCGATAGTCTTGTTGGGAAGTAGAAGAGTCGGTACCGAGATGAGGAAGTGAGTAGCCTCTGCCAGATCTGAGGCCTTGCATGTGAACCTCGCTCGACTATCAACGGACTGCTTCTTGGACAATTGTGCTGTCCGAGTCTCTGACACATCGTACCCAAGGACAGCATGGTTCTTTGAGAACACATCGACTAAATGTTCTCCGACATAGCCGACTCCAATGACAGCGACAAGTGGTTCAGTGGTTGCGTCAATGGACTTCGTGACATGCTGGAAGGCATCTTCTGCCTCCGAGACCTCACTGGGTGGAGTGATGTCGTAGTATTCTCTGGTAGAGATGTTCCACGACTTGGTTTCTGACTTGTGACTGTCAAAAGGCAACCCCTGAACAAGGAGACTCTCTGAAAGAACTTGGGCCATGATGATAACGATCGACAAGGTAACGAGTGAATTGGAGTGGAGTGGATGAATATTCTAGTAAATCATTGGGGCTCAAGGGCAGCATTTGTATCCATCTTGGAGCAGCTCTGAGCTCGTATCAAGACATCGATCTATTTGCTCCAGACATCACCGTACAGCCGATGAATCGAACGCTTTGGCACTTCTGAACCTTATGCCAGCTCCCTACCGAGAGGCGCCAGGCCTCAGAGAATGGAACCTTTTCTTGTCACTTCACTTCAGCTGAGCCTACCTAACAGAAGCAGGTTACCCCTGATCAAATCGATCATACGAAATGCATCTGGCCACGCAGAATCTCGTTCTAGCATAGTTACAACTGAGAGGACGTGGAACTCGAACTATCAACCGCCACTTCACCATTCTGATTGAAGGAAAATTGCAAGGACCGTCACAGCCTCATCAATCTATGCCTTGATCAGTTCCCTGTATTCTATGCAGGAGTTAGCTAGACTGGGAACACTGCAGATCATTGAGCTGACGCGCTCGACTTGTCATCCTGTCTCAATTCAGCTGTTGCAGAGAGCCGTAAGGATGTTAAGGTTGAGGGTGAGTTTAACCATCGTCTGCAGATACAATCCAAATGAGGATCTTCCCACCACCAAACGTTGACGGGGAAGAGTATCCCTGTCGAAGACACTCGCAAGGATCATCTGTGGCTTACAGCTATATTCACAAGACTCGAGCTTTTACCCGTATATTTCGCCACTTCGAAGGGAATACTGAAAATTTCAACTCAAGTTTGCGGACTTTCGAGAAATAGTCCGATGCCAAGACGGGTACCACATGTATCCGCAAGATTGTCAATGCATCCGCCAAGAACAATCTGTTCAACTGAGACAGCTTGATTGTAATAAGCAAGAAGAAAGGCTCGATATGGTAACGTGGAGGACGGTGACAAGGAACAGGTCTTTAATTTGTATAGTAGTGGCGTTAACGAGTTCTCAAATCAACCCAAAAGCAGACAACATAGCAACTAAATCTGACAAGGCTACCATGGTCAGGGATTCACTACAAAGCAATGGTACATTTCAGCTGGAGACTGTATCACCAGGCTGATAGACACGTCAATCATCGTTCCGAGGATCATTAAGCTCACCGTTCCCCTGTATCGTGTCACCCCATCCTTGGCTGTACCCTCATGACAAGGAAAGTGAATGATGCTGGGGTTTCTCAACGGCAGTGTACCTTTGCAACCTATCCTCAACGTTGTGTTACGTTGTTCAAGAGAAGTAAAATTAGGTGAATACGAGTGTATGCGCCAAACGGCAACCGATTATTCCGAGTGGGATGCATAAAAAAAGAATTGGAAGATGCAGGTGTTCCGCCCGTTCGGGTACCCCTAGGGATATCATTCTGGGTCTCTTGGTTGAAAGGCCTCGATTTCTTGAATATTGAATGCTGCCATGGTCAATCACCTCATAATTGTCAGTATTCAGCTCAACAGGCCCCGGTTGATGAAAATATTGGAAGTCGGTGATGACGCAAGCATTTCGCACATGAAGCCATTAATGACCCAATATCTGCAAGTTGAATATGGTTTTTCTTCTGTCGAATCGTAACATAAAGCTTTAAGCCTTACCCGAACAGAAATTGATAGATCAGAGACAACAACCTCACCTGAAAACTGCTTGCTTATTGTTGGGACATGGCTGCGTTGCTTTTGGCATGGATTTGATGGGCCATTAGATAACGTGGAGTCCTGGGTTGAAAACGTACCCAGGATGCCAAGCCAGTGCATTTAACCTGGCTAGTTGGGATTCTCGTGTTTAGGGCATGCAGAAAATGGGCGTTCAATACAATCTTGCTATGAGCTGTTGTTTATCTGACTCAAAGAGCTGTAGCCACGCCTAAGCCATATAGATAAACTCTTACTCCGCTCGCCGGTTCATTGTAATTTACCCATCGGCAGCTCGCATCGTCATTCATTTACAATCGAGTTTACGTTGAAAACTGTTCCAAGTATACCATTCTTTTGGCTCTAGTTCTATTGTTCAACATGAAGACCAGCGCTTCCATTACCCTTGCCTCCCTGCTGCTTCATGCGGGGATCGTCCTGGCTGGACCGGTCCTCGCAGCCGACGACCTCTTGTCATTGCGACATTCGAGGTTGAGGAAGCGTGCTGAGTGTGGTCTTGGGATTGGCTCATGCAATGCTGGAGACTGTTGTTCGGAGAGTGGCTTCTGCGGTACAGGAGGTGACTTTTGTGGCGGCTCCGCCTGTCAACTCGAGTATAGCGACTCGTGTGATACCTTGTAAGTGCTTTGATGCTATGGATCGTGAGGGGTTTGAGGCTGACGTGAATCCAGCTTCGGACCAAGTGGTAGCAGCACGGAAAGCGTTTCTCGCCCAAAGATTGGTAACGTCCCGTATGGTATGTCTGCAATGCTCGATGTGTATGCATAATCAGATTGCTTACGAAGTTATTGCAGGAAGCGTCATCACCACTTGCACAACACCCGGTGTGATTGCTCTCACATTCGACGATGGTCCTCTTGACTACACCAACGATCTTCTGGATCTCTTGGACGAAAGAAATGTCAAGGCAACCTTCTTCGTGGCTGGTAACAACAGGGGCAAGGGTCATATTGATGACTCGTCCAACCCATGGCCCGCTGTGATGAGACGCATGTACGCTGCAGACCATCACATTGCCAGCCACACCTGGACCCATCGCAATCTCAACGAGGTCAACAGCACCATCCGACGATCTGAGATAATCTACAACGAAATGGCCTTCCGTAACCTTTTTGGCTGGATCCCGACCTACATGCGTGCACCCTACCTGGAATGCAACACTGGATCTGGATGCCTCGAGGAAATGTCCGACCTTGGCTACCATGTCGTGGATCAGAACGTGGACACCAAGGACTACGAAAATGACAGCCCTCAGTTGATCCAGAACTCAAAGAATAGATATTCTGCGGGCATCTCTTCTAACTCGAACAGCAACCAGTACATCATCCTTGCACATGATGTGCATGAGCAGACCGTCCAGAACCTGACGGCCTACATGATTGACACCGCTCAAGACCGTGGTTACAGGCTGGTAACAGTAGGAGAGTGCCTGGGTGATCCTCGGGAGAACTGGTACCGACCTGCGTCTCGAGGTCGAGATGTCACGTCGACTTCGGAATCTGCTACTCCAACTCGAACGACGCCTCCTACTGTGTCTATGCCCACAAGCACGGCGAGTCCCACAGGTGGCCTCACTATTTCTCCCAATCAGAGATGCGGTGGAAACACAGGCTATACTTGCCAGGGGTCCTCGTTCGGAAGCTGCTGCTCCTGGTACGGCTATTGGTACGTATCTTCTCTCGACGTGCAGATATGCATCTCGATGATCCCATTCTAACATGATATTAGCGGCTCGAGCGAGAGCTACTGCGGAACGGGCTGCGACGCAGACTTTGGCTCGTGCTCTCCTCCCGATAGTGGACATGTCCACGACACTACCAACGGTCTTTGTGGGCCTGGAGTCAAAGCAACTTGCGAAAACTTCGGAGCCAAAACCTGCTGCTCCCAATACGGATACTGGTAAGGATGACCCCGGAGAGGCGGCACATCAGATCTTTTTTACTGACATTTATGGATACACAGCGGCAACAGTGCTACCCATTGCGGAACGGGCTGCCAGGGCGACTTTGGCCAGTGCAGTTGAGGCGTGATCGTCCCGTCAATAGCATTGTCTTAGTGCGACTCTAACGGGAGAGGCTTGCGGGAGATGGGCAATACAACGGAAACGTTGTCGGGTATATTCTTGTTTACTTTCTTGTAATCCTATAGGTCCGGCTGATATGTTCTAGTCCGTGGACCCCTGCAGGATTACTTTTTATAATTAATACGTACCGTACAAAGTCCGATCAATCTGACACGTCAACTTCCGTCAACTTCTTGTTTGCTCTTCTCTTCAAGCTTTTGAAGCTTACCAATAAGCATATGTCGCCCCTGGCCACAGCAGCTGTAAACATGAAATTCCCAAAATAGAAACCCCTCTTGCAGTTGATCGTCATTATTAACGCCATACCACCAAGTAGACGCGTCATGGGCCAGCTCTCCCACCTGGCTGCATAACAGACGCATATCGAACGAGCACAACTTGCTCAACGGATAAGCATAACTATAAAACCACCAACCATAACTCAGTGGCGCGTGGGGGGCTGGGCTCTCACGACGACGGACTCGCTCTGGATTCCGAGGGTTACACAACGTCTCGGGACGGCAACTAGACCACATAAAACAAGGCCCTTTGTCAAGCGCAGACCAGGAGTATCCCTGCTAGTCAGTTCACTTGGTCAATCGGGTAGCGTAGATCTCTCCGCCCATCTCGCATATCCTCCCGTGACGCTTTTACCCAGTAAAAAGCAAGAAAAGCGGATATATAAAAATAAGTGAAAAAATACAAAGACGAGGCTCGAGTGGCTTGCATAAATGTGTTTTATATCTGTGTGCTTGCGGCGTAGACTACTGCAGGTCCGGCCTTGCATTTTCTTTCAATCGGAGGTTGCGGGCTGGAGTTTAAGCTTGTTGAGATGGATGGAACGGGTGTGTGAGTGGGTGTGTTTATGGGAGAGTTGTTACGGTGGATGGGTGCCTCTGCAGAGGAGGTTCCAGAAGATTTTGTGCGGATGTTACGGTGGGAATCCTTTGGTGTGTTGGTTTGAGATAAATGGGTGTTGAAGAAAACGTGGGAAAAGTGTTCAGTGCACCGACAACATGTCTGAGCTTAACTTGATATTTCGAGATAAAGGCCTTTGTAGACTGGACGATTAAACTCACAATGACCATTACCGCCATAGCTAAGAAAAACACAAAACAAGATATACATAAATACCCTGTACCTTGTAGTGACATCCTGCTGCATCAATATTCCAAAGGCCGGTGTGATATCCCAACTTGGACTACAATAGCTGAACTCCAGTCGCAAGAACTTCACGATACGGAATCTCAACCCGAAACAGCCGGATCAACGAGGGAGCCAGCAAACAAAGCAACAAGCAAGCTTAACTTTCGGGAAAGGATTTACAGTGACACGATTTACCAGATGCCAGCAACTCAGGCAGCTATCCCGCTGTCTTGGCTGCATCTTCCCACGTCAATGCCCCCCTGTCGAGCTGTCTCCCCGCGGTTCCCAGGATAGAAAATGCAAGCATATTCAAGCATCCGACACCTTATTGCATGTTATTTCTTTGCAAAAATAGCGACATCAGCTGAAATCAGGGATCCTTTGCCGAACTAGTAGCTGCCGTCGATCATGGGCATCTCACTCAAACGAGCCTATCCCAACGGCCAGACTCGCAAAAGCCTCGCTGCTGACAGGCGTATGCATTTCCACTTCCGGGAATTTTTTCATGAATTGATGTCCGAAAGAGAAGAATATTTTCTTTTCTTTTGCCCCCTCGTGGCGTGAGGCATTGGCCAGCGGGGAGTCCGCGCTGGCCATGCCTCGTATCGTGGGTTTGCTGCTGTCGTGCCATGCTGTCCGGGCACTCGTGGAAAAGAATATACCAGGCACAGTACGGTGAGGCGCTTTCATGCCCGGGACTAGGTACCTAGTGTGATGAAGCCTGTTTGTATTTCGTGGCATCTATTGTTTTTCTCTAGTGTGTGCTGTACTTTATTTCTTCCGGGGTGTTGGTCTATTGCTGGGAGGCGAACAGGATCTTGCTATAGCTTCAATAGCCCCCGACTTCGAGGCTGCTTGAATCCTTCTTAGATCTCAGGTCAGTCGATAGCTATCTCTCGCTTGTACTATCGTTTGAAGCATTGGTGTTGGAAGGGAAGAACGATATCCTTTCTTCACTTTGGTCTTTGGCCTTGTCACTCGCTCTTGTCTCTCGTTACTATCGTTGACGTTGCTCTATAGCAGCTGCAACAATTATCCAACGACCATTTGTAAGTCTTTTGTACCTTTGTTCAACTGTTGATTAACTAATGGGTTGAAGCGTAATAGTGCTGTTGAAACTCGGTTCCGACATGCAGTCAACCACAACAATGACCAATTCGATGCCTTCCAGCGCCAACAGAGCATCCTCTTCGTCTTCTGATAGAGCCAACATGGCTACTATCCAGGAAGGCAAGAGGCCCGCCCTGCCAGTCGATCCGTCTCGGCCGTCAACTTCTCAGAATCAAGTTCCTCAGTTTCCACTTAGGCCAGGCGGCGCAATGTCCAGAGACTCGGTACGTAATTCCTACAAGTGAGGCATTGCAACCTCTAACATAGTTAGTCTATCATTCGCGGTATCAATGGCGACTTCCACCCTGGCGCTCAAACCCCAATGTCGGGCGTAACACACGCATCTTGGCTCACCAACAACGGAAACGAATCGAACTCGTCCTTCACTTCGTCCATCATGCAGGAAGAAGCAAAACTCCGCTGGGACTCGGATGAGGAACTGAAGAAGATGTCCAAGGGCATTCTCCGGCTCCAGAAATGGAGTCTGATCATTGGTCTCGCTGCCATCAACGGTACCCTCATCTACGTCGGATGGAAGTACTACCAGGTGTACTACTTCTTCCTCGTCCTTCTCAGCTCAAACACCGTTCTTCAGACATTCATGTGTCTCTGCATTATGCTCCATTGGTTCTGTGTCAATGTGCTGTGCTTCTGGTGGAAGCCCAAGGAGAACATTCCTGCTGAGCCGGAGAAGATGGTCTTGCTTCTGCCTTGCTACAACGAGACATACCAAGAGTTGACGCGCTCGCTTGATTCTTTGATTGCGCAGAAGAACATCGACAATCATCCTCGTGTTATCTTCATCGTTGTCGACGGCAATGTACGAGGCCCTGGTATGGAGAAGACTACGCAGGACTACCTCCTCGAAGATATCCTCGAGCCAGGCCCATCGCGCACCTTCGAGAACGCATACCGTGCTCGCGACGGATTGTTCATGCCTGTCAAGACACAAACTGGCTTCTACAAGGGCATTCCGTATGTGTTTGTCGGAAAGCGCTACAACCAGGGTAAACGCGACAGTTTGTGCTTCGCGCGATCTCTTCTATACCATTTCAAGCAGCGTTCCGAGAACGTCGTCACCATGTTCAACAACGACCTCTTTGAGTACATCGGCAACAACTTCATCAACGCTGGTCTTGATGATATCACGTACCTTGCTGGTATGGACGCCGATACTGTGTTTGACGAGAACTGTATCTGGGAGATGATCAAGGAGATTCGCAAGAACCCCAAGGTCGTCGGTGTGTGTGGCCATGTCTGTGTCGATTTTGATGGCCACAACTGGGGTTACTGGTCGTTGTATCAATCTGTTGAGTATTCTCAGACTCAAGGTCTCCGTCGTATGTTCCAGTCTCGCATTACAGGAAAGGTCAACTGTCTTCCTGGATGTTGTCAGCTTATCCGCGTTGATGAAGCCACCTTTGGCGATGCTGTTCTCCGCGAGCGTTTTGGATACTGCCCCAAGCCCAACGATATCATGACACAACACATCATGGGCAACTACTCTGAGGATAGCATCCACGCCTCCATCATTTTCAGTCTTCACCCCGGCAAGCAGACGGCCCAAGCACTCCGCGCAAAAGCCATGACAATTGTTCCTCAGGACTGGAAGGTGTTCCTCTCACAGCGTAAGCGCTGGGCTCTGGGCAGTATCTCCAACGAGTTCGTCATGATCTTCCGCCCCGGCATCATCCTCATCGAACGTCTTCAAAGTCTTGTTGCTGTGATAACCTGGGCTATCACACCCTTCATCATCGCCGCCTTTGTCGAGCTCCTCATTGTCTTCGCCAAGCGAGGCAGAGAAGTGATGTCAGACCCTGTATTCCTCGGTCTCATCTGTATATTATTCTTCCGCTACGTGAGTTCTCGTCCCTTGCAGCGATCTAGATCTAGATCTGCTGCGCCAAGAAGGCAAAAGGCTTGGCTAACCACACCTCACAGCTTTACTCTTTCTGCATTGGTTTCTGGCTACCGCGCAACAACCTCGAGCGCGCCCAATACTTCGTGGGCTACGTCATGCATCTTTTCACTTCACCTTTCATGAACATTATCATCTTGGTATACTCTCTGTTCCATTCGGATGACTTCAAATGGGGCAAGACTCGCGAGGTTATCCGAGGGGATAACGAAAAGGACGGCGACGACTGTGGTGGTCGCGGTACCCATTAGTCATTATTTTGTATCTATGACTTTATCTCCAACACTTGTCCTTGGGAATGTCAGCCTGTGTTTAATTTTGGAGGGTACAAAAAACGGGCGTTGGGCTGGAGTATACGAGCTGGCCATTTAGCATAATGTTTATTTCTCGTTATCAGGTAGCATTACATAAAACAACTGATTATAGAACCTTTTTTGAACATGCAAGAGACTTGTAATGTTAAGCTTATGTGCCGTGTTCGTGTTGTATTGGTTCTGAAACTGGCTAGGATTAAGAGGTTTGTGGCGTACATCACCAGGTCCAAACCTCCGCGTGCTGACCAGAACGCCCTGGCATTAGACGCATACTAAAGTAGATGAATCTGGGTTACAGCTAGAGGCAAAAGAGTAACAGTTTTGACCAGCTAAGATCACCGTTGTCAATCCGTATTTCTAGCCAAGATAAGCTGGCCCAGCTCTGCATCCAGTATCATTGCGATTTCCCAAGAGGGTCTTATCACCGTTCAGGGTAGCTCAATACGTATTAATTACGCGGCAAGGTTTATCAGCATGTAAGAAGCACATGCAAACAATCTATTCATTGAGCAAGCTGTTCTCATGATCATTTAAACCACTTGATAGCAGTAACACCAAGAACCCCGCATAGATAACAGCCGGGACTTTTTACCTCATTCGGGTATAGCTTCATCCGCCGATCTACATAACAAAACGGTTCCCTTCCCATTGGTTCCTCGGCACATGCCACCATTGGGAAATCCGGGGAATGGGTTGCCAAGGACGCTATCAAATGCGCGGTTGATAGTTCCTCTTTTCAATGACAAGCGCCAGGAACTCATTTCTGACGACCTCAAACGTGGAGACATCACCTAATCCAAACCTTCCCCATGAGGAATATCCAGTATGAAAGGACAACCCAAGTCCCGCTCTGGATGTCAGGCGTGCAAGAGTAAGAGGGTATGTATACCTCGTTCGGATAAGTCCACTTTCACTAACCTTGTGAACGCAGCTCAAATGTGACGAGGCTAAGCCAAGCTGTCATAATTGTCTGGCGCGAAAAGTTGCTTGTCCGGGATATCAGCAGACGCTCAAGTGGTCAACCAAATATGAGCGTCGAAAAAAAGACAAATCTACCGACCCTCCTGGCTTTGATCAACTCATCTCTGCCGCATCTTTGTCTGTGCAAGAGCGTCGTAGCTCTAATGTTGAGATAAGTCAACATCGAAACAGCAGACGATCGTCTAGCTCGTCAAATCAAGCAAACCTCTCCCCTGCGCTTCCACCCGCTAGCACATTCTCTTCCCTCGACTCAAGTACCACACATGAAGAAGTTGATCGTGTCGGATGTGCTGTCAATTCAATATCTAGTAACTCACTACGTGCCGAGCCTTCTCAACAAGATTTGCAGTTAGCCACAGCAGACGTCGAGAATGATGTGACGCCCTCAGACAACATGCCTCTTATCCTACAACCACAAAACACAATCCAGATAGGCACCAATGGTACCGAAAATGAAAAGAGATGCTACAGACGAGGCTCATCATTCTACATAAACACAGGCACCCCAATAACAACCATCTCTGAACCATCCTCGTTTCTTATTGAGCTCTGGTTCAAATCAGTGTGCGGTTCATGGGCAGCATACGACTCCCCATCTAACCCGTTCCGCCGATTGGGATCATCCCTTTGGGGCTCATCGCGACCATTATTCTACTCACTTCAAAGCATGGCAGCTGCATCTCTTACAAAGCGACAGCCTCAGATTCAAGAGATCGCTACATCTGCACCACGTGTTGCAACCGAGGCTATAATTCACGAGCTGAAATCCCTTTTTGATTCGCCAAACTCCGTTACTACCGTTCCCCATGCGCTGATTATATCCTTGTTCTGTCTCAGCTCGTCGCTGTGCTGGATGGATCATAAGCAACTAGGGCTGCAATACCTGCGCCATGTCCGTGTGATACTGGCACTTTTGGAGATGCGCTCCGAGTATCTTTCCAGGCAAGATCAAAGTCTTGTGGGCTTCTTCAAAGAATGTCTCATCTACGAGGAGTCTGTTCGAAGTATTGTTACCAGCGCCAGAGACGATATCAGCACCCTCACAGAATGGACACCGGCGACATATCCCCCGTACGACTTTGTTCTGCATCCGTGGACCGGCGTCCCGCCAAAGATAATTGCTCTATTTGGGAAATCCATGTCTCTGTGCCGTAGATCACGGGATACATGGCGGAATTGCACCGCGCCGACATATGAAGTTATGTGGCAGACGATGCTTGACATCAACGAGGCGCAAATACTTGAAGAAACACTGCTTTCTGTGCAAGTACCTAATCTCATCAGCGATGCAGCGGATGTATACACGAACAAGGGACAGATAAACCTTGACTTGCATCACGCTGCCGAGGTCTTTCGCCTGTGTTCGCTTCTACAGCTCTACCAAACATTTCCAGATCTTGTTTCAAGAAGACTCCCCGAGAGGATCAATGGGAATATGACAAAGATTACATGGTCCACTTCACTTGCTCTTCATATCACAGGGCTTCTCTCCAGTATTCCTGCAGAGTCAATTCGCTGTCTGCAACCCTTGTTGTGTCTAGGCGTTGGCTCGGGACTGCGATGCAAGACGGTATGTACGGAAGAGAGCGCTCCCAAACTCGAGCTTTCGGATACCAGTCGGATGAGGTCAACCCAGGCAGTAGAAGATGAATTTTTCTTCGGTGCGGAAGATTCCGTGCAGCACCATTTTGTGGACGTGGACTTGGCCAGGGGATTCATCATGGACAGGCTCAAGGGATTCGGACATGGGCCAGCTGCAGGACCTATTGTCGTGCTACGGGAGTTGCTACAGGCTGTCTGGTCTTATTACGATAGTGAGACAGTGCCGGGGTCGGTTCATTGGCTTGATGTTATGGCTGATTTGAAGTATGAGACTGTCTTTGGTTAGCATGGAGTCAATTTTGTTAGTTTGCCGGGATGTTTGATATTAGATACCCAACCCCAATAAAGACTTTACACTCTGTATTCACTTTGGTATTCCTGTCAAATGATAATCTTGGCCTTGCCAACTCCGATGAACCTATCGGATATCCTGGATAGTTGAGTCTATGGCTTTATCTCACCACCTCATGAGCTACACAGACACTCTTATCTCCACCTCCATCTACAGCAATGTGCCACCAACACCAACCATTCCGCATCAGGTCTGAGTTACCGTCGCCCACAATCCCTGTCCGCATCATCAAATCAACCCAATAAACCAGCTCCAAAGCTCAAAGCGGGCGGGGTAACGCTCGACCCACGATAGCTCCCGGGCTAACACCGTCTAGGCAAAAAAGTCCCCCCTAGAATCTGGGGAAGATACCAGGGCGTTTGAGCTAGGGGGGCTTGTGATACCAGATACTGAGGGCGTCGTGCTGCAATGGAGGCGTCACGGTAAAAGGCTAACTGATAAGGAATGTGTGGTTTATATACGATGCGGCCTGCCGCGTTTTTATCGTCAAACCCAATGACAGCTCTCTGGCTTTAATCTCTTCATTAATTAAAGTGTCTTTTGTTGTGTCGCCATTATGAATCCAGCTTCGGAGAAGGGAAGCGATCATGAACATTCTAATCCGAAACACCTAGAAATTGGTGCAAGTGGTGATGCTGCCGACCTTACGGCTCTAGGCTACAAGCCTGAGCTTCAACGAAACAGGTCCATGTTCACACTGCTGTTTCAATCACTAGCAATTGCTGCGGTGGGTTATCCTTTCTAGATATAGCAGACGTTGGTAATTGAACGTTGGTAGATTCCCTACGGTTTCGGCGCACCTCTCATCAACTCAGTCTATGGCGGTGGCCAATTGTCCATGTTCCTCGGCTGGATCATCGTATGTCTCCTCGACGAATGCATCGCCATCTCGCTGGGCGAACTCGCAGCCCGATGGCCCACGTCCGCAGGTCCCTACTACTGGTCTTTCCAGATCGCGTCACCAAGATACAGAACTGTGCTCTCATTCATCACCGGATGGACATGGCTGGTCGGTAATTGGACCATCACGCTATCCGTCAACTTCGGTTTCGCGTCTCTGCTAGCCGGGGGCGTGAGCATCTTCCTCCCTGACTATGTCTGGCAGCCCTGGAAGCTCGTCCTGATATTCTACGGACTCTGCGTCGTTACGTTCTTCATTGTCGCGTACGGCAACAAGTTCCTCCCCACCGTGGATACTTTCTGTGCGGCGTTCACAGCGATTACCATCTTCATTGTCTGTGTCTGTCTATCGAGCGAAGCGAAAGACGGGAGACACTCCGCAAGTTACACTCTTGTGAGTACAGAATTCACCGATGTTTTTACAGTGGTTAACAAGTCTAGGGAAATTTCGACCCAAATCTGTCTGGCTGGGGAAACTTTGGTTTCTGGATTGGAGCTCTGCCTTCGGCTTATACGTGAGTGGCCGCAGCCGCATATGTGACTTGTTCATTGCTCTAACATTATCCAGATTCTCAGCCATTGGCATGATTACATCAATGGCCGAAGAATGCGGCGACGTTACCGTCAAGCTCCCGAGAGCTCTTGCGCTTTGTGTGCCTGTTGGTTGCATCGCAGGATTGTTCTTTGTAAGTCGTCCATAACGTCTCAATGATGCATGTCAGCCGTCTAACAATATCTAGATTATCCCGATTTGCGCAACACTTCCTCCGCTAGAAGAGCTCCTCGCAGCGCCGTTAGGCCAAGTCCTACCAGTGATCTTTTACCGAGTCATGGGAACGAAAGCGGGAGGTATCGCCCTGACAGCTCTAGTTCTCATCATCACCCTGTTTTGCTCCATCTCCATCACAGTCGCAGCTTCAAGGACAACATGGGCCTTCGCACGAGATCGAGCCATTCCACTATCAAGAGTATGGTCCAAAGTCGACAAGCGCCACGGCACGCCCATCATGGCTCTCCTCCTCACCACCATCATCGAAATGCTGCTCGGTCTCATCTACCTCGGTTCAAGCTCTGCATTCAACGCGTTTATCGCCGTCGGTGTCATCGGTCTCGCCTCTTCCTACGGTATTCCCATTCTTCTGTCCCTACTTACAGGGCGTGCTGGTGTCAACACGGCGCCGTGGACTTTTGGAAAGCATTTTGGCTGGGTCATCAATGTTATCGCTTTGGCGTGGATCTGCTTCGAGATGATTCTGTTCACTATGCCGGTTGCGATTCCCGTCAATGCCGTCACGATGAACTATGCTGTTGTTGTGTTCTTTGGGTTCATGGCGATTTCGGCTGTTTGGTATATTGTCCATGCTCGGCATGTGTACAAGGGGCCTCCCGAATCTGATGGCTTGACGAAGTGAGTTGGGTCTGTTGGGTGGTGTTGTTTTTGAGGGTAGCGGGTGTTAATCACTGTATATATATATATGTAATGCAGTCTTGGTAATAATTTCCGATATTCAACAATCTTTCTTACCTCGCCGTACACTTACCGTCCTGTCGCTCTTCTTATATTTTACGTCAGAATTATTCCTGTTGACTCATCAAATCCATCAACGAATACAAGTCATCATAGGTACGTAGTACCGGCTGCCATCGTCTTATTTATTGCACCTTTCCATATTTCCATTCCTTTGTTTCCATTTGGTCAGTTACCTCCTTATCGTGTTCCTTGCGATTGAGCCGTGGATTCGAAAATTCTGCCAAATCGTAGTTTTGATGCTCGGCATCCGAATTCGTTTAACCCGGTCTTCGAATTGGTTGGCCCAGTTGTGTTACAAGATGGCTCAGTAACAATCACACACCATCATGGCGACATCTCAAATCCTCCAAGCACCCTCATTGGGGGATAAAACATGTGGCGCAGGAGCGACATGCAGGTGCTTCCCTGAGGCAGCTGGAGCCTGATACAAAATCTGTCTGTTGGCTTGCACAGGCAGGCGCGCCTCAGAGGCTCGAAAACAAGATCGACAGTTGGCAGGCACGACGACTATAAACATTAAACCGCCCGTAGCTCCCTCAAAGCTGATACAAACATGTCGGAAGATGCTGAGATTTCGTCCCTAGGATCGATCGAAGACCGTATAACACTCGTAAGGAACGCGCTGGAGGTCAGATCGCCGGATGATCCCGATTTCTACTTGACAACGGCTTTGTTGGCCAACCAATTGAGGAGACAGCACCAATCCGCGGACTCTGACGAACATCTGGATGCTCTTGAGGAATCAATTTCTCTCTTTCGCGAGGTACTCAATGATACATCCCACAGCAACGCCAGTAGACCTGCATGGCTCATCGAGCTTGCATTCAGCCTTAGCCTTCGCTGCGACGCCACAGGGTCCGAAAGAGATGCTATAGAAGCCTCCCAGTTGTCGTTTGAAGCGGCCAGCGCGGTGCAGAAACATGACCCGCAATATGCCTTCATCTTGCAATCCGCTTGTCATTTTATCGGCAAAAAGATCATCAGGCTACATGACGAAGATGATGCGGAGAATTTGTTCGATATGCATGTTTCTATACTGGAAGTTACACCTCCAGATCACCCAAATCTCATTTCACGACTTCGCAGCTACGATGACTTCTTTTTCAAGATGTACTTGGCTTTCGGCGATATAGACGTCCTTGGAGAAGCTATTCGAGTGTCACAGCACATCGTTGGTATCTCAGAGCAGGGTTCTGATGAACATGCCAGGCATCTTAGCCTTCTTGGGGGGCGTCTCGTGGAGAGATATTTGCGCACTAAAACATCAGCCGATCTTGATGCGAGTATAGAAGCTTGCCGAGAAGCCGTCAACAAAACTCCGGCCACTTCTCCAAGTCGCGGACAGAGAATGCAGGCTCTCTGCAATGGTTTAGGAACGAAATATGGGCAAACAATGACAGAAGCTGATTTCCAGGCTGTCAAATTAGTCCTGGACGAAGTTCTTGATCGGTTACCTACAAGACCCAAGAGTCGAGCGCGATCACTTGGTAATATCGCCATCATCCTTAGTCTCAGGTATGGACAGACGGGAAACGAGGATGACTTCAAACGAGCCGTTGATACTTTCCAGAGTTCCGTGGACTTGACGACTGTTGGCGACCCGAGGCTTGCTGGCCGTCTAAGCAATCTTGGTGCTATATATTACCATGTGTATTCTAAAACCAACAATATGGAGAGACTTGAGACGTCCATTAGCATTACAAGAAAGGCCATTGAAGCCACTCCCGAGAACCATCCTGGCAGAGCTCAACGATATTTTAATCTTGCAGATAGCCTTCAAGCACGGTATCTGAATTTGAACTTGCCTCAGGACCTGGAAGAGGCTATTTCCTTTTACCGACCTGTCCTGTATCAGTCCAGTGCCTCAATATTCGTTCGTGTTCAGGCCGGCTATTCCCTTATGCAATGTTATACTTCGAAACGCAACTTTAATGAAGCATTCCAGGCGGCCTCCCTGTCGATTAATATACTATCTGAGCGAATACCACGATCTCTTCTAAACGCCGACATACAGCGTGAGTTAGGAAAACTGTCAGGGTTGGCAACTGAGGCGGCATCGATTTCGCTTTACTTGGGACGTTCCCCAGTAGTTGCTCTTGAGCTTCTCGAGACTGCTCGTGGAGTAATGGCTGCCTCCATTAACGTGCTACGCTCTGACATCCAGGACCTTGCAAGAGAGTTCCCTGAGCTGGCCGATCGATTCAGGTGTCTTCGCGACCAGTTGGACAACGCTCCCAGCCTGAGTTCCCAGTTGTTAATGGGAGAGAAACAATGGGTTGGCCAGACGAGCCAGAGGTACAATGCTGGTAAAGATCTCTCTGAAGTCTTGACTGAGATACGCTCAAAGCCGGGTTTCAAACGGTTCATGCGGCCTGAAGACGAGGAACGGATGAAAAGCGCAGCTGCTCTCGGCCCTGTCATTGTGGTCAATGTCAGTCAATATTTTTGTCACGCAATAATCATTCAACAGGACCAAACAAAGCTGGTGTTTCTCCCTTCATTGAGCAAGCGTGATATTGACTTAAAGTACAAGTCTCTAGGCCGCGGCAGTCTTCGGGTGCTCGAATGGCTCTGGGAGGCTGTTGCTGAACCCATCTTGGAGGCTCTGGGCTTTAACGAGCCACCTCCAGAGGGCAACCTAAAAAGGGTGTGGTGGATACTGACCGATTCGTTGAGTACATTTCCCATTCATGCTGCAGGACGACATACCAGACGAAATGGCGAGACCGTCATGGATAGAGTCATGTCGTCGTATGTTACCTCGGTCGCGGCCATCGTGCAAAGTCGCAGGACTCGAACAGCTGAACATGAGTCTACCACAAACGAAGCACTTCTGGTTTCTGCCGCTGAAACCCCTGGTCATTTCGGGTTGATGTTTGCAGAAAAAGAAGTTCGCATGTTACGCCAGGTCTGTCAAAGTATGAACCTCAAGCCTATTGAGCCGGTGCCGCAGAGAGATATCGTTCTATCGCATCTGCGAAAATGCAAGATATTTCACTTTGCGGGACATGGACACACAGATACGGCCGATCCTTCAAAAAGCCAGCTATTCCTAGAGGATTGGCAGACTCACCCTTTGACAATTAGTAATCTACTGCAGTTGAACCTCCAACGTGAAGGCCCTTTTCTGGCCTATCTTTCAGCTTGTGGTACAGGACAAATCAAAAGTCAAAAGTTGTATGATGAGGGCATCCACCTTATCAGTGCATGTCAGCTAGCAGGATTTCGACATGTTATTGGTACTTTATGGGAAGTCAATGATGAATCTTGTGTCGATATGGCTGCCATTATCTATGATGAGATTCACAAAGGAGGCATGTCAGATGATTCGGTATGTCGTGGTGTCCATGCTGCTACAAAAGCAAAGAGAGACCAATGGCTCCAGGATGTTACTAGCTCTGGGAAGCCCGCAGGTGTAGTAGTGAGCAAAAAGGAACATATGGATGAGGACGGAGGAGAATTCTCAAGAAATATTGTTGCTTGCGATGATAGTGATGAAGAGGAGTTCCTCGTGGGAGGTAGGAATAGGACATTGCATTGGGTGCCGTATGTACATTTTGGTGCATAGAGCACTACCAGTTCTAGAAAGGATTTCAGAATTGAAAGGATTGTTTGAGACATCAAATGCTACTGTTAGACCATTCAAGACGTGGCCTGCGCGATACTATCGTGAACGATATGGACCAAATCAAGGTACATAAACAACATGAAGATATGGGCTTGGTATGGTTGGGTATGTATCTATCACACTATTCTACTATCACTTATCAAAACTATTCAGAAGCACATCTACAACTGTATTATTCATCAGTAAATTCTAAACTTATCATCTCTTCGGTCATTTCCCAAAGAGTATACTACCAAACATACCATCTCAATTCCCGTCTTGCCAAGCAATGACTCACAGCACTCGCACTCAAAGGATGCCCAGTCTCGGTCTCGGCAAAGACAAGATACAAGGTACCTCAATCCAAGACATGCTTCCTTCCGTGTCTAAGGTTAAGAAAACTTACCTTTCCCACGGGTGCCTGCGAGACGCGGTGTCATGAGGCCCCAACGGCTAATGTCTCGATCGGCATGTCTCTAAGCGGGGTTGATGCGTTACTAGGGTAGGACCATTTTTAGGCAGACAAGGCGAACAAAAAATGAGGATGATTGTCGATCCTGATGCTGGTGATTGCGGCAAACCTTCGTTTCCTATCGGAGAGTTAGGAATGATTCTGGTTTCTTTATTCTCACGACATATTATTAGCTAAACTCTCATTCCTGATATTTCACACAAGGCGTTGGTCCAATGCGCCCCCAACTTGCATTCTGCCACCCCTTCTTGAAACGATTCCTCATGCATTCATCACCTCGTCAATTCAGGTTTGCACGCAAAGGCCTCAGAAGTGAATGAAGCTCTACCAAAGTCCCAAAACGACCCCATCTTTCAATTCATGGTGTTGTCTCCACTCCCCCCCCCAAGGAGAAAAAGGACTTTGGTCAAACATCCCTGCATGATTCTAGACGTGCATGACGCGATACTCCAACGGGGATTTGTGGTGATATACGTTCGGATAGCGTTTTTACACTTTGGAGCCGAGGCAGTAGGAATTTTGTTTCAGTTTGGAAAGTGGTTTCTGTATCAAAATGCGTGGTTCGCAATTTAGATCTCGTGTGTATACTAAGTCTTGCCTCTTTCACATACGCCCCCTCAGTCATCCCGAGAGTCATGAGACAGGTTGAACTTTTCCATTTGTTGCACATTTGACATGTCTTAGTTTGTACCTGCTTTAGTGCTCATGGTCATGATCCAATTCATCCAACTAGTTTGCTCTCCCATAGCTTACTGACGAGTGTTTACAGTGGGTTGAGTCTTCATATGCACAGTTCACAAAGCATGAGGAAGCTAAATTGTTCAAAACCAAAAACCCATTCTGAGTTCCTTTTTTTTTCTTTGTTTTGTGTCTTGTATCTAGTGTTCTGTAGTCCTTAAAAACGGCTCTTTTGCCGTGCGAGTAAACTTATCGCTGGTATCCTATAATCCCCAAGACGCGTATACAAATAATTCCCAAAATCTAACAAATCCAAATCGCTAATTGTCCCAAATCCGTGCTCGATAACTCCGTGTGATAAAACAGATCAGAAGTGATACAAGACCAAAAAATAATACAAATAAGAATTCCAATCCACGTTTATTCGTAGCGGTATCCAGATCCGATTGTCACGCGGCGCTTGGGCTGCATTCGCTCGCGGAGACGCTCTCGCTGGGCTTCCTCCTCCTTCTTCTCCTCGCGGCGGGCAAGGCGACGGACCTTGTCCTCACGGCGCTCCTCCTCGAAGCTCAGGCGGCGGAGCTGGTTGACGAGCTCGGCCTGGCGGTCAACGACCTCGACTTGAGGTCGCTTGTAGGTGGATGAGCGTCTGGGAGCAGGTGGTGCAGGGGCGACAGGACGGCTGGCGATCTTGGCGTTGGCCTCAGCGATGCGGCTGCGAAGTCGCTGCTCTGCCTCGTCGCGACGCTTCTCCTCGCGGCGGCGCTGGCGGCGCTCTTCCTCCTCGCGGTCTGAGTGTCGGGAGCCGCTGGAGGTGTGGCGGTGGTGCTTGGAGCGGTGCTTGTTGTCGACAACCTCGATCTGGACGCGGCGCTCATCGACAATGACAGGTTGGCCCCGGGATGAGTTGACGAGGTAGGTGTTTGCGTTGGGAGAAGCGGGAGCAGTGTGAGGAGCAGACCATGTCTGGGGAGGAGTAAGGGGAGAAGAAGGGCCGTCGACCAAGACGATGCGCTCCTGGTGTCGAGAGCTTGGTCGGCGCTCACGACGGTTCAGGTCGAGGATCTTCTGGCCGTTGATGTAGAGTCCTGATGATCTCTTCTTCTGGCTGGAGGAGCTGCCGTATGAGCGGTCCGACTCATCTCCAGAGCGGTATGAGCCCGATGGTGTCGAGGGCTGAGGAGTAGGAGGCAGCTGAGTGGCATAAGGATGCGGTGATGTGGTGTTGTAGGGAGCAGGAACGTATTGGACTGGGTGCTCAAAGAGATAGTTGCTGGCGCAGACCTGGTTGTGACGAGAGTTTGCGCAGAGCGTGGGCTGAGAGTACTGCTCACGACGTCCGTCGGGGTGGACGTAGGTGTAGATGTTTGTGGTGCACATAGTGTCGGTGTTGTGGGTGAGCTGGCGCGGATTGCGCTGAGGAAGATCCTCTTGGATGATCACAGGAGAGAAAGAGTTTCTAGGACGGTAGTGTCGAAGAGTCTGCTCAGGCTGTGGAGATGTGCTGCTGCTGTTGCGGCGATGGTTGTAGACGATGTTGTCAATGATAAGTGGTGACTGTTGAGATGGCAGTTTGTCGAAGTGAGAAGCCAATGTGAGTTTGAACAGGAGATGTCAAGCTCTTATAGTTATTGCTGATTGAGCTTGTGTAAGATGAATTGAGTGTTTTGTTTGGTTGCTATGAAGAAAGGTGCAGATGGTGGTGGTTATATAGAAAGACGACTCAAGGTGGGCAATTTGAAAGTGTGTAAGCCGATAGTGGTACTAGTACTTTGGTACTGGATGCCTGGGGACTAGACAATGCAGAAAGTGTAAGTGGAAAATATGGGTATGGATGCCTGGGATTGGTGTGCAAGTGTGTGTGAGTGTAAGTGTGTAAGTGAGTAGCCTTATTTCTAGTTCGCCAACTGGTTCGCGATATATACAAAGTAAGTACAGCACGTTCCTGAGGGTGGTGTTCCCTCCCAGAGGCTTGGTCCTCCCAAAAGAGTTCAAAAGGCAGCCTTGGAGGGCAGAAGGGACCGTTTCTGCCTACCGAGCAGGGGGTGTGGGTGTTAAGCGTCTGCAACCAGTAAAGCACCCTTGTTAGCCCAAACCCTTGCCGATGACTCCCACTATCTCAGCCACGGCCCAGGGGGGGGACCACCCCTGCACGAGAAAGGAAGGGTTCGAAACCACCAAAAGCCGTTGTGGCCGTTGAACATCACAGGTTCTTTTCTCCCATAGGGTTGTGAGGCTTAGCAGTTTTTTAGATCGAGGGAGAATTACGGGGGAGGGACGGGTATCGATGCGGGTGATGAGGGACGTAGACGAGAAGTGACGAGCCTCATAGTTTAGTGATTGACGAATGCGAATGTCAAGATGAAGGTTTTTTTTGTTCTTGGTGCAAGGGAAGGGAATTGTGAGGTGATCTAGGACTTTGGTGTTGGGGGATGGTGATGGCTACAGAATACGCGGCCATGGTTGAAACATGACCCCTAACTGTTGGTTATGTCCCAGTCCTGCTCACAATTGAACTTTGGGAAACGAAACCATCCGAGTGAAATTTAGAACAAACTTGATTCTCCGGAAGATATCGCTAGTCAAACGTCCTTTGTTCTGCATCATGCGATCACTTCTTGAACCGGCATTGAGTCATCAAGGACTTGCAGTGTAATGGTCTGGTCTGCAGACCGAAGACCGCACTAGGAGAGGCCGACCCTGTTCAGGACTTTGAGCCAACAGGAACTGACTGTCAAATCAAAAAAGTCCAAAACGTATCTGTACGTACTCTACTCATGCAAGTGCTTCAAGTTCGTGTCAAATGGTTTGCATACCAAGCCCAAATGCCCATTCGTCCAAAATGCCCATCTTGAATTCTCTACCTCCACTAACTTTCCAGGCCTGACTCAACAGTGAGTCTGTGAGAGAGGCCGGCCCCTCCCTGCGGGCTGTGTCGCCAGTGTCCAGTGTGCCTATCGAGGCTTGGGCCCCCCTAAAATCGACGCTTCTTTTTCCCTGTCACTTAGCCTTTCGACTAATTATTGTCTCCACTACAGCCTCAGCCCTAAGCTAGGGTGTTTTGCTCCATCATGGCTGTTCAGCCTCGCAGCTGTTTGATTACCATTCCCTACAGTACATACATCGGTTTCAATTAATCTGATCATCGTCAAGGATCGATTGGATGCCTCTTCCTTCCCAAAATCTGTTGACATGCATCGCGTCAGCCCAGCACGGGAGCTAAATCGTACAGGAACAGGCACGCACGCACGACAAATGCTTGTCAATGTCAACGGGAAGGGCACACGCACAGTTCACTTACACAATGATGCGCGTCAATCTTTGGGAAAAGAAGCTACGAGAATAATCTATGGTCAAAACCAAGGGCGCGCGCGACGTGCGTCAGTCATGTCATCGATGCTAGCCCTGTACGATTGCGCATATCTACGTTGCACTACTGCGAATGGCTTCAGGTTGCTACATGACGTCCACATGGAAGCGGTCACCAAAAGGCATACCGAACCAAAGATCCAAAATTGAGGTTTTATTGTGTGTTCTGGCCAAGGACTTTCTGAACCTTGTCTATATAATTTGAATACTTGTGGTGCAAGGTCGAGGCTGCGGCACGGCACGATGGTTGTTGAGCAATGGACATGGTCGTGTATCCACTAATAAATAGGCCTCAATTGGTTTATGGTACTCTTCGCTGGAGAGAAAAAATACTTTTATTATCAATGATTTGAGTTCCTCATATGGACATACGGCTACGGCCTTATCGGTGCCGAAAAGTGTCTTGTCCGACGGACAAAGCACTCAAGAAATGGCCCCCAACGGCCCCCAAGCCGGGGTCGTTGCCTAGAGCGATTGCCTCTGGCTGCCTCTGGCTGCCTCTGGCTGCCTCTCCAAAGTACCAATCAAGGCTGCTTTCTTTTCTGTAAACGGAGTCGTACGCATTCAAACACTCATTTTACCGTCCTTGTCAACGCGTTACCAAGACTAGCCATCGTCATGCCCCTTCTGCATCAACCATGGTGTTGAAGAAAGAAAACGGCTGAGCAACAGACATGGGCCAGGGCAAGTGCGCATTAATCCGGAATAGGAAAGGTCTTTTTCCAGCCCTGTGAGGCAGGCCTTGTCTTGACCTTTAACCCTGGTTCCTCTTCGATTGCTGCTGTAGACACTCTACGGCACCGCCTCCTCCGCAGTAGGCGCAGCAGCTTCCATATTCAAAAATGATGATACCGCATGCGATATGCAATCCTTCCCATTTTCTCTCCCTTGTTTAAGAATGCTTGTTTAAGGATGATAAGAGCCGCACCGTCATGGTAATCTTGTTCCTTTGGGATGCCTCTTTGTCTTTGTCTTCGCCGCATTCGACCCGCCTGTTTTGCTCACAATTGACCCGCACATGATTTATCCGCGCGCATCTATGAACTTTGAACTTGGCCCTTGGCTGCATATTGCCTGTCTGAGCGGAAGTGGCATTTGACAGTACCAAGTTTCAAGCTAGGCTGCTTGACGGGCCAACATAACCATATCCTCGGGTCCAACTCCAAGCGCAGAAGCAACTCCAGGGTATGTCGAGCGGTAAACTCTTTGACTTTTCTTCAACACCGGCCGCATACAAACGACCACGCGTCTAACGAAAGTCTGTTCTACTCCTGATAATTTATTTTGGGTTTTCTTGTGTTTGAGATCACTGCGGTTTTCCAATTTGGTAAGAAATGATTGGGTGCTCATAAGCATCCTTAGTAATCCTACATCCTCATGACCTGCCTATTCATAGTAGCTGCTGTTTCTAAACATATCCTACCAGTGGCAACATGTCGATCGGGGCGTCTGTCCGGCCGCTTGACGTAAAGTTTTGTTATCCGCGCGCGGCTATTAGGCAGAACCATTGATCAACTCAAACAATTCTATTCAGAGGCAAAATTGTCTGTAGATCCCCACTGACTTTGGTCTACTTTAGAGGTACTTAGGATCATGTTGCTATTCTTACTGGTCTTCCCAACCAACATGCAGCAGCCTCTTCACCAGGCAAGTCCAACAGCGAAGTAACCGTTCTCAGGTACCCGAAACCTCGAACACATAACGGCCTGTCCGTGAGCGCAGTTGAAGCCATGTCTGTCAGCAACCTCGTTGTGCGGTCTGTTCTCACCCCAATCCAGCACAACTCTTTCGAGCGCAGCGAGCAGGATTTCAAGTGCTGTTATGTGCCTTGCGGTGCAGCACAGAGAACTCGTCAGCTTGTACGCGTACCGCCCCCAAAGGCTGTGTACTACTGTTTTATGAGGTGGTGGAGGAGTGCTAGTCTAGGACTACTCTTCCCTGCGAGCAGGACAGGAACGTTAATCCTGTGTTGAAAATATCCAGGCCACCGAATAGAGATATAGATGTTTGAAGGGAGTTAACAGTGCGGTGCGGTCCTTCGATTCAGGCAAGAAACGTGGCCCGACAACTCTTGGTATCACTGATAACATGTGTTTGCGAGGACAAGTAAAGCAATCCTTGTGGTATACCTAGCATACATTACTCACGTCACGAAGTAACCAGCAACTCGTAACCAACCCAGAAAAGCTGTCTATACTGTCGCATCGCCTACCGTTGATGGATCTTGGCATAGCCGTCAACTTGTAATCACGGGCTGTTGGGAGACCCATTTGCAGACATATAGCGAAGCATGCTGAAGGTCATATTGAGAATCGACTAACCTTCCAGCGTGGTCGCTAATCACCATGGCCAAGACCTCTATCGGAAGCTCCATATTTGTAACAACTAAGAGTATCCAAGACACAAGTGAGGATGAAAGACGCAATGAGGATGAACAAGTACCACATTCCGAATATGAGAGCATCAAACGACCCCGTCGTCAAACTCATCATCTCGTGATCTCTGGGACCACGAGACTCTTATTCAGCCCATCTTCTTTAGGGTCGGGGATACATGTGTATTAGAGTAATGACATATGTCGAAGAGGCAGCCGCGTACTTGATCACTTGAGTTGATGTCACAAGGGGAACACCGCACTCGTGGTATGTCATCGCGTTTGGGGTGTAGCTACCAGTTATTGAGCTTTGGGATTTGAGTAATGGCCAGGGCGTAGGGTACGGTTATAGCTTTGTTAAATATGACACTTACTATGGTCATCAATAATGTATTTTTTTGATCGAAAGGTCTAGATTTGAGAAAGGAAAGCGTTTGGAAGCTCCATGTAGGAACTGACTGGCCAGCAACGCGCTCAAGGGGAGGAACAACAACCAGGCAAGCACCACGAAGGATCAAAGGCAGGAGACAGAGGAACAAAGGTGCTTAATGGAGTCTCCCATAAATTCGAGTTCTATTGCTAAATGGAAAGCTCTCTCAGCATGTTCTGGTGATGCTGGGTCTTTGGTGGAATCCACGTCTTGGCCTTCAGGGTAGCTAAGACTATTGCGCATTGGATCACCTTATACCTGAACTTCTGCGAATTATTCGCAACGATAATATGCGGCATAGTGATGTTTCTGTTGAAACTTCATTGTCATATCAATGTTAATGTGCCTCACTAAACTCGAGCCTGAAGCTGAGCTCAAGTGTGAAGCAGGGTGCGGAAGCATTATTGAAGGGAACATGTATGTCTTGTCAAACAATCTTCACTTTACTCTAGAAAAATAGGTCAAGTCTATAATCATGAACAAACGGCCATCCTCATGGGATAACCGAGCAGGGTATATATAGTCTACAGGACATCCGCCTTAATTATAGTCTCCGAAAAGAACTAGTTCCTGAACGGTGTCGAGCTCATATGTAACAAATCCTTAAACGCAAGTATCATCCGTCAAGATCCCTCATATGAGTAGAAGAGACGTAGTTTCCGGGCTTTAAGGTGACAACTTGATGCTGAAAAAGTTGATATTCGGTGTGATTTGACCACGACGCTACACGTAAGCTTGAGACCAGTATTTACGCAAGTCCCAGGATTTCTCGCGTGGATATTGTATGCCATTTGTTTGTCGCAACCCCAAGTCGCCTCATGACGATATCTGGTGGAAGACCTTCAAACCCCAGTCGAGATTAAATATTGTATTGTTCATGGGAAGGCTTGCCATTTCTTTTTCGACCCAGTCCAGGCTACTGATACGAAATGCCCATGCGAACTCTTTCGAGAGACTCTTTAGTGACTGCTGCGAGTGATACCATCCTATATTTCAGCCAGTAAATCCCGGGCCTCGGAGTAGCAGTCCCAGAGGTCGTCCGACTCTCCAGAGAGAATAGGGCAGTCGTAATAGTGAGTGGTTGGGCTCCTTCGTGCCATACGTCATGATCAAGGCCGTTACCACACCAACGTCGAGGTCGTAAAAGATGCTCGTTGAACTGATTCCAAAAGTTCCCAATTCGATTATTTCATTTGCTGCAAGTACCCCATGTCGTATTAAGCAAACCGCCGGCAAAGTCTATCGCAAAAAGTCGATTGCTCAATTCCCAATACGCCGTTTTGAATGCGTGTATGTCTCGAATCATTTCCGTAACAAAGCTGTCGTATCATAATGCAGTTAACACATATATCTTTTTCACAGAATTCCCATCTGGCGCCAGGGATCATTTTGCCTTCGCCGTCTTTGCCTCCGCGCTGCGGCGCGTCTGGCATCGCTAGAGCAATCCACACAGCCCCAGACGGCAAATATTAATCTCCAGCCACTGCATCACTGTTATCAGAATCATGACCTTTTGGATGCGGAGTGGAAAATTAAACTTACATGACTGCGAGCACAGCCCATAGGGAAGCCATCAGCCACATGTACTGACGCTTCTGCTCGGCGTCCCTGTCGGAGATGTTGATGGTGGACACCCACATCATGATGATACCGCCCACGCAGAGCGCCAGAGAGAAAAGATCGTGAAGAACTCTTCGCGAGGTGGCTAATCTGGGGACCGTAAATGAAGCATCTGTCACGGCTAGAATCTCCCAGCTGTCATTGAGCATTGCGATGGCGCACTGCAAAGCGCGTCAGCGTCGTGTAACCAATAAACCCCAAATGAGGGAGGATAGCAAACTTACACCCACGGCGCCCGCAATAATGACCTGGCTCTTAGATGACCATTCTTTGCAGACAAATGCGAGGAGGAGAATGGCCGCAAGGCTGGTGATCCAACCGAGCAGCCTCACGCCCGCGTGGAGCAGGGCATAAGGTCTAGGAGGACGCTCCTGGTGGTGATGCCGCCGCCTCGAAGGCATGACCGCTAGCGGGGGCGGAGGGAAATGATGCTCAGCGGTGAAGCATCAAGAGAGGCAATTTCATAGAGAAAAACAGCAGAAGAAAGGTCTACTGCTGGATGGATGGACGGTGGGAACGAATGTGAGGTGAGGTCGCAAACAATGCGAATAGAGATGATGGAAAAAGAAGTGGAGTGAGGAACTGAGAATGGAGGATGGGGAGTTTGGAAGGGCTCAAGGGTATGGAGTGGCCAATGACGAGGCGCAGAGCTAGCCCAGGCGAGTGTAGTCAAGGGGAGCTATCGACGAGCCGGAGGATCAGAGAAGGTGGAGAGAATTGTTTTGGATTTTTGCATTCCAATTTGGTCTAGGTCGAAAGGTGGAATGGAGAAGCATGTGAAGAGTGAAGAGGTTATTGTAATGAATTGGCGTTATTCAGGAGTTGGGCAAACCTTGTTCCAGTCAATGCACACATCACCATTCGTTAAGCGATGCACCGCATTGTTTGATGGCTCCCTTGTTGCGCCGTTGGTTGCTATAGCACACAGGCACCACTTTAACCGCCATGAACGACCCCTGTCAGCACTAACATTATTCGCTCAGCCTTGTTAATTCCATAAATATCATTTCTATCGCAGCGTTACTAAAAGGAATATTCTTCGACATGAAGATATATCCCTTGCGCACCAGTTCCCTTATGTACAGCTCTCTCGTCACTCAATCGACTCACGCAATTCCTCGTCCGTGCCACAATCTCCCGCCCGCCGCAGACAAATACCCCTGTCTCCCCCCAAGCCTGCTCTACCGGCTCGCGAATCATGGCCTCGATGTCTGGGCGGCACGTGTATTCACGAATGAGCTCTGGAGCTGCAACTGCCTCGGCCGCTACTTTGCCACGACAGGGCGAGTCGCTTGGACACCCTTTCTCGGCAGTTCCTTTCTCTGTTGGGCCGCTGCAGCAGCAGCCTGTTGAATCCTTTGTTGGCTGAATATCGTCCAGATCGCTTTGACTTGATGATTCTGAGTCGACTCGTGAGATAAAAATAGGGCCTTCGCTTTTGCTGGGTCCTGTTATGGCGATGTGGATGCTCACAGCCACGCCCTTTGCTCGCACCATTCTGCCAGCCTCCTCTGCTCTTTCAACATAATATCTAATCTCCTCAGCTGTTCTGGCGACAAGAATGACTTCAACTCTTCGCGTACAGTTTGATTTCTGGGCCGCAGCAACGCTCTCAAGTATGGGAACCACAAAACTTGCTCCGGTAGATGCTCCGATTAGCACCAACGTCTCGTAAATGTTCCATTGTGGAGGAACACCGTATGGTCCCGAAACAAAGCCCGTAAGATCGGATGTTGAGTTTTTGGTCGCGTATTCATGTATTCTTTTCGAGAATCCATTATGAGCACGCACGACAAGCTGGATGCTGTTGCAGCAGCAGGTTCCGTCGAGCTTGTGCGCACAAGCGATTGTGTAAGGATGCGCTTCAAAGGGGCCAAGGCGTGGGAGCCATAGGTAAATATGCTGTCCGGCCTTCCACTCGAAATGCACGTCTTTGATAGTGATGACTGTCGTTGCGGGCCCAACAACACGGGCGGCGACTCGGTGTCCGAGGTGCTTCATGCCTTGACAAGCTGTTCCTTGAGGTCGTAGGCGAACATTCTGCCATAACAGAAGAATCCATCTCATGGCGCGGTCAAACACGAGGAACGAGATACTCATCCACAGAAGCCAACGAGCGTTTGCCGGAATATGCTTGTGCAGCAGCCATAGCATGATGATACTGGTGAGCACATGCTGGGCCACCCAAACCTCATATGAAAGCCTGCGGATGGGAACGATCCCAGTGATAACGTTCCAGAGTAGAATGGCCCAAGCTGCAAGCCCATACTTAACCAATGGCATGATCTCAAGGGCGTAATCGAGAAACTCGGCGCGCACCCACATAGTCCAGAAGTGAAAGCCGTGAACTGTCGCAGTGACAAACATGGTGCGCGCAACCCATCGATGCAGCCAGTTGAGCCTCTCGTGGCTGGTTCCTGTAAGAAATCCGATAACGTTGACCTTGGTAGATAAGAGGTAGACCAGTGGGAACTGGGCCAGAGTAACCCACGCGTTACGATAACCTATGCGTTCCCAGTAGTAGACGTCGTTTTTGGAAACCCTCCAGCTCATCAAGTAGACAACAACGACCCAGTAGCACGCCAGGATGATGCACCGGCCAAGAGGGAGTGGCGTGGCCCATTGAAGGCCTTTCGTGGTGATGAGGTACTGCGGATGACCTAGCTCGCGAACGACGGCAGTTGCTGTTGCCCATGCTTGACTTAAGGGTCCTCGGGGACGGGTTGGATGATCTATTGAGGGATCGCGACATGCTTTTAATCTTTTGAGGTGTTAGTGGGCATATCGAAGAGGTCGTTGTTGGAGTGTACCTTTGCTGTGCGTCTATGTAGTTAATTCCACGAATGGTTGCTAGTGCGCTGACAACACCGGCTATGGTATACCAGTATCCACGAGCAAAGGCATAGTTAACTTCCATACCCAGGCCGGGATCATGATGCATGTGGTCCATATCCATGATGGACTATAATGCGCCGACAGCGCGGGTGGGTTGTAGAGAGTTGTTGTGAGGTGGCAGCAGCGTAACGGAAATCGAAATCTTTCTTATTTTTCAACTTCACAGATATCGTTGTCTTACTTCAAGACATCGTGTTGTCTGTATAACTGCCGGGTTTTGTTGCGATGCGTCTGTCAAGTCTGTCTGCTATGCCTCGATAACTTGTCGAGGCACAAATGGTGAGACAAATTGAGCAAGTTGATCTGATATTGAAACCAAGTTTGGCTCACTCGGATAATGGCTACACCGAGACGAAGAGGGGTGAAAGTGATATGCTGACTTGGCCGAAGGGTGCTGATGTTGGATGGTGAGGAAGTCAAGTTAGCCCGGCGGCGCAAAGTCGTGAGACGGGAAGTACATGCCCGCCCAGATAAGCCACCTGGATCGCCAGTAATAGTAACTGGTCACTTCCAAATGGGCATAGAGGTTCAGGTAACTTGAGACACACTAAAAATAATGCAATATCGACGTTTGAGCCCGCCAGTCCAGAATGCGCCGAGTTAACCTAGCATAGCGTATCTTCTCTTTCAATACTTGAACATTATCTATCCGTGCTATCCGTCTCATGCCGCATATCCGAAAGAATGAAACCTTCTCTCCTAACGCCTTCCATGAGCTCGTTTGAAAGAGTGAATAACCCTGATAATCAACTATTCCGTAAGTAACAAAAAACTCGCTCACTAACATAAGGGAAACTTGCTCAAACAACCTCAGGGCCCGTGCACGACACTCTCTGATTGGCTCCTCCGCACATCCAAGGGGGGGGACCCCTGTTTTTTTGTTCTAGACTTTTGGGGTAAACGGTAAACGTGCTCTCGAGTGTTTTACTTTTGCTTCTCCACCACTAACATGCATGAGCATTTGGTGATGGAGGCTTACACGGGTGCAAGTCTGGCTACATTCTATATATACTCGCTATGATGGAGGTTTATGACTTTTGGGGTGACTCTGGGGTTATTTGGAGATGTAAATAGCGGGAATTGCCTCTGGCTAGTGGAATGGCTTGCATTGACTTGGGGCTTCATCATGGGAACACAGAGCCTCAATGACGTAGCTTTCATGATGGGGAATTGGCTCGTGTTGTACATACCAATGCCGTGGAATTGGAATTATTTAAGACTAGAGTTTACTACATTGGATGTAAACTGTGAAACCGTGTCAAAACATATGAATTACATGTCCCCGATATTAAGGTGTTGTTTCGTATAATCTTGAGGCACAATTACCTGCGTCTTCTTGTTAGACCAACTGACACAAGCCCAGCCTAGGCAAATTAGTTCAGCCTCTCCCTCCTTCCCTTGCCGGTATCCGCAGCTGCTACAAAAGCAGTCAGCCGCCCACCATCTCAACGCCCTCTCACCATCGACTCTTTCACCTATAATCCCACCAACACAAGCGCCCTCACCATATACCCAACCAAATCTCCCACAATGCGCTCCTCTCTCCTCCTCTCCACAGCAGTCTTCTGCGGTCTTTCCCTCGCTCACTTCGAGGTCAAGTACCCTGACACCATCGGCTTCAAAGACGACGACGAAGACAAGTCTCCTTGCGGCGGCTTCACGCCGGATTTGTCAAAGAACAAGCTTGTCGATTTCCATGTTGGCGGCGAGGCTATTGCTCTGAGATCTACACATCAGCAGGGTAATTGGCTCTTCCGCGTTACGCTGGATGAAAAGGCCGATGGCGATTGGGAGCAGGTCTTTCCTATTGTTCAGCAGAGCGGTCTCGGTGATTTTTGCCAGCCGCAAGTTACAGTTCCTGAGAAATACGCTGGCAAGAAGGGCTGGGTGAATGTTGTGTCATCAGCCGTCGATGGCCTTCTCTATCAGGTGAGTCTCCCCGATCTTGACTGTTGAACCAGCTTCGAGTTTTACTAACTGTAGTCTGTGCCAGTGCATCGCTGCCAACTTCGTCAAGGGCAAAGCCGATGCTCCCAGCGAGTGCAAGAACGCGTCTTCCGTCAGAGCCTCCTTCACCGACGACTCTACCCTCTCAGCTCTTGTAGACAACGGATCCAAGTCCGAGACCTCCTCGACAACTGGCACAGCGACAGGCACCGGCTCAGCGGCTTCCTCGACAGAGTCTGGCAATGCTGCAGCGGCTTGGTCGGCGAACGGCGCGGGAATGATTGCCGGCTTGGCCATGGCGGTTGTTGGAGGTGCCGTGTTTATTTAATTGCCCCGACCATTGTGTAGAAATTGCGCTGATCAATAATGTATTCTATTCCCCCTCTCGCGATTATGATGGAATGAGCAGCATAAAATTCACTTCTTTTACTCGCTGTGCCGCCTTACTGCAGGGTCGTCCGAGCATCACCCTCAATTGCACACATTGATTGACATGGTATTCCATCCTACCACTTTTTTTACCTTTCTCTCATTAATTGACATGCAACAACAACAACTGTACCAAACCGTATCCGGCGAATGATCCACGCTCAACGACAAGACTCTTCTCCACAGGATCGACGCAACGTCTCATTGGGCATTGCGGGATTTGGCTGGGGTCAGTCTGATCCGATGGCCGAAAGATCACAAAAAAAGATTCACCGCTACCATTAAATTCATTCCCTCTCTCACTCACCACTTCACCGAGCTCACCTGTGTATTCAATTGACGTCCCCTAATCTCCCATTGTTTGATTCATAGAATACAGTGAGCCAATGGCTGGCATTTCGTCATTTCATGTGTCGTTTTCCACAACCCGCGAATAAGGTTTTCATGTGTGAATCGCCCAGCCCCGACATAACAAACGCCATCCATTTGGATGTTTTGTTTTCCCGCGTTTCTGTTTGTATATCATACTCTAGTCTCTACTCCATTGTATCTTGGTTAAGCCATCTGTCATTGCCAAGCCGATTTCTCGAAAACCCCGTTGAGTTTTATTCTACATGTATCAATCAACCTTTCGAGTCTCACAGTTCTACACGCAACAAGCTTCATAAGCTAAAAACCTTAGCCAGCCTTATCTAAACGCCCTGGAGAGTATTGAAACCTACAAAGCCCAAGTCCTGGCTGCTCAGCCAGTATGGCAGCTGTAGATCTATATCATTCGAGCTTCTCGAAGCAGCTTTTCAGCTACCCGAGCAACCATACAGCTGATGCGCCGCATCAAACATGGGTCGATTCATGGCCGCGGCGTGAGACAGCCGTTATGCTCAGCCTGAACGTTGTTTCTGGAGTAATACTTCTGCTTTACCTCTGCCGCAAGCCGTTGCTGCACTTTACTCCACGCTGGCTGAAGCCATTTGCGCAAGAAGTTGCGCCGTTTCAGGCCAAAAATCGAAAGTGGACGTTTTGGACGTTATGTCTTATGCTTATTTCTTTGGCTGGGCTGGCATTGGCTATCAGCTCTGCCGTTGTTCACTCTCGCCGTACGGCTTCACTTCTTGAGCTTGTGCCCTGGACGGTAGCGGCTCTGCTTACGGTTGTCGATCTACCTGTTCAAGCTCCGAAGCTGTTGCTTATGCAATATCTACTCATGACAGCGACGACCCTTGTTCTCCATGCGATGCAGTATCTGAGCTTCAAGGCGAGCTCGCTCGATTTCTTCCAAGCCAGCCATTTTACTCTCACATTACTAGCCATTGTGGTCATTGGAAACATGCCCCTACGCAACCCATTCTGGGGGGCTCTGGACATTGGAAACGCCCGCGTTGCTCCTTCAAATCGTGTCCGCAGCCCAGAAGATAACCTCACCCTGTTTCAGTTCTGGACCATGAGATGGGTAAATCCTCTTTCGAAAATCGCCAGCAAGCGTGAGATTGCCGTCGAAGACGTGTGGCAGCTACCGTATGAGTTCCAGCATTGGAGGCTCTATATGGCTTTCCGCACACTCAAGGGCAAGCTTCTCCCGTGTCTGATCGAAGCCAATGGCCTAGACCTTTTTATCGGAACTTTTGCTGGCATCCTGGAGCGTGTTGCCGAAGTTTCCAATCTTCGTCTTACAAGCAAGCTGTACCAGGCTCTGGACAAGAATGACCCTGCAGAGGCTGGTCTCTGGTGTGTGGTTATCCTGACAATCGACACAGTCCGTCAGATCGCAAGGACCTCGTCGGGATGGTACGCGCGCAAAGCCTACGAGCGCAGCCGTGGAGAGACGTTTATCGGCTTGTTTGGAAAGCTACTCACAAGAGCCGTTCCTGGTTCTGAAATGACCGAAAAGGATCCTTCAGCGAATGTCCAAGAAACAGGCACCTCTCCTGGCCGCTTTGGAAAACTCTCAAAGGTCTTCAAATGCTTTGGACGCAGCAAACCCAAACAGCCAGAAAAGCCCACCCCAGACCACCAGGCCTCCAACGCAAAGGTCGTCAACCTGATCCGCGGAGATACCTACGAGATATCCCAGCGATTCTGGGAGTTCCCACGCGTAGTCGCCACACCGATCAAAGTCATCGTGACAATCTACTACCTCATCGACATAATGGGTTGGCCATCTTGCGTTGGCTTCGGCTTCATGGTCATCTTCCTCATATGCAACTCTCTCCTCGTCTGTCAGGTCATCAAGCTGGAGCGCCAGCGAACCGTCCTCTCGGATCGGCGCGCCCAGGCCGTTGCGCATTTTGTCGAGGCTAGTCGCCCGCTCAAACTCAACGGGTGGACGTCTTCATGGCGCGATAGAATCCTGAGGTTTCGCGATGTTGAGATGAGGAAGAGGCTTCACATATCGATCGTCAACGCTACTATTTCCACGATCAATGTCTTTGGCGGTGCGGTTTATCCTTTTGCGAGTATCTGTCTCTACACGCTTGTTCTCGGCCGTGGTCTGCCCAACGATGTCATCTGGCCTTCACTGCAGCTGTTCGCTCAGCTCGAGTCTAGTACCAGGGAGGCATTCGATCTCATCTCTGCGGTATGGAAGTGCACTATTCCTGTCGAGCGTGTCAACAAGTACATGGCCGAACCCGACAGAGATGAGGATGCGTTTAGCGGTTCTCAAGATCGTGACATTGAATTTGTCAACGCGTCTTTCTCACGACCCTCGACGGATCATCTTGTTCTGAGGGACCTTACTTTGAAGTTCACAACTGGTCTGAATATTATACGAGGAAAGGTCGCTGCTGGCAAAACTAGTTTGCTACTCGCAATTCTCAATGAGATGGAGCATCGAAGTGGTCTGTTCTCCAGAGCTGATGAACCAATTGCGTATGCGCAGCAGCTTCCATGGCTACAGAACAAAACCATCAGAGAGAATATCATCTTCCACGAACCATTCGATGCCGATCGTTACCGAGAGGTTCTTATGGCCTGTTCACTTCTTCCTGATCTGATGGCTTTCCCTATGGGTGATCGAACCAAGCTTGAAGAAGGCGGCATTGGTCTCTCAGGAGGCCAGAAAGCGCGTGTCGCTTTAGCCAGAGCAGTCTACAGCAGTTGTCGTATCCTCCTACTAGATGATCCCCTCGCAGCTTTGGATCACGATACGGCCAGTTACATCGTTCAGTACTTCCTTCGTGGACCTCTCGCCAAGGGCCGCAATATCATTCTTGTCACGCACCGAGATGATCTTGTCCTCAAACATGCTGACCAAGTCGTCGATATCACCGATGGCGTCGCACATGTGCTCACTCCACAAGAGGTGAAGGAAGAACTCGAGCATCCCCATCACGTCAACTCAGATCCTGCTGAAGAAGTACAGCCACACGAGGCGTCTCACGATCACGCATCTGAAGATGTTGCAGAATCCAAAGACGTCCCCGAGGAGGTGACCGAAACAGGCTCTATTCCCCTCAGTATCTATCTCAAGTATATGGGCGCAGGAGGCTGGCACTTGTGGCTCTCCCTGGCTGCTTTCTACGGACTATCTCGATACTGCGATATTGCTCGCGCACGTCTGCTGGAAGCTTGGGGCTACGAATCTACCAGTCTTGAGGGACTCGTTGCAAGCAGCTACTGGGGTCTTCCCAATCCCAGTCGCCATCCTCTGCCGTGGTTATATGTCCTAGCTGGGCTATCGATTGCTCAGATCGTGGCATATGCCTCTGCCCAAGTCCTGCTCGCCTCCATCAGCATCCGCGCCGCCCAGACACTATTCAGAATCGCCATCAACAGAGTCAGCAAGGCATCATTTCGCTACCATGACATCACACCAACAGGCCAGCTCAAGAACCGTCTCATATCTGACATGGGCATGGTCGACGGCGGAATCCTCGCACCACTGGAATCCTTTGTGTTCAACTTCGTCGCTCTGGTCCTGAGTCTCTTTGCCATCATGACGCACCAAGCCTTCCTCGTCATTGTCGTCTTCGTGGTCGCTATGCTATTCGCGTACTTTTACCGTATATACGTCCCAGCTTCGCGCTGCCTGCGTCGAATGGAGATGCGATACCTAACCCCTATCATCGCCAACATCGGCGTCATGCAAGATGGACTCGTCACCATTCGTGCTCTCAAGGTTGAAGGTCGCTTCCAGGATAGACACTTGGAAGCCGTCGACGACTTTCAGAAGCACGATCATTTCTTCTGGAGCATGACTTTCTGGCTCGACTTCAGACTCGGCATGTCATCAGCCATCATGCGGACCATCCTGGTTCTCTCCATGGTATATATGGGTACTCCAGCCAGCGCAGTCGGTTTTGTCCTGACTCAAACCAACATTGCCATGATCGCTGTCCAACAGCTATGTGAGAAGTTCGCAGCGCTTCAACTCGACGCTGTTTCACTTGAGCGAGTTGATGCTCTGAATCGAGTGCCAGAGGAACCCAGCGGCGACATGGAGCCTCCCCAAGACTGGCCCAGGCCTTGCGACAGCGTTTGCTTCAAATCCATGTCTTTCAAATACGCGGATGACCTTCCTTCCGTAATCGACGACGTATCGTTCGAAATACCCGGTGGTTCAACCTGTGCCGTCCTCGGTCGAACAGGGTCTGGCAAATCTACCATCGCCAACGCATTGCTCGCAACAGAAACACCAGCCTCTGGTACTGTGACGATAGGAAGCATTGATCTTGCAAAAGTCAACCGCACAGCGCTGCGTAACCGCGTCACCTTCATCCAACAGGACCCTATTCTCTTCCCAGGCACGCTCCGTGACAACATCGACCCGGTTTCCAAATTCTCAGAGCAAGAGTGTACAAACGCCATCCACCGCGTCCTCGGTGACGACTGGGGCCTTGACTCTCGCATCGATGCGGGTGGCAAGAACCTTAGCCAGGGCCAGAGGCAGCTCGTGGGCATCTGTCGAGCTGTCCTGCGACGGAGCGGGCTTGTCATCCTTGATGAGGCGACGGCGTCGATCGACCGTGGCACGGCTGCTACGGTGCAGCGCATCTTGAGGCAAGAGCTGAAGGAGAGCACTGTCATAACTATTGCGCATCGTCTTGAGGCTGTCGAGGATGCGACGTGGTGCTTGAGGCTTGACAGGGGACGAGTGGTAGAGTGTGGGCCGGCGAAGAATCTGGGGAGAGGTCCTAGGGAGGCGGATACATAAGGTATTGGAACAAAATGTTATAAAAATTGTAAGTTTATATCCGAAAGATAATATGGAAGGTGGTTATTAGACTAGACCAATATATAAAATAATCTGGTACTCAGTTCAAGATGCTGAGATCCAGATGGGGTGTTCACTATTATAGAAACAAAGGGCTATAGTAAGCTTTTGTGTCAAACTTCTTCAATAGTTGAATCACTGTTCTTATTTGGCATGGCATTTGTGAGTCAAGGGTTGACAAATACATCATCTACCAGGCTTGCCATATCAACTGATCAGAGTTTGTCCTCTCTCTTATTGCTACACCTTTTATTGAGAAAAATGAAAAAGTTTACACAGAGTCGCTGTTACAGGATGCAGCAGGCGTCTAGCCCCCTTGTGTGTATCACGACCCGCATTGAGGCTAACATGGAAGTCATTTGAATAATGTTCCAATTTTGGATAAGACATACTTGGCTTTTTGAATATCTCCACGCCAGCTGTCGAACCGGTATAGCCAACAAAGGCATAGAATTAAGCCTATGAATAACATCCAATACTAGGACATGCTATCCGCATCTCGGCTACTTGTCGCTTGCTGCACTTTGTTTGACTGATCCTGGCACCAGGCAGACGCTTATGCTCTGGAAAGGCCATAGTCATGCTGCAGGTATGGCCATGTAGATGGATCCATTAGACCGCATCTGCGAAACGAGGACAAGCAGGGATGAGAAGTAAAAGGGAATGCCCCTGCGGCTAATAGGACCGATGAAAAAACAACGCTAAGTCTGTATAGCCTGGAGAGCATGACCCTGTCGGTAAAGTATATATGCTTAAAAATAAGGTAAAATAAGACATGGCGGATATTAGATACGTACAGATTATGCGATAGACACGGCATCGATTCTGACTCGGCAATCCTAATATAACATCTAGTAGCTGTGAATTAGCAAAGTCGGTCACTCTCTCAGAGCAGCACCGTAATCTTCAGTGGCCTGGCAAGCCTATCATATGTCTCAAGTACCGCGTCTGCTTAGGTAGACAAGTCAGCCCTGGATCAGAGCGCTTTGGGCTCGATGTGGTTTCTTGGTATAAGCCTCTCCCCTGTATGTTTTCATCCGATTGGGTTCTCTTGTTCTAGTCTAGAACTGATTCTGGATACTAACACCAGACTCGATCCACTTATGTAAAGAGCCGTTTGCTCTAGCTGCTGTACATCCGTGGTCAAAGTAAACCCATGCAGTAGACCCGCTTCGCGAGCCGTTCCGCTGGTTTGACAGGGTTTTTTTAAAAGTGCCGGACGAATATAAAACCAGCTTATATCTCGTCATTGTTGTGGTCTACAATAACTTCAAAACTTTAAGGGAATTCAGAATCTTGTACTCTCATGTAGCCCGAGTTTATGTTTCTCTATGATTCATTTGATACATCTAGCTCCACCAGAGTGTTAGAATTAGAATCCATGTATGAAGTCAGGATGTCTTGTGTTGTTGGTTGTGCACTGCATCGTGGTGGGGACGAGGCTAGATTTTGCAAGGCTGCGCTGGACGCGGAGCCCAAGACCCTTGATATATACGAGGTGTTGGTCCAAAGTTCCGCCTGGGCAATATTTTTCGTCTAGAGATCGGATACGGTGAGCTCCGTGGGCGAGTGACAGCTGTTCAACAGGTGCTTGACAAATGGTCATGTTGCTCAACTGGGAATGATACCACCACATCTGTTGAGTTGAACTTGACTTCGAACAGAGTTTGCAAGGAGCTGTGCAATACAAAGAAGTAACACCTGTTTGGCAGTTATTACGTAAAGAACTCTTTTGAGAACATGTGTTTGCTGGTTCCTGCTGAGCATTTGACCTACGCCGTGATATTGCAAGCTTACTTACTCTATAACACACCATAGCTTAAATCGTGTACCGGTTTCCGTGAGTCGTTGAGTGTTGCCTTTAACACCGTACCCTTGACTTTTGTGATTGAACAAATCCCTCTGAAGAACTCGAGTAAGTGGGAGTTAAGCCAAGCTGGATATCATGATCTGACCGATCGAAAGCAATACAGTCTCTTGTCTCGTTGCCCTTAAACCTGGTCAATTAGACACTCCACCGGTTGCTCCAAACTCCCAACGTCACGGTATACCAAGGGCCGAATGATTGGACTCTTTGACATTCAGTGAAGTGATATAGAGACATGACTCGACGACTCCCCTGTTCAATCCGGAGAACCAACAACATCCACACGATGTGCTTCCCAACGCTCTCTTCCTCTCCAACCACTCTATCACATGTTTACCACACTCTGTCCCACTTCATGAACCTCCATTCAGGCTAATAGAGACTGCCTTTGGTACAGACGCAGGCAACTATGAAGTATGTAAAGAAATAGGTATATAAGGCACCTGTCTCCTTGCCCAATGCCAACACAACCATCTACCATCAACACCAATATCAAGATCAAGACGACAGCTACCAAACAACCTTTACATTCTCCATCGTCCACTATGAAGCTTTCAGTCACCCTCCTCAGCCTTGCTGCTGCACATGTCTCCTGCAGCGCAGTCCATCCCAGCGATGCTGAGAAAGCTTGCTTTGAAACCCCGGAGAATTGCCTCCAACACCCCACCGAGCTCGGTATCAAGAGCTCTCTCTACGACTCCTCTCAGGGAGAGACAGAATCTTCTGCAGACACCGCCAGTGATGGCACGGGCCTTTCACCCCGGCAAGATGACCGGGTCATGTGTCCTCCAGGCAAAGGCCGTGGTCAAAACATGGACTATGACTACGGATGTGACGAAGGGTGGTGTTGGAGAAACTGCCGCACCGGTCGCACCTTTCCCTTGGGTGCTATAAGCAAGCCATGGTGCTGGTTGAAATATGAGGCAGGAGTGGGAGGATGGACCCCCTGTGGAAGATGGCAAGATTGCAAGTATTCGTATGACAAGAAGAACGCTAAGTGCGCCAAGAAGAAGAAGGGTTGTGGCGAGTGCGGCTGCGGCTGCTAAGCTCGTGATATCATGCTGTGGCAGCGGAGGTCTTTCTTCCTTTCATGGACGACACGTACGTTGATTCGGTATTTAGTTCCTCTTGGACATAGACAAGTATAGCTACAGCCTCGAAATAAGTTGAATGGGTATATTGTAACTTTTCATGTTCTCATCTAATGCGCCAGCGGTCAAGATATAACTCGACGTACCCATGTACCATATTCCTCTTTTTATTCCGTCCAATATTTTTTATTTTCTTGGTTTCACAGTTTACATTCTACTCTTTGATTAGCAAAGTATCACAAATGACATGTCGTGAGGAATACGTACCGCTCAACAGGGGTGAGACCAAGCAGGCTCATACCGTTGTGGAGCACAATTCGGGCAGCATCGTACAAACCCATACGGGCCTTCATCAGCTCTCGCTCGCTGCCGACGATTCGGAGATGATCGTAGCTGGAGCTGAGGACGTGGGTCATCTTAAAGAGGTATGTCAGGATAGTAGTAGGCTCGAGTGTCTTGAGGGTGTTCTGGACGACATCAGGCCACTGGCTGAGATGTCGGACGAGGTCCGAAGCGTGTTTCTCAGTCAGAAGGCTGAAGTCGGCAGTTGCCAAGTCATCATCTGTAAGCTCAGCTCGTCGGCGAATAGAGCACAGACGAGCATGGGCGTACTGAAGGTAAGGGCCGGTATCGCCCTCGAAAGACGTCATGACGTCCATATCGAACTTGTAGTTGTTGATTCTATTGTTGTTAGTGACTGGGTTCTTACTGAAATCTTCAGGAATACATACCGCTTGCCAGACATGTCCTGAACCATGACACTGCTGATACCGAGAATATCGGCAACGGCCTCCGGGTTCTCAACTTGAGCATACTTGGTCTCGTTCTTCTTCATGACCTCGTGCATCTTTTCGGCGACATCCCGGAGAATATCATCGAGGAACTTAACATTACCCTTTCGGGTGCTCATGCCCAGCACCATGCCAAAGTTGATGTGCTGGCACTTCTTAACGATATCCTCATGGCCCATGAGCTCAATTGTCTTGAAAAGCTGCTTCAAGTGGAGATCTTGTTGAGAAGCAATAACGTAGATCATACGGTCAAACTTGTACTTCTCTTGTCGGTTGAGAAGCTCGCTAATGTCTCGGGTAAGGTACAGAGCAGTGCCATCCTTCTTTCGAAGGATGACCTTCTCAAGACTCTTGCCGGCCTTGCCAGGAACGTGCTTGGAGAAGTCGATCAGTACAGCGCCGTTAGCGTCCTCAGTGAGTCCCTTCTCAGCAAGAACCTTGGCAGCCTTCTCCATATCTGCTTCAGGGACCTGAGATTCTCCTGAGTACTCGTCGTACTCAATATTGAGTCGGGCATAAGTCTTCTTGTATCGAACAATGCTGAGGTCTCGGAATCGTCGCCACAGGTCAACCGCATCTTGGTCACCATCTGTCATTCGTCGGAAGTACTTTCGGGCCTGCTCATCGAGAGAGTTGGCCTCAAGAGCAGTAGTATCCTCGCCAAGACCCTTCTTTTGCGCAATCTGCTCCTTCTCAGCAGACAGGTCGACGTTGATTCGGACATAGAGGTTGAAAAGGTGGTTGATAGGGTCAGCTTTCAGAGCTTCCTCATCACCCCACTTCTCCCAGGCCAAAGCCAACAGACCATACTGCTTACCCCAGTCACCCAGGTAGTTCATTCGGGTAACCTCCCAGCCGGCGCTCTCGTACAAGCTCGCGAGGAAACCACCGATGATAGTACTTCGCAGGTGACCAGCGTGGAAAGGCTTGGCAATGTTGGGGGAAGAAAACTCGACAATCATGCGCTTTTTGCCCGAGTTGGGGTCGTTGGGGTCTCGGAGACCATTGTAAAGGCTCTTTCCGTAGTTGTCGGCTTGCTTTCGGATTGTAGGGATCAACATGCTAGTAAGCTTGCCGGGCTTGAAGAAGAAGGAGATGAAGGGGCCAGCGGCAGTAGGCTTCTCAATAAGAGGAGACTCGGGGAACTATGTGTTTGTCAGTATTGGTTCAAGTGATGCTAATTGTATGCGACTCACCTTGGAAACCCATTCTTCAGCAAGCTCCTGAGGCTTCTTGCCCTTCACTCGGAGGGCGGGGACGGCAAGAATAGCATCGCCCTTGTCAAGAGTCTGAGTCCACTGGATGGCGGGGTAGATGATCTTGGGATCAACACCAGTGATGGGTGCCAGGAGGCCTGTGATGTGGGATCGGTAGATGTCGACAGGGTTGGTGTCAGGGTGGCATCCAGGGAAAGACTCGACGCCGTCGATGCCGAGCTGCTGGAGCTGGAGGGCGAGGGCGTTACCGTCGGTCGCCATAGTGCGTATACGTCCAAAGATGGAGGGGTACTTGTAGGTGTGATCTAGGGATTGCTGTCGCGGGGACTGACGAGTCGACAATATTGAGAGGGCGCGGTTTTTAATCAGAGACCGTCGCAAAGGCGAAGAGGAAGTAGATATAGAACAAGACGTAAGAGAAGAAAAAAGGTTGGAAGGAGCGAAGCGCCGCGCGAGCATCAATGGCGATTCAGAGTGTGAGTCAAGTGGGTTCGAGGGTTAACAAAAAGGCTTTGACTCTTTCTTGCATGCGGCAGACTGCGGGTCAATTCGCTGCAGAGCTTTGAAAACCGCGGGGCACGGCTGCCCTGAAATTCCGGTCCCGGATCGATTTTTACCCCTCCATGTCAGGCCGGATACGATAAGATATGCAAGCTCATGACAACTTCAGTCATCATGTCTCTTGACTTAAGTAGGCCGAGAACGGGGACAATGGCTGCACCAGAGTAGTTTTACCGCATGAGTCAAGGTTTGGGTCAAGGGTTAGATGCATGCAAGCAAGCATGTCAGCAAGAAAGATCAACTGACACATAAAGTACACTGATCATACGTTATATCAATTTGAATTGTAACGATCGAACGACACTAAAACGCTACTGCTAACCATTTAAAAGCCAGAGATATTTACCAAACCATTTCACACCTGGACTTAGAGACTCCCTCCAAAGCCATCGAAAACAAATTGTACCAAATTAAAGAACTGAACCTAGACAGTCGATATTTTTATGCGCCGTAGTTGTGGGTCAACTTCCTCGAAGCCCATGCAACATGCATTACAAAGAACAAATGAAAGAAAGGCTCTAGACGTTGTGATCGCCAGGCTGGATCTTCATGTCGTTGGTGCCAAACTTGCCACCGTTCATCTTCTTGCGGGCAATCTCTTTGCGCCACTCAAACATGGTGTTGGGCTTGTCCTTGATGGTCTGGCGAAGCTTCTCATCGCTGCGCTTCATCCATGCATTGGACGAGGCAGTGCTGACAGGGTATAGGGGCATGCTGTTGTGGCTGAGGAGGAATGCATCCGGCTCGCGCTTATCATGAGACGCAATGACATCCATATCAGCAGAAATTTGGTCGCAGTAGATCTCGAGGGGAAGATCGTTGACATCTTGTCCGAAGGGGTTCTCGATTTCCTGGCCAATGAACAGAAGTCCGAAAATGATATAAGCAGCGACGATGGAGGCAGGGATCGTGATCCACTTGAGGATAGCGACAAGCTGGAAGGGGAGGACAAAGACGTAGATGAAAGTGATCTGGCTGATAGCGATGGTATAGGCGATGGGAAGTGGTGTGTTAAGAACTCGATCGCAGTTAGTCATGCAGTCGTTCATCATAGTGAGGTGGTTATAGGCAATGGTCTGCTGCATGGGAATATCGAGCTGTCCTTGAGAGATCATGCGGTCGATGGTGACGGCGAGATGGTTGAGAATTTCGAGAGGAAGGTTACCAAGAGGCCTGTCGGTCTTCTTAAGAGCCTTTCGAGGGTTGCTTTGGGCGAATGATACACCAAGGTACTCTCCAACAGATTTGAACATGTTCTTCTTCTTGATAGAAGGGGCATCTGGATCGGCGGTAGTGGCATCCTTGGCGAAGGTGTTCAGATGGCCGATAAGGTGCTCCAGATCAGGGTATGCACTGTAAGGCTCAAATCGCAAAGCGTGCTTGAGGGAAACTGCAAACGCGACAACAAGGTTCATAGCGCCAATCTTCTTGAGGATAGTCTCGCGAGGGTCTTGGCCTGGGACGTCCTTGGCATGAATCCAAAAGACACGGCCGAGTGTCTGAGAAGCCATGGTAAGCATGCCCCAGTATCGACGGCCTTCAGCATAACGCTCGTATGCAGTGGAGGATCGGAACGATAAACTCAGACCGACGACGAAACCCAGAATAGTGAGCAGAACAGAGTTGACGGAAATATCCCATACTTTGAGGTAAATGACTGTGATGGCAGTTGACCAAGCAGCAATGGCGACGAGAGGAATGATAAGCTTGGGCATGATAGAGCCGTGCATCTGCAAGACAAGGGGCCATTTCGAGTGCTTTTGAATATCACGAGGACCAGTGAAATAATCGTCAAGATCGAGCGAGGTTTGCTTGCGAAAGAGGGCTGGGTTGACGCCAACGGAAGGAGAAGGAGGAGAGCGAACGTTGTCGAGGGGGATTTCGAGGCTGTGGAGGCGCTTTTGGTCCGCGTTATCCATGCTTTGCAGACGTGAAGGGTCAGTGGTTGGTGAGTGAGTCTTCTCGTGTGTTAGAGTACTGGTGTCAATGGTAGGTCGGTTGACGGCCGTGGTGGCAGTAGCGCCAGATGTGGCTGAATAACTGTCGCCCATGATGCCGGTGAATGTGTTCGATGTCGATGTATTACACGTTTGAGAAAATGAGATCCTGCCAGCAGGCGTACAGATGTGAAATTGGAATCTAAATCTCGCGGTAGAAAGACCAAGACGAGATGTGAGTAAAGAGAGGGGATGCTCAAAGGGAAAGAGCGAGAATAAGTTTCTAGCAAACGAGAGTAGAAAGAGATCAGATGAAAGAATGCACGAACGGGGGAGGGGCCAAGAATTATATTGGAGAATGAATCAGTCGAAGACGAAGGAAGCGGATGCTCCTGGCCTCATATGGAGATTGAAGCTCATGGGGAGCACAGGAGCAAACATGGAAGCTAGAGGGGATGCTATTAGTCGGGAGAGTCAAGTGGAGGTGGTCTCAATGCCGCCGCCACTCAGGAACGCTTACACGCCAGGCCCCCAAAGGAGAGTCCCCTGCAACGTCCAGGCGTTTCGTGCCGCGATTGGCTGATGTACACCACACCCGGCGCCGCCGCCTCGTTCTGGAGACTCACTTTTGTGGTCTCAGCGGCAGGGCCCGCCGGGGCGAAAGCACTAGGTGCCCTGGAGCCCACCATTCGATTTGCTGTGAGTTCCATTTCGTACTGTGCTGTCCCGTTGTCGTACTCGACTCCTTGGCTCCATAGTGAATGACTTGCTGTCAGCGCCAGCGTGCTCCAAGCCTGGCTTAGGCCTCTACACGCCAGGATCTTCGAAACGAAGCTTGCCCCTTCTAATGCATGCTAAAGTTTTTTTTTCCCTCTCCTCGGGATTGGTGGGCGGCAACGGAGTGAATAAACAGATTCAGGGCAAATGGTGAGCACAAGTCGTCACAAGTCTCAACTTTGTTGTTTTGATCGCCAACGGCTAAACCTCCTTGCTTTTGCGCCGACATTCAAGCGCCACTGAGACACGAACACACAAGCATGACACTGCATAAGATGATACACTCAAGCAGTTCATAACGGGCAATGCAAGAGGGCGATCGAAAGTTCTGGGGTTAGCAGATGGCGAGACCTGATCGTTGTTACACTGTATCGATGATGAGAATGAAGAATGCATGCGCGTTTCAGGGGGCTAAAACCTAATTGGCGCCCTGACACCTTATTCGGACCTCCAATTCACAACAAACCGTTTTGTCTGCTACGAATATTCTCGCCGTCGTTAGAAAGCAAAAGCAGGGGGCGCCTAAAGCGAAGTCATGTCATTCAAGGAACATGTCTAGAATGACTCTCATCTTAATCTCGATTGGCTCTTTTATAAAAGGAGGTCCGTGACGTGGACAAGACTCCACGATGTCGATGAGTGACAAACCCTATCCCTTACAAAACAATGGGTCCTTTCCGAGAGAAAATAGGTTGCACAGCCCCGTTGGCCATCAAAGAACATTTGAATCCAATTACAGCATACGGTGAAAACATTCATGGCCTGTTGTAGTTCTCCTTTGCTGAAGTAGGGAGACGGCGATGCAATTAGACTCGTAGCTAGAGTTCACATGGCTCCACTGGGACACTGGTAGCCGTCTAATTTTATACACATTCGTCATCCCACTGATATTGAGTTTTCAACCATTGTCTTTGTCTGTTTACTGAAGAAGATAGTTCTTTGTTGGCAACACCGCAACTTCACCAATGGTCTATGTACTACGTTCTTTGATGGATCATCTACCTACCATAGTACTCCTTACCATTCCATCCATCGCGCACAGTATCCTTCACAGTCCGACACAGCCCTCAGACCCTTGCGGAGCCAATTTCTGAGTTGCTGGGAATATCTCCATAGTCTCCACTGCGGGATACGCGTTACACTAGAGTACCAAGCTTTTTTCTGGTTGTTGATCGGTTCTGATAGTTTATTTGGGGCGATTCAAAGCCAAGTTTATTCTCTCTGACCTGGCTGTGTAGTTAGTGTAAATCACCATTCGCGTCGATGCAAGTAAGATTCTTCGCGTGTTACTCCAGTCCACAACTATCTGCGCCTAGACCTTGGCAGACGCCCATTCTGGAAAATTCTTCGGCTTAATCACTTCTTCTGGGTTATAATTTTCGAGCTGGACGCCGCAGTAGCTCACACTACTGCAGCCATTTGATCCTACAGAAAACCGGTCGGGTCAAAAATATGAAAAAGAATTATGTAAAATATACGGAGTAGTGCTGGCTTGTAGGACGGAAATTGTCTAAGTATAACCATCGCCTAATCCAAAGCGGACAAGCTTTTTCTGTGACTCAACCCCGTAGCCCCGACATGAGGCGACGCCAGGAGGACCAGGACCCATGTTTTGCAATTGGGCTTTATTAAGCAAGGATCGTGGCATGGATATCCATTGGATCGGATTCATGCCTTGACAATGTGCGGTCAAGAGCGAGCTGAACTGTAACTGAAAGGTAACCAGCTGTGATCTATTATCCTTCCATCACTAGCATGGATGGTAACCGTGGTGTAATCCTACAATCCCTTCCTGTCTGAGCATCCTCCACATTATACGGATCACCAGTCAATTGCTAAGCGTAAAAAGAGGGCCGTTATTGCTCCCTAGCAGTGTCCAGGGTAATAACTTCCATTCTTTGAACATTGGCGTGGACGCACCCTAGGATTGCGCAAATGTATTATGCGAACGACAACGGAGTAGAGCTCAAGCACTTGTTTCTCAAAAGGGAATACATTATTCCACGTTCTCTAACCAACACAACATTGGCATGTTACTCACTATTGTTTGATGTTTGAACTGCAAACTAGGAATTTGAGACTTCACATTGTCGTTTCATGGTCAGCCTCAAACTTCCCGCAGTTGCGCTACCGCAAATTAGCCTAGCCGTGGCGCAGAGGATGCACATGGATATCTAATTGAATGAGGAATAGCTGAGACGGGAGGGCATGTGGTTCACAGTAAGATTGGATTTTACGATGCTGCAAATCGGGGAACGCTTCCGAAATACGGGAATAGCTTCTTTCGTTTACGATATTACTGCTGCGCATGTACCAGGGCCAGGCAGGAAGAAAGCCCGAGAACGGAATAGGTTGGAGATCAACGAGTTTCCGTATTATTCCCTCGAGGCCGAGGTAGGTGGCTGTGTCCTCTGTCTTATTAGGAATCATGTTGTCTGTGATGGCACAGCTTGCACTCCATTTCCTCACGTTGACTGTTGGTACTTTTACGATATATGTCTACGTGAGAAAGATTCGTAAGACTATGCCGAGTGCCAAATGGTTCGTCTTGAGAGACAAGAAAGCTCCGAATGAGGCAGTGTCGGAAGATATATGCCGAGTATCAAACTTTACTGGAGTTTGAACCAGTGAGTATGCAGATAGAGGATAGTAGTGATGAGTCTAGAAGGCATGGCTCTGCGAACTTGATGGGTTTCATTGGTGATTTAGTCATGTTCATGGTTTCATCTGAACGTTCTCCCTTGCAGGCTCGTATACTGTTAGCCTGTGGCACGCTTTGCTACTCTGATGAAGCAAATAAACGATAGGAAAAAACAAAACTCAAGCTCCAACTTTCTAAGTCACTGAGTTGTTCAAATCCCCAAGTCTTAATTGAAAGTCACTGATGATCACGGACGATCATAGGGCTGATGATGTGGAGGGCTAAAATATCGTGGGTATTATTGAGACGTTGAACGTGCGGATCAATGGCGGATTGCCGTCCATAGATCAATGCTCAAATCATCAAGCCCCAAAAATAAAGATTTGGTTTCTACATCATATTGATGAGTACCAATACCGAATTTCCAAGTTAACGATTAGTCAAACAGCACCAAGGTTTCCACTGATGTTTATTGAAGCTTTTGAGCACGTGTTGTCAGACGGGTCAATTCCATTCCATGCCTGTTGAGAAACAAGGTTCAACTGTTTGCAATTGACGATTTTTAGGCAAATGTGGAAAGTTTAAGTCAAAAGATCAACGTTTATATCATTCCAGTCAATTTCAATGATGCTAACGACACGAAATCTGAAGATAGCACTCAGATCTTTACTGTTGAAGTCAGTGGTAGAGTGGCTCTCATGGAGAAAGACACTAATCCAGGGGCAGCACCCGATGTGGTCCACCATATCCGGCTAAGCCACTGAGCTGCGGCGTTGAAGGGCCTGGGTCTGGGTCTGACAGCCCCAGCGAAGGGCGAGCTGTCACCCCATTCAAGGGATAATCTGGACTGGAGGACCCCCTAAGAACAGATCAGGTCCCGACTGCGTCGAGCATCACCAACCCTTGCTCCAGCTTCAAGGACCTTTCTTTGCGACTCTCTTTTGTCCTCTGCCGCTGGACCAACACCTTCACTGCCCCCGGATATACCTTCAACCTCCTGTTTCGACCGCCATCGTCTCGTCATGGCTGGTCATTGGACCCCTCGACAGCGGACGAATCGCGCCAACACTGTCGGCGCATTCGTCTTCTTTGTCGTCTTCATCTACTTCTTCCGCGACAGCATCCTCCCCTCAAATACGCCATCGCGCAAACACAGAAATGACTATCCTACGTTGCACCTTGGCGATAACGATGTCGAGATGGTTGTGGCAAGCATGAAGCATGAGAACGTCTCGTGGCTTGACGAATATCTCCCTGAATGGAAGAAGAACATCTACGTCGTCGACGACAACAAGGCCAAGCTGACCGTACCCATGAACAAGGGTCGCGAGGCCATGGTCTTTCTGACGTATGCACTTCAATATCATATTTGATCCCTTTGTGCTAATGTTCGCGCCGCAGATATATCATTGACCGATACGACTCCCTGCCCGGTAACGTCGTCTTCCACCACGCCGAACGCTTTCAATGGCATAACGACAACCCCGATTACGATGCCCTCCCTCTCCTCCAGAATTTCCGCTTCGACAATCTCAAGAAGGTCGGCTACGCCAACCTGCGGTGTGTCTGGGTACTTGGTTGCCCCGCTGAGATCAGGCCTATCAAGGACGAGGCTCCCGCTAAGGAGGGTGAACCTGTGCACGCCCGCCATGTTTACAAGGCCGCTTTCCAGGATCTTTTCCCCAGTCTTGAGGTTCCTGAGGAGGTCGGTGTCACATGTTGCTCTCAGTTCGCCGTTCGTCGTGAGACCATCCACACACGTCCTCGTGCCGAATACGTGCGATTCCGAGAGTGGTTGATTGTATCTGCACTGGGAGATGATCTTAGTGGCAGAGTCCTCGAATATTCATGGCATAGTATGTTTTTGGAACTCCTACATATCGCGATTAAACGTCGACATGCTAATCCTTTATTACAGTCATTTTTGGCAAAGATGCGGTCAATTGTCCAAATGCTGCCGATTGTTACTGCCAGAACTATGGCATGTGCGACTTGAAATGCGAGGCAGACAAATGTGAAGGCCAATACATTCTGCCTCCCTTCTCAACTCTCCCCAAGGGTTGGCCCCAGCTTGGCTGGAAGGGAGAGAACCGTGGTTGGAAGGGACAGCCTTAAACGGGAGGTGGTAAATACGATGGATTCGCGTCGCCTATGTGGATTTTACGATTGAAGGAGTTTCATTATGTGTTTTCTCGAAAGTCTGCACCGTATGTTCGGTTTTGGAGCAGTCACGGGCCACGTATCGACGTAGGGAAACTTAAAACTGTCCCTTGCCTCTAGGTTTTTAGAATTATTGGTTATGATTTGGGCGTCTGGGATTGGGGTTGGGCAATCTGTTATGTCTGCACCGACTAGAGTTTCTGTAACATCATTACGGATCAGTTAAAAAGCCAGGCAGAAGAATGCGTGGCATATGTATCCAGAGCAATAAGGACTTAGGTCTAATCTTAATACGTTGAGCCATCATCACATTCCAGTCCTCAAGATAAGAGATTAGGAGTTCTTCGAACTTTAGCTAACGTTAGATTTTCGGTCCCCCACCTCGGAACAGTAGGTAGCCCCACCCCCACTTCATTCCAGCTTAAGCCAGCAGCTTGCAGCTCATCTCTATCAATCAACATATCCATCACATCTCAATCGTCATCAAGATCAGCTCTTTTGTACATCACACATATCCAACTCACAGCCCCCTCTACTCATAATCTATCATCATAAACCTCATTCATAATGGACACAATAGCCCCCACCAATTTGCTAGGTGAGACTCTCCAACGCAAATCATCAACACCGCTAACGCCATTGTAGACAAGCACAACAAGCTCATTTTCGAGGTCCTCAGAAGTTATCGCGATCTCATGAATTGTGCGACAGTCCAGGCTATGGACAAAAATAACAGGCAAGATCAAGAAGCCCAAGTGAACAAGCTCAACTTCAGAGATCCCGAGACAATGGCAGCTGCTGGCATCAGGACACAAAGAAAGTTTGACCAACTGGTCAGTTGTCAATCTGTCGCATAAATGTGCATCGACTGACATGGCATAGTACGATAATATCAAGGAACTTCTAGCACTATCACGCACAATCAAGGAGCTTTGGGTATTTGGACCTCTGGACCGAGCCGATACTCAACGTAAGGAGAAGGAGGAGCGCATTGACCGCGACGTGAACGAAGTAGCGCGTCTGCTTGACAATTTGGATGCAAATTCTATGCGAGCACTCGCCGAGGGTAACGGTGGAACATGGGAACCTCAAGGAGAAGCTGCTTCGTCGTCGACAGCAACAGCGGCAGTGGCAGCGCAAGCATCGGAACCGGTGGCCCCAGCTGGAAATTAGAGAGCGACAGCGGCAGCGAATGAAAAAGAATTATTCGCGAGTTCCAGCCCGAAGGAAGGCCCGCAGGGTCGCCATGTCGAACAGGAAAAAGAATTTTCGACAAGCCCCAGCACAATGAAAGCCTCGCCTAGCCCTTTCATCAAGGACAAAGTTGCGGATAGCCCGAGTAGGAGTTCTGAAGGGTCGCTGGGCAGCTGAGAAATGACGATTGCTGGCGATGGTCTTGGGGCGATGGTTGAAACAGTGATATACCCAGAGACTTGATGTTCTCGCTTTTCGTTTAATCGTGTTTCAAGGCCTAGATAGACAATGTCTAATTCGGCGGTGACTTGGACGATCTTCAAATGTTCTGCATTGAGCTCGTGGCATTGGGGGTTGAGTCGATATCATATCGAAGTCCTACCGGTGAGGTCCCAATCTCTCATCAAAACCCACTATGCTCAAGCAGACAAGTTGAAAGATATCGGCGAGCTAAATAGTGGTAGCCTTTTATACAAGGCTACCTAGTTCTTAGACCACACAGCCGTCTCTTACCTACCTCAGGGTTGACGTTAAGGAAGGTACGGCCACAACACCTGCCTTGTGACCAGGAGAACCGCACCTGCCCTCCTTCCGTATCCCCCTCGAACAAGGACTACGTCCTTCTTTCTTCTTCATTTCTCCTCTTCCACCCTCTTCTCACCATCTTCGGTTACTGTAACGATCAATCTAGCCATCATCACAAGCCCAGCCCGGAACATTTATCTTCTCAAGTCAGCCTTTTTTATGATCTTTGTTGGATCATGATGGTTTCCCTCCTTTTGATTGCCGTCATTGGCATCATGACTGTCCTCGGCCAAGTTTCCTACGGCGCGGAGCAGTTCAAGTACTGGGGCTGTGCGACTGTTGACGCCGCCGGATTCAGTGCCCCTGTACAGCTTCCTAATGGTGTATTGAGTCCTGAATCATGCCAGGCCGTCTGCGCAGGCCACATGTTCGCTGCTGTTTCTCCCGAGTAAGTGATGTACACATATTTGTCTTAACAACACTCTGACATGCATAGTGGTTGTCGTTGCGGAGACGATCCCAATGCCATCAAGTCGATCGACGAGCACTCTTGCAACTATCCATGTTCCCAAGACCCCAACTCTCCAATGTGTGGTGGAATCTGTCCACAGGGTACACCCGGCATTTCGAATCTGTTCATCATCCAACCCGCGTTGTTGCAGACTCAGGAAATTGTACCCGAGCCAAGCAACCCAGCGGATCAACCTGTGTCATCTAACAATGTTCCTTCCCTTGGAACGCCAGAGGCATCATTTGAATCAGATGCGCTTCCATGGGCAACAACTATGTCACCGCCAAATTCGCCTACTATGAGTGTCTCGTCCACCTCTACTATGTCACCGCCAAATTCGCCCACTATGAGCGTTTCGTCCACCCTTGCCATGTCACCGCCACATTCGCCGCTTACTCTGCCTCAAAGCGAGCCTCCGATGGCCTCAGCAGGAGATATTCAATGGTCGACACTAGAGGACCCCGGGTTTCCGCTCGAGTCTCAAACAGTTCCTGCCACAAGAGAGACCTTGGTGACGGAGACTGGACCTGAACCCGTTCCTTCCGTAGCACCCAGCCTCGTGGGCGTGTCAGACTCAGGGCACTTGGAGATCCAGATGCTAGTTAGCCTGGGCGAGCTACTTCTAATCGCCGCCGTATTCGTCTAGGACCTAAGAACACTATTCTTACTCACAATCATGTGCTTCATGGAAGCCTCAGAGGGAAATGCGTACAGGTGGACAGCAGACTGGTTGAGGTGGAACAAATCTTGGGGCCATCAATGGTCAACAGTGTGAAAGATATGTTAGGGCTAAAGAAACTGAATGTGCTTTCTTAGTTGCGAGATTGTTCTATCAACATTCTTAATTTTCATCCAGTAACGTGTTGCACCCATCGAAATGACCTGATTTTAGCTTGTGTGAATCAAGCATTTGATCCAAACTTTAAGCCACAACCTCCCTGAATTGTGTCAACCTTTGCAGATTTCTTAAGTCAAAGAGTAGATGAAGACAATGATTCAGAAGCACTCCGCTACTTCAGTCAAGCTTTTTCTTGATACCGCCAACTTTGAAAGTTGACTGGCTTGTTGTTAAATACAGGGTAAGCCGAACAGCAAGACTTGATTGAGGCAAGAAAGATACGGAGCTCTTGAACCATAACCTCAAATTTTATCTAAAATGATGAGAAAAAAGAAAACATAAGAGATAAACCCAGAGAGTATCTGATATTAGGATAAGCCTCTTATGAACTTGCTATGAAATTCAGTTCCTTGACACGGGCAAGAGATATCTTCGTGGTGGTCTGACGTAAACCTTGGTGGGCATGAATCGCGGCCCCACTAGAGCTCCGACCGCCAACACCAGGGGAAGTGGCGGGGTAGGTCTGACAACGAAGCAACCAAGGGGAGAATCAACATCTACCTTTACAACCTATATCCTTAGACAAGATGCAGTCAGGAATAGCAGGTATGCAGCACAAGACTTCAACACGAGCTGAGGCTAACTATCACAGCTTCCCAAGAGCTACAGAACGAGTTTAACTCGTTGCTGTCTTCGAGCAACACCTTCGGTCTTCTCGCAACTATCGAGAAGGAATCTATGGTACCTGTTGCTACGATTCCTTCAAAGTCGAGCTCTTTTTCCGACAACCTTTCTGAACTCGAGCCTCACCTTAAGCCTGATGCCGCCCTCTACATTATCCTTCGTCGTTACGACACCGCTCCTCGATTCTTAGCCATTACCTACGTCCCCGACTCGGCAAAGGTCCGCCAGAAGATGCTCTTTGCTTCGACTCGCTTGACCTTTGTGCGTGAGTTGGGAACAGAACATTTCCGAGAGACGATATTTGCTACGACAGCTGCGGAGCTGAGTGCCAAGGGCTTCGAGAAGCACGATGCGCATAGCAAGATGGATGCCCCTCTCACCGAAGAGGAACAGCAGTTGGGTGAGGTTAAGCGTGCTGAGCAGGAGGCGGGATCGGGAACTGGTGCCAAGGAGATTCACTTGAGCAAGAACTTTTCCATGCCCATCTCCGAAGATGCCGTTGCTGCGCTGAAGGAGGTTGGCCAGGACGGCGGACGACCTGTGACTATGCTGGTTCGTAGTATTGAAGTAACTGCTTTTTAATGGAGACTGACCGCTTGATAGAAAATCAACCCACAAACCGAGGTGGTGGAGCTAGTTCCCGAGGCCCCAACTCCGAGCGGCATTTCGGAGCTAACCCAGGTCATCTCATCGTCTGAGCCGCGGTTCACCTTCTACCGCTTCACCCATACGCACAACGGTGCCGAATCTAGCCCAGTGCTCTTCTTCTACACCTGCCCGTCGACAGCCGGAAACAAGTCTATCAAGTTCCGAATGATGTACCCCCTGATGAAGCGTTCCGTTCTTGAGGCCGCTGAGAAGGTCGCTGGGCTCAAGCTTGAGAAGAAGTTCGAAGTGGAGGAGCCTAGTGAGATTACCGAGCAGTCGGTCTTGGATGATTTGCATCCCAAGGCTGCGGCTCGACAGGGCTTTAGCCGACCCAAGCGACCCGGCCGATGAATTCACGAGAGATGATGTATGGATAGATGATGAGTCCACAGAAAATTAGATAAGAATGGTTTCAAGAATTGTCTTTGCTTCCACACGCATGCTCTTGTGGATGGGAATTATAAATGTAACTTATACTCAAGAATGATAATGCGATTGATACTCAAAAAAAGTCAATTGCTTAAGCTACAAACGCTGGTATTTATCCATAAATGCGTAGGAAGAACACAAGCCGCCCCTCGACCCTATGCGTGGTATATATGCCTCTTCTATACTGACCGAATTTCTTTTATTTCTCCTTCTCTTCTCGTGTCGCCCTCACCAAACAAGCGCCAGACTCAGATCGCCAGTCGGGTCTCTCCCACAGTAACTTGCGCCGTGAACCAAGTAAAAATGAGGCAGGTGTCTTCTTGCTATACTTTTATCTGATGGCATGGTTGGTGTTGTTTTCAACCAACCCTTAGATCAGAGGGTCCTTTACTAATAAAGAACCTCATATGTGGGGTTGATGTGTTGATGCCGGTCTTGGTGATATGAAAGCACTGCATTATTCCTCATACTTGCCGCCAACAAGGGAAATGTTGCTTCTTTCTAGCTTTTCTCTGAGGTACTCGTAGACAGTGAATGTGACGGCTTGACCAGGGGCAACACGCATGATTCGAGGGGTGATACCTCGGTAGAAAGCGTGGAAGCCTTCTTGCCTGATAAGAACGTCAGTATGTACAAAACCTTCTGATGTCGAGAATTGGACTCACTTGAACATGTCAGCGGCGATGGAGGTAATACGGGTCCAGGCGGTAGTTCCAGGCGCGGCGGTCGCCCTTTGTAGACGAGTCTTGATGGTATCGATAGGGGCGTTGCTCAGAGGACCCATGGCTCCAGAAACGAGACCACAGAGAGTAGTTTGGTAGTTGGGTAGATTTGTGTTCTCGTACTGAGGCTGCCAGACCTTGAGCCAGTCCTTGAAATAGCTGTATGCAGTGAAGTTGACGGCCTGGTTGGAACCCTGTCGTAGAGCTGTCAGACTCACACCGCGGTACAGCGCACCAGGACCCTCCTCCTTAACAACAGTGTACAGAGCGTGAGCAGCGTTACGGTACTTGGGAATATCCAGAGGATCGGCCATGGAGTGGTGCTGGGCCTGTAGACGGATCTTGATAACCTCCATGGGCGTCACGACGGCAACAGCTTCTGTGACACCAGCCGCGAGACCAGCAACGAAAGTGGCCTTCCCTGAGACGACGCCCGTTTCCTTATCGGAGAGAAACTGCTTGTATGCCTCAAACGATGTGAACCGAATGGCCATCTTTGGCACGATACCCGTGACAACGGCGCCCAGACCCTTGTATAGGCCTAGGGGTGTCTCCTTTGCGACGATGGAGGCGCCGGTCGCGATGAAGCCGCGCCTGGGGGTTCCTGGTTGACGTGCGCGCTTTGAGAGCTGCATGCGAACCTTGATTGTGTCTTTTTGTATCATTCACATGTTAGTTTTGGAATCAAGGTTTACGCCTGGTTGCGCGGTTGGCGCATTGTGGAGGAGCTTACCGAGGGGATGGCACGCGAGAGCCTCCATCATACCAGCGCCACCACCGGCTACAGTTGATGTTAGTATTTTTGCTCATATTATTTCTGAGGAGCTCTCCTCCTCCAGGAGTACGATTCTTTGGATATTTGACATACCAATAAGGTTAACGGCCGCTGAAGGCGGCGCCTTCTTGCCATTGCCATTCTTTGAAGCCATCGCGACAAATACGAATATCGGGCGATCTTGCGCCGAGCGTTGCTGTATTCCGATGAGACACTATTCTCAAATCCGAGAGTTTTACGCTGAGTCGTAGGTAGAACCGAGGTTCGGAGTGGTGGGTGAATGTTTAGCAGACGTTCGAGACTGACACCAAGAGGGACGAAAGCCAGAAATGAAGAAGAATAGAAGACCAGAGCTAAGAAAGAGAGAAAGAGAGAGGGGGGAGCGGAAATCGGAGGAGGGGATGAGGGAAACAATTTAAACAAGAATAGAAAATTGAATGATAGCTAACTAGCATATGAAGATGAAGAGGATCCTTGTCGGCAAGGGACCGAGTCTAATGTTAGCTCTGCTTTTACGGATACTTACACACCTTTTTTCCCTTCGAATGTCAATCAATGTCCGGAGAACCCCACATTGTGCGGATACGGGGAAAGTTGGAGTTTGGGGATGGAGTTGGGGGTAAATGGAAGACCTCGGAGGAAGTCTTGGCAGGGATTCATAAGGGAATTTGAACGGTAGTTGTTGTTTGGTAGGTGTTATACTTTGTGTATATGAAGTTACGTGGTTTAGCAACTATTGATCGTTTGTGATATTCTATTCGTTAGCATGAGTATATGCTTGTGAAGCTCATTCAAGTTGTTAACTGGTTGGCAGAAGTGTATCCATCACCAGCCCAGCTGCTCGCCGCACACCCTCTCGTCAGATGCCGTTTCCAATGGCTTCTCACATGCAAGTCTTAGCCAATACCACTACAACACACAACAATTCACAATTCACAACGCCCATTTCTCCACGAACACTGACGTCCAGCTTCTGTGCTTCCTTAGACCGAGAGGACCCACCACTGGCCCGGGCAGGCGGAGAGCCGGGGTACGGCGAACCATCCATGCGGCCGAAGTTTGGAAGACGGGTTTTGTCACAAAAAGAAGTGACACATGTAACAGAAGGTCTGATTGTTGATCACGAGCTTTGTACCATAGCCTTATGACTCAATTGAGGTCCAGGTTGGAGCAGCGAAGCTCGGTGTAAAGAGAGCTTGAGTGACGTCGGTGTCTTTACCGACGGGTAGCCGAGCTTGTGATTTTGCGGGGTCCCGCACCTCTTTCTTCTGTGAGCTGAGGTACCTAAGAAACGTTATTTATGAGAGCATTGTGAAAGCAGCAGATTATTTGCGTATGTCAAGCTAAGCTTGTTGTTATACGGCCCTGGCAATCAATTTGATGAAAGTTTGCTACTTGGTATACAAGAAAAAGAGTCATCATGAGTTGAATCATCAAGTTGCTTTACCACCAAATTAACATCTCCCCCACAGCTTTGACCTTCCTACCCACACGCCATTGGATGCATACACACCCTCTCCAAACGGCCATCGTCCGTCGTCAAACTCAAGGAGAAATAACAAAAAGGTGAAGCGCATGACCGAGCTTTGCCGAGGTCTGTGGTTGACTCAACGATGATATCCTGCGATTTCTATCCCTAGTTTTCATATATTGAAAGTTGTAAATTCGAGAGAAATTATCGGAAATGATTCACCGAACATCAAGAGGGTTTTCGGATACAGGATTTAGCTCGGTAATTACGATTACGATACCAAGTTGAACGGTATCTTATCCGACTTCTTAGTATATATATAACCAATTGCCGACGATGGGACATCAACCTCATGAGATCTGCTAAGCCGCGGAACATTACCAAAATGCATAGCCCAACTCCTAACCCTTCCGTGCTATTCCGTTAGAGCTCCAGGCAAAAACAAATCCGTTCGTCGACATCCATTGGTATTCCTTCCGTGTTCCCACTATCGACTCGGAGGTCGCTCGTCGGTAGACTTCATAGCAAGCTCGGAGCTTCGGAGAATCGGAAATGGATAGTTGATTGGTTCTTGGTCTGGGGAGAGGCTAAAGCAAGGTACGTGCGCTTCCGATGACCATTCCGGAAGCGGTCCCCACTTCGCGGAGCCGCGTCCGGGTGAAAGTGGTAGCCGAACCGGCGAGGAAGGCCTCCGCTGAGGGAGACGCGGTGACTCTTATTTCAACGGGCTTGAGATCTACAATTTTGATATTATTGTCCTCTTACCTGCTGGACAGCTTCTGAAAGACTTCACCTAGTTGCTAGTCTTCAGAAAGGACCACGGCATAAAACGGAAGACCTCCCTGTCGTTGAATCACCCCTGGAAAGAACCCAGTCCAGACGATTCATCGCCAATTCGATAAATTTGATTGGTTCGCATAAGTGAAATCGTCCAATATCCGCCGCGTCCAAGGTCTTGTGGTGCAGTTGCAGTGTAAACCCCCAAAGTCTTGAACTGTCGAGACCGCTAGAGCAGGGATCGGTATTATTTTCATTTTCCTATAGTAAGATCTGAAGTCATGTGCAAAGTTCTGGTAATGTGAGATCGTTCGGTTGCTTTAAACACTTAACCTGCAAGGCAAGGTGGTTCATTCTATACTCTTAGCCATGCCTTTCGTTTATAAATGGAACGTAACAAGCAGAAAATACATAATGGAATCAAGAATTCGTCGCGATGGAGTAACATAGACACGTTAAGCCTGAAAAGCATTGGCATGATGTCGTTTCTTAAGTATACTACCTCGCTGAGCTAAATCATGATCAGTGCTAGACCGTAAAAGCTCTCAGCGGCTCACGTTCTCGGGTTAAGTGACTGTTCGGTTGTATATCCTGCGACTGCCTTGTCTCATGGAGTGCTTGCGAAGCATTCACATACACCCCTCTATACATTCTCACACATAACTCAATGCTATTGTCGTTCACATTGCGTGGTTTCCTGGGAGTCGAGCTAAGCAATGAACCACCTGATGAAGTTGATTGAAATAGGTTTATCTCATATTTCTGGCCACAGCTACTGGTCCTTCTTTATCCAGTGGCCTTTCCACATTAAGCTCAGCGGATTCATATTAACACGTTCGAGCTTGAGCAGAATCCGGATCCTCTTGTAATTACAAAGTTGTAGTTTCTTTCTGATCGTAACGTCTCGTACTCTAGCCTTTTCTTTTCGTCTTCGTAGTCGTACAGTCATATCCTCTCTTCAAATCCACCATTTTCCGCCGCTGTATAAAACAGAGACGCATCCTTATGCGGCCCAATGGCTCTTCCCTTCAATCAAGCTTAAGCCGGAACCTTTGTCCTGATCTGAACGCCGTGCCAGCTCTTGACAAGGTCGCCGAGAGCAGCATTGACCATGCGCTGCTGCTTGAGGATAGTTTGGCCCTTGAACGCAGGGGAGGTGATGTCGATGGCATACATGCTCCCGCAGCCGCCCGAGACATCCTGGACGAGCAATTCGGTGGGGGAGAGCTTCTCGGAGAGTATTTCGGCGATGGCAGACTCGGCGGGGCTCATGGATGGGAGATCGGGCTCTTCTTCGACGGCGGTAGAGAAACGGGGAGTAGAGGTCGAGAGAAAACGTCGAGGTGTTGCTAAGGCGGTAGGTGCTTGTGTTAGGCGGGTGATTGCTGTGGGAGCGCGGACGAGGGTGCGCAGAGGGAGACGGGCGGAGCGCATTGCTGCGCGGCGACAGGAGTTGCAGATCATGGTGAATGGGATTGGGATTGGGATTGTGTTTGGTGGTGTGAATTGGGGGTCGGATTGATCGATTGGTGTGCTGAATGAAAATAGATGGACTGGAGAAGTTAATGACGATAGGTGAAAGGTGGTGGAGTTTGCTGGTCTGGTGCGATTACTTGATTGGATGAATTGAAAATATGTGGAGGGGTTTGTAATCCAGCGTCGACGGTTAGTTGAAGATACTGAATAACGGAGGTAGATCTCGGTACTGCTTTCTCAGTTTCGCAGAGGCATTGTTTGCATAAATTAATTGCTTTTTATTATACAGCTTACGTTTAGTCTGATGAACGAGTTTCAGTGACAAAAGAGACACAGAAGCTCAAGGAAAAGTGGCTGAAAGGTTCATTAATAAGTTAGTTACCCAGTTTGTATTAGAAGCTGGGTTTCGGTGTGGAACCGAAACTACTGATGTGCAACCTTCACGAGAGAATCTTTTTCATCCCCATTCGACCCATGTCCACAACACGGGGGTTTACCCAGTACCATCGCATCTCATCCCAATTGATAAGATAACACCATCGTCATACGACCTCATCATGCCGCGCAAGGTAAGAACAAGCTCGACCTGGCAAATCCGTCAGGACAAAAAAAAACACATGCTTACCTAAAAGTTAGACTCGAACCCCAGAGTCCCTTGCTCTCAACCGTGAGAACCAGCGCCGCTCGCGCGCTCGGCAGCGCGAGCTGGTCGATGAACTCCAGACTCGCGTGCGTGAGTACGAACGTCGCGATGGCCAGGCTACGCTGGAGATGCAGCGCGTTGCCAGGGCTGTTGCTGGCGAAAACGCGGCCTTGAGGGGCCTCCTGGCTGCGAAGGGTGTGCTTGCTGAAGAGGTCGAAGCTCATGTTGAGGCTGTGAAGCGGGAGGAGAGGGTGGTTGTGAGAACAGGAGTGTCGTCTGTCACGCCCGCTTCTACACCGTCTTGCACTGCATCGCCTGTTGAGGTCGTTTCGAAGCCGATGCTGTACTCTCAACCTCAACCTCAGGCGTATGGTCCTGTCCGGGAGAACAGCAACCCTCCCCTTTCTTTCCAGCCCAAGATATACTCGCCACCAACGCCTGCTACTACCGCCACGTCATGCACAGAAGAATCAGGCTGCTGTCCTAGACCACAACCTCAGTCACAACCTCAGTCGCAGCTTCAGCCACAGCCACACTCACAGTCGCAACAACTGGAACCACAGGGGTCAAGATCTCCAGACAAAATTCACTGCATGGAAGCTGCTACGATTCTTGCTCAAATACGGGGCCATTCGGATGTTTCCAACGCTAGGGCGTCCCTTGGATGTGCTACTAATGACAATTGTATGGTCCGAAATACAGATTTGCTCAACTTGATGGATGAAATGACCTGATGTCAAACGCTGCTACCTTATATTCTACTATGTTTCCTCAGACCCTCCAGTTCCACCTATCTGAGACCCAACGAAGGAGATACACCAACCCCAGAAGCACCGGAACCTCGATCAGCGGCCCAACTGTTGCCGCAAGTGCCTGGTCACTGCTGGGTCCATATGTGGTGATTGCCACCGCTATGGCAAGCTCGAAATTGTTGCTCGCGGCTGTAAAGCTTTGTGTTGTCGAGAGCGGGTACCCGAACCCAGCGCGTCGGGATACGAGAAGCGTCGCAAAGAAAATGATGATGAAGTAGACGATGAGAGGTGCAGCGACGCGCACCACTGATACAATCTGATGAACCACTTGATGGCCCTGCGAGGCAAAGAGGATGAGGATGGTATACAACAGACCGATAAGAGACCAGGGGGAAATGATGCGCAGGAAGACTCGCTCATACCACTCGGGTCCGACCATCTTGCGCAGGGAGAAGCGAGTAATGATGGCTGCTGCGAGAGGGATGCCGAGAAAGACTGCCACGCTGGTGGCGACAGTCGAGTACGACACATCGAGAGAGCCCTTCTCTCCACTGATGACCCGGATGAAGAAGACAGACATGGGCGCATAGAGAGCCATCTGCAGGATCGAGTTTATAGCCACGAGGATAGCGCAGTACTCGCTATCGCCACCAGCGAGGCCGTTCCAGATCAATACCATGGCGATGCACCGTGCAAGACCTACCAGAATGAGACCAATGCGAAGTTCGGGCTTGTCTGGGAGGAACGCCCATGCCAGGCCGAGCTGATGCGTGTCAGCGTATTGCACATCATGGCGGAGGAGGTTATAGCTTACCATCAAGAAAGGCGCAACAATCCAGTTGATGACTATACTGAAGAGTATTTGCTTCCAGACATCGCGTTGGGAGAAGATTTCGTGGAGGCTCTCGTATCGGACTTTGCAGAGGATGGGGTACATCATGACGAGCAGACCAACCGCTAAACGCAATGGAAGTTAGCAAACACTGCTCGTTTCTAGAAGAGGATGGTTGGATTTATGCTTACCTATGGGCACCGAGACACCAACAAACTTTCCCTTTTCCAAAGCTGGACCGGTCGAGGGGACGAAGTTGCCCAGTAAGATACCAACGACCATGGCGAGAAGAATCCATACCGCGAGGAAGCGGTCGAGCCAGCCGAGCGACTTGAACGCCGAGACATTGTCCTTCTTGATGGGTTCTTCGGCTGGCGGTATGTTATTCTCGGTGTCGCGAGCAGACGGTTGCTCTTTTGTACGATGCTGGTCTGTGTCGGACATATTTACTTGGACCTTAGGGACGGTGTTGAATGGTGATGATGCTGGTAGAGCGTTATCAATTTTGCATTGTAAACGCGACCGATGAATTGAAAGAATAAGATTATTGTTCTTATTAGAGTCGGGTAGCAATGTTACAATAAGTTATCTGATTATCCCATTCCTGTCTTTTTTAACATTTTAAAGCAGTTTGTTGCGACGGACCAATCACACGTAGGGCATGACACGGTCCTTACTTGCTCTCTCCGGCGACGGAACCGGAGGTACGGCGGCAGCCTCGGTATTGCCTTTATCGCCTGGTGGACCTTTTTCTCTTTATTCCGGGCCTCAATCGGAGCAATATAATGTCACGTTTGGTTTCGACTCTTTTTTGTACACCTGGATACTCTTTCGTACTCTGTACTCAACTGTGAATTATTTCTTTGTGCATTTGACTGCATGTTGCCGTTTACGTAGAAAGGAGGGATTTTATCGGGTATAATTACAGAGCCGTATTGAAGGTCGGCAACGTGCATGCATACGGGAGATGTAACGACGTTGCCCGTTACACAGATATACCTTACCGTGATCCAAAACGTGGTGTTTATATTACAGTCCGATGTCTTGTGAGCCAAACACGGGAATAAAGAATTAAAGGATCAACGGGAATTAGCTGTTGGAACAACGCCAATCCGTAGACGTCATACCATCTCACATGCGAATGGGAACCGTCACCGCACCAACGCGGCTCTTGTGGGAAAAAAGAAAGGAAGAAAAATCAAGATCTTAAAAAAGAAACAACCTTTTTCTGCTCGCCCTGCATATGGCGTTTTTTTTTTGGTGAGTCGAGGGGCCCTGTTTTAGCTACGTGTACAGGCTAAGATAAGCTAGCGGCCCAGCTTTTATGTGCTGCCGTGCTGGAAATACGAGGTTCAGCTTGGTGCAACACGGGAGTTGGTGCATATAGTCTGGTCTGGTCTGGTCTAGAGCGGAAGAGAAAGAAAGAGATAATTTTTGTGAGATTTTCAATTCTTGAGAGAAATGTGTTTGTGCAATTGCGGATTTATGGATACTCCTTTCAATATTGGTTTATGCATAACGTTGCACTGGTGATCTAATCTCGGATCAAGGGTCGTAGGATCGTCTCTCCTGTCTATGGAGTATCGTGGGGCAGATTGGGATGCGCAAAAGGATCACGAAAGGAATGATGATGATGTTTCACGGTGTATTAATCCTGTTTCTCAGTGCTAACTCAATGTGCAAGCGGTCTTTTCACTGCCAAGAGTTGGGTGGTTCACATTTAGAAACTCAAGATAACATAACGCTGCAAGCCCTATCTTTGACTCGTTGAACTAGACTGGATTTGACTCAAGAAGAAAATAAAAAGATACATGACCCTGCACATGCATGTAGAATATGCACGTACGCGCAATCGCCTCATGCAGGCTCCATCGTTCAGCCATGAGATGAGCTATGTTTAGCGACGGCTCATGAATGCGTTTTACCCAGTATTATTTACGTAGCAAAACAAGGTAATCCGTGCTGTGCCTGTCGATCTCATGTTGAATGGCCTGTGTCGTCTCATATCCCAGCTTTTATTATTGTGCTGCCATCTCTTTTTTCTACTCAAGGCTGAGCACCAACCAAAATGAGCCTAATTCGTTGGTTCAAACTATTCGAGACATTGTTTCCAATAGAAACCCCTGTTTCCTATTCTATTCGTCTTGGTTTCCCAGTGATTCTCTAGTTTGCTCTGTGGGTGCACATCCCCAAGATATCCACCCACTATCCCGCAGAAACCCACTCATTCAGTCTCCCGTCTCCCCCTAGTACGTGGATAGAATAACAGTCCATGTCCTGATAGTGACGAAGGACGAACAATATGGGTCCTGCCATGACGATGATCGTATATAGCCCGCTCCTGCCGGTATCCAAGCTCTTCCTGTACTGGTCTTCTACCCCAGGCTCTCTCGTTTAGCCCTTTCGTCCATATCCTTTTCCCTTTTCATCTCTTTCTCTCTTTTCTTTCTCGTATACTTTGTTGGTTCTTCGTGATAACGGAGACGAGATAGCTTGGTGTTTTATTCTTACCTCATCATGGTGCGCTTGAGTGTGGTTGCAGCGCTCTTTGCTGCGGTGGCGAGCGCCGTCGACTTTGATAAGCTCTCCGTCACAAAGGGACATAGTCGTTTACCAGGTGCTTATATCTTTGAGTTTGAAGAAGATCATGTGCGTATTAATTCCCGAGTATTTCCGGTCACGAACTTACTGTATCCCAGGACTGTGCCGACTTCTTAGCAAAGGCCTCGTCACAAGGCAAGACTCGTATGCAGTACAACTACAAGCTGTTCAAGGGAGCTTCGATCCAGTTCACCGATGTTGATAATGCCGAGGATATCTCAGCAAGGATGGCCATGCTGCCTGGTATCAAGAAAAGATGGCCCGTTCAGGTGTTTAGCATTCCCAAGCCAGAGGTTCATTGGACAGGCACGCCGGGCACGGATTATACTGCTATCAAGAAGAGAGGTTTCGAAGAGAGGGATCTAGCCAATGATACTTTCTCGCCTCATGTTATGACACAAATTGATAAGCTCAGAGACGAGGGTGTTACGGGCAAGGGTCTCAAGGTTGCTCTCGTTGACAGTGGTGTAAGTCATCTTGTCAACCACCTAATCTGTCCAAACTGACAAAACCACACAGATTGACTACAAACATCCCGCACTGGGAGGCTGTTTTGGTCCCAAGTGTCTCGTCTCCTTCGGCACTGATCTCGTCGGCGACGACTACGACGGCTTCAACAACGCCAAGCCTGACGACGACCCCATGGACTGCGCTGGCCACGGTACCCACGTCGCTGGTATTCTGGCGGCACAAAAGAACTCTATGGGGTTCACTGGAGCTGCACCAGGAGTTAGCATTGGAGCATACCGCGCGTTCGGCTGCAATGGCGAGGCTGGAAACGACGTCCTCATCGCAGCCTTCAACCAGGCCTTCGAAGATGGTGCAGATATCATCTCTGCTTCTATCGGCGGTCCGTCCGGCTGGTCAGAAGACCCCTGGGCTGTGGCTGTTTCTCGTATCGTCGAGCAGGGCGTTCCTTGTGTTCTTGCCGCTGGAAATGCGGGCGCCACAGGAATGTTTTACACCAGCACGGCGGGCAATGGAAAGAGGGTTACTGCTGTTGCGTCTTTTGACAATACGAAGTCTCTTTCACTTCTGAATGAGTCCACATACAGCGTAAGTGGAGGACCAGAGCATGAGTTTGGGCATCTGAGTGGTAAGCCTGGCACCTGGAAGGGTGTCAAGCTTCCCTTATGGGCACTCAACTACGACACTGCAGTTCCTGACGACGGCTGCGATGCGTTTCCCAAGAACACGCCTGATCTGAGCAAGTATATCGTCCTTCTCCGACGAGGTTCATGCACGTTCGAAGCCAAAGCTACCAACGCTGTGAAAGCTGGTGCGAAGTACATTATGTTCTACAGCAACAAAGAAGACCTCTCCCCGTTCGATATCTCAACCGTTGACGGCGTCAAGGCTGCGAGTATAGTGTCCCCTGCACAGGGCAAGGACTGGATCCAGGCCCTCAAGAGCAAGAAGAAGATTGTTCTGAGCATGTCGGATGGCAGTGACGGCGATGTCATCCTGGAGGAGAACCGCAACAACATCACGGGTGGTGCTGTCAGCGCCTTTTCCTCTTGGGGCCCAACCTGGGAAATGGATGTGAAGCCTCAATTCGGAGCACCAGGTGGTAAGATCCTCTCCACATACCCCCGTAGCATGGGCAGCTATGCTGTCCTATCAGGCACATCTATGGCCTCACCTCTCGTGGCTGGCATCTTTGCCCTCATTGCTGAAGTCCGAGGATCTCGTGATCCAGCTCTGATCGAGAATCTTCTCTCAGCCAGCGCAAACCCGCAACTCTTCAACGATGGCAAGGCCTTTTACGATTTCCTTGCCCCAGTTCCTCAGCAAGGTGGCGGTCTCCTGCAGGCTCACGATGCCGCCCACGCAAAGATTCTGCTGTCCCCTTCGAGTCTCTCCTTCAACGACACGGATAACTTTGCCGAATCGCTCAACTTTACCCTCAAAAACACGGGAAAGAAGCAGATTGATCTGCAGATCTCCCACGTCCCTGCCGTTACCATGTTTACCCTCGTCGAGAACACTATCTACCCGGATACCTTCCCCAATGACTTTGCCAAGGAGCAAGCCAGTGTTAAGTTTAGCGAGTCCAAGGTGACAATCGATGCAGGCAAGAGTATCGTGATAGAAGTTCTCGCCACGCCTCCCAAGGGTCTCAACGTAACTCGTCTGCCCGTCTGGTCCGGCTACGTCGCCATCAATGGCACCGACGGTACTTCCCTGTCAATCCCTTATCAGGGCCTCAGCGGTTCGCTCCACGACTCCAAGGTCCTCGGACCCAACGATGTATGGATCGCCAACTCAACCGACGAGAACCGTTTCCCCATGGCAGCCAACTCAAGCTGGACGCTCCCCAAGCCCGGCACCGCAAACAACTTGACCGACTCACTTCCCGGGCTAACCTGGTTCTTCGCACTTGGCTCAGCCAAGCTCCACGCCGAGATCATACCCGCCACCACCGAGAAGCCATCTGCGTCGAAGAAACCGCGTGTCATTGGCGAGCCTGTCGACTTTCCCCTGCTGTGGAACCCAATGGGTGCCAACTCGCAGGCTTTCACTGGTGAGCTTGCGGATGGAAGCTTTGCGCCTGCGGGTCAGTACGTTGTTCGATACAGAGCACTGAGGATCTTTGGAGACGAGAAAAAGAAGGATGATTGGGACGAGGCATATTCGCCTGTTTTCTCAATCGAGTACGAATAGCGGCTTGTCTTTACATTTTGCAAGCACTTATGGTTTTCTTTCATGTACAAATACGTCAAAATGGCATTGTTAGGGTTTGGTCAGGGTTGCGTTTGGATAATGACCTGGGCTTAGTTAATGATCTGATGTCAGACATAGTTTAGAATACATAGATGTAGACAGTAGAACTGCTGCATAGATAGACTTAAGAATATCATTAGTTCATCTATCAAAGAGTTGAGAAGTGACACGTTTGATCTATTGCATGACCGTGGCCAACCCATGAGCCGACTTTGCTCTACTGTACAAATCTACTTTCTAAGGCTGTAAATATATGGCGTTCATCTGGAAGGGTCTTTTCTTCCTGCACGCATCACACAGCTTAACAGGACATGCCGCTATACAGTACCAACAATTGTTACTGGCTTGCAAAGAAATTCTGCACGTTTACGTACTGTGGACCGCCTTTCACGACACAGCAGATTCACCGAAAAGGTGATGCCGTCCCTACGACTCATCCTCGTTCTCCTCGTCATTGCCCTTGGACGGCCGCTTTCCCTCGGGGATGTAAAAGCAAACCACAGTGAATGCCATCGCAAGCGGGATGAGTATCGCCCATGCAAGATGGCCAGAGAGAATCTGGCCTCGAACGCCAATTGCATAGATGGCTGTGGCAGCACCAGGCACAACAGCTCTAACGGCGCTCGCAAAGCTCATGGCAAGAGCATTCAAGGTGCCCACGACGTGGGGATCGGGCGCCGCGTCGTTAATAGCAAGCTGAACACCTGTAAAAGCCATGGAGACACCAGGGCCGACGACCATGATCACGAAGCCCAAGATCCAGAATGTCACCATGGCGGCATGGGTGTGTGTGCGCAAGAGCAGGTTGAGGATGATGAACCCAAGGAAGAACCAGGGATACGCATATCCACATATCTTCATAACACCGCGTGTGCCAATACGGCGATGGAGTAGCGGGAAAGCAACGAGTAGCCAAATGGCCTGGCTAGCACCCTGGACAGCCATGTAGATGGAGATCTTGAACGCGTCGAAGCCCGTACCACCGAAACGAACAGGTGTGTAGAGAGCAACGGGGAGAATAGCTGTGAAGGCGAAGGCCAGGAACATAGCATGGGCATAAGCCCAAAGGGAGATACCTACTCCGGGAGATTTCATGAGTTCCCACATCGACCGCGAAGGTTGCTCAACGACTTGGCGATGCGTGTCTTTCGGCTGATTGAGTGTTTCCTCTAGAAACAGGATGCTGGTGATACAACCTGTTAAGCTGAAAGCACCGACAACAAAACCCTGTAGTGCATAGGGATAATCGATGAAAAATTGAACGTGTCCGAACGCTCTTGGGAACTGATGAGCTGGGTCTGCGAGAGCACCACCGATGAGGGGGCCCAAGAAGATTCCCACGTTTCCTCCGAAAGCAAACCAGCTGAAGGCCTTGGCCTGTGTGTCAGGGGTGCTGAGTTCGGATATCATAGTCCTGATTACAAGACCAGAACCAGAAAACACGCCTGCTAGACATCTGAAGAGGATCATCTGTCCGATAGTCTTGGACATGCCGAAAAGCATGGGACCAATAGCTGTACCAATCAAAGTGATGATAAGCACCGGCTTGCGACCAATACGGTCTGCAAGTTGACTCCAGCCAAGGAGAACCAGCATCTGCGTAGCCGAGAAGAGAGACTCAATGAGGCCACTGTAGAAGCCAACGTCGGTCTTGGGGAGATGACCATTCTCCTGAACCATCTGCGCGATGAAAGGGAAAATGGAGAAGAACGCAATAGGTTCCATTACCCGCGCGTAGCAGAGCAGCAAGATCTGGAACTTAGGCATCGGTCTAGACGCTGCCTTTGGGTCCGGAGCCGCTACTATTGCCTCCGCAGTGCCATCGCCGGAGGCACCGATTGCTCCATACTCTCCGGACACGGACACGGCCCCAGGACCGGCTTCTGAAGACGCGGTGCCGACGAGCTTGCCGACTAGAAGCGGCGTTGTCGCGGAAGCATTGCTAGCGTTATGCGCGCCGGGGCTCGGCGATTGACTTGATGATTTTGTCATTATGTCCGTTCCGTCAGAAGTAAGCAATGCGCGGTGCGCTCGACACTAATGAGATTGGGTGGTATCAGGCGCAAGGATTAGGAGCACATTGAGTTTTGGTATGATATGATTTATGCGCGTTCAAAGAAAGTTCGGAATCTGGTCTGAATACGATTCGGGGAAAGTAAGATTTGAGTGACTACATGTTCGCGACATTTTTATGGATCTCACGTCAACTGTCAGCACTTTCCTATGTTGTCGAAAGCTCGTCATCTATCGCGGGTCACGTGAGATAAGCTATAGGGTGAGCCAATTTACTTGTTGCCAGCGATTTTGAGTTGGGATTTAATGAATCTATCTCTGAGACTAGTATCTAGAGGTCTCGCGTATTCAAATTGATGGTTTCAACTGTACCTGACGATAGAGTTTGTGGTAGGGTATATGCAGGGCTGTCGGACTCAAAACAGGTGGTCGGCGTTGCCGTGAATGGTCAGCGTTTGCAGTACTGAGCGATGAACAAAGTCAATTGCCAGAAAAAGCGTGTGAGATTGACGACTGATAAAACGACCATAAAACGCCTAGATATGCAACAATGGAGAGAATACTCTAACCGGATCACTATGACAAATGAGTGACCTTGACCCATAGATATACGCAAATCAAACATCTCCGCGGGACCCCTTTCACCGAGAAGGCGCTTAGCTGTAATGTCACCCGCAGATGCTACGCTATGTATCTGACAGACTGACAGTGACAGCCCCGTTGGGTTGTGCAAGGTACTACACTCTCGAGCGTCCGATTACGGACTCTTCTGAATGAACAGTTCCGTTTCAAAAACACACCGAAGTCCTTAATTCAGAGGCATAGTCAAAGATTGGCAGGCCGGTGTGTCCAAACTGCCGCGATAGTGGTACGCCTCTATGCCGGGTGATGAGACCTGTCCGGTTTGAGATCCCCGGTGATCCAGAAATTACCGAAATATTGATTTACCAATGTCTTTGGAGTGGTACGTACCTTTGTGTGTAGGTATTCATTCAACATCAGGTTATTCAATATCTCTTACACCATTGGATGATGGAGCATGGTATTCCCGAATGAAGATGATAGAAATCTTGCGACTTTAACGTAGTAGTTACGTAGGTATTATCTCAATACCATTAATCCCATTTTGAGAATAGGGCCGATCAGGCGATCACCCATGTATAGGATCGTTTGTCGATAGAGATGGCCACTTATTACGGAGTACACATGGGCCACTATCGCACTGCATACCTACCTGAGTAGAATATTGTTTGGTATGTCAGTCCTGTTGGTGATTCATAAGCTATCATGTTAAAATTAACAGGCGCAATCGGAATAAATCCGTGAATGATTCTTGTCTCAAATATGCCGAGTAAACACTGTTGATGCTACTATCGCTTTGGTAGACACTCCAGCGGTGCAAAACCACACTGTCCATATATACGAACGAGGCTTAACCACTTTACTCCCAGGCCGATGACCGGAGAGATATGTCCGATGCATAGCAGTAATGAGCAGACTTAGTCACATCACTGCTACAGTGAACCCTGGATAATGCATGTTTTGGTGTTACATACCATGTAGGGCTTCGGCCGTCGGTAAACTTTCAAAGACTGACAAGCCAGGGTGGGTTCAGGGTTCAGAAGGTGTCAATTGGCGAACTTGAAGATGATGGAAGGATCGACGGATTTTAGCTTAGAAATAGATGACAGCCGTGGCATCTAGCAGTGTTGGACGAGTCAAACTGACGACAGGGGATCTGATGGGTGTGGGGATTGTAGCAAGATCACCTGCAGTGTGGTTCTGGAAGCCCACAAGGACATACGAATAACAAAGATCTTATTAAGTACATGTTGGAGAAGTGAGACCCTGCGTTACACTCCAAGATGCTACGCAGTAACACAACACCCTCTGTCTTTTTTTTAATAGCATGTGAGACAAACAAACACGAAATTGTTGGCATGAGACGTTGTTCCTTTCAGCCGAAATCGATTGAAAGCTAGGATGTGCCAAGACGGAGGGGATAGACTACTACGTAATGAGGAACTGTTGAGTGTAACACTGTTAATGGCGCAGCGTTCATGTTGATGAAATCAAGTGGTGATGGGTAAAATGATATTAGGGTACTAACACCAAAGGGACTCAATAGGAAATGAACCCTTGATACATAAGACCCATGCATGGCATGATTGCCCCGGACGAAAATCAGTTGGGCATGATATCCGCTCCATGAGGTCCCCACTATCCCATGGTCAACTATTCTCTTCACGAACATTGGTAGCCTGCCAGCCTGCCAGCCTGCTATACGTGGGTTTGCGGATCCTTGTACGGGTGAGACATCCGATGAACCAATTTACTAGCTATTGCACGTACAGTTCACAACTTGTCGTGCCGACAACCCCGAATGGTAAACAACTAGTGACATATCAAAGTCCGGGGCGGTCGAGGGGATCTCTTGGCAAAAGAACAATTTCCAAGCTCATACAGGCTACAAGGGCTCCAAATGTTACATTACGCGATAAACATGTATTTTTATCACAGCGGAAATATCTACAAGATATCTCACTGGACACCTCTGCTGATTAACACCGGAAAGTTAGGACGTGATTCTGCTGATCCAAACAGATGATCCAATAGAAGAAGTATGTGATTTAAGATTTGGAGCTCTTGTAACCTGTACTCGTGCTCATCCTGTGCCCTGCGACCTGCAACAACTTGCTCAACTAAGCCAGCTTCTCTCATTGGAGGTACACATGGAAGCGAGGTAGCTTACCAACCGCCTGCAGCCGCTAGTCCTATGAGGGGAAAACCTAGGATCGAAAGTGGCGTGATTCTCAAAGCTGGTGGCTAAATGGGCTTGTTAGTGGGGAAAAATACAGACCGAACCGGGCTGGGAACCAGGTTTTTAGTTGGAGCGTTGAAGTGGTATCAAGGGATGGGAACCGCAGCCGCAGCTGATAACAGGTATAGTATATACCAGCAGAGTAGGCATATCTTACCCCCGACTCGATAGCCACGCAAATTATGGTAGGAGAGAAAAAGAAGTTCATGCATGTACAGAGTTTGGCCGGCTCGAAACTCCGATAGTGACTGCAACTGCGCCGTGGCCCTGCAGAGTGAACTGTGAACACATAATTCTAGTCCGTAGGGCGAGTGGGTTCAGGGTCCCTCCCCCCTGTCGCAAAGAGGATGGTACCTAGGGTCCCCCTTGTTGAAGATCGTGGTCTCGTCAAAAATTCCCCGGCTGCAAACTTTGACGCTAATAACCAGGAATCCGGTCGTGGACGGAGAGGATAATTATTTCCGGGGAGAACCGGCGCTGTATCCGTAGATCCTGGCCATAGGTCCCGCCCTTACGCATAGGTGAAAGCTAAAGCCTGATAAAGGTTGAATCTGTGTTTTGCTTTGGCTGGGTTGACTGGTTTGACTGGGTTGACTGGGTTGACTGGGCTGACTGGGTTGACTGGTTTGACTGGTGTTACTGTAGGTAATTGATTAACTGAGTGTAAGCGATCTGCAGAGTCAACTGCCGTTCAACCGACCGGGCTAGAGTACCTAGGATACAGCAGGTACTACGTAGACCCGGTCGGCCGCTCTTGCCAAAAAGAAACAGCAACAAGGGACTCACTGCTTGACCTCTGTTGATGGATGTATCTTGTTCTCTCATTTCTTTTCCCTCATCCCTTATAGCAAAGGTACCATGGATGCAGATTGCCAAGAGCCTGTATCACCATGGAGATTCAGCTTTGCTGCACGGATAGTTGGTACTTTTCTTTTTTCTTTCCTTTTTGGCATAGCGCTTCCAACAGCCCAAAACATTCATTGCAGCCACCAACCACAGAAGTCCGATCTGCCGAATCGAGGACCCTTCTAGCAATCGCGCCACACATGTCTCAGCCTTTTGTCCCTTGTCCCTCGTCCCTTGTGGCATTCTGCACGTGGCTGGCTAATCCACCACTTTGCAGTACTAGGGACCGCCATAGGGCTCTCACTCGGGTGACCAAAAAGACCGTCATGCCGACGCATGTCTATGATTTGGTCCACATCGCTGAAGAGTTAAGACAAGGAATAAAGATCGACCCAGCTCTTGGTCTCCTACAGTGGATCCTGATTACTGATCAGGTCTGTTTGACCTATCCTTATCCCGCGATCTTAGGTCCTGGGTCTCAGCTAGACAAGAGGATCTGCTAGTTGTGGCTGTAGGCTTTTTCGTCATTGAGGCTTGGAGCTTTACTATGTTAAACTAACGGTTACAACATTCCATGTTACTGTGAGCTACAATTTCTACCTAATACTACTTGAGTTAGACGTGGCTTACAGTACAGTTCTACGACATGATGACCCTCTCTGTCCGTGGTCCTTATCTTATTAGTGAACCCGACATATCGGGCTGACGTATATGTGCGCATGGGCCGTTGGGACTATCAAATGTTGATGCCCCCCTGCCCCCTGTTACTCCACCTCTAAAGGCCAGGGCCAAGGTGACAGGGCAGGGACTGTGAGTATGAGGTGAGGCTGCTACTCGCTGGCTACAGGGATCGGCTACACTGTCACTGACACCCGTAGGAGACACAAAATGGTTCTTCTCACACATGGAAAACTACCGAGTTCCCTTCCCATTTCAATGCAGCTTCGCATCACCGCTTGTCCCTTTCGTGGAGAGAAAAAGATTTCCTCAGTTGCCACACTTCGCCTCGCTTAACTAACTTACCATAACTACTGCCTACGTAGGTATTACCACATCACAGCTCATCACATTCACATCATCCAACCCTCTTCATCTTCCGCTTCACGATCAATCGAAACCAACAAAAGCAGACCGCACTCCCGATTAGGACTTGCAGTTTCCAGCTACTGGGCCGCTTTCTGCCTGGCTTGAGATACATGGGCACTGGACAGTCCAACAACAAGAAACACGGAATAAGGGCACTCTTCTCTTGATTAGGCTTGCTGTGATCGTATTCTTTCATCATATCTGGTTTTTGCCTTCATTCTCATCCCTCAAAGCGGCGAAAAAAACGTCAACGGCACCAGGGCCCCCAGCGAATGGTTGGTCCCTGAGGGTTGCTGTTCCATCGCATTGGAGACATCTGGATGGGAAATCACCGAGAAGAAGGTTTGGTGGATATTTATCGACGCTCTCTAGCCATGGTTATAAACCCTTTCCTGTTTCTTTGACGAGGTGGCATATTAGTGCCATGTACACGAAACTCGACCGAAGCAAAAGTTTCCAAATTTTACAATCTTTCACAACCAAGACATGCCAAACCTTGATATTGCCGTCCAACCTCCCTCCCGGGCTCAGGTGTCGACGATGCTGTGCCCACCTCCGGTCGCAAAGCTCACATTCAAAGGGTCGATGTCTGGGTATCACTTCTTCGCCATGGCCCTTTTGACTACACGTAATGGAGACATCGTGGAAGGGGGCTTGCTAGGGACTACCACCGTGTCGGGCTTGGATCTGACCGCAGCGTCAGGATCTTCAAGAAACACGATATACTTTACTTTCAATGAAATTGCGATATTTATCGAAGGGGTTTTCAAGGTCAGGATCGATGTTTACAAGGTCCCCTACGAGAATCCAGATGGTTGTACTTTCCATGCGCAAGAGAAAACCAGCCGAGTCACTGTTGTGAACGAACCTATCCCGGCGGGTTCTGCAGGTAAGTCGCAAAGAACCGGGGCATGTAATTTTTAAAAAACTGACTTCTTCTGACTAGAATCGGGCGAACGTTCAACCATACAACTTCTGCAGAGTGCTGGTGTTGCTATATCTTAATACTGCCATCGCGCAAATGCCCAGGATACCGAAGTCGGGAGTCGAAACTTAAGAAACAAAAATATTGACGAGGATATACGGCAAGGTGTAGGTGAAATCGCGCAGACTCAACAGTGTCGCAGAATAAACTATTCTTGCATGATGGTTGGCAAACTACACCCAAACCAACATATACTGGGAGGCATCAAGATCTGGATTCTTGGAGTGAGTACTTGGGTTGACTTTGTGTGTAACATATATCTGCGTTTTTAATAGACTTCCAAAAATGATGGATTACCTGTCATCGGTTCAACTTATCCGGTCAGGTTTTGAAAATCATACTCTGACGCTGACGTTCCCCATGTACCGGCCATAACTCAACCTTGCTCGGTTAAACGCCGAATGCCACTCTTTAACACGGCCCGAGGCACTCTGAAGTAAAATCTAGTATGAAAGACATAGCCTTTGTCTACAGCAGGGACTTCAGAAGCATGTTGTGATGCGGAGATACTTTGAGCTGGTGTTTGGGTGCATCGACAGAGGAGGGGCTGTAGTTGACCTGTCTCGTTCCTCAGCCAGACAAGATCGTCGTACCTACGCCATGACCCTTGATTGTTACGGAGAATTAGTACCGCTATGACGCCAAGCAACGTTTTGACAGCGTCCGGGCGCCAATACCATATTGGAGTACTGTGCTGTACGCACATTCGCGGGAAAATAAGACCGATTCACTGGAAGAGTAGCAATCATTGGCTGAAAGGTAACTATTGAAGGCTCAGGTTGATCAAATGGGAAAATCCAAAGATAAAGAAATGCAAAAAGGGAGATCCTACGTAAAGACCAAAGTGCAGTCCAACTCGATTCCCTGAGAAGTCATGATGTCTACGGAGTGTCTACGGAGTACTAACATGCTACGTTTATTGGTATACTGCCCTACTCACTATACCGTAAAATATAAGCTATATGGCATAAGCACAGGTTCAGCTACGCCAAGAGCGTTATATCTGCCGCGTGAATAAGGCGCGCACAAACGCTTTGACATGGAGCGGACTCCCTTGATCCCTTCCCCGAACATGGATCCTTGCGAGTAATCGTAACCCGGTAGCCAACAGCCCTGCTCTGCAGTTTGCACTGCATTCCTGTTCATGTAAGACATCCGATAGGTTGCAGGCTGCAGCACACCCTTTTGTTGAAGAGGTACAGGGAGTAACAATCGACCGCTCTAGCCGCTGTGATATGTGTGTTGTATATTTATAATTAGTAGCATTGTCAATGCAAGAGAGGATGGCATCGTCCACTTGCACTTTTGCAATGTTCTTTTGACAGATGCTGCAGATGTATGCATGTATTATACATTCATTGTTCATCTTATTACAGGGTTGCTTTGCGTGAAGAGAACCAACTTCCCCGGATATCACTGGACGGCCCGACTTAGAGATAGGTGCCTTGTCGGCCTCTCTGCCTGCATAGTGCTTTGGTTGATGGTAAACTTTGGACTGATGCAGCTATGTGGCCCTTCATGTAGTTTGACTATAGCCTTAGCGGTTGGGTTTGCCGTGTAGAGAGATGTAGTGTGTAGATGTTTTTGACTGATGTTCAGGCATGATTCAGGTAACTTTTGTTTTAGCGTCAACACGAGTCGTGAATCCAGGCACGCACAGGACCTGAGATTTGCTACGCCGCATAACGAGATGGCGTACGCAGCTTGAAAGACAGAGGTGTTGGGTGAGTTTAAAACGCCTATTATACTGGAATGAGAAGAGTTTCCTTTAAGTACTTGGTCATATAATTGAAATGGAAACTGAAGCTGCAATTCGATGATGATCACTCTATCACGTGACTCAAATTCTGTTTTCAATCTGGGAAGAAATGAAAAATGGGGGTACTCTAACGTTATCGCGTAGGGCTGATCACCCGCTATAACAGCCCCTATTAACAGGCACTGGGCATCAGTCTCTGTTAGCGCATTTGTACCCTCACCAGACGGAAATTTCTGAAGATCCCCTCATCAAACCACGAAGCCCACCCACAGCCTCAGCCCGCCCACGGCGATATCCACATTCTTTCTATCCATTCCATACGCTCGTAGTATTCCTCGACCTGCGGGTCCCTTTCAAAGATGGTCTACTACTTCACCTCCAACGTCGTCGACCCGGCGGGCTTCATCTACGTCGGTAAGGACAAGTTTGAGAGTATGTCCTAAAAGCGCAATGTGTAACCAACCCGCCCCGGATCCCTAGGCTGAGACTTGATGCTAGATGAGGACTTGATCAAGTTTGGCTGGGAAGAGGATATCTGGTAGGACTCGGTGTAGAAATGGACGTGTGTGGTTTGTGCTAAATTACTTGTAGGGTGAGATAATGCCAGTGAGCAGAGTAGGATGAGTGTCTTGCTAAACATTTATGTCTAGTTCCACGCAGATAAACTCTCCAGTGCGCATATCTACCTTCGTACGCAGGAGGGTCAAGCATGGGACTCCCTCCCCGAAGATCTCATCATGGATCTGGCCCAGTTGACCAAGGCCAACTCCATCGAGGGTACCTCACCCCTTTTCTGTAACACCCCCCTATCACAGAGCTATCTAACACGCACTCTCGGAAAGGCAACAAGAAGGACAATGTCACAATCATCTACACACCCTGGTCCAACCTCAAGAAGGACGGCAGCATGGAGGTCGGCCAGGTCGGCTTCAAGGACCCACGCAAGGTGAAGCGCATCCTCGTGCCCCAGCGCGAAAACCCCATCGTCAACCGCCTCAACAAGACAAAGGTGGAGAAGAAGCCCGATTTTAAGCAGGAGAAGGATGATCGGCTCAAGGAGCTGCGACAGCGTGACCAGGCGGCCTTCTTGATCAGGGTAAGTGACACTGTGAGAGGGTAGAAAATACGTTTTGCTGATAACTGTTTCTTGGTCTGTCACAGAAGAAAGAGGAGGCAAAGCAGGCCCAAGAGTGGAAGGAGAAGAAGTGGCAGAAGGATCACGCCTATGACGACCTTTTCACTGAGGATCAGATGGCTGGCTCGAGTAACCAGGAACGTGATGAAAACTGGGAAGACGACTTCATGTAAAGCTCCGAGTATACTGCAGACAATATTTCCAATTTTATCCAGGGACAAGATCACCGTGGAAACCTATCGTTGGACTAACAAACTATCGCATTTTCATCAAATTCCCAACCATCTCGCTAACAGGGTATTTAAGATAACTTGCAACAAAGTAAACGAAAAGCACAACTACTGTCGTTGTCAACCGCTAACGCCTATCCCAAAACTACCACTCATGCTCATCTCTTCAAGGCGATTCGACAGTCCTCCTATGTCGCTTGATGTGTCGAGCCGGATCGGACTCGACGAGCTCCTCTCGCTGATGTTGGTGCAGCTTGAATGAGGTGATTTCCGCGCACTTGCAGTACCTCCGATGGGATCCGGGGAACTAACCAGTTGTGGCGGCAGATCTTCTTCCTCCTCGAGGAGATCTTCCAGGTCATCTTCAGCAAGCTCAGGGGCGTCTTGTTTCTTGGACGCCGCGCGCTGGGAACTTTCCAAAGTCACTACGGCCTGTCCCCCAGGAAGTTTCACCTCATAGGCCTCCAAGGTTTCTGCAATGTCCTGGAGGAGGACGTCCATCGGGCAAATGTATGCGACTCGCTTGCGCTGACTCCAGGCTAGGACGTGTCCGCAAAGCTGACCGTCTTCGCGGCTCACGATCCAAGCACCGCTATCGCCTGGGATTCCGAGAGGGACGCTTTTGCTGCGCATCTCCTGCTCTGATTCATCCGCGCTGGTGACTTGATAAGCGTGGCTGGGTGAAACCCGACCGTAGATCTTAACGCTTGTCAAGGCTGGAAGAATCTTGCCGGTTTGCAGACCGCTTGTACGTGCCATGCATTGCACTTCCATGTTTGGCAAGGAGTCTGAAGGAGCAACGATTGTCGGCCGCAGCATGGATGACTCAGTCTTCTGCTTCGAGTCAAGCTGTTGTGTAGATGAGCTGCCGTCGACGCGGGGAATAGTGTTGTCATCTGGCAGTCTGTCGTAGGCAAATTCGAAAAGTGCCCAGTCAACCTCATGCACGAGGCCAAGGGCTTGCTTCCTCCGGATACCACTTGAAGCGTAAACTTCACCCACACTGTATGTATCAATGTGATCTTCATCTTGAGTCTCTGGGTCAGGGTAGAAGCCGTCTTCCACATCGTCCAGAGCTGGCTGCGTCACGATATAACCATCACCACATCCTGGTTCAATGCCAGGAATGTCTCCAGGCTCATTGTATTCTTCATCTTCATCGTCCTCATCGTCATCTTCATAGTCGCTTGTAATGTCAGAATCAGAGTAAGCCTCGGATTCGGTGTCGGACAACTCATAGCCAAACTCGTTATCAACAGTGCTGTCATCGCCAGACTGCGCATACCAGTCCATATCAGGCAACGCACTGCACCTGAGGGTATCGCTTGGTCCAAAATCACGATCTGGGTCGTCGAGCATATGGTGGACCGTCATTCCGTATGGCTTGTCATCGACCATTACCAGGCCTCCGAGGCTAACAGGGGGCAAATGTCGGTCTCCAATCCAAGCCCCGATACTAGCACCATTGCATGGACGCTCTTGATACTCCGGGTTTATAGCGTCAACATCATCGCCGTCTTGGTTAGAGCCCTTGGCACTCCTCCGAGCCATTGATCTAAGGACCGAGTTTGGCTGTCGACGGGATCTCAAGACGTGTCCGCGACAGACTTTGAGGCCAAAACCGGTGCTTCCGTCGAAAAGATCACCAATCCTCTTCTTGAGAATAGCTCGGACCTTGCCGACGGAAGTACACACAACAAGCACTGTTGGTCGAGTCTTCTGAGGGCTCGGGCCGACTGACTCAAGCGAAATCTCGACGGACTCGGGATGCTTACGGTAAAAGTGGCGGAGGGCATGGTTGATCTGAGGCATAAGGATTTTATTCCACCTATCCACGACTTCTGGGGAGAGAGGAACATGGGGGTAAAGACGGATCTTAGCTTCTGAAAGTTTGTCGAGGATTTCTAGAAAATAATTAGCATTTAAGGGAGAGTCTAAGAGAGATAATAAACATACCATCATCGTTAGCAGCACTTTCCACCTTGGTAGCAGGTCTCTCTGCCACCAAAGTCGGCGCTGTTGTTGACATTGGTTTCTCGCTTGTAGATTGTAGCGAATGTTTGAAGTCTCTGGCGTCCTTAACGTCTCTGTTGGTCTTGTTGATAGGGGCATTGTTGGCAGGCGCAGTTGTCTCAGTCTGGCTCAACTCCTGGTCGAGCCTCTCTTCCAGTCCGCTGACACCATCCAGAATACAGCAAGCTTCCAAGAACCGACTGCATCTAACTTGCACCGAAGATAGGAGAGGTTCGCCTGACGAGCGCCCCGCCAGCTCATCATCGACAGCGGCCCAGCAAGCCTGAACCGCCTTCATATACAAGCTGCCGCATCTGACAGCGAGCTCTTCTAGTACGGATACAGGAATGGCGGATGTGTTTTCTGGAACGATGTTTTCAAGTCTTTTCCATAGACCAACTGAAAGTAGAAGCATAGCTAGGGAGTATAGGTCGAGAACCCTTTGGTCAGGGTTGTTGGCGAGAGGTGAGGTTTGCGCATTTCGTGGATCTAATGGATGACGGGAGAGAATTGGTGATGATGAAGGGGTATCTTCAGAAAAGAGATCAAAAGAAGAAAGCAAAGGTCGTCGAATATCGACCTCGCCATTAGTAGCGTTTGGCTGTGAGGTTACTGCATCGCAGAACGAGACGGTCGTCGGCACGATGTTTCCATGCGTGATACCGCGGGCATGCAGATCGAAAACAGTGTTCATAAGGTTATGGGCCAGTCTGAATTTGGCTTCGAGCTTGGGCTCTGATCCCGGTAGCAAGAGAAGATCGCCCAACGTCGGAAGGTTGTAGGAGGGGTTCTTTGTCAGACGTTCGAATGAAACGGCATTGAAAGATGGAGGAAACCGGTAGACAAGACCAAGTCGTGAGTTCTCGAGGTCTTCGAAATAACCCAGAAGCCGTGGCAGTCCAGTCCATGTTCCTGGTGATCTCTGAGAGTCTTGTTGCAACCCGGCAGACAGTTTCTCGAAGCGCGCCATAGGAGGCATGATGCCTGTCATGGCATAGATGGAGTCAAAGGTAGCATACTCGAGAAGTAGTGGTGCCCATGGCTCGCGGGTAGTTCCATGAGTAAGCTCGGAATAAGCGGTCTTACTCATAAAGACCACTTCGCGAGGAGCCGAGGCTTCGTCACCTTGCTTGGGTCGGAGGTGAGTTAGAGTTTGGGGGTTGATCTGTTGAGGCGTCTGCATGCGACTGGATTCAAACGGTCGGTATTCATCCGTTGAAGCCATTGTTTTGAAAGGTGTTTTGGATGATCTTCTAGGGGCTCCGCCAGCTGCTCGTGTCCGAGAGAGGTCGTAGAGTGTGTCGATTGATGAAGTGAGGTCATTGACTAGATCCTCGAAATGCTTCTTATCCCATTGTACCAGAGGTGGTTTTGTGTCTTTGGATGTTTGCGGTCCTTGCATCATACGCTTAGAACTGAGCCAGAGAGGTTCAGCTTCTGCCAGGATGTCCTTGATTGTGGACATGATACTCCCGACAACCTCGCTCAATCCAGCTTTTGATAGAGTGTCATCAATCTCGACAGACTGGGTTGGATCGGACCATTCGAGGCCCCAGCTGACTAAACGATCTTTTTGGATACGAAGCTTTCGATGCAGGGCCTTGATTTCTGGATCCTCCTCATTTTGAATGGGCTCTTTGACGAAGTCACTTGATTTCTTGGTGTCGTTGTACAGCCTGCTGAGTCGTTTTTGAAAGGGCAGCTGGAAGCCGCCCATGGGGAGGAAAGATTCCATCTTTGGTTTGTTTTGCTGTGCGAGTATAGTGGCCGTTATTTTCGTGAGATCCTTTATTTAACAGCAGCTGAAGAGTGAGTGCTAAGTGTGATGTGATATCAGTCTTGATGGTGGATGTCGATCTGATGCGGGGATCTTAGTGTTGGTGTAGCAGTATATGTAACAGCAGCCATTGGCATCCTTGGCTTGGCCTTGGCGGGTAATTAAAAGCCCAGGAAAAGAGTCACATGCAAATGAAAAGGAGACTGGGGATCAATATTGTTATCGTGAGAAAGAGTACCTCTGACCATGGTCTTTTTTCTGTTGAGGGAAGCTGTTTATTTCGTTGCCTACATAAAGCGGATCATGCTGAGGTTGCGGCGCGGCCTATTTGTGGTTTCACTTTGGGAAATGCTGCTGCCTGAAAGATCGTCATTATTTCATTGGTCAATCGGGAACCAATAACAACTTTATCCTCCATACAGTCACGTGATCTTGTTTAATTGATGCATCAAAGAACAAAGAATGCGGCTGCCTATCACCAGATTTATTATCTTCAGTCTTACCATGTGGCTTACGCCATGGCATGGTCAGGATAAGAAGTTCAATATTATGCTCAAATCTTTACACACGCAACTCCATCACGAAGTGTGCTTTGAGACAGAATACGTAGAGTAATAGCCACACCAAACACTACATCTCCGCCAACAACTCATAAAATAAATGACACTTCCACCCTCGAAAGAAAACGTTGCTTACCCGACCACATACTCAGTGACGCTATCAACCCACATCCCGAATATTCCATTTCCATTTCCATGCCTCTGCGAATACATTGCCCAGGTGAAATTCTTCGAAACGGAAGAGCAGATGTCTCAGTACGTAGGCGTAGACCCCCATCATGGGTTGAGGACGACTACAATTACGCACGATTTGAACTAGCTCAGAAAACACATCAAACTTCTGTGTCAAACAATCTGGTGACGACGCTTAGCCATGGAAGCAGGATAGACTCTGTGTTCTGTGCTTCTAGACCTCATAAGACTTTTTCTTTGGTCCAATTGCTTCGTTTTTGACAACATTCAAGCACATAGCCGGACAACGTCGTATCTTATCCACGTGGTACTGACGATTCTTTCACCCATCGATGCTCAAGTATCTAGCAGACTCCTCCCAAGTGTGCTTCAATATGTGCAGTTGCCTGACTCTACCAAGCCGGAATACGCTTCATATGGAAGCCTGGCAATATCCCATTGCGAATAAACTCATCGTGCCTCGTTCTAGATAAATTGCCCACCACACAGCGTTTCCATCAGATACATCCAACGACTAGGCTTCTGCGATCATCTAGGCATCTCTTAAACTTATGGGGATGCCGGTCTGGTTTGTTAATGACCGAGTGAGGCACCGATATCAGCAGTGGTTCCGAGGACTCCGAATCGAAACATGTCTCTAAGTACCCTCACCAAACCCCAAACATGGCCTTGTACGTATGTAAAGGGGAACGTCCGGTAAGAAACAGGCTTCCATTAGTGAGACCATCTCTGCTGTGTCCTCGGCTGATGCTTCATAAAACAAGTTAATGCAAGCATGCGTGTTTGCTTACAACAGTGACAAATAAATAGCCTTACACGCTTGCCTATCAATCCTACATTGTTCTTACAAATACAAACCCACTGCTAGTGTAAAAAGGGAGAGGCTTGAGTCTAGATAGTTGGGTGTGGTATGGGAGTGTTTGCCATTCTATGTCACCCCTTATCTTCACTTGTTTGTCGAAAGGTTCTGCTCTCATGGGCAACCGGCACATATACATAACTCATATGAACATGAAGTAATAAATTGGATATTGAAATCAAACTAATCCAGTACCTGACGCCTCATAATACACATTCGTCCACTGTCTAACGTCCCTCATTTCTATTTGTCTTGATGCTTTGACATAAACCATGAGCCACGTAAATTGCCAATAAAAGCACACTGGGAATCATTCCCATCTTATAAACCCTCCTCATATGTAATCTCTTTTTCCTTACTGCTGGAGGTACTTGAGAATCTGCTCCCGCTCCTCAACGGGCATGACTCTCAACACCTCACGCACACCAGTCCATCCGGACTTTGCATGGCTTCGTACAACGCTAGCAACCTCGGCTGCCAACACCTCAGACTTGAGTGTCTCGACCTTCTCACTGATGGTCTTGCGCTCAGTCTCATACCACTCAGTAACTGCCTGATCATCCTTCTCCCAATCAACAATGGCGGACCAGCTGCGGAGAAGGTGCAAGTATCTGTCGCGAGTCTCCTTGTTCTTGGTAGCAGTCTGGTTGTGCGAAGTGCTGATAATGGTGGAGGTCATGCGGCGCAGGATGTACTCCTCGTTGAGACGGCGGCGAAGACGCCAGTAAAAGAAGCGTCGAGCGTTGGTCCACTCAAGGACATCACGGACGACACCCTTGGCCTTCATGCGACCAGCACGATCGTGGAGGTCGGCGAACTGCACGGCAATCTGAGAGTACACAGGCAGCAGCTGCTTCTCACGAGCGGACATCTTCTCCTTGACCGCGTCGATCTCCTCCGCGGACAGGGTAGAGTCCTCAAGCTGCTTCTTAAGACCAGCATAAACGGGATCCATGCGGGCCATAGTCTGCACCTGCTTGTCCTTGCGGTACTTGATACCAACGATACCATCGGGCTCAAGAACACCACCTCGGGCCTCGGTGTCGGCGTACATTTCCATGGCGGTGGGGTTGATGGTAGGATCGACGACGACCCAAGATCCACCACGGAGCTCGCCGAATGGAGGAATGTAGATGAAGATGGGCTGCTCATACTTGACGAGGGCATCAACGATGAAAGAACCGTACTTGAGGATCTCGTTGTACATATCGCGCTGACCACCAGAGAAACCACGCCAGTTGGCAAGGATCATTAGAGGAAGCTGCTCACCGTTGTTGAAGTCGTTGATAGCTTGGGCAGTCTTGAAGGCAGAGTTGGGGTACCACACACCACCAGCCTCGTTGCTAACCTGCTCGATAGAGTCAGGGTTGGCAGGATCGGCGGGAGTGATGTTCTCTACTGATCGGACCTCAACGGCGATAACACCCATAGGGATACCGCCGAGACGAGCACGACCGACAACCACAGTCTTGGCCCAGCCACCGAGGGCCTCGACGAAAGAGTCCTTGTCAAAGAGACCAGTCTCGAAGCCTTCCTCGCCCTCGCGACCACCAATCATCCATCTGACATCGTAAGGCTGCTTCTGGGGAGGGAAGTAGGTAACGTCACGGTTCCAGTCATCAACGCTAGGGCTGACGGGAACGGGGCTGTTGCGCTTCTCAGGAACGAAAGACATCCACTCGACGATCTTGGAAACACCAGCGAAGTCGTCGTTGGCAGTCATGTGAGAGACACCATTACGGTACATGATCTGAGTGCCACCAAGCTGCAGGTTAGAGGTGTAGACCTCACGACCAAGCAGGTTGTTGAGAGCACCGGCACCAGTCAAGATAATGGGCTGGCCCTCAATCTGGACAGCACGCTGACCGAGACGAACAAGGTAGGCACCAATACCAACGGATCGGCAAGTAACCAGAGTAACAGTGAAGATGTCGTTGTAGGCACGGCTGGTGGCACCGGCGATGAGACCAGAGCCTCGCAGACATTCAACACCAAGACCCTCCTCTTTACCAATGATGGTAACGATCTTGTGTCGCTTCTCACCGTCCTCAGAAACCTCCTCAGTGATGACGTCCTTCTCGAAGCGAGTCTTCTGCTCATCATTGAGGTAGAGGTACTTGAAACCGGAATCTTGCTTCTCGGGGTTGTTCCAGGCAACCTTGAAGTGACCCATGAGCTCATCGGCGAGGCCAAGACGAGCACCAGAGTTGGCAGACAGGTAAATACGGGGGATACCCAGCTTACGGGCCAGCTCAGTGCACTTGTAGAAGAAATCGTCCTCCTTGGGTCCGAAAGAGCCGATCTTGTAGGTGATATCGTTGGCGATGACGATGAAGCGTCGGCCGTTGGGGTACTCAGGGGTGCGGGCCCTGAAGATCCAACCAACCATACCGCAAGTGTTGGTACCGGGCTCGCGGTTCACCTCATCAAGGCTGTCCTTGTCGTCAAGAACAAGCTCAGTGAAGCTAACGCAGTCACCAACCTTGGGCTGCTGCGACGCCAGGCTGGGCTGCGCCTTGACGGCCTTGTTCCAGGTGTTCTGGATGGCCTGTCGGAAGAGCTCAGGGAAATCGTAGACGTACTGAGTTCCCATCAGATGAGCCTTGTAACGCTTGGGCTGGAGCCAGTTCTTGGTAGGGTAAGGGGTAGAGACGGGCATCAGATGCATAGGACCCTTCTCGTGAGTGCCACCAATGCTGTGGAAGACCCACTCGCCCTTCTCCGACTTGCGCTCGGCATACATGTCGACATCAACAACGTAACCAGAGGTGTTGATGATGACAACACGAAGAGGGTATGGCTCGCCAGTCTCAGGGTCCGTGCAGATGATACGGATCTCAACCTGGGCGATACGCAGTCGCCAAGCACGGATACCGAAGCGGTCAAGGAAGCCCTGAAGACTCTCCTCAACCTCCTTAGGCTGGAGCTGGAACACGGGAGAGAAGTTGATGAACACCTGGTTCAGATCGGAGTTGTTGTTGCCAATAATCTCAAGGGCGTCAAAGATATCGTTAACAACGCGGTCGGCCTCGGAAATGAGATACTCAGCAGTAGGGATCTCATCTCGAAGACGACCAGGTCGAATGACAGCACGTGTGAAGTATCGCTTGTCAGTGTCCACGGTCTTGCCAATACCCTCGTAAACGTGAATACTCTTGTTCTCAGTGAAAACGGGCTTGATGTGGAACTTGTTCAGACGAGCAAGCTCAAGCTGGAAAGCAAGGGCGGGCTCGCTGTGACGGATACTGTCATCTTCCTTGTACTCGGGGCCACGGAAAGTGTAGTATCCAGGGTAAGAACCATCGCTGTGGCCGCAGATGAATGTCAGGCGGCGGACACCTCGGGCA